CCGGCTCCTCAAGCGTCTTACTTTCCTCAGACTTCTCATCAATTCCAAGTGGTGGCGCAGGGGGAGCCATGGTACCAAGAGCAGGAGCAGAAGCCATCGCCTCGTCGATGAATGCTCTCTCAACTGCAACTTTACGTCTAAAGACATTCAGCCATCTGCTTCCCCACTGCTGTATCATCACATTTTCAGTCTGGAGTGCATCGTCCTCTGTCCGTTCCATTATCCCATCGCTGTATCCGCCCGCTACGGGAACTAGTGTATCTTCAATCAGCTGGAACATAGAAAGCATATCCGCCTTCTCTTTCTTGAGAGTTTCGTCTAGTATGCTGAGCTGTGGTTCATAGAGTGTTGGTTGAGTTCTGGCTGCCACAATCTGGCGCATGCGGTTCGTCACTTTGCGCATGGTGGCAGCTATCATTTCGAAGATATGTGGTTTTGCCAACGTTGAACCTGCAGCGAGGTTGTCAACTAGCGCCCATTCGAGGACAGAGAGAGGGGTGAGAATGGTGTAATTCAATAGCTTGTCGATGATGTTGATGCCGATTCCAGGCTGGTCGGCCCAGTATTCCATGACTGAATTGATCATTTGACGGCGTGCGGCACCAGACTTCGGACCAATGGCAAGAAGTCGGTCCTTGCAGCGCTCAATGCAGGAAAGAAAGTGAGAAAGAGACTTGGATCCCACGTAGCAGATGGAGGTCATGTAAACGTCCGTAGAAGCAATGAGAGGATCAGTCAGTCCGTGAGTCTGAGCTTGTTCTTCGATGGAAGTGATCACAGCTTGAATTTCTTCATCCGATGATTTCTGGCGGATGAGTTTCATAAGCTCTTGTCCTTCTTTTGAATACGGAGTTGCTGTTCCTTAGTCAGTATTTGATTTGTTCACTGGCTTCACGAAGTCAGATAATAAACGTACTCTCTTGCGAAAACTTGAAATCCGGCGTATCCTTCTCTTTGCCTTCAGTGATTAATTCGTGATAAGGCTCTGGAAGCGTTCCTTTAATTCTCTGTGCGAAACTAAGACGGATCTCCTTGTCTATAGCGCCAATAATAAAGGCCTTCTTAGGATGGACATCTGGCAGCTCAAGGTCGGCAACCCTAGAGAAAGATGTTAGCAGCTGAAAGTATTTCACCTGTCTTCAGCAAGTAACCTTACCACTCAGTCCACTTCCATGTGAAACCAAAGTTGCTCAGATGGTGAGAGAACCAATCCAAGAATCTATGGGCAAGTGAAAGATCCAACTTATCGATGTTTCGATACACGAAACGAATCGCACGTCCCAAACTAGGGGCAACTGCAGCGGGAGCAATCTTGCAAGACTCCGTAAGTACCGAATGGTAATATACCAGTTTATGTTCTGGGAATGGCAATTGCAGGAGCTGAGAGAAGGCAGCGTCAACAGCGACATCCTCTGGCTTCCAGGTTGACTTCTCAGGGGATGGGGAGTCCCGGAGTTGGTCTACGGGGACAGCTCGTTTGACGAAGGTGTCCGGTGCAAAGTAGCAGTCCACATCGATGAGGAATTTGGCCGTTGCATTTCGGTTGAAGTCAAGAACGTTAATAGTATCAACCAATGCATCACGGACCAATGAAGATGCAATATCGGATGTTGGAGGAACCGTGTCAACGTCCTGGTGGGTATAGACGGAGAAATAGATCTCAGGGAAAATCGCCCTAGGTCCGTTCTTGACTGGGTTGGGCACTGCAATCTCTGGGAAAGCATGTTTGGTAGGGGCCTTGGGGGCTTCTTCATCCTCCTTTTTCTCTTCCTCGTCGCCATTTTGCTTTTGCTCCTTTTGAGCGAGTGGTTCTTTCCACGGCCTTGGAATACAGGCGAGTTTCCACGACTGAGCAGATTCCTCTTGCAGCTGTTTCTGGATCAGGCCTAATGCACTTAATCTGGAGCCTTCTTCCTCGCCTGGTTTCTTAGGGAAGGGGTCAACGATTGCTTCAAGCGTATGTGGGGTTGATGCAATGATATCTGTCTTTTCCAGTAAGGCAGAGGCATGAGACTCGAGCCCGGTGGCAGACGAGGCCATGATGTAAGGGATGGTGTAGAGAATAATGTTGACGAGCTCCAATCCAAGAGAATCTTCAGACGAGCCGGTCTGAAGGTCAACAGCACGCGAAAATAGCTCCTCCAGCACTGGGAATATACCATCGCCTTCAAAGATGCCCTGCAGACATGCCAGGAACCGCAACATAAGCTTGACATTTCGCCAATGGCCCTGTCCCACGTACAGAACAGCTTGTTCTCCAATCTTGGAGATAATCTGGGCGGTGGCTTCTGGTTTAAAATTGTTGAGTAGGAGGACGACTGCAGCGACAAAGGGGATTTTCAATGGTTGTTCGAGGACCCTATAATGCACTATTAGTCTTACTTCTGGAGTCCACCGAGTACTGCACCAACTTACATCTGCAGGATAAGCTCCTCAAAGGCCGCCTTCATCACCTCATCCGAGTAATTGTCTGCAACCATCTTCGCGATTCTAGGGATATCATCTTCTGGACGTCTTGAAGTCTAATTCCACAATGGCACGGATTAGACAAACCCAACCGTACAGGACACATGCAAGGAATCGAGCTTACCGGTTCCGCAACGTTCAATAGCTGTCTCCTAACAATCGCAGCAATCGGCTCTTCGTATCTTCTACGCTGCTGTCGATATCGATCACCTCCCTCGTCATCTACAAGTGTGAGTTAGCGCCGGCTTCTGAAAGAAAGACCCGCACCACAAAGACAGCAACAACGACAACGGCAACGAACCTCTATATCTTCTCTTCCTATTATACCCTCCTCCATGCCCCTGTTTGCGCTGTTCATGTTCCACCATTGTGACTCGCGTAGCTCTAAGACCCTCTCTGGTTGTTTCAAGGTAACCAGCTCTGCGCAAGGAAGTTATTCCGTTTCCAAAGCTCAACTGGGCAAACTAGAGCATTAATTCGTAATGCGCAAGATAGTCGACAATATACCCTATCCGAACCTATCTCGATATGCGCGCAACCTCGACGGGGGAGCTAGGCGTTTGAACGGGAGCGAAGTCGACACGTCTCGGCGCCGAGTCAACCTGCACTTGCACTGCACACCAGATGGCTCAATAGCCTGGATATTAGCAACAGGCCAAAACCTGTGGCCTTGCTAAAGCTGAATTGTCACGTCTGGCTTCTGTGAAGCTGCCTGTGTCATCTGTGAAGGTGCCGGGAGGGAGCAGGTTGGTGGATCAAACAAACTATTTACAGTAGTTAAGAAGTTCACAGCAGCCAGAAAAAGGCTTTCGCTGTTTCTTTTTTCCAGCCAGTCACGTGGATGGCAGTTGATATTCACATCTCCAGCGACATAGAGAGACATTGACAGTAAAGGCGCAGAGTAGAGGGTGAAGATGATGGTTTTGATGCTGATGCAGGCCAGAAAGGGGGTCATGGAAGTAATGGCTACGGTGTTGATTATTTACAAGCGCCTGCCTGACTGGACAGGTTGAGCTTCGTAGATACCAAGCGTATCTCACGGCATCATAGTACCTCACTAGGATGATGTCTAGGTTAATACAATCTATTTCTCGTTCTTATTCACGCTTATGCTCATATTCATATTCGTATTCATAATCGTATTCATATTCATATTGCTGTTCTCTATCTTACCACGGCCTCTCCCACACGCCGTGGCGTCGCCTGAGACTCCGCTCCATACATCGGTGCTCTATGACTCGCTTCCACTGCCACCGTCATTGCATGCATCAATATCAAAGTAAATGCCGTGCCACGCCATGTTATTTGTGAATATGGCTATCCATTCAGGAGGGTTGCCTTCGGTTTTGTCTCCTTGCTTGCCTTGGTGATGATACCCATGTATGTACGGTAGAAAACGAAACACGAGAGAGAAAGAATGAGAAATAGGAGAGGAAGGGAAGATGAGAAAGACAAAGAGAAGAGAGAAGAATGGTAAAAGAAGAAATAGTAGAAAATTCTCGCCTATCTCGCTGTGGTGTAAGTTGGATCTTCTTGGCTGCGCGAGGGGATGAGTGTGTATCTCTCTAGCTATCCCTATCCGTAATCCTATTTCCTAAGCCATGTCCCTATTCCCACTCCTACTCCCCGCTCTCACTCTTTGATCCGAGTCCGAACTGCTGAAGGCAGTCGGGTGAGAGATAGTCCCATGTCAATCAAAACAGTCATGTCATGGCTGTGCCGGACCGAAGGCGAAGGAGTCTTGAGAGAGGACGGTGGGAAAAATAAGAGGGATAAAAAGCAACACATGTGAAATAAAACATATAAAGAGCAAACCTGCATCCGTCCTCATAAGTAAAACAAATAATAAGAAAAAAAAGAGAAACATAAGAGGGAAAAGAGGGAATCTGAAGTGCCGGAAGGAAGAAGAAACAGAAGGAAAAGAAGGTAAAATCAAGTGGTATCATGCAAGCAAATCCTCCCCGCAAAGAGCAAGGACACAGGAGCAACACAGCACCGTAGCAACATAAGAAGATGTAAAAAAGGAAAACCTCATGTATCTAGGTACAGAGGGCATCGACCTTGATGAGTGCAATGAGGGTGTATGTGTGCGTGGCATGTGTTCCTTTCACCTGTAAACTCTCGAGGCTATTCACAGAAACCATTTCCTCCTAATCCCGCCTTGTGTTTTTTTTGGACCTCTTTCTCCCCTTTTCGCCTATTTTCATCTCTGTTCAATGGAGTCATGATTCATCAAGTGTAATTGGTACGTGGTTGGTTTGGTACCCGTCCGATCGTGTGTGGTGACATCGAGGTGTGTATGTGGGTGATTTTTTTTTTCAGCTTTTTCGTAGTTTTTGTGGTAATAGATGCATCGCGTCGTCATACCCCGGATCGAGACACAAGGAAGGCCAGACCGGACCAGATCTAAGATATGTTGCTAAGATATATGATGCTTAACGAATCCTCGAGCAATAGAAACGGTAAACAGGGGTGGGCGGATCGACGTGAAAACGCTGGGGGGAGGTTTGAGAATTGAGGGGGGAGGGGCATATCACGAAGTCGGACGAGATGGGGGATAGACTGATCGGTGGGTTCCGGTGGACCGACGGTAACGAATCATCGTGAACCCGCCCGTGCATTAGAAAACCACTTCAAGGACATTCATGTATCATCGTTCAAGACGTTAAAACCTTGTGGGAGAAATGTGTGGTTGATCAATCAAGGCGAGCCATCATTTCCTCTTTCTTGAGAGGAGTGAAGTTGTCGATGTCAAGGCCCTGAGCAATAAGTTCGGGTCTGGCATGTGGTGGGATCAGACGGTGGTTCATGTTGGGAGCAATGGAGAGTTCTGCAAAAAACGTAAAAAGTCAGTATGTAATAGAATCAATCAGCATGGGACAAGCAAATGGCATACCATGACGGGTGAAGTTGAACAGCTTGGGCATATCACGAGCAGGAGCGTTTGGATGGCGCGAGTCAGGAAGGCGAATGTTTGGCTCGCGGAGCTCATCAAAGAATGGATGGCAAAGAGCCTCGATGGAGGAGAGACGCTGAGTAGGAGTGTATTCTAAGAGAGCAGTGATCAGGTCAATTGCCTCATGGCTAGCCTTGCGGAAGACCTAATGAGAGGAGAAGAGTCAGCATTGAACAAAAAAGAGTATGTTAGGGCGTATGTACCTTGTTGAATGGGTGAGGCTTGATTTGGGGGAACTTGTGCTCCATGTAGTTGGGGTTCATGGTGCGGATCTGCTCGCGAGTGGGAGTTCCCAAGACCTTGATGATCTCAACCAGCTGGTCGATGCCGGACTCTCCCTGGAACAGGGGCTGGCCAAGCATGAGCTCTCCCATGACGCATCCGGTAGACCAGACATCTATCATCGGAATTAGTTTTTAGACGTGGTACTGGTTTTGTTTTAGGGACTGTGTAATTGGGCTGGGAACATACCGATCTTGGTGGTGTAGTTGGTAGCACCGAAAATCAGCTCAGGAGCGCGGTAGTAACGCGAGCAGATGTAGGAAACGTTGGGCTCGTTGGCGACGAGAATCTTAGCGCTGCCAAAGTCGCAGAGCTTGAGGATGCCGGTGCTAGGGTCAAGAAGGAGATTCTGGGGCTTGATATCACGGTGACAGATGCCTTGGGAGTGAATGTAGGCGAGAGAGCGGAACAACTGGTATGTGTACAGCTTCACCTCGAGGAGTGGCATGGTGGTCTTGAGCTTATTGAAGTACCGCGAAGCACGGTAGACGGTCTCTGGGACGTATTCCAGTACCAAGTTCAGGTAGACCTCGTCCTTCTGTTAAAAAGTCGTCAAGTCAGCGATATTCAACATCGTCGTCGTCGTCAACAACACATCTCCCACTTTCACTCTCCCACCTTCAACCTCCCACTTCACCAGACAGAAAAACACCACGCACTCACAACGCTCGGAACGAAGAAGAAAGACTTACTCTATCACCGTTGGAGTAGTAAAACGCCTTGAGCTCGACGATGTTTGGGTGACGGACTATGCGCATAATCTGGAGCTCACGGTTCTACACCAAAAATAAAAAAAGGTCAGCTTCCCTTTTCCAGACGCGAATTAACTGCTTGTTTGGCTCTCACCTTGAAGCGTTTGTCCTGGAGAACGCGTTTGATGGCAGCATCTTCGCCGCTTGGAGACAGCTTGGTCTGGAAGACGATGCCAAAGGATCCATTACCCACGATCTTGCACTGAGTGTACTGCATGTCACGAGTCTCTCCGGTAATGCCATCCTGAACCTTCTCACGGATCACCTCTGCAAGACAAGTCAGCCAGACGTTCAGCCAGTCGTATCAGTGCCTCGCCTGGCCGAAGAGAAGTAAAGAGGTCGTTTTGTCGGAAAGCGAAGTGAGGTGAAGCGGGTGGAGGGGTAAGGGAGAGAGGGCAGCAACTTACCACCCATACGCAGGCTGGAAAACATCCCAGGCCTATTCTGTGACATCTTTTCCCTTTGCAAGCCAAAACTGAGGAGCTGGCCGGTTTATTGAGCTGTTGACAGCGGGAGGTTCCTTTTTTTTCTTGGTGACGAAACGAGACGATCTGGCGTGGGAACGAGGAAATGGAGAGGGGGGAGGTTGACTTCGGGTAACTATCGCGTGGTACTGCGAATTGATGAGTTTCGAGGCCTGCTGGGAGGAAGAAAAAAACAAGGGCACGACAACAAAGATTAGCGAGACCAGGTCGAGGCAAGAAGAAAAAGCAAGAGACAGAGAGAGTCAAGTCCTGCTGGGCAACGAGTCTCAACGGCCCCTTCCGTGTTTCTTCTCTGTACCCTTTCTTTTTGGCCTTGTGGCTGCTCGAAAGTCGCTTTTGCCTTACAATCGAAGAAAAAGAAGAGGAAGAGGAAGATGGTTTGGTGGAGAAAGAGAAGAAGAGGAAATAAATAAAAGAAAAAAGAAAAAGGGAACAGGAAGTGAAGAGAGGCTGGTCAAGTGAATATATAAGAAGGACAGAGGGAGAGGGAGAAAGAGGAACACAAGGCGGGCGTGCTGTGTGCAAGGGGAAAAGAGGAGAGAAGAAGAACGACGACGACAGGCGGGCGGCGGGGAAGACAGTGAGAGGGAGAGAGCCAGATGGGCGGGTTTTTCCTTAGGCTTAGGCTTAGGTTAAGAGAGACAGAGGGAGCCAGAGAGAGCCAGAGAGAGACAGAGATGGAGAAGGGCAGAGGCAGAGGCAGCGGCAGCGGCAGCGGCAGCAGAGAGTTTCCTGGTAGGCTCCACCAAGCTTAGGGATGAAGAAGCAGGAAGACAGTGACAGTGACAGTGACAGACAGCAGACAGCAGACAGCAGACAGACAGAGGCACAGACAGGCAGATACAGAGAGACACAGAGAAAGGACGGAAGAGGTGCAGAGAGTGAAAGGGACGAGAGCAGAAAGAAAGACGAGCTCTTTAAAGACGGCAAAGAGAAGAAGAGAAGAGACCTACAGTGAAGGAGGCTTAGTGAGTGAGCTTGCACCGGTTGTACAGCTGAAGGCGAGGACGAAGATGATGCTGACGATGGGATAGACGGCGGTCGAAGATGCAGAGGCAGATGCAGACACCAGTTGCAGAAAGAGGAAAAGGATGGGGATATAGAAGAAGCAGGAGAAGCAGGAGAAGAAGAAGAGTCGAAGGTTGAAGCTCGCCAGGTCTCTCCCTCCAAGAAGAACTGCTCAACCCGCGTGCAAGCTTATTTATTTTAACTTGCACCAAAAAGACGCTCGTGTAAGGATGAAGCAGCAGAAGCAAAGCAGCAGAACGAAGACAGAAGAGACGACGAAGCAGAAGAAACAGAAAGAGAAGAAGAGGGAAAGGAGCTGGTTAAGAGGAAGAAGGGTGAAAAGTGACCGTCTCCCTATCTTCTTCTTCCTCCTCCCTTCTACTTTGCTGCTGCTGCTGCTGCTTAACTACGCTCGCAAGTCATTTACAAAAAGCAAGCCGCCTGCCAAACAGGCAGAGACAAGACGCAGAGAGCTGCCACTGGCATCGAAGCAGCTTCCCCCCCATGCACGTCTATACGGAAGACCTAACTGACTACGGGCAGGTTACTTACAGGCGACTTGCTCGTCCCTCCGTCTCAGGTCCCTGTTTCAGGGCATGGGCAGGCAGTCACCGCTGGCTCGAAGTACATATTTTCTTACCTCTCTCACTCTCTATCACTCGACGCTCAGCTTGTCAACCTTTCTACAAGGAAAGGAAAAGAAAAGAAAAGAAAAGAAAAAAAGAGATGCAGTCACGAGAGAAGCTTGAGGAATGGAGATCCTGGGTGTGGTCGTAGTGGAAATAACGAGGAAGTATAACCCATGAAGGTGGTTTTCTTTCTCCCGCTTGCTTCTGCTTCTGTCTGCGTCTGCGTCTGCGTCTTCTGCTTCTTTTTTTTCTTTTCGCTTCGGCTTCGACTTCATCTCAACTAACGGGGTGATCCTACACTTAGGTTGCGGCCATGGGGACAGGGGGCAAAGATAAGGAGAAGAAAGAGGTCAATTGGCCTTGAGAACCCGTCTCTCTCTCTCTCTCTCTCTCTTCCTCTCGTCTCCCATTGCCATCTAGTCCTTCGTCCATCTACACGCCACGATGGATGATAGACAAGCAAAAAGGAAAAAAAGGGGTAAGATGGATGGCAATCATCGTCACCATCGTCACCATCATCTCCTCCTCCCCTCTGGTCTTCCGGTTATCTCAACCTGCCTCTGTTTGACCTGAACTACCTGTTTTAAAGAGTATATCGTGTGCTGGGACTGCATATTGTCGGGTGACCAATTGCAATTTTCACCTGGACCAAGGATAAGCTGTCGGAAGTCACAGGATCGCGTATCCACCGGGGGTTAAGTTAGTTTGTTAGTTAGTTACTTTTTTAGTCGGGTGGGCGTGCTTGTTCTTTTCTTGTACCAGCCCCGTACACTGCGTATAACGAAGTACAGCATCATCACTCGCCGGAGCTTCTTCGGCTGCCTTTCTTCTCCTTCTCTCATCTTCTTCTTCTTAGTCGCGACCTTGCTATGTTTTTCGCCTCCTCATCCTCCTTCTCTTGTGGCCACTTTCACCTGCGCTCAACGGCCAAAACAGGTGGTCATCAACTACTTGAACTGGTTAACTATCTGTTTGCTGGTTTGCCATGGACCTTACCTGCCTGGTACCTACTTATCCACTTGTCCCCAGCACTGGTCGCCGTATTATTAATACCAGCATGTCCACTGAGGGCCGATTTAGTGCCCACTTGGCGGCCCAGAAGATGAAGTCATAAGTGTCCCCCTTATCTCTTCCTCTCTTCCTTTCTACCCTTCTGCCCTTCTTCTCTTCTACCTTCTACCTCTCCAGGGTGTCAATTAACTACGCTCTATGGAGCATCGCCGTCTTCTTTTCTTTGGACTCTGGCGGGTCTTTGGTTGGGACAGTTGATGACACATTCATTAGTCATCACTTCACGTGAAATGGAATGTCGCCGTTCGACCCTTGGACTTGCACAGACGACGTAACGAACAACAACAGACAGGACTAGTTCTCTCTGGATGGTCGTCATGGGGACATGGGTTCGGCTCCCTGCATTGTTATTGCCATCACCATCAAGGCGAGATCGATTTCGCCCCTGGCTATGAGCCTTGCCGTAGCCAGACTACGCCTCCTGCGGCTGAAAATTAGATTCACAAGACCACTGCCCACCCAGCTCTAGTTATGCTCAGACGTCTAGTTAAAAGGCTCAGGGGTTTGATGCTAGTAAACCACCCTTTGACGACCGGCGAGGCAAAGACGTACACGCCTAGAAGTTTGGTTTCTGGTAATACTACGACGCTAAGAGAAGAGCATATTCATCGGGCTTCTAGAGCGCCGGTGCAGTCCTACCCTGTACTTAGACGGCATTGACATCCAGGGTCTCAACCTTCCCACCCTGTACAACGAGGAGCTATTCTGTCCTCCTCCAGCCAGATAAGTACTCCGTATAGATACCACGACCCTACAGAGTACTAGTTTCTGGATATGAAACCCACCAGTAAGATGGACATGACGAGGGGAAATACGTACTTAAAAACGCTTAGCATAGCTGCTATGACATATGTGAGATAGATCAGCACTGTCAGCAGGCGGGGATAGCGTCTCTGTTTCCCGAGTTGCCTAGCTGTCTGCGAGACGTGCAAGGATTAGCCGTTAAGCTGATTGCTCTAACCTATGCGCCTCCTGCTTTCTGTCTTCTCTAACGGCTTTGATCTGCACCTACAGTTGACAAAGTTAGCTTGATGGTAGTTATATATATGTATATAAAAGTCTAATAGCTAGTTACTTAGACGTACTACGAGGAACAACCTACATCTGCCTCTGTGTCTGGAAACATCTACATGCAGTAATTGCCCGCTCCCCCCTGTTCTGAGAGCAAGGCTTAAGACTCCGAGGCCAAGCCAGGAGATACGGAGAGGTCCTTGCCAGCCTAGTCTACGCACTGATAAATGCTGGCCACCTTTTCTTTTCTCCCTCTCTTCCCTGCATTTCTTAATACATGTTGGTTATGCCGGAAAAGGGGAGCGGGAAACGGGAAACTCATGACGTGCATATATACGTTTCGATACCTTGATACTCTGTACATGTATATCGGTTAGTTGACTAACTAGTTATGTGGGCGCACCCTGGCATGATAAAGCAGCTTTTTCGAGGCCAAGCCCAAGATGGCTATTCTGAACGGCCTGCCAGGGTCATCTTCCCTTCCTCTTCGACCGTCCGTCTTTTTCACTTCCCGCGCTGGACAAACCCTGTATCCATGTCTGTGCCATCCTATACTTAACACATATATGCTCATCCCTCCCTATGCCTTTACATCGCTATACCATGCATACAACGGACCATCTACAAGGCCAAGGAGCGTGTAACAAGGGCAATGCATGTCCGTGCCTCTCGACAGTCGTTGCTGTTGCCCAGGCCGTGTAACTACATACTACATTTCTTTTATCCTTTCTCTATCACCACCTGTCATACATACGTACATTTGGCCAGACCCCAAACCTGCACACAACTATATAAGAAACATACCTGACACATATGGAGTCAGAGCTAATGAGGAGGCACAACGGCTAAGCTCTCCAGTCCAGCTTTGAACGAGTCAGGGGCCTCCGCTGCGTTTCAGGGACACACAAATCAAGAGCGGCCGAGATTATAGCTTCTGCTGGAGCATCGATCTTAGCATCATCGTGCATAATAACGAGATTAGCATCTCGGACTAAGCACATAGATCGCCTTCATACCGAACCGGATCTCCTATTCTTTCCCTTTTTGTAGCGTATGTCACCCTTCCTCTACAGTAACCTGACAGTGCTACTTCGATCACCGTTTGCAAGCAAACAACAACATCTCCTGGCGTGACAACGGCGATAATATTTATATACATGCAGCCAAAAATCAAGGGATAGACGATACTTTGATATACACACTTATAGACGCGGGAAGTTTGGCTACTTGGGTGGTCGACTATCACGGCCCCTTAAGCCACCAAAGATGCTAGCATGTGTATTGCCACGCCAGCTGCACGCACTTCGACCACCCATCGCCTTTTTGACATCGTACGAGATCGAGTGGCCATCTCTTCCCACTTCCACCCCTTTCATAGCTCCTGCTTACTGAAACTAACGACCAGATGATGATATCATCCTCTGTCGGCCCCTTACTTAGCCCCAGCCTTACAAAACTGCGAACTACATAATGTCTGAACGACCATTGGTGCACGGTGCTTCCTTTTTCTTCCCTTTGCTGTTGAACCAGCAAATTATCCCCATCCTTCCAACCAGCCATGCCAGCCATGGAGCTTCCTCGTGCCTGTCTGTCGGGTTGATACGATGATGCCCGCTGAGCTCCGAACCCATTGGCTCCTTAGTTACGTCACTCGAGGTTACTCCTGCAGCAAAGGCCCGCGTGTGTGGCCACTGACCCGGCCTGACCTGGACCAAACTCCTGCTGCTCACCTGCAAGCTCCTGCGCTGCACAGGTACAGATACTGAAGAAGAACAGGCACAAGTGGAGCACAACAAGCGAGAGGGCAAAAAGGCATCGACTTTCCTTTTCTTTTTTCCCCCCTTCTATCCCACCCACGATCGTATATCTGCCTGCCTGGAGGAATTAACTACTTATTAATAGCCTACGGCGGTCTCGACTCGCCCTTTTGCCGGCCTGAGCGATGTTGCTTTGTATCTCATTTTTCCGCCATCTTCGCTTCGGCCCCTAAGTAACTGGCTTCGTCCAGGTGATCGATTTAAACGTTGGTAGCAAGCCAGGATCTGAGCTATGGATTATGGATACAACCATGCATACATAACGCACTTCGGGCTAAACAAATCAGCCAAGCGCAGGCGCAACTTACTCCGTACAGGTCAGACACATACACTCACATACGCCGACACCTTAAGATATGGAGACTCCTTTTTACTGTCCATTTTCTTTCTGCGCTCCATCTGTACATTCTTGTGACATGGCAGGACGGAGTTTTGTTCCGTTCTTGACCGGGTTTATAACGCCGAATCGGACGAACTGGCATGAACAGAACCGCCTTTCGAGAAGCCGCTCGTCTGCTCTAGCATGGCCAACTGCATTGACGGCTAGTCCCGTTCATCTTGTGAAATAGCAATACCATCTTTTCACCGCAGTGCTAACGAACCACTCTAGCCTCGTTCTCTCAAGCCATAACATATAAAGAGCTAAAGTCAATTCGTCTCTGTCTCGCTTTCTCGCTCTTCTTTCTCTTCTTCTCTCCTCCTTTCCTCTCTTGTGGGTTCGCTTTGCTTTTTGTTAGCCATGGTCGTGATTCATGACCACGAGCTAGGTTCCATGGTTCGTTGGAGGAACTACGAAGAGGAGAGAAGATCGAGTTGATCACGCAGGACCTTTTCCTGTGTCACCGACGAGATGATCGTAGAGAAGAAAGCACAAGGGAAAAAAAAAAAAAAAAAAAAAAAAGGAAGTGAGGGCTTTAAGGGTGTAAAAAAGATGTTGATAAGAGTGGGATTCGAACCCACGAGAGGTTTCCCCCAGCAGAGCTTAAATCTGCCGCCTTAAACCACTCGGCCATCTTACCAGAATATTAAGTTGTTACTCACCTTAAATCAGCTTATGATCGCTAGTGGGTCTTGCTTGCTCTCAGCCTCCTTTTGATAGCGCTAACCTTAACAAATACTAATAACACCGCCTCTTGTTTCCTCGACTGCGTTACATCATAGACGGACGGGATGGTAGACAAGTCGTACCTTTTTCTTCCAAGCGCACAGCATACGGCCAAGCTGCAATGATGATGATGCAATGCAAATCCATCTTGATTGATCAAGGGAATGTATGTACGTATGTATCTAGATGTGTCAGATGATCGCATCGAGCTGTCAGGAAACTTCCCTGTTCCCTGTAGGCTCCTATGCAATAACCTGTGTTTGATATAGGGGTGCATATACATGCATGCTGATGGTAATTGATAGGTTAGCTGATGTTATCATTGCTGGCATGCACTCCGATAGACGCTGCTCCTTGTTCCTTGTTCCTTTCGTCCGTTCTCTGTTGTTAATTCTGCAGGAAGGGGAAGGGCGTATAATATCCTTCGTGTACCCCTTGGCTGTTGATATGCAATGCCAACGTCAGTGAGATGCGCAATGTACCTGCTCTGCTTTGTTCCTCTCTTCGGAAGCCACGTACATTGCATGGCCACGTAGATTAGGTAGTTATATATTGCTGGTTGCGTGAAATACCGGATACTATGAATGATAGGTTTTTGATTGGATTTGTATGCCTCATCCATCCTTTGGTCACGGCATTGGTAGGACACTGCAGATGCCGGCCATCAGCTGCGCTCCTCTGGGTAGGGAGAAACATTTTCTTTTGCACTGGCAGTCTTCCGTCATAATCAAAGGTGTCTATTTACTTTGAATGCATGGCGGGATACCAATTGAAGTCTGACAACAAGCCCAACCAGCCTCGCGAGTCTACAGTCACAAAAGTCAGCAGGAGTTCAAGTTTTATCATAATCTATTACAGGCGAATCTCAATTTACTCTCGGCGCTTCAAGCAGAAGGAACAGGCTGAGCAAAAATCAAATCGTGTTATTTTACATTCCTTCCTTCTAAGTTTTGCAGACAGAAACAAACCCAAAGGAAAGATAAAAATGGGAGGAGAACAACGAACACAGCCTAAACACAGCCTTACCCTCCTCTCTGGTCCGAATCTCATGTCCCATAATCTGTCCACAAAACCCAAACAGAAAGGCAGCGTGAGTACAGGAAAAACGTGATGATACTTCGGGGAAGAAGAAAAATAAAATAATGGTTACCATTAAAAATAGTAACGGGGTGTGAAAGTGGGTGTGTTAAGACAGGAGAGTAATGAACAGAAACGAAAAGGGGCGAGAAGGGTTCTATACAAGATGACGTTCCGTACACCTAATACAACTTCCTGGATGTTTATGCATGGGGATAGAAAGAAAGGGGCCTTTCGAGAGTTCATAGAGAGGGGGGCAACCTGACAGTCGAGGCCTCGTGGTGATCAGGACCACAAGTAATCAATGCTGTCCACGGTGCGGATATTATAATGAGTATGTGGGATATATTGTCATGAATGGCTGGTTGGTTAAAAGGAGTCCTTGGAGGTCAGGAACGGGAGCGGAGCGAGGACAAGACGTGGATAGGCGGAGACTTTCCCCGGCTATGAGTTTAAAAGGGTGGAGAGACGCTGGACAGCTCTCCAGATTCTTGCTGCTCCATCAGCTCCTCGGAAGCCATCTCAAAGGAGACTGCGAGACCAATCTTGGCGGTTTGCTACACGAATAATTAGTCAACTTTTCGCAAGAAAGTGTTTCATTTCTGATTGGATCCGTATCACTTACCTTGACCTGGTCTATTTCACCGGCAAAGGTGAGAGAAATTGGCATGGCAACTCTCTTCTCCAACAGACAGCTTAGCTTTCCGTCACTGTCAACCTGAGCTCTGAACGTGGATGCCCTGAACTCGTACTTGGCTCCGACAGCAGTAGTTCCCTCCCTCTGAAGACCGCCTCCCATCATGGGGTTGCCGCTTGGTGCAAACTGCAGGTTCATGTCAACACCAGCTTCGACCTTATCAGAGAGCCTCTTCCAGAATGAGGCATTGATGGTTCCCTGTGCCTGAAGCTGGGCACTGGCAATCCAGTCATCTGCCTTGTATCGTGCACAGTATGAAAGAGCAGTCTCTGGCTTAGCACCAAGCCCGGCACGCTGCCACATGGCCTCCAATCCTAGGGCCAGACCGGGTGTGATGGACTGTAGGTAGCTTCCGATGAAAATACCGGTAAGTCCGCCTTCTAGAATCGATGGGTTGAACGCCTTAAGGGACGCCGAGAAATCAGATCCGGTGTAGTCATTATCCAGCTGAAGCAGTCCTTGTGCAGAGCCTGGCATTATCTGTACGTTGGCTTTGCTGATCAAGGATGGGCACCAGCGGTAGTTTGCAACAGCAGCCAGGGCTCCGTCACTGCCAATGTTTCCTTGCATGAGCACCTAGAGAGATATAACAGGTCAGCCAGACTTCTAGTAGAACTTGAGATGCCCAGATCAACTTCTCAACAAACATTACGGTTCAACTCACATCTGAAGTTCCAAACATAGTAGAGAAGGCATATGGAGGAAGGTTGCCTTGAGAGCCCATGGTGAATGCATGAGAGACTCGGAAAAGAGGCGAGACTCCAAAGACCTTGGTCAAATCGGCGCGGAGGCCTGTGAACATGAAATTGGAGAGCAAGACATCCTTCTGGACTTCTCGAGAAACCATCTCAACGGTACCGGGATTCGACAGCCCCAGGTCCGCTCTCCTCCGTGCAAATGCATCATATGAATCTTGTATAATTGCCGCGGCAGGGTTATCAGTCAAAAACGAAAGGGTAGAGCTGAAGTCGGCCATGATGACGAGAGATTAGGACGAGTAGCTGATGGAATGCGCAATATGAAAGTCTCGTTGAGAAAAAAAAAGAGACGTCGTTTTCAAATCAAAAACAAAAGTAACACGCAGCCCTGAACGAGAGACGTCCGTCACGGCCTGTCGGACTGTCGAATGGCAATTGGCAAGTGTGCTCCGTTGCTAAAGCTCGCTCAGCGTCAACAGCGTTCCTCGAAGTTGAAGAAAAATGAGGTTTTTGGTTTGAAACTTCTTTTTTCCGCAAAATCCAAAAGGTCTCTAATGCCAAGACAGACACGCGCGCTAGCTTCTTTGGGCCTCCATCATCTCTCGACTGCTTCCCGCTTGTTCAACTTCAACTTGCGACGTCGCCAAAGTGGGTGCTTGTATGCTTGTATCTCTCTATGGGAGGGTGAGTTGGAGCGTCTGTGAGGATCCAGCACTCTGGTAGAAGAAGTCTGCTCTTTCCTTTGCATGTTTCGCTACTATTCTTGATTGCATGCTACTTCGGCTCCCCACATGTTTGGTAACTAACTAATTGACCCCCTTGCAGGAAGCGCTTCAACACTGTTACGAGACAGGTAGAGCCTTTAAACACTTGAAGTTGACCTCTAGAAGCTCTATATCATACGGTATAGCTGTGTGGACGTTGTCATGGATACCCTAATGTATGTTCTCCGGCCTGGCCACACTTATACATTGATACCCAAAGTATATGTACGCTTGACAAAGCTTTGGAAGTCAGAGAGACTCATCATCGTTACATAGAACTGCCGATGTCGTGGCGACTGCGCCTAGATTTCGGCGCAAGTCGTCGACCTTTGTCGATGCTATCCATGATATGCCTGAAATGCCAGCCCTGGCACCAGCCCAACTTTATAGTACTGAGTCTGGACGGCTCTTCCACTCTGGGCGGATTGTCATTATCACAGTTGGGTTACCAGCCCGAGGGAAAACGTCAGTGGGCTTTTCACCGTTCCTCTTTGTTCCTAACCATACTGACTTATCTATTTATAGACACATATCTGTAGCCCTTGCTCGGTACCTTAGATGGTATGTATCCATATCATGGCCTGCCCTTATCTTTCACCCGCTTACTTGCAGGCAGGCTTGGAGTTAAAACTCGCATTTTCCACCTTGGAGATTACAGACGAGCTACTGTTGGAGTTGGTGGCGAACTACCGGAGGATTATTTCTTTGCAAATGGTAGTTATTCCTTATATTTGACCTACTGATATCGAAAAGTTAACAAGTTCAACAGCATCTGCCTCTTCCGTCCTTCTTCGACAGAAAATTGTCAAAAGGTGTCGTGAAGATATATATCGTTTTTTAAACCATGAAAATGGACAGATTGCCATATACGATGCGGTCAACCCTTTGGCTGCTGGGAGAATATCTCTCTCTAGAGAATTCGCAAAGCAAGATATTGAGGTATGCTATAATATGAACAATCTAAAAAGGCGATGCTAACCCACCAGACCTTGTTTATTGAGTCATCTTGCAGCGATGAGCGTATAATCGAAGAGAATGTGCGGCGAGTGAAGATATCCTCTCCTGATGTACGAGGCCCCTTCAAATTTATATACCAATCTGCAACTAATCTGACACTTCATTTTTGGGATTACAGTATGTGGGATGGGATTCTCAAGTTGCTGTAAAGGATTATCTAGCGCGAATATCTGCAAGGATTCCACTATTCGAAACCATGCAAGAGCAAGAGCTGAACTATATTAAGGTACACGCTCCGTGGAACTCGTGAAGGGAAAGTGCTAATAATGCATCAGATGTTTAATGCCGGCGAAAAGATGACAATTAACAATCGTGGATTCGGTTATCTTCATCATCGAATCGTTTTCTACCTGTTGAACCTTCATATCAAGAATAGGCGTACCTACTTTGTCAGGGTATGTGTCCTGGTTGCTCTATACCACTGTCAATATACTCACTCTTTAGCAGGCTGGCACTTCTACATCATCAGACTCGTACAAAGCTGATTCGTCGCTTTCGTCAAAAGGAGAAGATTATGCGCGCAAGATGACCGAAACGCTCATTAAGCGTCGAGAAGAAGAGAGAAAAGACCTGCTAGAACAGGGCGAGCCTGATCCACAGCTCAGGCCACTCATAGTCTGGTCCTCAACACGCCGCAGGTCTATAGAGACTGCACAATTTCTCCGTTTAAGGGGATACAAGGTTCGACACCGTTCTCAAATGAGTCAGCTGAATCCTGGAGTTTGCGAGAAGATGTCCGAAGAACAGATCAGGAAAGAATACCCTGATGAAGTGGAAATGCACGACTTGGACCCCTATCACCACAGATATCCTAGAGCTGAGGTAAATAGTATGCATATATGGTTATATATGGCTTTTATACTAACACAATTATAGTCCTATCACGACTTGGCCGTGCGGCTTGAGCCTGTCATCCTTGAGCTCGAACGTGAGCAAAACGATTTACTGATTATTGCACATGAAAGCGTATTAAGAGTGCTGTATGGGTATTTAATGGCGTGTAACTCAACCGATATCCCGTTTTTGTCCTTCCCACGCGACCAGATAATCGAGGTAATTTTGCATTGTTTCACCAATTATACATTTATAGGGTCTCCCGCTAATAAAGTTATAGATAATTCCTGCCAGCTATAATAACCAAGCAAGACGTATTCACATACCAGACCTTCCGCCGGATATCATTCCAGGCTCGCCAGAGGACATTAAGATTCCCGTGCCACCGAGTGGTATCGTTTCACCAATGCCCGGTGGTGGGCTGGACGGCTCCTCTTTCGAGAGGGGCGCAACCCCGCAACTTGGTTTTCGGACTCCCAAAGACCCAGAAAAGATATCCCAGCATCAGGCTGAAGATGTCGTTTGAGGGTCTGCTGTTTGATCTTCTCTGCCCATGAAGTTGACCACGTATGAGATTATGAATTCACTCTTCCTGTTCCTCATGTTATGTTATGCCTTTGTTATTGATTAATGAAATTGCCCTCATGATGTTGTTATTGAACCAGACTCTGCATGTCGGCATCTAGCCTCCATGGAGAGTAGATACGAATAGAATGTTATCACCCTTCGCAATCTCATAGGCGTCCTCTCCTTCTAGCTCCCAGTCGGCGTCATTGATCAACACTAATATGCCAGGTCGTCTACACCAAGAAAGTTAGACTTGTTTTCATATTATTGGCCTTCCAGCCTTCTAGTAACCACAAAAACCTATACTAACACTGCATCGTCGACCACGAAGAGCTCTTTTCTAGGGTCTTTCATTACGTTCTCGATCAGGTACTTGACTAAGTAGCTGATATTCGCAATAGACCCGTTTGGGTCCCGGGACGGCAATGCAATCTTGTGAACCCTTTCATTCGAAAATAACATTTCAAGACCTCCTCTGACAGCGGTTGTTATAATTAGTTTATCGCTCTAGGTCATAGATTTCTTCTAAGGAGACGAACGTGAACTCCACCGTAATATTAAGGGTGTCTTTGCCCTTGACATCAATGGGTGTATCGGTCATAACTGAGCCCATGTTTGATCACAACCAATCAGGCTAGAGGGTATCGTCCTTATCGGTATAGAAAATGTGTTCAAATGTGTGGTGTAGCGGTTTCTATAAAATTATTGCGATTACCTTGAGCGATGGCGGGGACGAAGAAAATCTCTTATCGATAAGACTGGCCTTTTGATGCGCCAGGCAGGGTTAAACTTTAGCGACTTCGCGGAATGCGAACAATCTCAAGACGAACAGCATCCTCAATTAAAGGGCAGGCCGCCGGACGGGGAGGTAACATTGTGGCATCCTTTAAAGAGATCCTAAATAAATCTGCCATCCATGGTGTGCGTCACCACGGATTTCATCAGTGTTGGGGGCAACCGGAATCCTACAGCAGCAGATTGGCACCATGAGTCTGGCTTGTTAGCCTTTGGTGCGAACAATAATGTTGCCCTATGGAATCCGTTGGTAAGTGCTCAATTACTTCATTTCTGATCTATACTGTTTTGCTAACTTGTGACTTGGTTTCTAGGACCAAAACGATAGAGGTGTATACACACTTCTCGTGGGCCACACTGACAAAGTAAACGCTGTTAAATTTTACACATCACCCGCCAACGGATCCATACTACTTCTTACAGGCGGTAGTGACCACACTATACGAATATGGAAGCCAGATACCTCCAGTTCACCTAAATTTTCGCAAGTAGCAGTCGTGGAGGGGCAGCATGAAGGGTCTCTCAATTGTATTGAGGTCGCTCGTGGATCAAATATCTTCGTCTCTGGAGCTGCAGACGGAGCTATCAAAGTATGGAAGTTGACTGAGGAGAACGATGTGGTAGAGTGCCAACTACTACAGAGCATACCGTTAAAGCCTCGGTATTTTCCTCTTGCCATGGCCCTGAGACTTATATCTAGCCAGAGCTCAGGAGCTAAGTCTGATGGACTTGTGCTTGCAGTTGGTGGAACCAGGGCTGCGGTACAGATATACGCTGCAAAGGATGTTGATGATCTTAAGTTTGAACTGAGTACTACTCTAACTGGACATGAAAGCTGGATTCGCTCTCTTGCGTTTTCACCTGCCAGTGATAGCTCCAGCAGCACAGGAGACCCGGCAAAGCCACAGGACTTCCTTCTCGCCTCATGCAGCCAGGATAAATATATACGCCTTTGGAAAGTAAACCTAGGAGAAGGAACTGTTTCGGCCACGCCTAAAAATGTGGAAGACCAACTGTTAGCCGGTGCCGAGCAGGCGACTTTGACTCCGAAGGCACACCGTTTTGACATGAATGGTGCCAAGTATTCAATAACATTTGAAGCGCTTCTTTTTGGCCATGAGGACTGGGTTTACACTGTAGCCTGGAACCCGAATCCTCTCCGACCACAGTTACTATCTGCGTCCGCAGATAACTCCTTGGTTATTTGGGAGCAGGATCCTATAACCGGTGTCTGGTTTTCACTGTCAAGAATGGGAGAAATTAGCTCTCTCAAGGGCTCAACTACTGCTACTGGTAGTGCCGGTGGCTTTTGGGTTGGTCTTTGGTCCCCATCTGGGGATGTTGTTGTCTGCCTAGGCAGGACGGGCAGTTGGAGGTCCTGGAGACATGATACTGTGGCGGATGCATGGCTCCCTATACCAGGGATTACAGGACACGTTAGAGCAGTTGGTGATATTGCTTGGGAGGCAAACGGAGGGTATTTGTTATCTACCAGCGGGGATCAAACAACGAGATTGTATGCTGAATGGAAGAAGGGTAGCCATCACTCATGGCATGAGTTTTCACGGCCTCAAATACATGGTTACGACCTTAACTGCCTTGCACCACTAGGCCCATCCAGATTTGTGTCTGGTGCAGATGAAAAACTTTTACGGGTGTTTAACGAAACCAGAGCCGTGGCTAATTTGCTTACGCGGTTGAGTGGGCTAGCTACCCCGAAGAGTGATGAGGAAATGCCAGATGCTGCGAGTATTCCAGTATTAGGGCTGTCTAACAAAGCAATGGATGAGGAAGTTGGAGGTGATGAAGAAACCAACGAAACTGGTGACCAGGAACAACAAACAGTGCAGCCAGAAGTATATAATCTGGAGTTTGACCATCCACCGCTAGAGGACCATCTCGCCAGGCATACACTTTGGCCGGAACATGAAAAGCTGTATGGCCACGGATACGAAATATCAGCCGTTACTGCAAGCCATGACCTATCGATCATCGCGACCGCATGCAAGGCTAGTTCTATTGACCATGCAGTCATTCGTCTATATGACACTTCAACATGGAACGAAATAAGGCCTCCATTAACAGCTCATTCATTGACGATAACCTCGCTGCGATTTTCTCTGGATGACAGGTATCTGCTCAGTGTTGGGCGTGATCGGCAATGGGCAGTTTTCGAGCGAGACTCGACCAACAAATTACTGTTCAAATTGCTAGCTTCCAACCCCAAGGGCCACTCAAGGATGATACTGAGTGCGAGCTGGGCGCCACATCCAACGGCTACAGTATTTGCCACGGGTGGCCGTGACAAGTCCGTTAAAATTTGGGCTAAGGAGGGCGATTCGTTTGTTGCAAAAACCACAATCCCTTTCTCTCACCCAATTACTGCTATCGACTTTCTGCCTCTCTCAGTACATGGTGGGCTCTACATCGCTATTGGTGATGACTCCGGCCGGATATTTGTATGCAGGATCCAGCTCGAGAGTCTAGAAGCAAGAGAGATGCTCACGATCCCAGAACCAGAGTGCCCGTCAAAATCTATCACTCGAGTAGCCTGGAGGCCGGTGAAGGGACTTGTAGAAGTTCACGGGGAGGATGTTACTGCTACCGGCAGGAAGCCCGGATATCAACTTGCTGTCGCAAGTGAAGATTCTTCGATTCGTTTATATAATGTTGATAGTCTTCCGACATAGTAGGCAGGTATTCGGTACCTCTGTATAAAAGAGGGTAACTATTATTTACAATAGTGAAAAGAGAGGCATTGTTCTAAAGAGGCCAACTTCAAACAAATAAAATGGACAAACAATGATAAATGTCTATGGCGTTGAGGCCGCGCCTATATATGCAACCACCCAAGGGCATTAATAGCAGAAAATATGAGAATTTGGCTCACCGTTAAGGGTTGAGGTAATAACTTTTCTCCCTCGAAACGCAAGCATCACATCCTATATATGTGACATATGCCTGCAGCTCATTCATCTCTGATATCCTCCTTAGCCTCTGCTGGTCTTCCAGGGCGAGGTCCACGCTCCTTCATATCCTTCCTCAGCCATTCCAGCACTAGTTCACCCAACTGACTGTTTTCCGACATGCGAGGGCGGTTGCTATAGAACTTCTCCATAGAACCCCAGTCCCTTAAACGACCCATGTGCATATGTACCAGGTGCGTAGGCCACTGAGCCAGGTTGTCCAGAATATGGGTAGCATAGACAATAGTGCAAGGTCTCCTCTCAGTCTCTCGTTTCAAGAAATCCAAAAAATTGCTCCGGCTAAGAAGATCCAGGTCCACAGTGATTTCGTCTAGCAGGAGGAGGTTCCAGGGTCTTAGCAGGCCCATGGCAAGCTGCACACGTCGTCTCTCTCCGTCGGACACGGCATGCATGTGCCACGACATGTCGATATCAAGAATCTTAACTAGCTCGTCCCTTCTTTCCGCATAGTAATCTCCACCCACGGATGCGAGTAGAGTCGGCACATCGATATCAGATCGAACTATGGGGTTCAGAACCCATTCCGTCCCTAGGTATGTGACGCCTTCGAGGCCTTCTTTGAACGGGTCGACGCCGCCAATGACGATGGAACCATTTGGAGCAAGGCGTTTGCCTGAAAGGAGCCTGAGGAGTGTACTTTTACCAGCACCATTGGCTAGATAAAGAGAAACAGAAACAGAGCAGAGACAGTTTAGAAAAGGCAATTAAAGAATGTAAATTTGTGGGGTGAGCAAGGTGGTTCATGGAGGGGAGATGGTATAACGGGTACGAGGGATGGAGTCTGCTTTACCGCCAATCAAGAGTGTTCGACTGTTCTGAGGGAGGTCAATGGTGATATCTGACAGTCCTTCCGAGCCGTCGGGGAACTTGTAGCTAAGGTGGTTTACCGTTATATCGGTGCTTGGGTGGTCGGAGGGCCTCATTGTGATGTCCTGGGCGTTGGTCAACTAGTTAAATAGGTGCTTCCAATAACGAGATCGCCGGCCTGCAGATAGACACTGATCGACAGCCACAATCGAGAGAGGGTAGAATGTTTCTTCTAAGCTTGAATCAGGCAAAAGGGAAAACAGCGGTCTTAATATTCAAATAATCTTCAGCGCCTCCCGGAATATTCAAGAACGCCGCCCTTGCAGGCACACGGCCGAGATGCAAACCACGTGAAGAGATTTATAATCACCGAGTGTTTCGAATCCATGCCACATTGCTAGCTCGTTGGTGAAGTCTCCGTACTATTTCGTAATCGGTCAAGAGTGCGTTGTGAGCTGGTAGTTATTTGGTTGACGGGAAAACTGATGACTGGCTGTGGCGGACGCCTTGAGATAACCATGTTCTAACCATGCAATAACTATTTAGCTACTGCTAACTAGTTAGTGGTAGCACGACGGGTAGTCAGATAGCGGCCGACATCAATAGACAGCTGTACCAACCTCGCAAGCCTTGCAAAGATGCGCGATTTGGGCTCCCCAACTATACCCTACCTCCCTGATGATAATGCTGACCGCGGCATCTTGATCGACGGAGACGGCCCTGACCTCGCGATTGATGTTGAGGAAGTATCTTAACATCGATATCAATATGGAGAATCTTCCTGCCGCCAATACTATCCTATCCAGATTGGGGAGATTCTTAATCAAATATACCGCATAGTCCACAAGATTTTCCATGGTGGCTTCTCTAACTACTGTTTGGCTTGCTGAAGATATGAGAAATCAACAAAACTGTGCAATCAAGATTATGGTCTCTGGTCCATATGGAGAACATGACTATCAGATGCAAACTACTATCCATGAGACTGTGACTGATACCTCTCATCTAGTTTTATATAAGGATGTCTTTCTACTCCGTGGCCCACAGTATAGCCACTATACTTTTGTCTTCCGATTTCTTGGTCCCAATGTTGAATCTCTCGTGGCTAAATAGCTGCACATTGCAACTCGCATACATGGTGCAAACAACTGCTAAAAGCTTTAGAGAGCTTACACGAGGCTGGCTTTGTCCACAGAGGTATGTTAATCATTTCTAAACCAAATTTATTATACGAAAGCTAACATTTTTAGATATTAACAATATGAATGTCTTGTGGGGTAGTTCTCTCCCTGAAAATCTCAGCATAGCTGATAAATACAAGATTCTTGGCCGGCCTGAACGAATGATGATTGATAGTTGGAAACAGGCAGAACTTGTGAAGCCCATGCAAATTCCTATCATACTGTGTTCAACTATGATTTATCTCGCGGGCTTTGGGATAACAACACAAGTTGGTATTCCAAAAGATGGACTCCACCTTTGGATATTGCTCTCCAGAGCGGCTTCATGGTGCTACTCCCGACTTTTCCTGTGATATATGGAGCTATATGTGTGTCTTTGCATATATGTATCTTGGATTAAATCTGTTTCCCCTGCTAGGAAGCGTCGTTGCCTATATGGGCCCGTTACCAAAGGATCTAAAGGGGAAATACCTCTGGCCCGGGTCTAGCAAAGATGAGTGGTATGATCCAAATACCCCTGTGGCTGAAGATCTTGACGACCGAATCAAACATCAACGACCACAAATTGATACAGTTGAGAGGAAACTCTTAGTATCTGTTTTGACCAGAGGTTTCTCCCTTATTCCTGAGAACCGCCTAACTGCAAGCCAACTCCGAGATCCAGATTTCAATACCCCTTATCAACTTTCCACTGCAGCTAAAAATTTTAGATAGCCATTGTGCCAATCTACTCTTGAAATAGAAGCAGTTCCGTTATAGAATACCCTATATTATTTCAACCGATATATTGGTGGAAAAAAAAAAAAGCAATAGATGTAGCAGCGTGGATACAGCTTTAGAATCAGAAATATTAACACTATAGGGACGTTCGGGCTACCTTGTTACTGTTGGTTGCCCTAAACAACACGGCCTACTATATTCCTAATATCTTGGGTTTAATATAGGAATGCTTAGTGTGGCTTTCCAGGGAATGTCTTCAGGGTGATTGGTGTTTGATATTGGGTAATACGAATAAAGGATAAGAGTGTAGCGGAATCCTATTTTACCTCATCAGTACCAACTCCGGCTGTGTACTTTCAAGAACCAGAGGAAGATTTAAATTGAATTAAACATGGCCAACTGGTACTTAACCAGCTCAGGATATCCATCAATCTCTGCGAAAATATCGACTGCAGCAATACTATGTGGTAGGAATAACATTCCTTCAACGCCTCAACACAGCTTTTGACTGTGGACCATATTAGTGGTGCCTTGTGAACGTCTATCAAAATCGAAGAGTATTTATCACTAATATCTCAAATCTACATATGTATTGTAGGGAAATACAGGTAATGATTTTACCACATGATGCGTAATTTATACACTGATCATACACGTTATATTACACGCCCTAGTGAAACTTTTTTCTCCTCCAAATTGAACATCAAATCAATGCAAATATTATTCAAACCTGGCATCAAACAATCAGTTATTAAGAACTTGACATATAGTATGTTTAGAGCTTCTCTGTCACTCAGGACAACTGCAAACTCTCACATGAATCCTTTGATTGCTGTGGTTGGCGCTACGGGGACGGGAAAGTCCAAAGTGAGTAGCAACAACATGCCGCCTAATGAGTATACCCCAGGGCGAGGACATGCACTAAATCATTACATAGTTAGCTGTTGACCTTGCATTGCGAGTCAATGGAGAAATAATCAGTGCAGATGCTATGCAGATGTACAAGGGCCTTCCCATAACCACCAATCAAATACCCATTGAAGAGAGACACGGTATCCCTCATCATTTGATCGGATGCGTAGATCTAGACCAGGATCCTTGGAGGATTGGGGTATTCAAAAAAGAGAGCCTGAAGATTATCGACGAAATCAGGTCAAGGGGTAAAGTTCCGATACTGGTTGGCGGGACACACTACTATACACAATCCGTTCTCTTTCATGAACCTTTACTTGATGAGGGTAAACCAAATAAGCAGATGTCGAATCAATCGGAAGATCTCCCAAGTGATGAAGATTTAACTGCAGACTCTAAGAAAGATGTGGACTTTTCGATACTAAATGCCTCTGCTGAAGAGGTCTATGAAAAACTGAAAGAGGTTGACCCTGTCATGGCAAATCGATGGCATCCAAATGAGAAGAGAAAGGTTCGTCGGTCTCTAGAGATCTACTTACAGACTGGGCGGCGAGCTTCAGACATATACGAAGAACAGAAAAAGAAGATTAGAAGGGCAACACCGCAGGATGAGGATTACTGCGGGGCTGACGAGTCCGAGGATTTAAGCACTCAGCTTGGGCAGGCAAGATTTTCGCTACTCGTCTTTTGGGTCCATACTGAAAAAGAAGAATTACGAAAGCGACTCGATAAACGTGTGCACGGAATGATAGATCAAGGCCTATTGAAGGAAGCCCAAAAAATGTTCAAATATCTACAGGACAAGGCCTCGGAGGGGGTTGAAGTCGATCGAACTCGCGGGGTTTGGATGTCAATTGGATTTAAAGAACTGGAGCCTTACATTAATGAGTTGCTCACAGCTAAGGAGGAGCCGAAGTGTGAACTTGACAAAATGAAGGAAGAGTGCATCGAGTCAATTCAGGCTGCCACAAAAGTATATGCTAAACATCAAACAAGATGGATTAGGAATAAACTGTGGAAGGCTTTGGGAACCTCCGGGATGACAGACCGTCTTTATATTGCTGATTCAACTGACGTGGATAACTGGGACACAATTGTACGTCAACCTGCTGAGGAAATCACGTCAAAGTTCCTTTCTGGAAGCACGCTCCCACATCCCAAAGAGATGTCGGCGGTTGCGAAAGAGTTCTTTGAATCTGCAAATGCACCCGCTCGGTTTGAGGTTGACGACATTCCGCAGATGAGAGTATGTTCGACTTGTAATGCTACCATTGCTGGAGCAGATACGTGGGAACTCCATATGAAGGGGAGGAGGCACAAGAGGGCAATAAAATCCGCTGAAAATAGACGACGTCGAGACGAATATTTCCAGAAACTGCAGGAGAAGTCCAACGAGGACAATGGTGCGCCTTCCACGGAACTGTGATTACCTACCCCCTTTCCCGAGAAAGGGGCAGTTAAAGGCGCCGACTACACTCAATATATGAACGCTCAAGGATTCATTGATTCCCGGCAAGCTCGCTGTAGCCTAACTTTGCAATCTCCATTCGACAAACTCTGGGGTCAGAATATTTCCATAGCCAGTTTCCTGGACCTTAAAGACTTCGATGTGGCTTGACTTGGCGGCCTTTCGAATTGTCCATACCCCTTCTGAGTCCACGATTGTCTTCAACCCTGAATGGTACATTACCATGTCAGCCGTCTTATTTTAAGAGAAGGGGTGTCTGACGCTACCACATACAAGTCAGAAACTGAGAGGCAAAATTGATACACGTGTTTGCATCCCATGTATTTGCCCCCGTTTTAGGAATATTGGGGATTTCATCTGTAGCATACTCCTCAATAGCTAGGAGATAACCATCTTGGTCCCGCCGGCCGACGATTATCTTTGGAACACCGAGGAGAAATGACTGGACCCAGAACTTGAGAAGCTTGCGCTCGAAATTTATGGCGTCATTTCCATGCCGTATTGTTGCAGATGTCTTGAGCTCTACCCAGTTGATAGGATCGTCTTCTTGTCAGGCTTGCAGTCCCAGACTTTTGCATATCAATAACTATGTGAACATTCACCTCTTTAGAAACACGAGTTTAGGTTTAAATGGTGGCATACCTGCATCGACCTCTCCAGCGAGGAGCATCCTGGTATTTCCAATTCCAGTGCGAACAAGAGAGCAATACTGTGGGTTGTTATTCACAACTTCGCTTTCCCTAGCCTCGATGGTCTCTCTACTGGCCGCATCCCACGGCTCCGAGAGTACAGACACGGTTTCGAACTTATACCCTGGTTTGAAAAGAGTGAGCCTATAGAACGAAAACACTTATTTTTGCTCGAATAAAGGCGCGTACCCCAATATGACATCATATCGGATGAATGCGCCCCTGGACGCACTCTTCTGTTTGACTGTTCTTTGAGTTGTTCGAGGTGGTAAGAGTGAGACTCTTCAATAAATCTAACATCTCAAAAAGTGGTATTAGTGACTGCACTGCTAGCAGAAATGGTTCTATGAGCAGAACCTCACATTTGGCCCTTGGGAAGGAGACGATGTCAGTATATCTCCAAAATTCAGAGTTAAAAGGGGGGTATGATAAGCCCACTTGAAAACATGTAGCATTCATTTCGAATCTGAATGAGATACAGCGAAAGTTGATTAGCAGTTAGGTACCAGGTTATTGGATAAGTTAGCGCGTTAATACCCATTCATAGTATCGTAAGGAGCGGTGAATATCTTTCAATAGGCGTATTAGCATCCTGATGCGTCACGGCAGGGAACTAACATATGGGCTTGCCTTGGTCATCATTCCTCTCCACGTAACAAAGTCCATATCGTACTTCCTCCCTTTCTCCTTTTCGGTCGCAATAATAGTATCAAGAAGTGCATTGAGATGCTTATCTTCAGATTCATCACGTTGAACAAAAGTATCAAAGCCAGCCTTTAGGTCTACCGGTAATTTTGGAGGATAATAGTAACGAAGACCAGAGTCATCGAGTCGGAACCGGTGCCATTCATCATAAGAAAAACAAGCGATTTCCTGGATTTTTGTAACGGAGACTCCCAGTTAGCCTCAATCAGCTGTAAACAATAATATTTGTGCATGATCCCACCCTTGGTCGTTTTAAGGGTTCAGATATCCCGCTGAATCTCTCGACGGGTAGAGTCTCAAAGATAGCTGCCATATTCAAGCAACTATCGAGCGCGTTAGTTCAGGATGGTGGTGCCACGCAGGGGGTATATTTACAGTCCATGGATAATAGCGGACGCTTAACTATCTATTATCCCTCTATACGAACACCAAGCTATGTTCAATAGCCGACGGCACACTTTAGACGGATTATAATCAGCTTTAAACTGGTAAGTTCCCAGTCGACTCAAAATAGTTAGTCCGCGGTGTCAGTATATATGGATTTAAACATGTGAGATTCAAAACTCTCATATAAATGGTCGGTTGTTATAGTTAGATATTTATTTGCCTACTGGTGTTGTAGTGAAGGAGAGCTCTCGAGAGCACGTTCTGATTGGCTGCGCTGACGACACTCCTTTGGGTGCTTTCCCTCTTACATCTTAAAACTAGAAAACCACTATATTGTATCTCCCAGATTCCTCCTCGCCCTTTCTATAGTAATTCTTTATTCCACAAGGGTAATTCGATTCTACACCTCCGACTTTTGTGTTCGCGTATATTTCTCTCGCAGAGCAGTTAGCTACCCCGTCAAAAGGCCACAGGTGGCCGTTATGACCTCTCGAATCGAGAAAACCATTGCCCGGCAGCAAGAGAAGTATGATTCGGCCTCTGAGCTACTCATTCTTTAGTATTTGTGTCTTCACACGAGATTTTAGTATGACAGTGCTAACTTTTCTTTTATGCTAATAGGATCGCCTCCGGAGCATACTATGAATCCCACCAGCAGCTCCGTGTAATCGCAGCACGGTATATAAAACAGTCCAACTACGATGCAGCCGCAAATATACTATCCGAGGGGGCGAAGGCACTGCTACAAGCTGGAGCTCAGCAGGGCGCATCCGCAAGTGGTGGTGACCTAGCAATCATGCTAGTACTGGAAGTTTACAACAAGGCGGGGTGGGAGGTGGCCGATGACGAAACCGGAAAAGAGAGAAAACGTATGACCACTAAGACTTTTATTATCGATTGCTGAATTAGATCGGGAATAGTGCTGATCTTCCCTTAGAACGACTCGTTGAATTACTTCAGGAATTCCCACCGGAGGAGCCAACTAGAAAGAGATATATAAACGAAATTATCTCGTGGAGCTCAAAATTCGGGGACCTAGAAAGGGGCGACCCGGAGTTACATCACGCTATTGGATCTGTCTATGCACAAGGTAGGTTTATTTTATCATTCAATCTGATTCTTAGGGTTGGGATCTAATCAAGCACGGATATTAGACAATGAACCATATGACGCCGAGAAACATCTCGCTTTTGGGACTGTTGAATCCGCCGAAACTCTCGCAAACCTAGAGTATAAGTGGTACACATATGACGCACAGCACACAGCCGGAATATACTGCTGTCGTGCCGTCTTCCCGTATCTTCTCACTGGTAACATTCTCAACGCGAATAAGGCTTTCCTAGTATTTACCCGACTCCTATCCACATCGGAGTCTGGTAAAGCTCTTGGCGTACAGGAAGTAAGCAGTAAGCAGAATGATGTTCGTGTATACCCATCATTACCTCTGCTTAACTTCACAAACCTACTCCTACTCGCTATCCAGCGTGGTACTCCGGATCTATTCAGACAGCTTCTCAAGCAATATCAGTCACATATTCAAGAGGCTGGTGAGTGGGATCATGCTCTGGCCCACATCGGAGAGTTATATTTCGGTATAAAGATACCGAAACAGTCAAACCCATTGATGGATATGATGGGCATGTTTTTTGGAGGGCCATCCGGCCAGTCGAAATCCACCCAGCAACCCAAGGCCTCTAAGAGGGTGGAGGCTCCCCCGTCACTTGACCTAGATTAGGCTTTTAGGTACAAATGACAGACATTATTAGCCTGCTGTGTATATGGATTGGGTAGACCAGGTGGGATTTTGTTTTAGACCAGGAACCTTTGCGTAGAGAAGCCAGACAAGCTTTCATCGATTATCGTTTGACTTCTTCCTCAGCTCCGAACATCCAATCGTCCTCCTCGAGTCCTAATACTCTGTCTCTGAGGTTTTGCTGAACCAGCAAGAAAACTTCTGAAGTAGTCGTTAGCAATTGTTAGTAATGTTTCTAGGTTAACATAAGGCAATTGCGTGACAGTCCATACCAGAGGGTTCGCCATTGATATGTCTGCTCCTATTATGACGCATCATTTCAACGAAGCTCGCATCAATTTCTGACTTCTCTGTTAGCTATAGGCTGTTATATATAGAACCAGTTTCGAGTGAAATGAACAAAGAGAAAAGCGTACTTTCTTTGTCCCTTCCAGCCAGTTCTCCTCCCTCTTCAACTGGCATCTCAGCGCCTCCAGAGTGCTCTATGCCTTCCATGGAGTCACCACCATCGGCTTCTTCGAACTCTGCAGGCGGTAGGACAGGGATATCTAGTTTATAGCATCCATTCTTGTCACGAGGGACAATATCACCGTTGTCCAAATTAGACGATACAGATGTGCCGACTTTAGGTACTGATTTTGATATACTCCGCCCTCCGAAAGGGTTTGTGCTTCCACTCAAGCCTGTATTAGTGTCCATTGGTATGACAGCGCCGTAATCTGAGGGCGTAACAGAAGTGGAATTGGATGCCAGCTGCTGACTGCGTGGGTTGGTCCCAGAATTAAATAGCGTCCTACGCACCGACGGAAGCGCAGACGAAGGCTGTGAGGATCCAGTCCTCGTAGAGTTTGGAGCCTGAACTGTCGTGGACGCAGTTGATGCGGTAGTCTGTGTAGTGGTAGCGCTACCTCCGGAGGGGATGCGTCTGTGTCGCTGGCGTGATGTCATGGTGGGCGCATGTTTCTCATAGACAATCTAGGGATGCGGTATCAAACGTCGTGTAAGTTGAACTAGGGAGAGGTAGGAGACAGTAAATTTTAAAGACCTAAGAATAAAATAGAAGAACTAGGTCGCTAGGTCGTGTGGTGCTAGCAAGTACGTCCAGATACAGATTTGATATGCGATTGCGGCGTTGATATAGATTTCATGGCTGCTTTTAGCCCCATGCCATGAGCGAAGCCAATTCTGGAAATAAACTGACGCCGCTTTATTTTACCTAGTCAAATAGACGTTGAACTTTGCAACCTCGCTCACTTTGTTAAAACATGGGACCAAATGCAACTAGTATTGATAATACGGATTTATTGCAGAATTGCAACCTGTTTCCTAGGGCCAGGCCGCTTATCTACGTGGAAAGGATCTCCTAAATAACTAGAGGGGTTAAGTAGCTAACTGACGAGCTAGTATGGAGTAAATCGCCAAACATTTCAAGTTCTTAGATCACTGCGAGCCTGGTCTTCACCCATCACATCACAATCTACCGGGTCATATCTTTGAGGTTGAAAACGTCCAAGCAATACTCTAAACTTTTCCGCTGGATCTCGGAATATAGCTCCATGCTATCAAGCGTCTTGTCACCTAGACACTCTTCAAATCCCATTTTGTCTTGAACTGGCTTCATACTCGGATTTTCACGACCAGCTTCACCAAGATTCGATCGGAATATACCAGCAGCAGAAAATGGGAGAAAATCTTCATAGGTCACCGGCTCGAAATCCATATACCCTTGACCCAGCAGTTCATCTATCGATGTTGGGAAAACGGTCTTATTGTCGGATATTAGTGCGAGTGCTTTAGTGGTTGGCTTATAGCAGCAGAATATAAGCTCCTGGGATCGAAGGGTATCTTTATCGTCTGGAAATGCAGAGAATACCTCTGCTAAAATTTGATTGTAACTCGGGGCTCCAAGCGCCAAATCTCTTGTTTTGGTATTGACTTCCATAAGAAGAGCATCGTACAGCTCTCGACCTTTATATGTCAATGCAGCGCCCCGTTGCTCGATCTCCCCAAACCTCGCTGTATGAATACCCTGTACCGTACCATTCTTCGAGGAGCAGAAACGTACTTTCTCATGAATTGCCTTGAAACTTGTTTGTCTGAGAAGTATCCCATTTTTTCGAGGTGGAGGCCCTTCTACTCTTTCTTTGACTTGCAGCCCATATAATTTCATGGCCACTTGTGCCTGATCAATATCCAGCGTCCTCGGTGTAAGATGGTTTATATGAGCACTTTGGAAAGATGCAATGTCCGCCAGAAGAGGGTGTTCATCCTTGAGCTGCAAGTATTCGTCATGACTTGTTGCAGCAGTTTCATGCCAACAAAATACCTCCAGGGTTTCTTTGATAAACTCGTCCACAAGTTCCGGCACAACACCCCCTTTTCTTTCCGCGTCATCAAGCATATCCAGGAGCCGATTGGGGAATATCTTTCGTTTCCTCAGTATATCTTGGGACAATTCTCGAGCTTCGTTCCTCAGTAGATCGGGCCTCAGAAGCGTTGTGAAGACTCGAAAGGGGTTCTTTTCGAGGGCCTCGGCATCAATAGGCCTGAAGGCCGTTGCATGTAAAGGTAAGCCAGCAACGCTAAGGTCGTAGTATCCTACGGGGTACATGCCAAACTGAGAGAATAATCGCCTGATCGTTGAAAGCTCAAAAGGTGTCCCAAGACGAATTGCTCCATGCCTTTCGAGAGTGAGTCTGTCGATATTATTGATATCAGGAGAACTTATTCCCAGTCTTGCATTCAATGGATTTTGAGATATTGAATTGGCATTGACTTCTGTCACAATATCGATTAAGTCGGCATAGGAGGGCACTTCATTTTTATACATATCTGACATTGCTTTAGAAAATCTAGTGCGCAATGCGTCTCGGTCACAAAATGTTGCGGCCATGTCCACGGCGTTCATATTTTTGATTCACTTTCTTTGTCGGTTGTTTCGAGGTCAATTCCATGGGATATCAGGTATATATAAAACGGCTGCAGCACAAACAGCAGGTGACCAAAACTAGTGTAGTATCTAGTACGAAGCTGTGACGTTGAACTCATCTCCACCCGCATTAAACGGGTAAAACAAGCCGGTTAACGGACTAACTCCAGTTACTTGTACCCCTGCTGAGAGCCAATCGCCGGGGAAATGGTAGCATCTAGCTAAATTGCCCATGTTCGTGTTCGGGGCCCCGTTCTCTCCACGCAGCTCATAGCCGGAATAGTTTGCACTGCTTCCTATTATTTTGTAAAAACGAAAACGCAGAAGACTATAGTAATACGGAGTTCCGCCGTTATTTACAAATGCCTAGCAAAGGCCGTATGGAAACGGTCTACACAAAATATGCGTTGATTTATGGTTAACTAGGTAGTCATGATAATGCCGAGGGCGCTAGTGTCGGAAGTGTCGGTAAGTTCGCCGAATGCCGAGAGCGATTTTGCCGGTAAATGTCAACCACTCTTCTTTCTCATGCTAGGAAGTAGATTATTCAGTGTTTTATAGCCCATGGGGGTAAATTAAATAAAGGAATCAGTGTTAATAGGCACGACTACTAGAAATGATATGACTTTCATCATTCGAATTTATAGGACGAGGGAACATGAAATGCGATATGCCGGCGATTTCTCTCACAGGGCGTGAGAGAAAGCCTAAATTCCACAAAGCCCAGGCACCAACCTTGCCTTTTCACCAACAAGGCCATCGAAATAAGACAATAAGGTTGAGACAGGGACCATATCCAATAGGCCGAGATCTGGGTGTGAGCTGCGCATGACCTGGCCGCTGAACAAGACTCGCACGAAGTATTCCGTTTCACGACCCCATTTGTCCTTTTTCTTGGAGTAGAGTTCAAACACAACCTCGGAGCCCATGCCAGGCCAAACCATAACATCCAGCTGGAGAATCGACAGGAGCCTGGAAACACTTCCATCGTGGGCGACGTTATGTCTATAAACCATCTTTCCATCCTTGCCAGCTACCTGATCACGAAGGTGTTGGGCGAGTTCCGCAATCCAAACACCTAAGCTAGATGTGCTAGCAGGGAGAGAGCTTTTGGAATCGCGATACAAGTAAGAATACTCGAACTGACCCAGTCGGAAGACTTTATCGGCCTGAGCTCGAGTAATACACTTCGAGGTGTCTTTGATGTTACATGGCAATGGCTTTGCGTGACATAGACGAGCTGATAAGTTATCGAAGTAGTGGTCGAAACTAGAATGCCACCCCGAGTCGGATGGAGAGACGCCAGAAATAGCATCTAACTCTGCCACAAACTCTTTTGTTCGGGTTAAATGGTCAGCCCATGGTGTGTTTGGCACATTCTTTGCATCGGAAAAGAGATCACTCGATTTCGGACAGGAATATTTAGGTTCAAGAGAGTCCGTTTGTTGGGACTTTAAAGACACGATTAGCTAACGTCAACTGCGAGTGTTAATGGGGGGTGGTAGTGTACCTCAACATTGAGAGGAGCATCTCCTTTGATGTCGTACATCCCATTGATCAGCATTCCGGCAACTTGGCTAGTGATCATGTTGTTGGTTACGCGAAAAGAGACTTTGCTCTCGTCCAACCGAGATGGAAGTAAATGCAGGAGCTTATGATAGACTGCAAACAAGTCACGTCCATGTTGCCACGAATCATCCAGCCCTTCCTTAGAGATCTGGGGAAAACTGCATGATCCTTTAAACCCTGAAGGCTGGAATGGGTTTATTGGGTTTTGATAACCCTTCCAGTAGGATTTGGCGCTGTTTCGGCCATGTTTTGGTTCAGCGTAATAAAACAGGCCCTCGTCATCACAGTCCCAAGGGTAAGATTCCTGTGGAAATGTGTTGGATTGATACGGTGTACGTTTGTGGTGTCGGTGTATCTATAAATTATTTAGCGGCCAGTTATCAAAGTTGACGTTGTTAGAAACATACAACTTCTACATAATGTAACTTATAGCCCTTTGGAGCTTTTGGGTATTCTCTCGGACGGACATGTGGCATATTACACCAATTGTATTTGCCATATTCCTTATCTGGTGTCTGAGAGGAATCGAAGATAAAGCCGTAAACACCATTGTTATTCAAAACCTTGTCAAGGTTGTTGATGTCGGTAGCATTAGGAGCATGCCATGAAACATCCGCGGCCAACGCTTGCTGGGCTCCAAGCAGGGCGAGAAGTGCTAGAGGTGATTTGATACCCGACATTGTATCCGTATCAGTTGCCACTAAATTTGAGAGCAGCCCGGTATAGCCTCCAGCTTGGACATAAACAAAAGTTGCAGTAGCGAAAACGAACAAGATAAAACAAGTGAGGGACATCCACTTCAGAGAGGATATCATTCAGTTGTATAAATATACACGCACGCTTTACAGGGGAAGCTGCTCTTCCCGTATTGAAGCCTCGAGCCAACTTTTTATAACATTTTATGCCGATAGCGCCTCAACGGGGAGAGAGAAGGACGAAAGTAGCTCCCTATTTAGGACTAGTGCCGGGACCATGGGGCGCCACGTGCGCATCTCTTTCGACTGCGATTTACCAAGATTATTGGCCATAGGGAAAATGGGCGGAGTTGCTCGGCGTACGAGAAGTGCAATTCGTGCATTGAAGTTGGCCGGAGATGAAGGTGATTTCCTACTTGAGGTTCCTAGATGGAGAAGGTTTCTTTGGCTCAGCCGAGGCACGCTGGAGGACGCAGTTATTATATATAGCGTGCTTTGGCTACATCACGTGGTGATAAGGGGGTCTGCGATAAGCTTAAACGCGCGAACACCGCGTTTGCTCAAATCTAAATTGAACTTGACATCAAACCAGGTATAAGGCGACGCTGTATATACAAGTCTTCCAGGCTGCATATCTCAATCATGGCACAAGCTGAATCCTCTACTGCAGCTGCCAATAAAATTGCCCGCGCAGATCTTTCTGGTGCCCCGGTCAATTATGAATTACCCTGGTAAGGTGGCTCATGAGAGATGCGCAAAAGGCAATTATGAATGAGAGGGGATAGAGTGGCTGACAGACTGTGGTTTTGTTAGGGTTGAAAAATATCGCCCAATTTTTCTAGATGATGTTGTGGGAAACACTGAAACGATAGAGCGGTTAAAAATTATCGCCCGCGATGGAAACATGCCCCATGTCATTATCTCCGGCATGCCTGGAATAGGGAAGACAACTTCGATTCTCTGCCTAGCAAGACAATTGTTAGGCGATACATATAAGGAGGCCGTATTAGAGCTTAATGCTAGTGATGAAAGAGGTATGGTGATATATGACCGGAATATTTTCTGCAGGATTAACTTTTTGGATAGGTATCGATGTCGTCCGTAACAGAATAAAAGGATTTGCACAGAAGAAAGTCACATTGCCCCCTGGCAGACATAAGCTTGTCATTCTTGATGAAGCAGACAGGTGGGTTGAACCGTTGCTCATCCTAAAAGCTATTATCCGTCTGTTGAAATTCCCTAACATCGTGATAGTATGACATCCGGTGCACAGCAAGCTCTTCGACGTACTATGGAAATATTTTCTACTACAACCCGGTTTGCATTTGCATGCAACCAGTCTAACAAGATTATTGAACCTCTGCAGTCTCGTTGTGCAATTCTCAGATACTCGCGCTTAACGGACGCTCAGGTCGTAAAGCGATTGATGCAAATATGCGAAGCCGAGAAAGTTAAATATTCTGATGATGGTATTGCTGCGCTGGTGTTTAGTGCAGAAGGTGATATGCGTCAAGCAATCAACAACCTACAGAGTACATGGGCTGGATTTGGCTTTGTTAGTGGTGATAACGTGTTCAGGGTTGTAGATAGCCCACATCCAGTCAAAGTGCAGGCAATGATCAAAGCGTGCTGGGAAGGAAAGGTTGATATTGCCCTGGATACTTTAAATGAGTTGTGGTACGTGTTATATACTACCTTCTTTTGCAAACCACCTTGCTTACCACTGCTTAGGGAACTTGGATACTCTGCTCATGATATCATATCCACCATGTTCCGCGTAACAAAAACCATACCGAATCTCTCTGAACATTCGAAGTTAGAGTTCATCAAGGAAATTGGATTTACCCACATGCGAATCCTAGAAGGCCTTCAAACCCTAGTTCAACTCAGTGGGTGTATTGCCAAATTATGCAAAATCAACATGAAACCAGAGCTGTTCAAGCCACAAAGGTCATGAAATCTACACATCAATAGTTCATATCATGCAAGAACTTCAAAATCAATGGTTTCTTCGTTAATTGTAGGCTATGCTGGGAGTTAAAATTCCGTACTGGTTCTCAAATGGAAGGCCAACCAAGGGTCAGATGGTATAGCATTTCATTCATACAACAAACTAAAGGTCTCGGTTATACATAAATTCATTTGAAGGGGTTTCCTATCAACAACCAGGCAGTGTATTGTTCCCTAATCGAATATGGTGCATTCAGGGTATATCGTCATTGATTAGACAAGATGTAAAGCATCGTAACAAACTGCGACGAAGCAGAATGTAGAGTTTACTGGCCTTCCACCAGGTCTGATGCTCTACCTACGGCTGAATATCAACTAAAACACAGTTTGTGTTGTAAATATACCTTGCTGATAATCAAGGATATTCTCCGAAAAAATCCTTTGCCGCGGAAAGCATGACTAGGACGATGTTCGACAGGAAAATTCTATAGCCTGATCGCAGTACCCTTTCCAGAGCTGACAGGCATTTCAAATGCCCAATAGAGCTTCAGCCATAGTTTCCAGGTATCACTCAGGCAAAAGCATGCCGACTATATAGTGATTCAAGTTCACTTCCTGGCTAGATTGAGTGGGTCTCCGGACGTAGGGAAAGAGTGGCCTTCAAACGTTGTGTGATATAAAGATCTTAGGCGTTGAAAATGCGAGATATCAATCCCCTAGAGCCCATGTTATCTCTTCTTCTGAAGAAGGCTGGTGCCTTCAGTCTCTTTGAGACCCGCAAGGACTTTCTCTCTCTCCAGAAGTTTTGCCTTTTCATCTTTCAAAATCTTTTCGACAGTTTTTGTCGCCTCTATTATCCGGTCGATTTCCTTTGCTTCAGACTTTCGACTATAGGGATTCTTAGGACTGTCCGTATGAGGGACTTCGGCGGTTCTTCCACCAACTGCCGCGGGCGGCAATTGGGCTTGTTTCCCCTTCGTCGACTTTCCTTTCGTCTGCTGCTGGGTAACACCGGTCCCACCAGTAAGCAAGTCATAAAATTGTTCCACTGGCTCATTGAATAACACCTCTTCATAGTTTTGGCTGACTACAGTTTCTCTCCTTGCTTTCTTCCCTTCAATATCGGGGCCGTACGGATGGAGTTTCAGTCCATGCCATAGTGTTTGTGGTTTTTCCATTGACTCTGGCACAAAGTATAGCTTAATCTGGATCTCGAATTCACCCCATCCCGTTTCTGTTACTTCGAAAGGTGGTGCCTCTATCGTTCGGACGGACTGTGCATAAGTTTCATGTAGCTTGAATTGCACCTTTTTCAGCCAGTAGGATATGTCTTCGCCGTTAATACCTCTAACGAATACGCGCCACTGGTGGGTGTGGTCATCCGCAGCGCCTTCGGGCCGTTTATTAGGATCAAAGGGATATGCCTCGCTTCCGAATACTAAATTAACGCGACATGTCAAATTAGCAACCTCGGCGTCAATTATACAACGACGGTAGGTTCTTTGCGCAAAGTCGCATACCAAAAGGGCGGAATATTTGGGTTCCCTGGACATGCTACAGTTAGTATCGAGTTAACAAAACATAGATAAGCAAAACACTTACCCGAATGCGCTTTGTACCTGCTGGCGCTGGCATTTTTGCTTCACTATTCTCTGAGCTCTGGTGTTTGGAATGAAGGCAAGTTTGGCTGTTCTTGATGTTCCTGCTTAATGAAGCTCCATAAAAGTTGATTAGATAATCCGATAACTAGTATCCACCCACTGCCAACATCACGTTATGATAAGCTCCAACTTCCGAGATTGTTTTTCTTTTTGAGAGCTTCAAAAGGAGGATTATAAGATGCAATAACAGCTCTCTACTGTGTAATTCTGGAGAGCTTGGCTTGTTTATATTTTCTTTCAAGTGAGGTTCACAGATATACACTATGGCGACAACGACGACTGTGGCTAAGAGGATTGTTGTAGCTGGAGGAAGCGGCTTTCTAGGTAAGTTAACCCGGATCTATACACAATAATTCCTGATACTGGAACGATGCAACAACTGGGGTCTAATGCATTGTATCATACCTATAGGAGCGCGAATATGCCAATCCGCAGTAGCCAGAGGATGGGAAGTTGTGTCATTAAGGTGAGCTTTCACTAAGCAATGCTGCCGATGAAGCAGCTTTCCATACTTTGGTTAGCTGACCGATAGAAATATTATAGTCGTCGCGGAGAACCAGCATGGGATACCGTTAGCTCTTCTGGCCAAGCTCCACGATGGGCACAAAAGGTCGAATGGGAGAAAGCAGACCTCCTAGACCCTAGTTCGTATGGACAACACCTTAAGAATGCGTCTGCCGTTGTACATTCGATGGGCATTCTTCTGGAGGCGGACTATAAAGGCATATTACAGGGGAAGGAATCACCCATTACGGGTATACAGAAGGTGTTTGGGTCGTTTCCTGGTATACCAACTGGTCCTAGCAAGAGCCAAATGACATATCGAACAATGAATACGGAATCAGGTAGGAAAATTCTGGCAATTTTATCAATGCAAATAGCTAATACCCTTATTTAAAAAGCTATCTCTCTTGCCAAAAAGACGACCGAGGAGAATATCCCCACATTCGTCTATATATCAGCGTCCTCTGGAGCTCCTATCATACCACAAGGGTATATATCATCCAAGAGGGAAGCTGAATCCTCTATTCTGTCCATGTTTCCAAATCTGCGGAGTATATTCGTGAGGCCAACATTCATGTACGACTCGTCTCGCAGCCTATCCTTACCCATAGCGATGGGAGGTATGATAGCTTCGGAAATTAATTCGTTAACTGGAGGAAAGCTCTCGGCTTTGGGGTCGATGGCGGAAAAACCTCTCAAAGTTAGCGTCGTTGGGGAAGCAGTGGTCGAGTCAATCGATGACAGTGATGTGGATGGTGTCGTTAGCCCGAAGAAGATTGAAGACCTAGCAACCAAGGGCTGGAGGAAAACGATGCTCTGAAATAACAGCCGATCTGTGAGTTACCAGAGACTGTCTGCCCTTATACCCACTGTATATTACTATCGACTGGTAAAAAACGTCGGTATTGTATAATATGAATTGCATCTCTTATTCGGCTTGGTTATATCATCGTTCCTCTTTCAAAACTGTCACGAATCTCGGCAGTGTACTATCAAGATAGTTCGTTAGTAGATAATTCCAGGCATGGGCCCAAGAAACCTGGATTCGTACCTTGTTGTAAAATCTTGCCAGTTTTTGGTTGAACCGCTTGTTCTTGTCGTTGATGTAGGTAACATCGGCTTCATCGTCGCCCTGGCCACGCTCCCTGCGCTTCTTAAGGCGGGTTTCCTCGGCCTTCTGCATATCGGCAACTAGTCTATCGATAGCTGCCCTGTCTGGTCTGTTCTCCACGAAGTCTGTTGAATCCGCAGTGGAGTAAAATGCACCGTTCTTGTCGATAGCGACGATGTCTCCGTTTTCGTCTTCAGCTAGCTCAAGTCCGCCATTTGCGGCTGCGCGTTGAACTGCGGCTGCTTTCTCGTTTTCATACGCATCCAAGTCCGGCTGCATTCGTCGAAGTTGTCTCTTATAGTTCTTGTGGGCATCCTGACGGTAATCTTGAAATGCAACATTGTCCCGATGTTTTTGCTTCTTATCCATTCTCCTATCCCACTTTTCGGACTCTTCAGCAGTCCAGTCCCAGGCTCGTTTCCGCTCGAAATCTTCACCAGCAGCTTCTATGTCTGCTTTTAACAAGCTGTGTGATGCAAAGGCATGTTTGCGTGATATGGAAGATAAGGCGTTGGGATCCACGGAGAGACGATGTGCTTCTGCCGCAGTCTCTTTCAAATTACTTTTCGCTGCAGTTTTCTGTTGACTTGGTTAGTACTTAATCGAGATGATACGCTTCGAGGAGAGTTGCTTACTGCTCTCGCCTGGAGCGCCTTGAATCTCTGAAGTCTGTCTTTGTTCTTCGATGCCGCGTCCTCCGCATCTCTCTTCTTTTCCATCAGGTTTTCTGATTCACCAGTCTCTAAATCATTTTTTTTCGGTGAAGGCTCATGTTCAAGATCTTTCTGCAGTTTCTCGGTTTTATCTTCCTGAGTGCCGTCGGCAGGTTTGGCTATATCAGCTGCTTCGATTTCGGTAGGCATGATCGCGTGCGGCGCACTGTTACGATGCTGTTAGTGCCGATAGAGTAAGTTCCGTAGATAGGCTGAAAGCGCAGTTTGATAGATGTAGGTTGGTACTTTGCTTAAAGCGAGGAACGATGTTGAATACGACATCGACGATTACATAATCACATAACAACTACTCCGTACTACTCTTTTCTTTAGTTTCTTGAAAAGGAAGCAAAAGAAATCAAATTGATATCAACACGCAAGCAAGCAACGCATGGAGTGAGCTAACTCTTGTCTCAATGCGCTCTTTGACGCTTGATGGCTGCCGGCTTGTGACAGAGCGCTGCCGCCCGCTATCTTCTTCACAATTTGTCGCATTACGGAGATATTCGCAGAGCTCGCTGGCAAAGCCATTATCCCAACCGTCTAAGGCACAGCTCCTTCGCTTTGCCCTCACCGGCACAACATGCAGCGGACCTGGAGACAAGCGCGATAAGAAACTCGATGATCGTCTGACATCTCAATTCCAAAAAAACCGGCTGTCAAAAGTATCAAACACCACCCATCACCAATCACCGCCCCTACCCAAGCTTCAAAAAGGCCATGGGCTGTCAAGATTGCACGCGGATATTGAGACGTTTGTCAATTCAGAGAAGTCTGGGGCCAAGCTGTTAAACTCGATACGATCGCTTGAAGATGCACTCGATCGGTGCCGTACTAAGGCGGAGGGGGAGGATTTACTCATGACAATAAACGGCCTTCTGGCAAGGTTAAACCGATTGGGGGTCAAAGATACACACCAGCTACTCCTTCTTGGCATGAGCTATGCGGCGAAGGACTTTGCACCTAGATCGTTGGCTTTCTACATACGAAATTACTCCATGGGAAGTTATGGCCCTCTACCACGGCCTATCGGCATTGACCTCATAAACTCGCTGCTGGATGGACTCAAACGCCGTTCTTGGGAAGATCCAAATTTCGATAGATCTGCGATGTTGAGAGTGGTTACCGGATCAACAGATGAGGAGACTGGCTCAGTCACCTTACATTCACTATTAGATATCTCTGGTATTCGGGAGAACGAGCTGCTACCGGTGTATCTGCGGCTCCTAGGCGAACTAAATGGGGAGAGAATGGTTTCTAATCTTTGGCGTCAAGTTCAAACTGAACTAGAGTTTGCGCAAACTCCGAGATTGGCTGAGAGCGCCGCTGCTTCCATGGAGGCTTTTTTGACTCTGGGGATTCCGGAACGTGCTCTCGAAGCTGCTAGCCTGGCTTCAAAGTACATGGATTTGAACAATCATATTTCCGTACCAACTTGGAAACTTCTTTTAGAGCATGATTCGCATGGGCTTCTTCGGTCCATAATTGCCCCCGCAACTACTGCAGCTATGCTGCAAAGTGACCTTCATTCCCTCGAATTAGTACTGGGTGCTACCTGGTTTAACGATGGAACTGGTCACCACTACCACCCGCTTGGTACTGAAGAGATCTCTAGTGACTGCAAGTCTGGATATAACTCACCAGATCATGCGTCGAGCGTTAACTTCGTGCGGCAGATACAGGGGGCAATACAAATAGAAGGCTGTTCCAGGTCCCTGAATAGCCTATCCGCCATTGCGGACCTTTTGAATGAATACGAAGGAGTTGATCTTCCATTGAAGATAAATCTGCTCGAGAATTCGGACACCTTGGACTACGCTTGGTTTCCTTCTTGCTCACCCATTGAATTTATTGGTAATCGTCCTCCGTTAGGGCGTGATACAGACCAGCCACTCTCCCCAACATCCCTTGGGCTTCTCAGCGCACATGTTGATGGGAATGGTGTACCAATACAGAGCGTTGGGAATTTGTCCCTAATGCAGCTAGGGTATATCGGTGTTCGAGCATCTGTGGCCAACACTGACGGTGAAATATCACAGGATTTCATAGAGAGGTGGAGGTGTACCGGGCACATAATTGCCTGGGATAGACAGAGCGGAAAAGTGGTGGCTTTGTGGATTGGAAAGGGCAACGGTGTCATCCATCCGGGATTGGTGAAACCCATTCCACCTCCCGAACTACCATTTATATTTGGAATGATTACACTTGATGAGACTGGGGAACCCATGCTGTCCCAATGTGATCGCCTAGGGCCACTTAACAACGAACAGCCCTATTGGGTCAATATTGATTCCGGTAGTGGATTGATATCGTGAACGAAATCCACTACAGTATTTTGTTCTGACTCGACGGAGCCATGTATCGTCGCTCACCCCTGGGAGTTACGGAGTTAGCTCAGCTCACGTTTTATCTAATTTCCCGCCAAGTGCTTTGTTTCCTATAATGCGGAGGCGGGCTAGGAATGGAATTGAACTATATAACGACATGTAAAAGCTGGAGGTATTACACAGTTTTGTATTTTTATCTTGGTTGATATAATTATGTACAATAGATTCATTAAATCGCCATGGCACATAAGCCTTCATAGTAAATGAAGGCAATGTCTTCGATTCCACGGTGACCAGTGACATGATTTGTCTGTATGTAGAAGCCTATCTAACATACTGAGACTTGTTTCGTAGCAGTCGGTTTATCCTATGACCTGAATACCGACAAGGCGCGGGTGCATAAACGCTCAGGAGTTAAAAGTCTAGGCACTCCCACTGTGAAGTCTTGATCTTGTAGACACCATATTTCTCAGCCCTTGCCCTCTCTCTGCAAGTCATGATCCTGAGAATTGACGGGCCGGCGGCGTGGGTTAACAAGCTTATGGATATTTGGCATAACGCCCGAGAAAAGCGATGTTCCCCAGACCTTATTTGCATCCGCAATTATCTGGTCCAGGGTCCACGGATTTATCTTCCTAAGCATGAGGTTGCTCTTCCTCTTTGAAGGAGGCCCGTCACCGAATAGTATGGCAAGCCGTGTACGACACACTCGCCGGACAGTATTGGTGTTAACATGGACACCTTTCTCCTTCAGCCGCCTCAGTAAAATGAGACCGCAGACCCATAGGGCGACAGGATCAGGCGTTGATACGAATGGGTTCAGAGTTGAAGGGCCTGAGAAATTGAACTTTGGCTTGCGTAAGAAGCCGCAATTGATAATTGCTTGCTGAAATTCCACACTAAAGATGATGCGTAAAGGAGACTGTGAATGGGTGGGAGGCAAGTGGATGTTTGGTATTTGTGAGCTTTGGGTGTGGTTCTGAGGCGAATAGATTTCAGCAAGCCAAAGACATAGTCTTTCAAGTTCAGACCACCGATTACTAATAATAAGTTGCTTGAGACCAGCTTCCCATGATTCAGGGGGGATGTATCCGCCATATTTGATAACATATTGAAAAATTCCAAAGAGACGTAAAACAGCATCCCTTGCATGCCTATCCAGTATGGGCCGCGTTCCCATACGGCGGGACGGAAGGATGTTCCATATCATCCACTTTATGGTTTTTCTAGATGGCGAGATGTGGTCAGATTTCATTTTCTCAAGTATCTCAGAGGTGAGCCTCCTATCATCGAGTTTTAGTGCATTCCGAAGTTGTATATTGTAGCAGTAAGGATCTTCGGGAGATAAGAAAGAGAGTATCGTGAGAGTCAGGTTCGCTTGGCGCCAATCGTGTGACATGGAAAACTGCTGGAAGAGAGATTCCTGTGTCTCTAAACTCTCCAGGGCATCTGGGTGTTGATCGCTATGAATTAGATCATGGAGAGATTGTTGGTCTCTTCGGGCTATGAAATAATCAATAGCTTTTGCAAACACTGAATTTCCAGTAGATATCCCAATCTCTTTTAGCTGAGAAATTTGTTGCTGTAGCTCAGCAATATCGGCGGCCTTTAACGCCATTTGCTGTAGAGTTAAAGGGCCAATGACCCCAACACCGAACATTTTGAGGCCTCCCAGGATCAGGTCGAATGTAAAGGTTTTTGTTGCAAAGAGTCGAGCTCCGAGATCATCTTTGACCATTGGGGATTGTGTGCCAGTTGAGTTGGAGGTGGTTGAGCTAGTCTGTGAGGGATGAGAATGGAAGCTGTCAAGTGTAGCACCGACAGGCAGAGTGCCAGATTTGATAAGCCCAGTGAGAAAATAGGACTGCTGTTGCGAAGTGCTGTATTTTTGCACGTGGTGGATTAGAGGCAGAACATCTTCCATAGACGATGGAAAATCCCCTCGTCTCATTAAGAAAAAATGCATAACGAGAGCTGACCCGATGTTATCATGTTTCCAAAGAACTGGTACCACAGAAGAGTATAGTCGATGGCCATCAGACAATTGGCATAAACCACGAAAGATATCCAGGCCCTCTCTAGTGGACAATGCACTTTTGAAGACACACAGTATACCGTCAGGGTTATCCAAGTGTGTATGTTTTAGCGCTTGATGCCACAGTAACGCCTTGGACCGATTCCTTGCTTTCACAAAGGTGCCTATAACACGTTCGTAAAAGTATTTCCATCTCAACCCTTTCTCCTTCCAGATGGATTCCGCATGAGACTGGAGCTCCTTTAACATCCACTCTTCCTTTAGCCCTACGGAGACGAAAATCTCCCATAAGAAATCAGCATCTTCGCCCTCGGTGGGGAGGCTGATCCCAGAGCATCTCCCAGTTAGTCCTTTCCATATGTCAATGACCCCACTGTCCCCGTAATGTCGTTGGCGGTACAAGACAAGCTCCCTCCAAAGAGTAAAGTCCTGTGAATAGCAGTGATTGTCCACCAATTTACTCCCTATGTTCTGACTATGTCCGAGGTCGGATTCCAGATCCAATTGCCATGGCTGCAACTTCCAGGTCTGCGAACGTTCAGGAAAATCTAAAAGATCTGGCTCTCTGGTAGGTATAATAATCTGATCCGTGCTTCTGAGGCGTTCTTGCGTCACTCGAGGCCGTGAAAAGTAGTTTGAGAGGGGATTCCGTGCGTCTTCGCTCAGCCGAGGGCTTGCTATATCGGGAGTTTCTCGGACAGGTGTGTCATCCCGGTCTTCCGCTTCCTGCTTGATAGATTGGCCGCGGGAGTAGGCTGTCTGTGTACCGGCGGACGAAAAGGATGCAGGTTGGCAGATGATTCTGCGGCCACGAGAAGAGCTAACAATGCCAGTGGATATCGGCGGCGCGACAGGCCTTTGGATGTGTCCTGGCAACAACCTGAGCTGTCTCGAGAGCATAAATAGCATTAGGCGGACGTCGGAAAAGCCCAAGAGGCACGACGGCGGGCATTTATAACCATAGATTTCATCACATACCCCGTCGTCTAGGCCCGTCTCTTGCAATGCCGTCCTATCACCTTGTTCAAACGAAATTTATTATCATCATTGCCGGGTCTAAGTTAAGGCTTTATATCTGTCACGTGATACGGCTAAAAGGCAAAACATCTCACCACTTTTGGTTCCTCCAACATCACCTCTTGTCTTCAGATTCTCGTCCACAGAACAATTGACCTCGCTTTGCGTTTTGCGTCTCAATTACTTCGATTTGCGCAACCATGGTTTCCCGCACGCTCCCTCGCATGGCCGGGTATGTGTAATTCGACGTTCTCTGCGAAAAATCTGCGTTCCTGGGAGGAATAAGGCACTCCGTTCTGTCCCGTCATTCCAGCTCGCTAACGTGAATGGTTTTCTCTACGTTCAGTTTCGTCTTCCGGGAGAACCGCGTCCCCTACTACCAGCGCCTTTTCCAGAACGGTGATGGTGTTCGCCAATGGAAGAAGGTCCGTCGAGTCATTTTCGCCATCCCTTGTAACCCGGACGGGACTGGGTCAACCGGCAACTGTGGCTAACAAACAATTCTTCACGGAATAGACTGCCCGAAGCCCATACTTGCTATATCCATTCTACGTATCGCTTTATGGTAGCACCATTGGTACGCTTCACCCTGTAAACTTGCTTGGCGTGATATCGATGCAGGAACATCTAAGCTAATATAAAACTATAGCCACCATGTACGCCATGGGCAGAATCGTTCTTGTGAGTAGCATCGAATACCAATTCCTTTTTCTATCTGAGAAAATGAGAGTTTCTTTCTCATTGCAACGCAACACGGGTTTCCTATCACATTTTGTCGTTCAAATACTAATATCAGGACAGGGACACAAGACATGGTTCTAAGTCAGAGGTCAATCCCGATTGGACAAGATAAATTGAGCTCATAGAGGTGGTGTTTAACTCGAGGTGAATTGGAATGGTGTATATAGTCCTGATAGAGCTTCAAACTACAACTCTTGTTGAACTAGCTCTGACTATTAAAGCCAATTGCACACCGTTGTATATTTAACATTGCAAGATATTGTTATATTATCCAGAGTACGAACAGCAACCCTGCCACTATTCCCTAACCCATCAATGATGTGAACACCCGTAGTTATTTGCAATTCCGAATAAATAGTGTACATGAATTTTCGGCCAAAGCAACATATGAAGCTGGTTTTCCTCTCCCAGTATTATAAAGGCGTTATGCACTCCTGAACAGGTCATGAACTGTGAGCGTTAATGTGACAGTAAAGTGTTTTAAGCATCAAGGACTTAGCACTGAAAGCATATACTTGGGTGAAGAGGCTATTGGCGCAACGGCAGCGATGTTATATAGAATTCAACCCTTCCTTGTCTGCCTCTTCATCTCCCGCTTTTGTTCCCTCTCTTTTTCTTTCGCGAGGAACTTCTTTTGTTCCTCAGCTGACATGCTACGTAGGAGTCGATCACGTTCTTCCTTTTTAATCTTTTCGGCTGCTGCTTTCCTTTCTTCGGCCTTCTCGTCCTGGTCGACACGCTTCATCTTCTTGATTTCTTCCTCACGGGTACTACGTAGTTTGCGGGTTACTTCAGGCCTGAAGTGGGCGAGAGTCACCAGGCGATCAACAAGACGAATGAAGGCTTTCAGCATTTTGGAAGAAGAGGTATAGTCCGATGCATCCGAAGATCCTGGAACACGAAGGGAGAGAATAATTCGCTTTCGAGGAACCGCCTCTTCAACACTATATTGCAAACAAACGTAAGTATTTAGGCACGGGAGGATGAAGAGAAAGCAGGTATACATACGTGGTAGGTTTCTCCATTGGCTGATCGGTCACAATCAAGTAGTCAAATAGGTCACCGACTTCTTCAATGGCCTTGACAAGCTCAGGAACGAGCATGGAATCGGTAATCTCAGCACTCTCACTCATAACAGTCAACCAATTAGGAAGCTTAGCGTTCTCCTTAGTGAATGTCAACGAAACATCATATCGATCCTCTCTTAGGTGACGCATGGCATTCTTGTGTACCACAGCAAAGACAAAGCCGTCATAAGTCGAAGGAGCTGGCTTTGAACGCTTGTCCGTATCGATATCCATTGGTGTAGCCGGGACAAGATCTTTCTCCCGGCCATCAAAGGGATAGGCAACAATCTCTACCTTCTCAGCAGATGGTGTCATGGACTCGAAGAACAAACCAAGAAGCGTTTCACCCAACAGCAGTAGAGGGTTATAGCGCTTCAGCATCTTGATTGTGACATCGACGAACGCAATATTCTGGCGACCAGTAGCGTAGGTAGTGAACTCATTCAGCGCCTTCTCCTTGAATATCTTATCGTCAATTTTGATGCCCTCATTGGAGTTGCCGTTCCGTGGTATTCCAGAATATCCAACAACCGCAAACTCGTCGCAAAGCACTGGTACATTTGCCTGGGCCCATGTCTTTGCCTTGCGCCTGTTTTTACCGGCTCCCCACATGTGCAGCACGGCAACTAGAATAACAAACGGGATGATGAATGCCTCTTGAAGAAAGTCTTGTGGTGACGTGCGTTCCCATACTCGGTACCATTTTGTATAGGGAACAGTGCTGGCGGCAGTACCCTGAGGTCCAGATCCCGTCGCAGATGGAGGCGCAAAGTCCGCAAAGCCTAGCAGATTAATCGATCGTTAGTCCATAGTTTTAAGCGGCATCTCAACAAATAATTCAAATTGAGCATCATGTGTCAATGCAATGTAAGGACGGTAGCCTTTGCTGTCACCAACCTCCTTCAGCCTTTTGCGGAGCCTCGGTGGCTTTGCCGCCAAAAAGACCCTTGAAGACCCCGTCCATCGTCGATAACTAGATATCAGGATTGGCCCGGTTGGCCTAGTAAGTCACTGTTTGAGAGCTGCCGTGGTGTTGTTGGCGGTTCGTGGATTGTTTTGGTGGCAGTGACAGCAACTAGCCTTCCAGCGCAGGCCAAGACGCTGAACTTCGACGGACGAAAAATCCAACGCTTCAACCACCCTAGCTCGGATAGCTGCTTGTATTGATACATGACCCCTTTTACTTAACATTAACAGCACTATGAGGCGACCGGTATGCCATATAAGCTCATATGTAAACTTGATTTAGAGACTCGGGGATCGAAATAATACTACGACCACGCGATATTAAGCCTCATCGAGATACAAGGCCACGATGTATTCAGAGAACGGGGAAAGAGGAACAATCGTGATTAAACAACCCTGTATAATCAGAAGAAAGATTTATAATTCCGATTCACCTTGTTTTATACATATTTCCAACCATAAAAACACAAGTTCAACCAGGCAGCCATAAGGCTCTTCCGCACAACCCTTACCCTGCCTGCCGTTGAATATCCCCAGACCGCATTTTAAACCAAACCAACTCCAAGGGGTAAAGAAAGCTATATACAATGCCTGCAGAATAGTAGTGGTATCGAGAAAGTAAAAACTGTCATCAAACAGGGTGGGCAATAATAGTAAAACACAAAGGCACAAAAGCAGGTAAAACACAAGTCACAAATACAAGAACAAAGGAGAGTGACAAAGGGAATAAAGGTACAACTCCAACCAAGAGACGCCTTGCGAGAAAAATTAACACAAAGACAAAACAGGATTGGGAGTGGCGATTATAGATGTGGTATAGCAGGCGGCTTGCAAAATGCAGTAGTAGCGAGATCACTGTCCATATGCGGGAGGTGGCGATGGATCTCGGGTTTGGTGCCCACAGTAGCTGCTGGCAGCGCCCAGGCTACCAGGGCCTTTGCCTTCTTGGATTCTGCGGCTAATTTCATTTGCTAACTTCATCATCCAAGCCTGTTCCAAGATACCTCGGTCCTGACTCGCGGCCACAAATGACAGCATGCTAGGTGGGATCCCATTCAGAGAAGTTCCGTTGTCACCAGCTTGCTGATGGGCCTCTAGAGTTGGAGTATTTTGACGAGGAATATGTGGAGGTTCCCCATTGCTAAGGGCCTTCTTTTCATCTTCGGCTGAAGGGGGAGTCTGGACAGCGTTTGTGATGACCGATGGGCCAAGACTTTGCATGGCCGGTACCCGAGCACGATCCTTTACTTTTATAGTAGCATCAGGGGAGATCGGCGGGGTAACAGGGTCATCGGGTTTCTCTCCAGCTCTCGCAGAAGATGAAAAAACAGTTGATGTGTCGGTAGAGACGGTATATTCGCTCTCAGTGCATGTACTGGAATTGTCATCGGGCTTTTTGGACTTTCGTAAGTCCACAACACGCCGCTTATGTTTTCTTGAAGGGCGTGCTCTTGGATGGCGGCCAGCGCCCGTCGTAAGACTGTATCCACTCAGTGGGGAGCCCAGAGATGCTTTGCTCATTGACGATTCCTGTAGGGAATGGAGAGACGCAGCATGAGAGTGAATCCTAGAGAGTGGAGGACTAGCGGGCGATATCAGACCTCCGTGGTACTCCGATTGTTCTATAGCTCCGGTAAGGGCTCTGAAAACGACATCGTGTATTGTTGGCGTGAATAGTGAAAGCGTTCGCTGGGAGTCTGTCAGAGTGGCGAGTCGCACTAGGTTTCTTTGAGAGAATAGAGAGTGCATTTCAACTCCAGAGTCCAGAGAAAGGGATGCTATCTGGGCAACGCTCAAGACATTTCCTGATGCATCAACGGGATCCTGGGGAGGACTGAGTAAAGGGTCCTGGCCTGGGCCGGCCTCTTCATCAGCCTGCGGTTCAACATCCTGCCCACGAAGCTCTGGCACCCATAGTCGAAGGGATAGTCGGTGGATAATAGCAGGGAGTTCATCCATAAATAACAAACGAAGCTGGCCCTCAATGGTCCGTTGTAAATAGTCTCGAACAAATGGGATGGAATCGAACGTTGATGACACCTTTAATGACTCAAGAGGGTCATTTCGAAAGACTAGAGTGATTCCTTTTTGTTTAGAAAAGACTAGAACCACAAAGCCAGAAAGTTTGATATCCGACAAAGTTATTTGTAGTGGAATAGTAAGCCCGTGGCTTTAAGAAATGCTGTCAGTAAACCTTCATGTATAAAGCAGTAGTATCTAGAAAGTAAAACATACTCTGCTGCAAGGGGACATGGGGAGGTGAACGCTGGTCGTGTCACCATGTAAGTATTTAGAGGATTGGCCTGCACGCAGGTTTTTAGAGTGAGGTATGCGTCTCCGGAGTAGGACATCTTAAATATTCCGCGAAAGCGGTCGTCTGCTAGATCCCCTATCTCAAGAATTTCAAGGTCTGGTGGTATAGATCCCAAATTCAGTTCCGTGACCGTGATGTCACCCACAATGATCGGAGGTTTCGGCGACTTGTTCAACGCAGCAGTGAGTAGTTCTTGAGCTCGAGTATAGAATCCAGCATCTGCCATCAGAGGCGATGGATGGCGCGAGTGCCTGCACGAAAACGAGTGAAAGCCGATATATCGATGCGTGAAAGCCGATATATCGATGCGTTCTAGCGAATCTGTGTGTTTATATTTCGCGATAACCGGTAGAATAATTTGATCACAATCCGCGGTTTATGGATGGGTCGCGTGCCATGTGATGGTACCTGCTGCGGCACACTGCGGGTCGTTGGAAGCAACCGGCCTCGAGCGGTGCGAGGGAGGAGAGCACTTAGAGGTAAGGCTCGTTATCCGGTGAGGTCCTCATCGATGATCCGTGGATGAAATCTCCAGGGTTCGGCGGAGTGAGACAGGAATATGGTCGTCGCCTGCTGAAACCTGATATTCGAAGTAAGTAGGAAAAAAATATTCCTTCCGGCGCGGCAGGAATAGGAGAAGAGTCACATGACTAGCTTTCGGCCCTGTCTTCCGCTTTAGTCATCGGCTTATATAAGTCGGACCGTGCGCCTGCCGTGGTAACGGCGGGAGCTAGTCTACTTTGGGAAATATATAAATAAAGATTAATCTCACGCTGAGCGACGGTCTTTTTTCCCTTGCAACGGCTGCACACGACTCAATACTTGAATAAGCCGACGCAGAGAAAACACGCAAACCGCAAGCCATCAGATATGGTTATATACGTCGAAGACTCTGATGCAGAGATACAGCATGGTGCAAGTCAACAAGCCTCTCGCCCCCGGAGAACAAGGAACCCATCCTCGAAGGCTACAAATGGTGTTCACAGGAGGAAAGGCACATACGGAGCGCGAGTTTTTTTGGATGATGCACTAGAAGAGGAATTATCAATGGCGTCTTCTGTCCCGGATGATGCAGAATCGCTTATCACTACAGTTCAAGACCAGTTATCGCAAATCACAATCAAAGAGAGTGGTCCACAGGATGTCAATGAGAAAGAATGCTACCAGCACATAACAAGGAAGGATACGCACATCACCAATAACTCTGTATTGGAAAATAACACTATAACGGATATTGTTAAGGGAACAGGCCTTATTGAGTCAACGAAACAACCCCAGGATGATATTTCGATACCCCCCAAATCCTCAATAGAGAAAGAGGAGATCAAGCGACCTAAATCCCAAACTACTACAAGAAGAAAAGGGGACATAAAAGCGCAACAAACATACATAAACGATAAACAAAGGACTGCATACGTACAATCTATCCTAAACGAGGCAATGTCCACCAGGTCGTCTCGAGGAATCCAGCACTTTGACAAATGGGCAAATCGGGCAGACGGTTTCTTTGATGTCAGGAAAATTGCGGAAGGTTCATATGGAGAGGTGTACGAGCTATGCGCAAAAGAGGGAGTCTCTAAACCCAGCCTATCAAATAGTCGATCTTCTAAACTACAAGCCTACATGGACGGTGTTTTTAAAATTGTGCCACTATGCGCGCAGCGAGGACCGGGTTCGAAGAAATTCACAACAGTGGATGAAATTGTTGCTGAAGTTCAGTTATTGAAGCTTCTCGACCCAATCCCCGGGTTTGCACGATTTAGAGAGATCCATGTTGTTCAGGGCAGGTTTCCTCCTTCTTACCAAAGTGCTTGGGATATTTATAGCCAGACTAAGGACGATTGTTTCAATCCCGACCCGAGCAAGAAGAAATCATACCCTGACAATCAGCTCTGGGCTATACTGGAAATGGAGAACGCAGGATTTGAACTTGAGAAGTTCAGGTTTTCCTCTGTTTTCCAGGTGTACGATGTGTTCTGGGGTGTGGCATTGGCTCTAGCAAGAGCAGAACAGTACGCTTCTTTTGAGGTACTAACTTCCTTGATACAATAATATCTTTTTTCTCCGGGATACTGGCTAACACTTAAGCAGCACCGCGATCTACACCTTGGCAATGTGTGTGTGAAGCAAAAACAGCCCCCTCTCGACGCATGTCAAAAGGAGAGAACTAGAAAGGATAACTCAACAATTGGACTTTCAGCACGCCTAGGTATAAGCGGGCTGGAGACAACCATCATTGACTATTCTTTATCTCGGGCAGAGCTTTCACCTTGTGAGACACAAGGTACTAGTTATACTAGCGGATCAGTGGCATGGTCGGATCTCGAAAAGAAGGAAATCTTCGATGCCGTTGGGAGGGACGAAGAGGAGAAATTCCTCCGTGACACGTATCGGATGTAAGTATAGGTGCTGAATACACTTCAGGCGGCCGTTGCTAATACTGCCCTTTTAGGATGAGATCAGAGGTCTTTGATGACAGTGATCCCAACACAGAACAGTGGAAAGAATACCGACCAAGAACGAATCTTATTTGGCTATCTTTTATTCTAGCAACGCTGGTAAACAAGTGTCATACTGAGAAACTACTCCCAGCACACCGACAGCCCCTTGGGCAACGCTCAGCGAATAGCAACATCGTACCTAAGAAACCGAGCTCTAAGCACAAAGCTACTCAGAACAACGGAAGCGAAGACTTAAAACTAGGCGATGAAATCCAGCAATCACTCTTTGAAAGACTGGAGACAGTTCTAGACCTGCTCGAATTGGAAGACGAATATGAGAATCTGTCTTGCGCTGGAGACCTGGTAGCCATTGCCATTGGTTCTCAGTGGCTAGAAGAATCTGACTTCTTATGCTAGTGGTCGCTGTACGCCATGACCTCTACGATTTTATAATGCATGTATATATATACACATGGCTCAATTGGCACCGCTCTTATCATGCTTCGTTTTATATATACCCAAGTTTTTGTTAATTTCGATTTACCAACAGCGAATATACCATATGTGACTTAGCGTTCATAGCTGCATAAACCTTGTTTATTAACGTGAAATTGAATTAGACAATATCAATCTAGACAACGGTCCAACGTACAAATCAATCCCTTGAATTGGCCTTTGGCAATTCAATATCCACCAACCACGGTAGTTGATAATTGTTCCGGCCACGCCCTCTTATGGACGCGTTTATGGCTAGGGTCTGCTGACCTGACTGGATTGGAGTTTGATCATCCGAGCAGTAACTGACAGCATAATAACCTTGATCTTGGTGAGACTTCAGCGTATCTAGAAGGCTGTTAGAGTCTCTCGCCCCGGTTAAGCTATTGATCAAAGCCGATTTCTCCTCATCAACCGGGTTAGAATTGAAAGTGGGCAGACTCGCACTTTTCCAGGTGACGAGTTTTGCTCCCCAAGCCTCATGTATGTGTCCAAAGCAGTGTATCTTTGGTCTAGCCTTGGATACAGCTTCAAGGAGGTTCGTACATCCGGCTTCATCTGATACAATAGTTTTGTCAAGTAAACCCTTCGGGGGTCCGTGTGTCATAGCAATGTCGACTCCCTCCATATTGAATTCGTGTCCCTCTTCTCGATCGTACTGAAACCCCCAATACCCAAAAGCTGGCGTGTATGGGCTCGCGTATATGGATAAGGAGGCGCCGTTCGCCAAGTTAAAGCGATGAATTCCTTCGTCCAGGAGGATGATACCGGCATCTTCAAGTAGCCGCCTGGCTTCTCCGAAATCACCGAATTCCTCCATCAGCCGCGTATGCCTATCTACGGGTGCTCGCTCCATTCTCGATTTGTAGCATGGAATATCAAGAGTGAAATCATGATTTCCAGCAATAGCAAGTTTGATAGGGGCATTTACTTGCTTCAATAAATGCACGGCTGACCGGTATTCTTCCAATGTAGAGTTCTCAGTCAAGTCACCACAATGTAAGGCCACATCAGCGTATTGGTTAGGAGGCGTATATGGGATTGCATGGGTATCCGATAGTATCAGGAATCTGGTCTTCATTGTAGCTCTTGAAGATGAAGGAAGCCTATGTTGAGGTGGTAGACAATGGAAAGCTGCTGGCTGAGCTGGGAGGTGTGCTGGTGTAAGTAAAAACGGCTGCCTAGGACGGGCTATTCTGACGTAATAGTAGTTTCTTATACTGTTACTCAAATATAGAAGTCTTGGTGACATATACGGCAGTACATCTGCCACCCTGGGACGCTGGATTTTTGTTGTGTATGGCCTTGAATAGATGTGTTGTCTTGCCAGGCGTCTGTATCTTCTTCGTTGTAGTTGGAGAAAACCAGCAGGTTTGATTACATAACTACGCTCTGAATGTTTACACTTGGGTTGCAGTTGCTATTCTATGGATGTTGAATAGCGAGCGTTATTTGGTAGGAAGCGTCGAGTTCTTGAAGATGTCCTGCTGGTTTTATCTCACTGGGCTGGAGGGGCTCTGGTCTCCCGCAGTTTCTTCACCCCATCTCACTCGCTCAACAGATCTGGCTGCTCAGGCTGGTTAAGACGACCAAGGATAGATATATAGCTGCGGTCATGACAGCTTCGCATGGGAATTCCGTACTCCGTTCGCTGAGGAGTCCAGCAAAGGGAAGCACTAGGTTCCAATGTACAACATGTCTAGAAACATTCCGCCGGGCAGACCATCTTCTGCGACATGGCAGTGTCCGTGAGTGCTCCCGAATATAACAAACAGACCTGTCCACGCATGGTACTCCAGGCTGACACGCGTTTTAGATAGAGGAAAAGGAAAGTCATTTCCGTGTTTCGAGTGCTGCCGCGCTTTTAACGACAGGTACGATAGCTATCAATCAGAAAGAAAATCGCCATGCAGGGGTATCATCACAGCTAACGGAAGTTCAAAAGAGGCGAGCTGACAAGCCATGTTCGCTCAGCACACCCGGTACCTCCATCTTCAAGAAAGAAACGCCCTGCCACGGCTGTTACGTCGTCCCAGGTCTCGAGTTTGAGCAACCAGGAAAATCTTCCAGTTGGAGCTACCATTGAGACGCTATCCCACGGACACCCAGTCACAGTGGCAGCACAGGCGCTTGCCAATATATCGGGGTTGGTTAACCGGCAACGCACTCCGGGTATGGCAGCGAGTGATGGCGAGTATAACTCAACACAAGCCCAACACAAGCAGACCAGTTCTGACGGTACCGACGGTGGTACCCAAGGGGTATGCCTCCGGTCTCTATAAGGCCTTTGCCCAAGCCTTGAAGCATGTGCCACACCCGTCATTTCTATAGGCAACTCTGCATGACAAATTCCAGGGGGCAACCCCTGAATACCAGTGGTACAGCCAAAGGAGTTCTCCTATGGGCCTTTTCTGATAGCAACCGCAAATATCGACCAATATGTTAATCTTTGAAGCTGTTCACCTATGATGGTCGATCCAAGAAGGGGAGGGCGAGAGGCAGGAACAGGAGGTGTAGCTATGGCCGATGTTGTACCAAGCTGATTAAGTTATTTAATATATGACCGTTTTCTTCCTTCTTCCAAGGTTCTTCCGCATCCATGTGACTCGGTCAAGCCCAGGCGCGTCACGCCTCGACTAATCGAACTTAACCACCGCCGGACCGATTAAAAAGTAACGGACAGTTGATAACAGCCGGACTTCGACATTCAGCCGGTGAAGACAAGATGGGCCTGAGAGCCTTTGATAAACTCGGAAGCGCGGCATGATCCGTTGGACTAGACATTTTTCCTCTATTTTTATATCCTTTCTTATATCCGTCTAGCTACTTGACCAACTGATAGAATAACTTGCTACAACCCCGACCTAGACACTACTACAACCATGTCCCGAGACAGGCTCAACAGGTTCTTTACTCCAAGAGACGAACAGCAGCAGGCGTACAGGCGGATAGACGGAGATGAGAGAGATACAGCTGAGGAAGAGGCGGATATCGCTGCGTATGATGCTCCGCCGGCCCAGGAGTTCTCATGGGTCGTTTACTCTATCTTCGCCTGGATGGGGATGGCCATGCTCTGGGGATGGTAAGCTCCCTTTAGAACCGCAGGACGATTCCTCTGGTCCTACTCATAGCGATGGATTGTGTGTATATATGGTTCACCCTGCTAATGCCGTTGATTCTACAGGAACTCATTCCTCGCAGCGGCACCTTACTTTCAAATCCGGTTTGCCAGCAACGAATGGCTCCGAGACAACTCGCAATCCTCAATAACTTCAGTATTCTGCGTTACGGGACTGTCTACCCATATTCTCCTGCTGAGACTCCAAAAAAATGCTTCCTACCCAAAGAGAGTGCTCGTGTCACTTGCCCTCACAGTGGCCGTGTTTGCGCTGCTCACACTCTCCACCGTTCCCAGACAAGGACTTTCCCCCAACGCCCTTTTCTCGTTCGTTCTTTTTATGGTCTTCATATGTGCGTTGTCCGCATCAATGAACCAGAACGGGATGTTCGCATACGTATCTAGCTTTTCTCAGCCGGCCTATACGCAGGCAATCCTGGCGGGACAGGCACTCTCTGGTGTCCTGCCTTCCATAGTACAGCTTATTTCAGTTCTTGCTGTGCCAGACGCTACAGTACACGAAACTGATGAGCTTGGAAATGCAGAAAAATCAGCATTTGGATTTTTCCTGACTGCAACACTGATCTGTGGAAGTGCTTTCCTCGCCTTCCTCTACCTCCATCATTTCCAGTCCAAACGTGCCCGCTATACCCCTGACGAGGACAGTGATATGTCAGACCCAGAAACGCCTTCAACGAAGAAGTCAGTTTCGTTGCTGACACTATTCCGGAAGACCCTGTGGCTATCTCCGGCGCTATTTCTCTGCTTCTGCATCACCATGGCCTTCCCCGTGTTTGCATCCCAGATCCAGAGTGTGAATAAGGGGAACCCTCCGCCACGTTATTCTCAGCCTGGCGTGTTCGTTGCCCTTGCCCTTCTATTTTGGAACTCCGGTGACTTGCTTGGGCGAATGGCGCTTTTACTTCCATCGTTGAAGGACAGGAGGCCTTCGCAGCGCATCCTTTTTGCTCTCGCGCTGGCTCGCATTCTTTTCATTCCACTGTTCTTGATATGTAATGTCCGAGGGAGAGGGGCGACTATCAATAGCGACCTCTTCTATCTCATCCTTGTTCAAGGCCTGTTTGGGTTTACCAACGGTTACATCTGTGTTTCTGTCATGGTTAGCACCCCAGATCTGGTAAATGAAGAGGAGAGAGAGGCAGCTGGTGCTTACATGGGCATGTTGATAGTTGCAGGTTTAGCAGCTGGCAGCGTGCTTAGTTTCTTTATTGGTGCTCTGTGATATTCATCATCAGTGCAAGGCTTTTCGACGTAAATAGTTCATCTCGGAGCGTGGGATTCCATTTTTAACTCCAGGAATGTGGATAGGTTTATTTTTCTGTTCAATAGAAAATGATATGATTGAAATGATACATACATGTATTGCATCCGTGCTTTATTTTCTAGTCCGCCAAACGATAGTGAAGATAACCTGATAATGCTAGTAAGATGGAAGAGAGTCTGGAATAGGGGAGAGGAAAAGAAATAGCCAAAGAAAAGTCTATAGTAGCAACAAGACGATATGTCAGGGTGTTAAAAGTACATCTATGTATGTCTTATACACTGAAGATATAGGCATCAGCAAGGGGAGGGTCTGGGGATATATCGTTGAGTATTAATTTATATGTTTTTAATGGAGACACAACACGATTCTAGAGGGGATGCGCTATAAATATCATAGCGCTAGCAGTCGACGGGGAATAGAGCCCGGGTAACAGAATAAAAGGAATCAAGGCGAAGTGGCTGTCAAGTTTTGCTTTGGGAAAAGAGGCTGGTGATTCAAGAGAAGAAATCTATTTCTTTTCAACTTCATCAATCGAATTGGGCTCATCTTCGGTCTCGACTTCGTAGTACTCTTCATCTTCGCCTTCATGTAGCAACTGCTGCAGATGCTCTGTTTCTGATGGCGGTCCTCTGGAGATTGGCTCGTTGGGGTAAACGGGAGCAGCAACGCCTTCACCGCCGCTGAGCTGCCAGGCCATCAACTTTGTGAAGGCGCCATCTGGCCTTGAATTGAGATCGTTGTAAGATCCCATTTCAGCAACTTTGCCCTCTGAGTCAAGAACGATGATGGTATCAGATCGTTTGATAGTTGACAAGCGATGAGCTATGCTGATAGTGGTGTTGTTCTCGCGGAGCAAAGCTGCAAGAGCACTGTTAACGAGGGTTTCGGATTCTGCATCAAGTGCGGAAGTGGCTTCATCGAGAATGAGAATATCTGGTTCCTTGATAAGAGCACGAGCAATGGCAATTCTCTGCTTTTGGCCACCGGATAGCTGCGCTCCTTTGGGGCCAACATTGGTGTCCAATCCATCAGGCTAAAGGGAGAACACGTTAGCTCTAATTCTTCCACAATTAAAGTGATATATCATGCGGGTTTAACTTACGAAATCACTGATGAACTGGCAGTTTGCCTTGCGGGCAGCAGCAATTATCTGAGACCTCGTGGCATCGGGTTTTCCATAGCTGATATTCTCGGCAATGGAGCCAGAAAACAACACTGGTTCTTGTGCAACGATTCCGATCTTCCTCCGGAGAGACTTTGCGTTCATGGTTGCAACATCTTTGCCGTTGATCAAGACCTGGCCCTGTGTTGGGTTATAGAATCGAAGTAACAAAGACGCAATGGTGGATTTCCCACCGCCCGAAGGTCCAACGATAGCCACATTGCTACCCTGCGGTATCTCGAAATCTAAGTCCTTGAAAATAGTAACCGCAGGTCGAGTAGGGTAGCTAAATGCAACATTCTTGAATGTAATGGGTCCACGAGCTGAGGTCACCTTGTCACCCACAGTAGGGGATATCTTAGGCCTGCGGTCTTGTAACTCGAACAAGCGACTGGCAGCACCTGCTCCCTTCATGAGCTCTGAATAGAAACTCGATAAGCCAAAAAGACTGGATCCAGCGTATGCTGTGTACATTAAAAAGGAAGTGAGTTCTCCGATTGAAATTGCTTGTGATTGAACCATCCCACCGCCGACGTAGAGGAGAGCAAGGATCGTAGCATTTCCCATTAAGCTTGTACCACTGAAGAAGGTCGCACTGATGAACGACTCTTTCTTACCAAGCTCAAAAATCCGCTTGACCTGGCGATTGTATCGATGAACTTCCAAGATCTCACCGGCGAAGGACTGACTTGTTTTAACATTACCAAGCCGTTCTTCTGCAATTTTGGTTAGTGTGCCAACGTTCTTCTGTATCTTCCGGCTGAGGTTACGGATCGCTCGTCCGTAGAAGAAAGCTGCAATAGCAATTGGTGGGAAAAGAAGGGCCAAAACGCTTGAGAGCTTCAAGCTGACATACGCCATCATACCGAATCCGGCTGCACCGCTGACGGCTGCTCGTAGACCATCTGAAAGATTCTGTGTAATACTCTTTCCCACGATGATGGTATCAGAGCTCAGCCGGGAGATCAGGTCACCAACACGATTTGCATCAAAGAATTCGGCATCCTGAACAAAGGTGTTTCTGAAGAGTTTGGCTCGAAGTCTGGCAACAATTCGTTCACCAACAATTCGCAGAATGATGATCCTTCCATAGTTCGCGGCCGCTCCTAGCAGAATGATCCCTCCCAGTGCCGTGTAAAAGACAGGAAGACTAATCCCCAGGAATTCGTTCAAAGCATTGGGGTTGGAGCTGGTTGCAATATCAAGGATTTTACCGATGGAGAAGGGTATCGACATGGCTACCGACGAGGAGATGAGGAGGAACAAAAATGCAACGGACAGGACCTTTGCCTCCGGACGTGCAATTGTGATCAGCCTCCATATCTCCCGAAGACCAGATTTTTTCCCCGAGGCCAGCCCATCTTTTGCAAGTCTCGCACTCAGGTTTATCTGAGCAGCCTGGGATGCTCTTTCTGACCGTTCGAACGCCTGGCTTATTTCTTCCACTTGAGCGATCTCCTTCGCCGCCGGAGGTGGGACTTGCGAGAATGGCTCCTTCTCGCCCGGAGAGCTCTTCACGGTAGCAAAACGGAGCTGTCTGTATACGAGATTCGAGTATTGGGGGAACACGGCGTTTCGGGGAAGCTTTCCGAGGATATCTGAACGAGAGGCAGAGCTGAAAATTCCGCAACTGTGAAGCCTGCTTCCACCAAACGCTGGCGACGGAGCTACATGATACCGCCTGCCAAAAACCGCGGGGCCTACTAAAGGCGCCCTGCTATCGACCGAAAGACATCGTGACGGGAGGTTGAGGCCTAGAGGACTGCTGCGTACGATATCTCGAGAGGAACTGGCCGTCCGGAGGAGGACTCTTGAGCCGCGCATCGCGAAGTTTGCGCCCCGCCCGCCTCTACTGAGCACCCCAGGACAAAAAGGAAACGAATGGCATTCAAGGAATGGATGGCATAGTGAGGTCGCTATCGATGCTGCATTGGACCATGACCTTTTGCGACGTGGTTGTTCCGGTTGAAGGAGGATATGACGGAAGGATGGATGTTTTTTGAGCTGAGGTTCGCTGGCGATCCCGGACCAAAAAATTTAGTCATCCCGTGCTTCTTTCTCCGGGGCCCGCTGCCGAACATTCTCAGAGATTCGCTGGGGTGAGCGCAGAAGAAAAGGAGTAAATAAAAGAGAGAGAGAGGACGAGCGGGAAAACTAGGAGCACTCTTTGAAACAACAGTATTCTTTGCTCTAGTGTGCTTGTGAGCTGGAGCTGGAGCTCACTCTGGTACGTTTTTGCCTGTTCTACATATGTAGATAGAGGAGCCGTGGCGGGGCAGATTTGCTAACAGAAGCGCCAGATAGAACTACGATTCACCTCTCTGCAGAAATGGTGCTTGACTACAGTAAATGGGATGCTCTCGAGCTCTCAGACGACTCTGATATCGAAGTCCACCCTAATGTGGACAAGCGGTCCTTCATCCGTGCAAAGCAGAACCAGATCCACCAGCAACGACAGCAGCGCCGCCATGAGATAGCAACTCTGGGATACGAGAGGATTATAAACGATGGCCTGTTGAAACGGATTGACGGGCTGTTGACTGCCCTGAAGAAACACGAGAGTGACTCCCGGAATCCAGAGGAGCTCGTTTTCCAGGCTCTGATCGAGTCTGCCGGTGACCCCAAGGAGGACCAGCCACCAGCTCCGCCAGAGAATGTCCACACGCAAGAGACTCAGCCGAAGTACTCTCAGATGATGGGATCGCTGGTGGACCAGGTCAAGAAGGAGCTAGATGAGTCAAAGCCGGAGAACAGATACCAGGCATTTATTACCGGCGTCGAGGGCCACAAGAACAAGGTGCTGGACCTCCAACAGCAGCTCCTTGAGAAGCTTGGTCAATTGGAAAAGGAAGAGGGCAAAAAGATTACCAGCGACAGCATACACACTGGGTTTGACAGCTCTTTTGTCTCATCGTCTAAGACCAAGCCTGAGCCAAAGAAGGCCCAGGAGTCGACCGTTGAGCTCCTTAACCCAAGCAGCGCAGGTGCAGATAATATGGATGTCATCTCTTCCGGTGCAGAGGCTGATATTGAGGACGGCGAAGGGGATGAGGAGGGTATAACCGTTCGCCCTTTGACGAAGCAATTTGCAAAGTATAAGATTGGGGACTACCGTGAAGCATACTCATTCATCACCGATCACCCAGAGATATTGACAGAGAAGAGGACTGATGAGCTGTTGATGGAGGCTTTCAACGCCCAGATCTCTGGGGATGAGACATACGCTCGCCAGTGCGTCCATCATGGCCTACTATTACAATACTGCCGTTCTTTGGGTAAGGACGGCGTTTCTCTCTTCTTCAAGCGGTTAGTATTCCCTTTGTCTTCTTCTCCTATTACTTCCGTGTTTGAAGGTGTAAAATTTTTTTACTAATGGTCTAATGTAAAACAGGATCACTACAGAGGATCATCGTGCTGGTGTGATGTTCCGTGACGATGTTAATGACACTTACAACCGTATCAAGACTCGTGCAAAGGAGCTTGCCAAATCATCTGCTGAGGGTCAATCGGAAGTTGAGCAAATCCAGCTCCACGCAGTCGACCCTTCTACTAAACTTAACATCTCAATTCCTCCGGCTGACAGCAAAGACGAGGCCCACGTTGCCGCTCGCGACATCTTTAACCGCTTCCCACCGGGCCTTCAGAAAGCCTTGGAATCTGAAAGTCTGGATGAAGTGAACAAAGTGCTGGGTAAGATGAGTGTGGAAGAGGCGGAAGACGTGGTTGAGAAGCTAGGAGAAAGTGGCATTTTGACAGTTGAGCAGGGGATTGTTGATGCCACGACGGAGGAGGGCAAGCAGTGGCTGGAGGAACTGGAGGCAGAGAAAAAATCGAACGCTCCAGAGACAGGCAAGGTAGAGGAGACTGGGGACCCTGAGTAGATGAACAGCTACTCCGCCCATAGTCACTCTTTGAGGAGGTGGTTTGCGCATCTATTGCGGCTTTGAAAAGTGATATCGGATTTCATGCGCCCAAACATAGCCAACTTCCACAAAAAATAATCTAGCCAAGCATTGGGGAGAAATAGTTAGTTACAAGACGCCCTTCACCAGCTTCTGATAGGATTTCCTCATTTTCTCACATGTTGATAACTTTTACTGAGGCTGAGCCATTAAGCAAACAAGATGTGTCGTAACAAGCACTCGGGACGGGCCTATATCGACTATAGTACAAACTAGCCTCATAATAGCTCTACGTAACCCTTCTATTATTATCCTCCTGCCAGCACAGCTGGCTTGGCTACGTGTACGGAGAGCATCCCCAGGTTTACATCAGTTAGCGCGAAGGAGCAAGCGCAGTGAAAACATTGTGGCGCTTAGGACTTAAGCGAAGGGGGGTGGGTAAGTTCGTTACCTTGACCATTCGATCTTTGTATTGGCTCTTATGTACTATTAACAGTGGCTCAATAGTTGTCAACCTTGTCTTGATGCCATGTTCAAGTGATCTTGTACGGAGTAATCTTTTGGCTTAGATGGTGCGTGAAGGGCTTTGTCAATGCTGCTTGATCTGTCAGGTGCAATTAAGGGTTCCGGTTGTATAAGCTGAGGATATATATACAGTCAGACGATAAGAGACACTGCCCGGAATCAGAAAGCATCTAAGCCATGCCGCGAATAAACCGCCGGATCTTTTCACAAAGCCTATGCTTCCCATCCCAAGGCGCGAAATTCCATTCCATCTGACATGAGGTCTTCTCCAAAGCATTCCATAAGCGTTTTTCAATATCAGCTCCAACACGCAGGATCGAGTCTCTTGCAGTGCCCCACATGCGTTGCGGACTCCCGTCAGTGGCCCAAGCAAGGCCGCCTTCTCCAAAGACCCGAATCGGGTCCAGTTTTGGCAAATTTGCATGGAATGTGAGGAATGCGTTTGAAGGCGTGGCAGGCTTCCCTCTCCATCCATAATTTCGGTCTGGTCTTGATATGACCTCCCATGTTGGGTCTGCCTGAATGATAACGCCCCCTTCCCATTCTCCATGCTTGTTTATATACCCAAACACAGCAGGGCGTGTGGAAACAGCATAAAATGGAAGCTCCAAGATCATCGCTGGCGCAACATACGTTTCTTTATCCCCTTCACCCGGGTGGCCCTGAGACAGTAATGGATAATAGTAAGACGGACCGTAGAAGTTGTAGTATGCGGAAAGTAAGAGTAGCTTAGAATGCGTCCGTTTGGATAATAAAAGCTGGCCGGACTCGGTGGATGGGAAGGGAAAGCTCTTCGGTAATATCTGAGCTGTTATTTCGAAAAACCAAGAGTGATATGTAACTTGCCAAAAATCTGGCCATGTTACCATCCCGGTTGATACGAATGGTTTTGACGTGAATAGGTGGGAGGGGTCATGTATGGGAAAGGCATCTGCGTCGAGAAAGAAAACTTCTTCAAACGAAGAAAAGAGTAGTGAAAATATTTTGAATTGATATTTCATCAATCCTTCTTGCAAGGGAGAGAATGATAATATCTCGTCCAGGATTATACAGCGTGTATTCAGAGACTGGAGCAGTATACCACACGTAAACGCATCGTGCTCATGTTTATCCGCAAGGAATATCTCCACTGGAAGCTTTGAACCAGTTACTCGCAGCATGTAGATGGATGTTACGAGGGTTGGAAGCATTGACTTGCTGGCCGTGGAAACAATACCTCGTGTCCTCCTTTGGAATGGTAATACTGGGCCATCCGGCGGAACAAGCAATCTGAGAAACCGAGCATGGGCGAGCCGTAATTTCCTCCTATCTCCTTCCTCCAGCATGAGATTCTCCGGCAGAGTAATGTTTCCGATATTGTCCGGGTGAAATTCTAGAGCCTGCGGCCGTTCCTCGAGTTTGATGGGCGCTTTGCAGCCTGGGGCAGCAACCTTGAGGATGGCATGGAAGGCATACCAGAATCTCCTCTGGTCATCAATAGACGGTGCTGGCCCAGGACGAACTGAATAGCTGATGGCACTCTTACGGAATGTAAGTAGGATCATGGACAAGACAACCACCAGTAAACCGCTCCTCCGCCATGAACTCCGACCTGTGGCCATGCTTTTTCGCTAGGTGAGGCACTCCCAGGTATAAAAGTAGCAGTAAAGCGACGGATCAACCGCATCTCTTGTTCTGTTCCTGTTGTTCAGTCTCATAGAGGGAGCAAAACAGTAACAAAACAACAAAACATCGTCATAGGCATTTTGATATCACGTGTTGTCCCAATCTGGAAGCAAGAACCCCCTAAAAGCTTCCAATCGCTTATTCTTCCTACTCGCGCTTCTCAACAAACAAACAAACAACGAGCATGCAAAGCATGAGACAGGGGATTACGGCCGGTGTCATCGCGGCCGAACGAGGGATATCATTATGTATGACGACTTGGATGGTGGTCAGGAAGTCTCTGTATGAAGAGGCTTCACCACTACTCCGTACGTTAACACACCATGGTGTCTGGATACCACGGACCGGCCGGCACGTCAAGGACCACGACGCCCATCGCGATTTCAACTGATACGGCAAGGCACTTTAATACGTTTTAATGGCTAGGCCGCAGCCAGCAGGGTGATCCTCTGAGACACCCACCGCATCGGCGGTCTTTTACCGAGCAGTGTAAGTGGAAAAGCCAAAACGGTGGCAAGTTTCTCCTGCGCTATTACCTTCGACACGGATATCGCACAGCCCCTGCGCGAAATGTACGGAGTACCTGCTGCACAGATGGTTAACGGAAGCCAACCACGATTTACGCTCGAATGTGCGGGTACTACGGGGTACAAATGACGAAAGTTCCAGCGGAGAGTAGCAGAGATAAAACACTACTACCTCGTTTCTCTTTGAAGAAGCAGACTGTCACTCGCCCAATGTCCTCATCCCCCTTGCTTGACATCAATCGTCTTCGAACTCCTTTCTGGCACGACAAGGCCCCTATTGGCTGAAACGCCGCAGATCGGCGGACTAAATGGCGTCAAGGGAGCGCAGAGGACACCAAGTCAGATACAACCAAACGTGAAACAGCGCTTCAGGAGCAACTGCCAAGGGTAGCGGAGGAGTGCCAAGATGGAATCCTCAAGGATACCTGTGGGTTGTGGGGTGAAGATGCCGGAAAGCAGTGCCAACCGACGCTTCGACCTTGCGCTTCTGGTTGTACCAAGTATATACTCCGTACCTCGCTGGGCGGAGGCAGTACTAAGTACAAGCCGCTAAGGTACCAGGCAATTTGCCTAGACGCTGGTTTTTTGAGACAAGAGAAGAAGAAGAACGAAAATTGGAGCAAAAGGACAGATTTAAATATTTATTGGACGCCAGGGAACATCGGAAGGCAAGGGGAGATGAAGATACGACACACGTAACAGGAAAAAGGAGCGCCCCGTACCAAGAGCGATAATCTCAGGATGATCGCGCTCTGTCAGCCCATGATATACAAATTATGGGCAAGGCAGAGGGCCTGCCACGTACATCTCGCGGAGTACCTCGTACGCACCAAATACTGCGGGATACATACATGCATAAAGAGGGAGGCGAACGAAAAACTAAAAAGCTAAGCCGACGCCGAACCTTTCGACTCCTGCTTTTTTGGGGCCCTTTTGGTACCTGTCGACCAGCAGTAGCCTTGGTAGCGTTGTCATGTGATAGGGCTCTTCCCAAACACCCTTTCAGGTACTTGAAATCGCAGCAAACCATCTCTCTGCAAGCCGACTTTCGTCTTAACCTATAGCAAGTTTTTTGCTTTATAGCCCTTCACCAGGCTTCTTTCGCTAATTCACCTTTTCTTGTTGGTCCGTGTTTGGGCAATTCCATCATTTTGGCACTTATATACACGCGGCCGTGTTTTCTTTAATCGTTGCTCTTTCAGCATTCGGCGTCTCGGTATCAAATTCAACCGCTCATTAATACGACCTGCCAGACTGCGGGCAGATCACAGATTACCATTGACATTTAAGATCCGGTTCCTCTGGGAGGATAGGATGAGATTTTGTTAAGGAGACTTTAATATTCCCTGTGTCTGGATTTTTTTTATTCTTTTCGACGGTGGGCTTCCTTCGGGAATCCCGGTGAACAGCTATGGCTCCCAAAAAGAGAGATGACAACTGGGTCGATGTAAGTGTATTCTGACCACAGAACCCTATATCTGCTTCCACTAACTTATGTCTATTCAGGGTCTTCGAGGTGTCGCTTCGTTCATTGTCGTTACTGGCCATTTATGCACTGCTTTCGTTCCATGGCTCCATGACCCTGCCTTGTCAGATGGTGGTCCGTCCAACATCTTCCAATTACCGATCCTCAGGTTATGCGTAGGCGGCAGAGGCTCCGTTGCGATTTTCTTCATTATCACCGGCTTTGTCAACTCAATCAACCCCGTCAAAAATTCTCGTGCCGATAATACCTATGTCGCACTCACAAACCTCGCCAGAAGCACGTTTACTCGTTCCGGTCGCCTGATGGTTCCTACGGCTATTGCCACAGTCATTGCGTGGGCACTGTGCCACATGGGGGCATTCAGCATGGCTCAGAGAGCTGATGCTAGTTGGATTCGCTCTACAAGTCCTGCTCCTAGCGCGACCTTTGGCGAAGCAGTTAAAAACCTGCTCTGGAACTTGGTACTTTTCTGGCATACTGGCGCCTCGATATACGACGGAACACACTGGACACTTAAATTTTTCCTCAGCGCCTCGTTCAGGACGTATCTTACACTCTTGGCTCTTACCTTGGTTAAACGGCGTTACTGGTATGCTGTGACAGGACTCTTGTGGGCTTATGCCTGGCTTGTTAACGACCGTAAGTTACATACTTTCCATAAACTCACTTTTTACATGTTATCACGTTATTCTAAATATATAACCTATAGATCTTGTTGGCATCAATATCTTCCCTGGTATGCTCTTGGCGCAACTTCAAGTCGACTACGGCTCTCGTGCTACTCAGATGCTCCCAAAAGTTGTGCCTAGCATACTTATCTTCTTCGGCCTTATTATCTGGGGACTTCCCCAAAATAACCAAACCTGGGCGTGGTGGTCTGCCGCTATCCGCTCGTTCATTGTTGCTATTACCCCTGCAAATGCAGATCACAGCCGTTATGCCTCGTCTCTCGGAACCTGCACCCTGATGCTGGGAATATTCTTCTCCAGGAACGCTCGACGCTTTCTCACACTGCCACTCTTCAACTTCCTCGGACGTGTTTCTTTCCCCGTCTACTTGCTCCACAACATCCTCATTAGAACGATCTTATCTTGGATGGTTTACGGAGAAAGCGCTACTCGAATTCCGGTAAGGAATGAGAAGGGTGAACTCCTTCAGCTGGGACGAGCCAGCCCGATGGCCTTCCTCTTTATTCTGCCGATCTTTTACGCCATTCTCTATCTTGTTGCCCACATGTGGGCCACCTACGTCGACCCCCAATGTGGCAAGGCTGTAGATTGGTTGAAAGACAAGATGTTCAAGGAGCGACCAGATTCACAAGAGAAACTTCTCCCACTACCTAACGGAGGCTCTGCAAGTTGAACATATTGATGACCAGTTCTTGCTTCCTCATTTATATTTGTCCCCTATTGGCTTTTTATTTTTCAGCCTAGGGATTGAATTATTATATACCCAAACTGCATACAATCTTTGCTTCATGTCTACAGACAGTTTCTGTACCACTGTTTACATACTTTCGCTTTCTCTTTGCTATATTCATCTTCCTCTTTTTGTCCGGACTTCGATGTTCTTTTCCTTTTGTTATCTCATCGCACTTCGGCTAGATTTAATGAAATAGGTTGTCTCCAACTTGCTGTGGACAGCTTTGCATTGGGACACGAAAATGTATACTGGACCAGTTCTGTTTGTTTGGATATATTATGGCAGGTTTGGTTTGCCTCGGCGATTTTGCACTCGAGTTTGATTATCTCATTGGATTCTTTGGATATATACATGTAGCACTACAACCGTCCCATTACCATAGCCATGTATCAAAACTTGATTATATATATCTTAACTGTTTTCCCCTGTATGGAGAGTGAGAGAATTTGGTGGGAAGGCATTAGTGAATGATGTAGATAGGGAGGACCATTGTTCTTTACTCAAGCGAGAATAAGTAGGCATTTCTTGGGGTACTATACGGGGAATTGCATCTTTTATATCTAAGCTAAACTCCTGTGGCCCCCGGAGCTTTCTCGTCTTTCTTCAGTTCCAGCAAAAGTTCTCTGAACCGTTCTTTGCCGGAACCACTTGCGCCACCCTTGATTCCCTTCCCGCTAACATCGACGAGTTTGGCAATACGCTCCCAGCTTGTTCCACCAGCAGCGGTGTCTTCTCTGTTTGCGAGGAACTCTTCAGCTTCCGCACGGGTGCGCTCCCGGGCCTTGTCGGTGCGTTTGTTGTAGGATTCGTAATAATCATCAATATCTTGCTGAGCTTTGGAGACAGTTGCCGCCTTCTTCTCAGCCGATGCCTCTGCCCGACGGGATAGTTCTGCATCTCGCTTTTCTCGCCATTCACTAACCGCGCAAATTAGTCACTCGTCCCGCTTCTGTTTGTGAGAGCAAAATGCGCAAAATAAAAGCAGGGGATGCCTACCGGACGGCCTCTGATTCCTCCTCTGGCTCTTGGTTGTATGATGGTTGGAATGGCGAGTCAACTCCGGTAATGGTGCCGCCTGGAGCTACGTTCTATTGTGGATGGTGATGTCAGTTTATAGGTCCTCGAAAAAGGGCCAGATAAGGCGGAATGCTTACCTCGTTCTGCGATTCAATGGCTGGGTAGCTCGATTCAAATCCGGAGTTATCATCATGGGGCATCAAATCGTCACCACCTCCTCCTCCAAGCAAGTCGTCATCTTCAACTGTGACAGAAGGTCTATTATCACTGGCCGAGATAAACTGATCAGCATCGTCTCCTAATGCTGCACGCTCACGAGCAAGGAAATCGCTGTCATCCTCGCTGGCCTTGTTGCCGGTCCCGTCGGGGGTTGGAATCGGCTCATCTATTGCAATGCCGCCGCGGTCAGCTTAACTATATTTCTGAAACCGTTCTCTAGCAGGTCTCTATAGATTCTCTTACCTCCAGTAATATCGTCAAGGGCGGGGAATCGGTCGGCCATGGCGATGATGCGTGGGCTATTTGTACTAAAGTAGATAAGAGAGAGGAAGAACGGAGAGACGTAACGAGGTCGTAAGGGAAGGGAAAACTAATAAAACAAGTAACAAAATAAAGCGAGCGCGAGAGTAAGAAGCTCTATCCGCGGATGTCTCTCATTCCAGCCTCTTGAACTGCCGCGTCGTGTGTCTCCTAGCTCGTCTGCTGCGCTGCTTGCTGGTGGTTGTTGTAGTTCGTGGATACCAAGAAGGGAAGCCCAGCGAGTTTTGGAGCTTTCACTTCTAAAGGGGCCAATAAGCGTCCGGTGCTGGTGGGCGGTGACTGATCTGCCGGGTTTTTTGTCACCTTTCAATCAATCTCAAATAAACAACGACCGCAGCAACCAAAACGTCAACAACAGCAAAAAGCTGCTTCGACATTCACTGCGACGAGATCACGACAAAGCGAGGGCCTCGGTGTGTTTTGTTCCTGGCCGGGGCTCGTTTAACGATAACTTTGCGCCCAGAGTTTCGGTTCTGAAGGTTGCCGCAATGGCCTATACTGATGATGCCGTGAAGGCGAAGTTATCAGCTCTCAATGAGACCCAGGAGTCCATTGTCACTGTTGCCCAATGGGTCATGTTCCATAGGTAAGATCTTGTGTCGTTCTTGCCCTACAGTTATTTTTGGCAAGATGTGGAAGGCTGATGGAGTTTGGTCGCGGAATATAGACGACACGCCGACCGGACAGCCCAGCTTTGGCTAGAGAAACTACGTGATGCAAATCCGCCAAAGAGACTCAATCTTATCTATCTAGCCAATGGTATACCGGCCGCAATCCTCTTGCTAGATCTGGGAAGCTAACAGGCTCGTTCTACAGAGGTTGCTCAGCAATCAAAGGGAAGACGCAAGGAGGACTTTCTCATCGCATTCTCGCCGGTTGGTTTCTCCCTTAATTAGGCCATATATTTCAAGCTGCCATAGTGGTAGCTAACTATATAACTTAGATCATTGCAGATGCGACTGCAACTGCCTTCAAGGGTGCTTCAAACGAGATCCAACAAAAACTGAGACGTGTGGTAGAAGTCTGGAGACAACGTTCGATTTTTGAAAAACCTATTCAAGACGCCGTTGAGGCACGGGTTGAAGGTTGGTGCCTTTCATTTCGACGGGCAGGTCTTCTCTCCCGGAACGTACAACTGGCTAATATTCGGCACTTTAGAGATTGATAAGTCCAAGCCCGCAGGCAAGAAACCTCTCCTCGGAGGTTCTCTTTTCTCAAGTTCTCCAGGCTCGCTTCCCCAGGAGCTCCAACCTCTTGCTCCACTGCAAGTTGCAACGTCAAAGGCTTCCATTTCATCTAACGCCACTGTGACGACCGCAAATACCGAATATGACAAGCTGAACGGCCCATCTGCTGAAATCCCTACTCCTCCCGTATATGCAGCTCGACTAAGCACGCTTCTAAAGTCACTTGCTAATGCTGAAAGTTCCGTGTCTGAGGTTATAAAGTGCCGTCAATCACTCATTGAGGGACTCGAAAAAGTCCTTGATACCAATAGAGCGGCTTTGGTAAAGGAGAAATCCCAGGCTGAGCAATTGTCGTCCCGCAGGATAGAGACTGAGAACAAGAAGCGAGACGTCGAAGATGCTATAATTCGTGGACTTACCGCAGACGATTCATCAGCCCAGCAAGCAAATGGCGGTGCGGCTTGGGCGGACCACAAGAACTCATTTGGGGGTGAAGAGCTAGAAGCTCCAGCTGTTGAGGCCCTTACTCCACCCCCGGTCGAGGCTTTGACCCCAGTTCAATCCCCCACGCTAAATCCCAGCTCCAACAGCCAGAATGAACAGCAGCCAAACACTATACCCAGCCATACAAAGCCAACACCCAGTGGAGCTGCGGGCGGTTTCGGAGACCAAGCCCAAATGCCTTCCATTGACTTGAATGCCACGCTCTCGTCTCTCCAAGCTGTTGCCAACACGCCTTCTAACGACACTTCAGCTAGTGAGATGGCCACCAAAAAGCGGAAAGTTAGCCATGCTCAGGATAGCTACCCTGAATTCGAGGGGGGAGATGCCATGGCTGATCTGGACGCGGATGTAGCCGAGCTGCTGAGACAAGAAAGCAGTAAGCATTGATTAGGGATTAAATCCATCCCCAAGGCGGTCATTTTATGTACGGTTATGCATGAAGGGATTTGACAGCTTTTGTCATTCCTGGGCTATTGTTTGTTGAGAGTGTTCACATAGCTGACTAGGTTGGTTGCATTATTTCTTTTTTGCTTTCCCTTTTTTCTCTATGTACGTTATGTATGTATATGTAGGCCGATGATTTCTCATTATTCGTTCCAGGAGGCACTCAAGATGAGCAGCCCTTACCTTTATACCATACAAGCTTCATACCCCCATAGACAGTATGCATAAATTGTAAGGTCAAGATAAGAGTACAGTAGAAAGTTTTGCAGAGTAATTGTAGGGGTATTCTAGATATCAATATCATAACTATATATGTACAGAGAACGTTGTACAAACCGCTAAAAAAGCGAGCCAAGCACCGAACATATTCCCTTCAATCTCAAAATGAGTGGTAAGAGGGACTATGTTCGGACTGGGAAGAAGAAGAAAAAGAGTCCCAAGAATCATGATTGAAGCTCAGGGGGCAGAAGAATTATCATTAGCCAATGATGTTTATATTACGAGGGTAATGAGTTATCTGGTCCATTCCATATATCGACCAGTAGTCTATGGCGAGCGGTATTTCGTCTCCGACCTATTTTGTATGGCGTGTCATCATGCAAGAGAGACCTTTGATATGGTGGATTTTGCGGTGTTTGGGGTGGTGGCTGCGGCGGCGATTGAGGCGCGGGTTCAGCAGCATGTCTCTTCGGTTTGACTAGCAGTATAATCAACATTGCTACCACCAGGAGGGCTAGAAGGAGTATTATTTTTCGTTTCGTTGTTCGTCTTTGGTAGTTCGTGGCCTAGTGAGATCTGTTAGTGTTCAGATGGTTTGATAGAAGTATAGCGGGTGTAAACATACAACTTTCAATTCCTTGTCGGCACCTTTAACGTCGATGGCCATTCGTTCAACGTTGAAGTCGATGCGGTCCAGCATCGTGCCTTGATCGATAATCATAGTTTGCAACTCACGGAAAATATCAGAGAGCTCAATGATACCTTTTGCAATGTCATTGATTTCTCGTTCCCGCTGTGCAATTGCGGCATCATTACTGCCAAGTTGCTGTTGCTGCTGCTGTGCAGTTTGTAGGAGGGTAGATTGGGAATATGACTTGTCGGCGTCGGACTCTATTAGGGACGGGTCTGTGTATGGGTTTTGTATGGGAGAGCTAGATCGTTCGAGTGGTGAGACCATTCCATCTATGCCTCGGAGCTCTATTTCCACGATAATAAGCAACATTAGCCTTGGACCGTAGACAAACATAGGATATACACTGCGTCTCCGGTCTCTGTAACTCACTTTTTAAATAGGTGCTTTGCTTCTTTCTGAACCCAGCACTGGCTTCCTGAACCCTTGCCGCAAGGGAAATCTGCAGATTCCTGGCCATGGTATCCTCGCCCTTGTTAACAGAGCCCTGCTCTCGCGCCTCTCGAGCCATTATCTCAATTCTCTGTATCGATCTCTGGCAGTCGTGAAACCCTCTCGTGATGTCTTGAGTCAATCGTTCAATCATGTCCTCTTCTTCTCTCCGGACATCCTCATCCCCGAACCCGGGCAAGACATGTTTCTGATGCAGTTTGTCCAGTTTTGCAGACTTCTGGGCAATATCTCGCAGGTAGTCGGTAACTTCATCCTGCACATCCATCCATCGAGGCGGTAGCAAATCCATTTCTATAACAGCGTCTCCATCGTCTTCAAATCCGCTGCCGGACATGAGTCCGCGGCGTTCCTCTGAGTTTCCCGTAGTGTCTGCATGGTCACTCCAGGCGCCTCCGATGTGCCGTGGTTTTTTGGACGGGTGGTGCGCAAAGGATTGCCGGTAGGAGATGTAGCTAAACAGGTTGAAGTTACAAGATGGCAACGTCAGCTATTTCGGTGCGCCATTCATTCACAACAGCGGATAAGAGAGGCTTACAGGTTCGTTCTATCCCGCCACATGATTAGAGTACAGCAAGATTAAAAAGAAAAACAATTGAACACGGAGGATATGGCAACGCAGCAAACTATAGATCAGCGATCCGGGGTACGTTTGCGCATGATCCTGGAGAACAGAAGCTCTCAGAAATCATAACACAGAAGAAGCTGGATATCTCCGGAGCCACAACGCTAGGGTCTCCACGCCGGAGGCTATGCTATCTGCTGTCAGCCTGTCTGCCGTCTCCTCGCTGCTTGTCTGCTTGCTTGTCTGGTCTCTTTGGTTATATCGAACTCCAGCAAATCCATGACATAAGGCTGTGATCCGGTCACGTGATGGTCTACAAATAAAGGGGTTGAAGAGAAGAAGGCAAGAAAGAGAGAAAGAAAGAAAGAAAAGAAGGAAAAGAAGGCATAGATAGACAAAAGGACAGCTGTTTACAGAGTACAAAGAGGAAAATGGAGGATTAATAGCATGGTAAGTCCCAGTGTCTATGAGCAGCATCTCCCTTAAGCAATTACTTATGGACGAACCAGGAAGCTAGCTGGGCAGTAAACTAGTTATTTACTGCTGGACCAAGGCTCCCAAGGCATACATACTGCTGCTCCAGCTGCTTGCTCCTCACTGGTTAGCTGGCTCACGTATCACTCGGCTTATCATAGCAGGTGAATAATAAACAAATAAAGCATGAATCTTATTAGTGGCGGCAGCAGCAGTCATAGTAGTATTAACAGCTAGTAGAAACAAGGAGGAATGAAGGCGTGGCTTGGCAAACGTGATCCGAGGGGTCGAACTTCTCAAAGTACAAACTTCAAGTGTGTTATTTTATTTATACGACAGGACAACTCCCAGCTTCTTGCGCTTCTACCGTCCAGCATCAGAGCCAGCGATACGTTCTTCCATCTCGCCTGTTTCCTCCAGACCCTCCTGTCGCCGATACCCAGCTAGAAACCATGGTTTGTAGACCTGCGCATCCTGCAACCCCTCCTCAGACCTCCCTACCCCCTATTTATCCATAGCCAGCCACCGCGGGCCCTTCGTCAGCTAATGGAGTACTCTTAATGCATACAGGCCGACTCTTTGACCGAAGAGCAGGTGTCCGAGTACAAGGAAGCCTTCTCCCTGTTCGTAAGTTATATCTGCTAGCCCTTGTTGTGTCTAGAGTGACTTCGTTCAAGGATGCCCCGCCCTTGGAGCGTGTAGACAGATAGGTAGCTGACCAAGTATTCCACCATCGAACAGGATAAAGATGGCGATGGTGAGTAGCGATTTTTATCTTCAAGGAGACCGATACTATAATCTGGTAGGCCTGAAAATGGAGCGTCGACTGATATGTCATGTCCCATAGGCCAAATCACAACCAAGGAGTTGGGAACAGTGATGCGATCCCTGGGCCAGAACCCCTCCGAATCCGAGCTACAAGATATGATTAACGAGGTTGACGCCGACAACAATGGAACCATCGACTTCCCAGGTACGGTCTACTCCTGGGACCTACAGCCCACTCACCCGTTTCCCGAAAAGCCCAAAGCGTTACAAATAATCACGGCTTAAAGATAACTTACGCTAATTGCTTATCCATGGTACAGAATTCTTGACTATGATGGCCCGAAAAATGAAGGATACCGACTCTGAGGAGGAAATCCGGGAAGCCTTTAAAGTGTTTGACCGTGATAACAACGGTTTCATCTCTGCTGCCGAGCTCCGCCACGTCATGACTTCGATTGGTGAAAAACTAACCGACGACGAAGTTGACGAGATGATTCGTGAAGCTGATCAGGACGGTGATGGCAGAATTGATTGTAAGTGCCCTCAATGGTGCTGTGTATAGCTTCATTTTCTTCTTTGCTGTATCTTTTGTTTGCTAACGAATACCTGCAGATAACGAATTCGTTCAACTCATGATGCAAAAGTAGGCTCCAAGTTCACATAGCAATCTAATCACTATTCCATAAAAGATATCGACAGAGTCATATTTTTTACATTGTCACCAATCTCCCCTTTTTTTTTGCTCTTTGCGGTTTTGCCTTCTCGACTTTACCCATCAGTGGATGCTGGCAATAACATTGTTTCTATGGACCTTGGTTATAGTAACCAATAAATTACTTATCTCGTGGCCATGCTTTCAATGTTCATCCTCTCTTCTCAGTGGGACAAAGATTGGTAAAAAAAGAAAGAATTACATAAGATTTCCCGGCTCCTGCGATGTTCAAATGTATATTCGAATAGGGATACAATCATATTGACGGTTTCTTCGAAATTTCTGCCTACTCTATGCACGTCTGTTACTGCCCAATCACCAGCTGTTCACCATAAATATGGGATGTCTCTGGGAAGTTCTCTTAATACCAAGTGTTTTCATTGATAAACTACCCATTTCATTAAAAATCGTGATCTGTATCGCTAAGGCCTCTGATGTTATACTAATACGCTCGCTCACCGTCAACCTGGGTGAATTATTCAAAACCCAATGCCCAATGTAAGAATAAGTCTACCGGTAAAACTTGAAAACATCCATGTACTGTCTCGCAAGGTCAACTCCAACGAGATTAGCTTTTTTGCGTGTGCTTTGGGCCGACGCACTTTGTCCAAGGTAATCCCGCCTCTCAAGCCCTAACCCAGGAACCTGAATCGATTCTGTAGCCCCTGGAATAGAAAAATTCTCCCACAACTCACGTATTAGCATGACTCCCAGCTCCCAGTCTTCGTCTGTAGGCAGGATAACTTCGCGGGGTGGGTGGTGTGGGAGAAGAGGAACGAAATCCCAATCCTCCTCAGGCTCCCGAGTGAGATCTGGCTCCGACTGTCTTAGACCCGGGCCATTGTACTCAATTTCCACGATTGCTCCACGAAGACGAGGCCTAGGCACTGTCTGGCGAACTTCACCTATCCGGACCCGAAAGTCACCTACTTCATAGACTTCTCCGCCAGTGACAACCACGGTAAAGCGGTGGTTCCAGAGCGGTTGGCAGAATTTTGTTGTCATGGAGAAAAAGGACAGGTATGATTGTGGGTCTAATGTCTTAATCGCTGTGGTATGGGCTTCGGCTTGAGTAAGTGAAGTTGAATCCTTTCCATCCGCTGGGGACTTCTGGGAAGAAACTCCCATGGCTGATATTGGAAGAGAGGGCGGTGAGTTCATTTGTTTCTCCATTACGGCTGGATCCAGCGGATCGACCTCAGGTCGTGGTGAGATTCGGATGAAGCCATGATTTTGGTAATGGCTAAGAGAGAGAAAGTGCATATATCGTGGAGTCGGCACTTTGTTGTGTGGGAAGTTTGCGGCCGGTAGGCATGATGCGGTGTCTCTTAGGAGTTTGAATTCTAGTGCCCAGCGCCCAAGCCTGGTCGGTTGATGTATTGCTTTGAACCGATCAATCACAGTTCTTGTTGCCGTTGTTGGCAACTCAGGGTTGCTTGGGATATAGTATACTCTAAGTAACGGTTAGCTTCTACTGCTGTCTGGTATCTCAAGGGCGGAAGGCTTGCATACCCAGTTACCGACATTGCTTCTCTTACCCCAAACCCAACTGCTTCTCCCTTCTAGCCCAGATACACAGACCTGAGGTACTGGACCTCTCGTACTTGGGCTATATACGAATTTGATCTTCGCTTCCAGGCTTAGAATAATAATGAATGAATGAATTTTATGAGCGTCTGGGTTGGTGTTACTCCGTAGTGGTATTATTCGAAAATGCAGACAAGCTAGCACCAGCGTCACCTTTCGGACTTAGGATCCAGCTGTCTAGGAGTAAGGATACAACGGCTTTGGCCTTTGGATATTTGTAGAATCTCTGGAAAATGGTTAAAAGCCAGCAGAAGGATAGATACTAGATAGTAAATATTATGAACAAGGAAAAGTAGTAGATAGAATGAATCGATTTCGGGATATTTTTGCAGCCTGTAGACCTTGAACGCTATATGGTATCCAAAAGACAGCGTTGGTGGAATGTGTTAATACTATTATTGTTATGTGTTAAGCATCGTCATGGACTTAATTTTTATGATGGTTGAAGGGGCGAAATCTCAATCACGTGATCTTTTTTGACCTCATCGACTTTTTGCGCAAAAAGACCAACATCAAACTAACAAAAGTAGGGCCTATCCGTCACAGCATAGGTAAGACACTACCGAACCTTCAGTGTCAGAATACAATGGTTATGAGTATTTCAGACACTGCTAATCTATCGACAGTATCAAGTAAATCCCCGTGGCTTGTTTCTGAACCCTAGGAAAGTCAAGGACTGCCGCGGATCACTAGTATGGGCCCTGTATTGGCGTATCCCTCTGTATTGCAGCGAAGAACTCCGATCAGCCAGCCCATGATCAGCGCGGCAGAGGAAGGACGCAAGGATTAGTTCTGGACACTGGGCGCCGAGACCAGCATCGGATTTTGGATTTCCCATAATCGGGTTGACTGGTCCTGACCTACGGAGTACAAAACAACTTGTCTCTACAGAGCACTCCGTACGAAAAACGAAGTACCGAGTTAACTCCTCTCTCCGGGTGAATAAACCATCTTTCGTGCAGAGACAATTTTCAAGCCCCTCTTGATGAAAGGCATTATGGCCACGTTTTGTCGACAAAGACAAGGAATACTCCGTATCTGCATCGCTGCTCTCTACATGGGGCTGAAAATGCCGCAACTGGCTACTCAACGTCCTGGCAGATCCACCAGAGTACATGCATCATTAGCAGCGAACAACCAAGCCAAGATAGATTAAGACTAATTTCTTTCTTTTTCTTTTTCTTTTTCTTGATCATTCTTCTTACTTGAGCGACAGAGGGCAGACGGGTAACTTGATGCAAACAGCGGGTTTGTTATACGAGGTTCATTGAGTCGCCGTTTGATGCAGAATCATGTTGAAGGGTAGCTGCTCTCAAACGGATTAAGAAGAGGCGCAGCTCTTTACGTTCAGCTGCCAACATCCACGGAGTGCATGAGCCGAAAATTAACAAATAGGCTATGTGGTTCGCTTGAAGATCTTAAAATAGCGCAGGGAAACGACATAAGTTTCCGCTCAGCAACGCCCACCATCCAACTTGCTGGGGGCTGGACAGCAGCAGGCCCTGTTTCCTGGATTCTACCTCAAAAAGCCGAGCTGAAGGTTTCTCATCAAAAAATGCATATCTGCAAGCCAAAGGAAAATGGACTGCACCTTAGAACAGTTTCGCAGAGAGCACGAGCCACGTTCGTGTTTCGGCCCTGTGTCAGCCCAGGATCGGGACATCGCGGACAGGAAAAGGAAAGCGTGCAGCTCCGCAGCAAACATGGAGTACACCCCTTTTTCTTCTGGCCGAAACATGCCTTTCATCCATGGGCCTCTTCCGCCGCCCGTTGTATGAGTATATCTGTATCATCCACCTCCTTTTCTCCCTTGTCCTCCCCTTTCTTCCTCCTTTTTCTCCCTTTCCTTGTTACGCGCTTATATAATCTGATCTAATCTGATCCGCTGATTGATAATGGCGTGACGCTCTTCGGCACTTCGACCAATCATAGCTCAATCTGATATGAAACCGGTGGGTCGGCAATATCGTAATTTACAAAGCGTTACCCAATCAGCCCCGGGGGCAAACACCCGCCATTCGAACTGCATCAAAAGCGCACCTGATGGGCCGCGTAGACGACAAGGGGACCGAAGGAAAGGAGCTCGATCGTGCTAGATCCAACGGGCTGCAGACAGACCCATCATTATTGACACCAAGGATCGGATGGACCTGCAGCCGAGCGCGCCTGTTATCCGAAATTTGGTCTTGCAGGCCGCGATAAGCATTCGTAATTATGGTAATTTTACGTATCCCGCGTATTTTTCTGGAGTCTCGGCAAGATCTGATTAGGGACATTTTCTTTCTCAGGAGAAAATTCGCCTTCGACGCCGCAGGACGGGCCGGCAGTCAGACAGTCAGACAATCAACCCAGAGAGGCCCGAGGAAAAGAATATAACTCGCTCCGCCTGCCTCTGGACTTGTGAGGGCTTTCCTCTTACTCTCGTTCTACCTTGGAAAGTGATTTCCTACCATCAGATAACCACACTTTTCACGCTTTCCCCACTTATCTGATCAAAAGTACTGTGTTCAAATTCCGCAGCCCGGTATGCAGCCCCCCTTGCTACCACATCCCAACCCCGAAATCCCCCATAAAACACCCATTTCTTTCCGATCTGTATTTATTATCGACATGTTCATACCTGAATTGATGCTGATTGTTGCTCCCTCTTTCCTAGATATACCCTTGTTGGGACCTTTTTTTTTCCTGGCTATCTAGCCCTCTCTCACAATGTCTACATTATCATCTCTTCCTGGTGAAGAGCCAGTGCCTATCCCACTCACCTCTACATCACACCCGAACGACCCTATTCCCGAAGAGCCTACATCAATACCGCATTTGACCCTCCTACGACGCTCGGCAACCGGTGCATCGGACTCGCAGTCAACAGCGACCTCGGTCACCGGCGCATCAGAAGTGTCCGTTGACTCTGATGTCCCGCTGACACCGATAACGGAACCGTCTAGTGACGCTGCGCTGGACGATGCATACGCTGATAGCAAAGAGCCAGGTGCTATACCCCAACGCCGAAGACGAGCGTCCACAGTCTTGATATCCCAGAATTCAGAGGATGTCCAAAGGATACTGGGAGACATCCGCGGCGGAACCAATCTCTTAGGGAAGATATGTTGTGGAGGGGGATGCTGCAAACTTGAGCCTCTCAAGCATGCCCTTCCATCCATCACTACCAACCCCGTTGCCCGGCCAAAGAACGCTGCGTTTGAGAGCCTGAGGCTATACGTTGGCGAGCTCTCTATCGACAGCAAGCTTACCAAGACCGCTCCTCTTCCAGAAAATACCATATCCTTCTCGTCTCCGTCAATTGACTCCGTAGGAAAGAAACTAGGGCCAGCAGATCATCCTCCTCAATTCCTCCAACCGCACGCACCATATGAAGTCTATCGTGCGCCTCTTCACCATGCACGAGAGTTGACGAGACCCGGGGCTGAGAAACGAACTTACCATTTTGATATCGATGTCACAGATTATCCAGTTGAGGGTGGAAATGTAGACTTTGTCGTTGGAGGTGCCATTGGTGTTTGCCCTAGTAACTCTGAGGATGTCGTTGAAGCTGTCTTCAATCGCCTCGGAGTTCCCAAATTCATACGGGATAAAAAGATCACACTCCATACCACCAAGGGTCGATGGCCTACCATTTGGGGAGACGAAAAACCTAGAGACCTGTTAACCACCAGGCGTGAACTTCTCTCCTGGTGTTCTGATTTACAGAGCTACCCTCCTACTAAGCCGTTCCTTCGACTTCTCGCAGAGTATGCTTCCGATGAGAGTGAAAAGAAGATTCTCATGTATTTATGCTCTGCGCAGGGCCAGGCTGCTTTCTGTGACCTCCGGACTGGTCCTTATATCACCGTCTTGCAGCTCCTTGATGCATTCCCTTCGTCTCACCCACCTCTAGACCATCTTCTTTCCACCCTGAACACACTTATGCCCCGGTTCTATTCGCTCTCCCAAGATCCTATGATTCAACGCACTATTGATGGGAAGGAATCACGCCGTGTTATCGAGATTGCTGTGACTGTTCATGAATGCCCTGACTGGAAGGGGGGATACCGCACAGGAGTCGGATCTGGCTTCTTAGAACGCCTAGCTCGAAAGCTACAGGCAGCTGAAAGAGATGGCATTGATCCAGCTAGCTTGGACTTGCACGTACCCATGTTCCGTGGACTCATGTCCAACCCACTTGCCAGACGATTCGTCTCTGACGGACCCATGCTCCTTATTGGAGCTGGTGTCGGCGTTGCTCCCTTCCGTGGCTTTGTCCAGAGCCGCCTCAGATCAGCCAACTGTGCCAACAAGGTCTGGGTGCTCCAAGGGGTCCGTGACTCGTTGCTTGATGAACTCTACTCCGGAGAATGGGGGGTCCATGAAGACGAAGTTAAGAAGGTCGTTCAGAGTAGACGAGGCGAAGGTAGATACGTGCAGGAGGAAGTACGCCATCAAGCAGACCTGGTCTGGTTCGTAATCAATTCTCTTGATGGACGAGTCTTCGTCTGTGGCAGCAGCAAGGGCATGGGTGAGGGTGTCGAGGCAGCCTTGATTGACGTAGCCATTGCAAAAGGCAACCTGAACCCAGACCAGGCAAGAATATTCTGGGATGAGAAAAAGGCGGCTGGCCAGTACATTGCGGTATGTCTTAGTTCTTCTTCTTTTTCTTATTTGAGTACGAATCCATCCATACTGACAACTCGTAATAGGAGACTTGGTAAATTGGGCATCATTGAACCTTTCGGGAAAAATTACCTTCTATCAAACGGCATCCCGCTTCTACCATATTTAGACCAACGACTTCAAAATCTGCATTTGCTATCATCCAGTCTCCTATTCAATATTTTTCTCTCCTGCGTCATCAGCGCCTCACTTTTTGAGCCCATCCACACTTTCGTCATTTCCATTCGGGGTTATTTTTAGCATAGATAAACTGTTAGCATTAGGAGCAATCCATCCATCTCTTCATTCCATCTCACATTTACCGACGGAGTACTCCGTATGTCAGGCCATATTTGCCTACTCATGTTGTCCTCTCTGCAAGCTTGACGCAGTCACCGCAAATCAGTTTCATCGTATGCTTAAGCCGTTAACCGGCTTAGGAACTCTGGTCTTGTCAGGATTTGTGACCCGTTTTTGATAGTCTTGTTACAAGGGATACCTGCGACCAGGAAATCTCGATTTTTGGGGTTGTACATCGTCGTTTTCCAAAGGAAAATAATACATGTCATCTTGATAAATACTGATATCAAGCTGCCTGGATATTGTCAATAAATTCTGGCACTGGCGGCAGCAGTTTGCCGTTATTTCTTTCCTCCCAGCAATCAAGGAAGTTGGGGAACAACATTTCAGGTTTCATTCAACCGCCCATGGCCAGGAACCAGGAAAAATAAAGACAAATGGCTCTTCCATAGAAGGAAGAAAGAAGAAAAAGGGTTATACAAGTAAAATAAGCATGGCAGAATACGTGCTACATAGTAGACGATGATGTTGGTATGATTTTCCCCTGTCCTGCCCAGTTGTACCCGTTGATATGGAAATCCAACGTACGGGACCTCCGTATGCCCTGAGGCGCCAGAGTTCTGGAACCATTGACTATCGCTTTTGAACCATGGAATTTGCTGCGCCCATAGACGCCACAGGGTGATCTACAGCGGGGTTGTACAGAGCATTACTGTCGCTGTAAAGACCTAATCTGGTTCTTGACAATGTAAATGAAGGGGTGTCCTTCAGCAAGTCACGTCCGTCACGTAGTGACAAGTAACTTCCCACCTCTCGTTCTAACAGTAGGCTAAGGAGGAATCTGGGTATCATAAGCCATCGATGATTAAACCAAGAAAAGAGAAAACGATATCTTCGATAATTTCTGAGTAATCAAACAAGGAAAATATTCTGATATTGAGAGACGATCGCAGCCTTTGGTCTCGCCCTACCAAGGGCACTGTGCGCTGTGCATGGCCCTCGAAGAAGTTGGATAACAAAAAAACCGACTGCGAATCAGAAATACTACACCCTCATACTCCTACCAAGTATTGAGTAGTTCTAATAAGAGCATGTAACGGAGAAACCAGGGAGCTCCAAGCATGGTTGCTGTCAAAAAAGAGCGTTCGTTGGCAGGTAACCCTGAGCAAATATATATCACCATGCGGGCTACTTCCGAGAGCTTCTGTTTGTCAGGCAGATATTATTGAGTTACGTATGCCTGGCACCGTAGAGACGGCGAGGTGCCGAGAAAGAGAGCAGTTCTCTCAGATTCTGTCAAGAGTCAAGCGGCTTCCCAGGGTCAGCGAAGACGGCAAACTTTGACAACGTAGCATTGGTTAAATCCCCGTCGATCTGTGTCTGTCTTACGTGCGGCCCGTCTATGGGGAAGAGGCTTTCTAGGCTGGGCCATACAGAAGCTTGAAAGACAGGTAAATTGTGGCCGGATGGGGTAATGAAGTTTGTTTAACATAGTCCATCAAACACTCTTCATAAGCGATGCGCTCACAGGATGTTTCGGCTGATTTGTTTGCCATGGGTAAGAAAAGCTCGATCGAGGTCGCATGACGGAAAGGCGCATGCATATACGATACAAATACCCTCAGCGGACGTTTTCGGGCATCCCACGCAAGAATATATCTATGCAATGCGCGCGAGTCTTACACCCAACAGTGGCAGGGGTATGGAGTGACACTTTTAAGATGTCAGGTCATCACCCCAGGATTGTGCAATACATTTTCGTACAGCGCATCGGCCTTACACGAACAGCTGGTGAAAGATAACAAAACGCACTTTAACAGTGCGTGGGGAGGGAGGGGGCAATTGGTATGTGTGACAACCGCGCATACACGCATCGGCCATCGGGACCTGTGGCGGCGCCCCTTGGAATCCCGAGAGGAGCTTTTATGTGTCGGTATGTCAAGATAGACTCCGTGCGCCAGGTAAAGAGAGACCAAGGGATCAAATCAGGAATATATTTGCTTTTTCATGGTCGGTTTATGATTCGTCACTTTACGTCGTGATGTCCATGATTCTAGGTCCGCTGGATGCCTTCTCTTGATCCCATCCGCTTTTTCCTTCCTGCATAAGTATATCCCAATGGTATCCGATGTTCTCTACTGTTGTTAGTCAAACGTAACTGAAAGTCTGTGAGAGCGACCAGTTGTGACACAAGAGCAACGTTTCCTGGTTTGTCGGCGAAAAGGATTCCCTGGAGACAAGGCGCAAAGACAGTAGGTTGACCTCCTGTACCACCATCATGTCGACCCCAAGTGGGAAATGTGCATATAACTAGTTCCGGCTGCCATCCGGCAAGCGAACGGGCCTGCCCGGAGTGTGAAGTTCGGCAACAAGACCTCAGGGGTTCATTGGCAGAGCTTCAACCATGTCGGTTAGAGTTCTTTGTGTTGTATATTCATTTCTCGTTTCCCGGTGAAAGGGACAGTTGTTTCATCGAATGATGCTTTTCAGAGTTCTGCCTCGCAGTTTAGAATCTGCCCACGCATATTAGAAGCACGACGTAAGAAGCATGAACAACAGCGGCGAACGGGACTATATCATTGGTAAAAGATAAGGGTCACCTGTCACTTATGCCACTGCATGTACAGAGTGCTCCATTTGAAGGGCCTATTATGCGCACCCTGAAACCATCGAGATTATATGCATTGCATCACAGCATACGCTGTAAGGCATGAGCAGCTGCGGGAGACCACCGTGTTAGCCAGTAATGTTCAGCACGACTTGGTAGCATGGCATAACCATAGTAACGATAGGATGCCGAATATCGAACGAGAGAAAGGCAAGGCTATTCGTTCATTTACTCGTTTCCTTAGTTTGCTTTTTTATCCCTCCTCCAAAATTAGATGAGTTGTCAATTATTTGGTGGTCGGAGTGTTTGCTTCAAACCCGCCATATATTGACTTTATTGTGGGAAAAGCGACTTCGAGAGCCACGTTACACGCTTCTCCGTCTACCCGTAATAGGCAAGCAGGGTCAGGTCAGACTGGTGTAAATATGGTACTAAACACTTTCCAGGCTATGGCCCGATTTGTCGTTGCTCAATACGGCGATTTGCATGTATGCTATGATGGCTTTCCCACCTTTGAGATACCTGACTTTGTGAGAGCGACTAGCAGATCTGACAACCGCCCGACGTGGCAACGATCGATTTCGTAGACAACTAGGCTAGGGCCAACATATCCCTGTCTGCGCGCGGGGGGTGGGGGTCATAAGAAACTCTGAATGAAGAAACTCGTCTGTCGAGATGGTGTTCTCTGTATGGGGTTTTGGTAGAAACTATCCCAGTATTTCGGCAGATCAGGGCCCTAAAAGATATGCCCGTTGCTGTCAGATTCAGTCGTGATTGAAAGGAACCAAGTTATATATCGAGCAAGTCGAAGTCAATATTCCCACAAATTCCAAGTTTTGAGTCGTGTGATTGGCCGATCGTTCGATCGCAAGCCAGCCATGTTTCGATTTAACTGAAACTTTACGTAGTAGATGGCAATGTACTAGGGATTTGGTGGTGGCCGGTGATGGGCTGAATCATGCCAGAAAAATAAAAATCTATTTATTTGCTGCAACAAATTCGACCATCGTTTCTTCTCGGATGCTGTGTGACAGCAGATATTGGTAGAGCCAGTTGATATACGTTTTTCAACCTTAAAAGGCCAAACCACAGAGCTCGGGGTCCAAGGAACCGGCTGCTTAGCGCAGAGGTACTCCGTATACACGGTACGAGGAAACTGATTATTGGAACGCCCTTGGTCTTTGCGTGGATGACTTTTCGGTTCGCGCTTGTCACGTCCTTCAACCTGGTATCGACTCTCCCTCGTAAGGACAGATTTGCAGAATAGTCTTCTGAGCGCCTCAAAGCCCGAACGCATGGATATCGTTTTCTTTTCTTTTTGGTTCCTCTTTCTTTCTTTCTTTCCTTTTTTTTTCCCTTTACTCCCACTGCAATTTTATCAAGGCAAAACCTGAATTTGCAAGTCGATAGTGGCTTGAGAGTAAACGGAGATTCGATGCCAGATCAAGGTTTCTTGCCTTGCAATGTACAGAGTAGACACTCCACAGGTCTGTATTTGGTCAACTGTTCCTGGCAATAATCTGTTGTTCGGCATTTGGTTTTCAGGGCGATTAGCAACCGTCAGCCGTAACGCAGGCATTTTGACTCCCGTACCTATATTGACATGTCCCAGGGTATGTTTGATATCATCCACCCCGCGTCTGGTGGATGCAAACTGTAGTTTCTTTGCCATGTGGATACGGAGGGCCATGGAGAAGGAGTAATAATATGGCTCTTTTCTTCTTCTATTTCCTCCTCTGCTCCCTCTAGGCTCCGCGAGGGCCTTAAGCCTGTCACCGAGCAGAAGAAAAGAGATGTAGGGTAAAAAAGAAAAGGGAAAGAACCACAATCGTGTCTTAATATGGGATTATGCCATGTAGTATTCCATCAGACCAACTTGAGATACTGGGAATTGGCGTTATGCCTGAGAATGGGCGTTAATTCATCCTGCTTCTGAGGCAACCCAATCTGTGGCGGGCATCAGGGAATGCTAAAACGCCTCACCCTCGGAGATCTCACTCCATAAAGCTCGAGATGCAGCCTTTTGGATCCACCAACCTCCATTGTCAGTGCTCTTTGGGACATGTCAGAGAGTACTTTTGGGGGTCTGATGCTATTTTCTGGCTGGATCGTTAAGTTAAGCCCTGCGGCAGAGCATGATATTCTGACGGCAGAGCAACTACCTCGTTAGCTTGAACCCCTGACCATCAGCTATTGGTCCCTAGCGAAAGGGCCGAGCATCGTATCATTGAACAAGCAAGTGGGTGCTCGAATGATGCTGAGCCTGGGAACAAGCAGCAGGACACACTTTCTTTTTTTTCGTCAGGCCAGGCAAATCAGTCTGATGGGGAGCTTTTCTGTCCGACCGAATTTGCTTTTTTGCCATACCCTCCTCCAAGCCCTCCACAATCGGACCAGATCAGGACAGGCCCTTTCAAGCGTCTTTGCCCCTGTCATTCTTCTTTTTCTTCTCGCCCATAACAACCCATGGCGATCAGTGTGTGGATCCAAGGAAATCCCACCCACCTTCAGACGGTGGTGGCCGCTGGACGGTGTTCGATAACAGACGCAGGTGTGCCTTTTGATACATATATTACTCGCCTGTCTCTTCCCCAGCATCACCTAGAAGCATTCCTTGCAAACGGAGTACCATCTTCTGTGACGTTTTCTCAGTTTGGCCTACATCAGCCTATATATCATACACTCCCTTCGTCAGCCTGAAGATTGAACTTTATCGGCGTTTGATACCTAACTCACGCTTAAACACTGAGCCGGTTTACTGGCTTCAACCCGACCCAACGTCTTCGAGCAGTACAAAATAAACATATATATTGCCATATCCCATAACCGCCTCGTCATTTGGCATTTATTGAATGATACTGGTGCTGCTTCCTACGATTTTGACACTCAAATTTTAAATCTCTCTGCAGAATTGGGCAGTTATCAGGAAATATGACGGTCGCCTACTCAACGGTACTATCAGATCACCGCGCGGAGAAGCTCCCCTCATTTAGAGAGGTAGGAATATAATGAGACTTGATCCCATATCCATGTGAAGCACTGTTTTCTAACTTTGTTTAGCTTCTGCCCGATCATCTCCATGATGAAATAGAGGGTGGAGTGTTTTATACTCAGTCTAATCAGAACTGGAGGCGAGGCTCGCTGCCGGATACCATGCCACCGCCCACTCAACACACTGATAGGCTTCCATCCAGACTGTTTGCCAGAGATAGTCGGTTTGATGATGTTTCCCTGCGACCAGACAGGTTCATGGGAAACAGTGCCAAATCGTCAAGTCAACAGCCCCACGTAGCGGAATCGAAACCCCAAATGTCTGCCTCACAATCACATTCCCGTCCTAAACTTACTCTTAACGAGATCAACCGGTCATTACCCCCTCCTGTCCCATCCCCATCAAGGGAATACTTCGTCAAGGTTTCGCCGAATGCCAACAGCAACGCCATATATGCACCGCTGAACGGTAGAGGAAGAAATGAGGGGGAGTTATCGAGCTACTCAATATCATCTCCCAGGAGTCAATTATCTTTCGATTCCTCGAATTTCTCACATTCATCTTCTCCAGTCAACATGATGTCTTCCTGTGATTGCCGCGATCAACTGTCATACCCTTCTTCATATGAGCATCCTCACGCTTGCGACAGGGCGTATCCCCAATCAACGTTTGGCCATTTTAGACCAGCCTCAGGCTTTTGCCTCTCAGAATGTGAACTTGGTGACATGAGAGAGAAAAAGAGGAGAGGGAACCTGCCAAAGCCAGTTACAGACATGCTCCGAGCCTGGTTATGGGAGCATCTTGATCATCCATACCCAACTGAAGAGGATAAACAGATATTTATGAGCCGGACCGGATTGACTATTAGCCAGGTAAGCCTTCATCCATACTCTTTTAGTATGGCGGCCTTCACAAGAACTAACATGTCCGTGTTTCCAGATCAGCAACTGGTTCATAAATGCCCGGAGGAGACAGGTGGCAACTTTGCGTAGCCAGGTCAAGGCTCGCAATAACTCAGAAAGCGACAGCAACAGTAGCCGGAGAAATAGCAGCCCTCGTCACAGTGACGATGACTCGGACTATTTGCGGACCCCATCCGAAAAACACTCACGCCTTCCTTGATTAGTTCCTTTATTATACTTTTGTTCTCTCTTCAGACTCAAATTTTTCCTTAGCCTGTCATAGCCCATGTAATTTTTAATTCAGACCGATGTTGCCGATTTTTAGGTAGTGTCTCTTTCTATGAGTGTACAACAAGGCGACAAATGTTTCGGTGAAAACTCCAGGCATATCCCGAGCCTTTCATATTTCTGACTGACCTTATTTCTGGTACTATATCAGTAGACGAGACTAAGTTCTCACGTATTTGGTTTAAACTGTGTCTGGTATTCTAGCAAACCGGCAGGCGGAGTAAGTAGAGTCTTCGGGATCTTAGCCACCCCTCGCCACACTTCGAATGGATCACTTTCAGACATGACTGTCATCCATGACAGCTTAACATCAGCCGTTAGCCGATCAATGCATTTTGCATGAAACTTGATGCAGGGGTTCCATTCCCTGTGCCCCAGGTAAACATATTCACCTGATACCATATCCTCAATCGATCAAAACCCACGGTCAAGGCCAAAGCTAAGTAGAATTATGTTGGAACCAGCCATTTTACTGTCCTACCGAACCCTTCGTTAAGTTGGCAAGGTACGGCCAGTGGCTAGTAAACCATCTCGCGACGATCGTATATTTTAACTTGCTTGTCTGGTTCTCGGCCTACCAGCCCGTAAAGTCTCTCGATCACGAGCCCATCCGCATCGATGTATATAAAAAAGAGATTTGGTAATTGCGATGAGTGGTGGGATCTACAAGCGGATCAGCCATGGTTGGGTGGCGTCTCTGTAAGCCTCCTAATCCGGGCATTCGAATCCTTGATACTGAAGACCCTCATTCGACGGCCCGAGGCACATATGTGCTAGTTCTCCGTATTTCGACTGCTGGTATTTCGTAACATACGGAGTACGTCGAGAAGAAACTTATGGGATCTGGACTGCCAGAGGATATCGGGATGGCCACAGCGATCCGAGCACATACCGCTCCACCTATGTGGTATATCTCATCCGTGAGCGACGCGTCCCCAATTAAGTGGCATGTGGCTAAGTCGCAAGTGTCTTGAGAGTCGAGCGTCCGGGATGTAGGCGGACTTGGCAGCAGAAGTCACTCCTGTCAGTGGCATGCTCAGTGCATTTGGTATCCCGGCCATAAGATGCGGTGTAAAAGTCGACTGCGCTGGCTGCAAGGCTAGAAGTTGTTCCTCAATCGAAAAGTGGACGTTGTTTCTTTTGCGAATAGACGAGTGAAAGTTGCGAAGGTTACATTAGAGTTTTATATCCAATTCTACGTTTTAGGCCTAGCGCAACCCCTGAGTATTATATAATTATACTTGCTTATTAATAAACAGTTATTAGGGCATAGGGCTTTTAACTTCACGTGATAGAATTTGACATCATGTATGATATACAGACAGATTGAAGGATAGAACAAGGCAGACGAATGACGAATAAGCTTGGTAATTTGAACTACGAGTGTTGGGTATCGCTATTTGCTTCCCAGGCTCTGCCGGCGACTAGCAAACTCTGGATTTGAACGCCTCGCGGAGCCTCCACCTGTCCTCGTTGATCCCCCGCTATTGACCCTGATAAATCGCAATCGCCAACCTCAGCCCCCATGGGGACGACTTTGCAGAGCCTGAGTGCTCTCATGCAAAGATCTACTATAGATGATCATGAAGAATTCATCAAAGCCTGCAACTCGATATTAAAAAAGTCTCGAGCCGATGTGGACGCACAGCATATCAAAACTATTGCGCTTATCAAATTGGACCGATTTGAGGATGCGATTCGCGTGATTGAGGAAGGGGGCGATGAGTTGAAGAAAAGGCTGCCGCTTGAATGGTCTTATGCGCTGTATAAATCTGGGAAGTTGGACGAGGCGATGTCAGTAGCTGCCTCTGTTGGTCCTGAAAGAGGTGCAAAGCATGTTGAATCACAAGCGGTTCGTGTCCTATCACCTATCAGTTAGTCAAAAGATATTGCCTAAAACCAATAATCTCCCTTCCTCTTTTATATGGTTCGAGCTCCCTCAGAAACGTTGCTAATCCATTAATATTATAGTCCTATAGAGCTGAAGATTTTGACCGGACTCTCAAGATCTACCAAGATTTGATCGGGGATGAGAGAGCTTCCACAGGGGAGCTCACTGATTTGCAAATCAATATAGCAGCAACTGAGGCTCAAAGGCTTTGGGCAGGGAAAAGTAGCCTTGCATGGGATATGGTACCAAATCGGCATGGTTTGGATCTGGATGTTTTTGAGACCGCTTATAATGTAGCATGTGAACATATAGCCAGGGGCAGTTATGAGAAGGCACTGGAACTTTTGACGATATCAAAAGGTATGTTATCTACGAATATCGTTCTAGGTGCTTTCTGACATAAGAGAAAGGACTATGCGAAGCGTCTGACGAGCTTTCCCCCGAAGACAAGAAAGCAGAAATGTTGCCCATCACAATCCAGGAGGCACATGTCTATTTGCAGCAGGGGAAGGTTGAAGAGGCAGAAACGCTTATTAGAGGCATTGACTTTGCCGAGTATGTACACTCACCCGGAACTGGGACTATCGTTAGGCCAATGTAGCTGACATGCATATGCAGGATTACCGAATCTTCTACTAAGATCATTGCTGAAAATCTCGCTCTTCTTACAACCGATCATAACCTTAACCCTTACATCAAACACAAGAACTTCGGACGAACTTCGAGACCGACTGATAACGATAAATTATTTTCCTATCAGAACGTCACCTTGAACAGAAATGCTTTTGTCATCGATCTCATGGTCCAGAAGTTTGATGGAGTTTCAAGGTCGACATCTAAAACTCTTTCACGCCCCTCTTCTACTACCCTTTCATCAGATATAAACTCTCTCGCCGTGTTCAATGCTGCCGCCCACACGCAGGGAGCTGAAGGCAAGAATGCGATAAAGAAAATATCATCTCTTGCTGAAATACGTCCTCATGATCTCGGCCTCATCTTGGTTCTTACTCAACTTCATGTGGCAGATGGAAACATCAATGCCGCAATATCCACGCTAGAGAGTTTCTCCAAGAAATTGGAAGCAACTGGTGATGACTCTCAGATGATGGTTCGATTTAGCCCTGGCTTGGTGAACATCCTAGTTACCTTGTACAGAACTCAAGGTCGCAAACATCATATAAATTCCGAGCTATCAAAGGCTGCAAAGTATTGGCTGGAGAAGGACCCTTCTTATCACCCAATACTACTACTACGCGCGGCGGCAATATCTCTCTTTAACTCACATGACTCGGCAGACATATCGACTGCTACCGGAATATTTGCCCATCTCCATTCAAGAGATGGCACTGATCGCATCGCAACTGCAGGTTTTGTCGCCTCTCATGCCATTTCCTCGCCGGCTCTTGTTGAGTCCCCCGTGAAATCCCTTTTGCCCGTCCAAGAGTTGATTGCCGGTGTAGATGTGTCCTACCTGGAAAACGCCGGCATTCAACTCCCTGTGAGCACAGCTGCCTCTACTTTAAGACAAGGCCAGAAACGGCGAGCACCGGACGCGGCGAAGAAAAATAAACGGATCCGAAAAGCGAAGAATATGGATCCAAACGAGAAAGTTGACCCTGAGAGATGGCTTCCCTTGAGAGACCGATCGAGCTATCGACCTAGAGGCAAAAAGGGCAAGCAAAGGGCAGCTGACCGAACCCAAGGTGGTGTAGTCAACGATAAGGCAGAAGATGGCCATGGTTCGTCTACACCTGCAAAGGCCGGTAGCCAGGTGATTGCAAGCACAGGAGGCACAAGGAAGAAAAAGGGAAAGGGGAAGAAGTAGTTCAATCGGCCCCCTGCTTGCCTGCTTCTTACCTTTATGATATGCTACCTTAGCCAACATATCGATGTTGATAGAAACCGTCCTCGTAGCAAAATTATATACCATTTAATGAACAAACATAGAGGCCATCATACTCACCAGCCCAAAATCTGCTTTTTACCATATTACCTACCTACCTAGGGTAGTGAGCCAGCTTCCAAGGTTGCGAGCAGCCCTGGTCGCCGAGATAAATTGATAAGATCGAATCTGATAAGGCGTGTAGCCAATCACGTGAATATCTGCAGGGCGTTGAAAAAAACTTTCCTTAAAAGGGAATCGAGACAACTTCAATTGATCGCGTTGTTTGTTTTGAAGCGTCCACTAATTGATACCACAGCCATTGTCCGGTGAAAAGTGAGGCAAGGAGAAACAACCCCAAGATGGCACCCTCCAGATCGTCAACGCCAGCCTCATCTCTCACGCAGGCTTACTTATTCCTGTACAACCTAGTATCCCTAGGGCTTTGGGGTACACTCACTTTCCGCCTGTTTTCTTCTCTCTTCCAGATATACAGTGGCAGCAATGGCAGCCAGAGCGAAGGGATTGCCGGGCTTTTTGTCTATCTCTTCCCCCTGCTCCGGACCACTCAATCACTCGCCACCTTGGAGATTCTTCACTCCTTGTTCGGACTTGTTCGAGCGTCTGTGATGACTACCACCATGCAGGTAGCCAGCAGGCTACTGCTGGTCTGGGGAGTCATGTACGTCTTTTCGCCATTCAGTCCCACTCTACCGATCTTCGAATTAGAGGGCACGGGGGCGAGCAAATATTTTCTTCTCGGTCATGGGATGAGTTCTGCCCAGCTGAGCGATTGGGGGTTTATTGGGTGTCTGTTTGCATGGGGGATTACGGAGTGTATTAGATATGGCTTTTTTGTCTTCCAGATTCTGGGACAGGGTATTCCTAAAGCCATATTGTGGTTGAGGTTCGCATTGCCCCCACTCCCTCTCATCCGTGACAACCGCATTGATAACCTTTTTACCCTTTAACTCCAGATATAACACGTTTTTCATCTTATACCCAGTTGGGATTTCAAGCGAATGCTTTTTGATCTACCTTACGGTGGTCAATGCAAGCGGTCTGCTTGCCATCTTCCGCTTTGCATTCATTGCTATTTTACTCGTTTACATTCCTGGTATGACCATTATATGCATAAACCCTGCCATCTGATAGCTTACTAAGTTGATAATTCAGGGTCCTATATATTGTTTACCCACATGATGGTGCAGAGGAGGAAAGTGATGAAGGCTGAGGGCAAAAAGAAAGCCCTTTAAGAATTGCGCCCTACCCTACACGCCAGCGACATTGAATTAAATACGTTTTCAACTAGACGGGGTCTCTACAGAATAGAAGTCTTTTAATTAATATTATAATCTCATATATCCTTCATTAGATCCCTAATGGCTTTTGCAGCAAACTTCTTCCTTTCCTGGTCAGGTAAATCTGCCCCCATGTCTTTTATGGCCTGCACTCTCATCATTAGCCCTTCAAGTTGCTCGACTTGAAGGCTGTCATCTCCGATATCCTCAAACTTATCATCAATGCTGCCATCATTCCTTTTGCTGTTGATAGCAAGCCGAAGACCAGCCATTTCCTTTTCAAGCTCATTAGCTTCTAGAGCGAAACCTCCAATGGCCTCCTCGTCTCCGTGTAAGCTAATCGACTCCAAATCGTACTCCGCGTCATCTGAGGCTGAAGACGACCATTGGTGAGTTTCTAATACTTCCTGCACTCTTGCAATGCCCATGAGTTCTAGAGAGACGAGTCAGCTAGTCACAGTCGCGTACTCAGAGAACAGGGGGTTGTTACCTCCATATTCGTTTCTTGCTTTGGGATCCTCAGTGGTTCCTTTAGGATCCCAAAACACTACCTCAAGTCCAGAGCCAACTCCTAGATCACTCAACTCCTCGTCCCACCATAATGCTCCATACTCCGCTGAATCCGCTGAAGCATCACCATCGTCATGCTTACTTGCAGCGGAGATACCTTTCTCACACTTATCCCCCACCAACACAATCACACCAGGGATATCACCTATCTCACCTCTCTCTTCCTCGGCCAGCGCTTTGACTTCTATAACCGCACGAGCAAGATCTTTAGTCCTGTCCACCGCGCGTTGAAAAATAGCGCTGTCAGTGTTTTCACCCCCATCCATCATCCCCTCCCTTAGTAAAGCCGGATCAGGCGGTTCCGGCTTTTGCGTGCAGACTATTATTGCCCCTATGGCATCCCTGACCTCCCGCGCCTCTTCGCTGGCGAACTCCTTTCTCCAAGCCTCGGGGGAGCTTGCGCTATCCCCCCCGGCCGACGACGAGGAAACATCCGATGAGGGTATTAATGGAAGTGACGGAACTTCGTCGACCCATAGTGGTATATCCGCGCTGTAGTATTTTGTATTTAGCTGTAACGGCGCGTGTGTGGTGTATCCCGCAAATGACGCCGGTGGTGGGGTAGTAGCTGTACATGCGACGTCTGAGATGTCGATTGTCGCATCACTGTCTACAATACAAGTTAGAATGGGTACTTAGACTCCAATCTAGGCGGCTATCGGTCGGAGATTTCTCACCAGTTTGTTTCGTGTCGGATTTCAGCGAGGGGAGAATGGGCGGCTGGCCAGTCAGGCGGGTGAGGAAGGGTGGGATAACTGTTTGAGATTCCGTACTCGGAGCTAGAATCAGGAGCCGGCGAGGGTTTGAAATTTGGTTGACCTTGTTCTTTGCCTTCTCCGGCCGCTTGAGAGGCGAAGACATGGTGAATTGTGTCGGTACCGTATATTTGTTCGGAGTTGTTGACTTTGAGACTGAGAAAGCATACGATATTCAACATCACACGACAGGATACGATGAAACAGGTCAATTTGAGATGCACAAAAACAACCGCAAATGGTGCTTTATATCGATATTCGTACCAGGGATATCAGAAGAATCTATACTGTTATTCTGAACTTCTTGATTAAAACCTCTATTTCTTTCCGTCTTGACCTGGCTGGAAATAACACAGACCGACAATAGACCTGCATGACTAGATAATAAAAAAAGCCGTTACATCAAGTATATTTCGTTCAGCAACAGTGTTCGCAAACAAACGGGAAGAAAAAATGATCAAATGAATAAAAACGCCAGCCCAATAACTTCATTTCTATCGTTGGACCCTTAGCCTCTTCGCTGGCCTCTTGCCCTGTTAACAGTTGCTCTGCCTCTCGCCAAACCAACACCTCGTCCTCGCTGGCCTCTGGATCGGAACATTGGAGCATTTCTGGGGAGGAAAAGGGACGGGTTAGTCATATATAGTTACAGGTGTAGAATAGGCTGGCGTGGGATGATTGATAGCACTCATACCTTAACATATCGGGAACAATAAAGAATTTGACATGACTTCCGCGGATATACACTTGGTCTAGATGCGATACACGGCCGTCTCGTGCTGTAACAGTGATATCCTTGAGTTGTACGTTCATGTTATCCTCAGCTATAGCAAAATCATCAGCGAGCAAATTCGAGCAGTGTGGAGGGAGCGACAGAAGCGTAAGGAGGATATGGGTCGAATCGCGTTAACGCGGTGATTGCGCGCACCTTCAAGGAGTTTCCCTCTGTAGACATGTCCGGATGTGATCTCGAGAGTAACGACGTGGCCCTGTAATTAGACGACTATCAGCCATTTGATCCCCTCCCGTGAGTGAAAGGTGCAGGTATAAGAACAAAATCGGGTGCAGAAGCAGGTATTTTGCCGTCTCGGGGAGAAAAACAGACCTGTGCCTCATTAAGAAGTTTGATAGGAATGCCGATGGTACTGGTCAATTTACCCATGGTGAGTGATGCTAAGGAGGATCGAGTAAAAAGAAGAGAACAAAACCCCGCGGAGTATAGAGTGCAATCGAAAAACAGCAGTAAAATCAAGCAGAACCGTTAGTCCAAATCAAGGCGCGCGCGTCAAAGGCAGCTTTTGTTCGTTGGTCACTCGATCTTCCTTCCCGCTTGGTTTTGGTGATTTTGATATCGAGAAGAAAAGAAGAAAGTTTGCTTGGTTTGAGCTTCCACGCACGGACCACCATGGGAAGTTATGACTTCACCAGCTTCAGTCGCCTTCACACCAACAACATCAACAAAGACAGCAGCGAGAACAGCAACATATACCCATTTGATACCATTTACACCGAAAAGGGACACTACAAATAGCCAATTGCAAGTCAAACCTCGGCATTAGCAGAAGCAGAAGCAACAATGCCGCTGTTCAACACCAACTTCGCCGGCTTCAACTCACGGCATCAGCGTTCATGCGCAATCCCTCGCTCCTAATACCACACCTTACCATCTCAACATTCCTACAACTACCAGAAGACCTATCCTACCATCTAATTGACTCCGTTGCACCCGAGGCCGCCGGGGCACGACCACCCACCATCCGAGCGCTGGTGATAGACAAAGACAACACCCTAACGCCGCCTCACAAACTCACTTTTCCAACAGCCTACTACGAGAAACTGAAACAGCTACGGACAAGCGAGTCGTCGCCTTTCAACATGCATACGAATCCGGACGGGATACTAATCGTATCCAACACCGCCGGATCAGACCCGCGAAGCAAGCGGTATGAAGACGACGCGAAGAAGCTAGAAGAGTATCTTGGGAAGTTGGATATTAAGGTGTTCAGGGCCCCTGGAGGGGGGTCGGCGGTGAAGAAGCCGATGTCGTATGCGGCTGTGTTGGAGTATTTGAAGAGTCGGGGCGTGGTGGAGAGGGCGGATGAGGTGGTTGTTGTTGGGGATCGGGTGGGAACAGATGTTCTTATGGCTTCGATGATGGGGTCGTGGAGCGTGTGGACGAGAGATGGCGTGACGCAGGATATGAAGGGGAGAGAAGGGCAGAGTTATCGAGGTGTTTTGGCGGGGGTGGAGAGGTATTTGGTGAGAAAGCTGCAGCGGAGCGGAGTCAAAGCTGCGCTGCCGAAGGCGTGGCAGCATCTTTAGGGGTTTGATTTTGGTTGTTTTGTGTTGGAGTTAGAGGGTCTAGACGGTCTGGAGCATGGCGTTTTACGGGGGTGTTTGTTTGTGGGGGTTTACATCGTTAACACTTGTGGTAATGGTATGGATGATGTAACAGTAAAGCTATAAATAATATCATATTTGAAAAACACTTCTGAGAGAATCCGGGAAGGTAAAAAGAAAAGTGGTGTGAGTGAGCCTTGCTAAGTACACGCATCATATTTCCTCAAAGACAAGCATTGATACGATTGAGAAGATACACAAAGCAAGGGTAGAGAGTAATTCGGGTCGGGTCGGTCATGAGACGGGTACGTAACAAGCTTCAAGGATGGGAACGAGAGGTGCAAGGGGGGAGTAAAAAAGACATCTGCTTTTCTTGTTTGTTTTGGTTCATTCCATATTCCTCCCAGTACCAATTGGCAGACGGTTCCTTGCCCGTGCTCATGGTAATTAGAAAGCAAAAGTTAAGAAGGTAAGGGGTTGTTAGGTGAAATAAGTAAAAGATAACATCGGTTGGGCATCATTAATTCCCAGAGAAAATGCAAGAAAAAAAGAGAAGAGAAACGGGAAAGGGAGATGGGTAAAATAAGAAAGAAAAGGAAGCGGAGAAGGTTGCCATGGAAGGGGGGGGTTATATATAAGTGGGTGGTAGAAAGTAGAAAGGGGGTTCATAAAAGTCAATAAGAGTAGAACAAAAAATAAGAAGAGAAGTAAAAAAAAAAGAAAAGAAGTTAAAAAAAAGATTGCACTGCAAAAGGGTGACTGCACTGCAACGTAAGGAATAAAATAAGGTGAGAGGAAAGGGGGTCATCTACAGGCCCGGCCGTAGTCTCAAGAAGTGAATATAAATCCTAAAAAGGAAAAAAAAAGGCGTAAAGATGGCAAGATGATGCCAGATATAGAAGAAGCAAAATGGTTGTAGTGAGTTGGCTAGAAAGTTAAAAAGAACAAAAACCAACTCAACCAAAAGGTGTGTGGTAATGTGATACCATGAGTAGGGCGGTGACCGTCTGGATAGGAGAAGAGGGTTTGATGAAACAGTTTTACCCATGACATCAAAACCTTATTATGCATATCATCCCGTCCTCAGCTTGCTCGCCTTGCGGGATATCCCTGGCTTCTCTCAAGATTCAGCAGCAAGGGTGCTTGGGTCTACTGTGCCGCTGTCAAAGCCCATACCCATCATGCCGTGACCGTGACCGTGGCCGTGTGCCCTTAGACCCTGGAAGGTCATTGCAAAGGACTCGTCCATTTCCATGCCTGGGGAGGTGATGGCGCTGCTACACCCTAGGTTCTGCTTAGCGTATAGATCGCTGAGCATGATGCCGTCATCTACGCCTGTGGTTGTGACGGTTGAGGCGAACATGCTGGTTGGAGACGAGCGTTGGGTGGCAGTCAATGGAGGCGAGTGGCCGTTGGAGGAGGCCGATTGGGTCTGATGTTGTTGGGGAATGCTGTGGGGGTCAGAGTCGATGTCGATGTCGACTGCTGGTGAGGGAGAGAGGAACGGCAAGCTAAATGGAGTTCCCAGGGGTTGAGGGTGGTGGTCTGGCGCGCTGCTGAAGAGCGGGGTGGACACAAAGTCGGTTCCAGGAGTAGAAGCCGCAGCTGCCGTGGTTGCGGATGCAGGATACATGCTGAATGATGGTGGTGGTGGCTGGGTCGCAGATGTATCGACGTGGAGGTCGGGTTCACCCATGTTCAGGGGAAGTTGAAACTGCGAGTGTGCAAGGGGTATGGGAGCGAAGATGTCTGGGTGGTGGTGCTCCTGGTGCTGTGGGGTGCTTGGCTGGAAGGGGTTTGCGGATTGGAAGTGGAAAGCCGGCATGGCGTGTAGGGCAGCAAAGTCAACGGGTCCAGGCACCGATCTGCTGCGCTGGCGTTTGTGGCCTCTGTTGGGGTGTAGACCTCCTACAGACAGGTGGTTGTCTACAGAGAGGCGGTTCTGGGCTCGTGAGAACTGGTTTGGCTGCGAGGCAGGGCGATGGAGAGGCACAAACTGTGGAGAGCCATCCATAAAGGGGGTGTTTGGTGTGAACGGGTAGGCTGGAACATGGCGGTTCTGGAACGTTTCAAGTGAGACAAGCTTGGCCAGCTGGACGCTCAAGACCTTGGGGTGGCCTCCGAGATGGTGAACCAGCGACTTGGTAGCCTGCTGTTCCTCCGTGAAGTCGCCGCACTGGTAGAAGCCGCCTGAGTTGGAGGAGTCCATGTAGAAGTTTGGAGGACGGTTTAGCTCGATGACTAAGCCGCCTGATCGGGGAATAGCACCGTCCAATGGCGGGACAGGGTCACCGGGCTCGAGAACGATGTTCTTGATGCTCGAGAAGGGGTACTCGATCTTGTAGCCGGCAGAGTCGTTGTTTATGTAGTAAGTCATGCATGCCTGGTCGGGAGAGTAGAAGATGACCAGGTCCATGGTGTTTTGGCCCACACGGCGCCAGGTGCCGATGCGGAGAGAGCGGCATGCAAAATGCTGGATCACTATGGATTGTTAGTCAAAGTAGAAAATAGATAGATATATATATATAGAGAGAGATCTACGTACCAACTTTAGACGAGGTGGCGGATTGCATCATGGGCTCGTTCGAAGGATAGCCCCCCGCACGGCCTAGCATGTTTCGCGCATTCGAGCCGGCAGGATCCAGCTGGAGTGCAAGGTATCTTCGCATCGACTCAGGGACGGCATCACAGTCTTCCCCGGTCTCGATGCCCCGTTTGGCAATCATCTTGATCTTAGCACGCCTAACAAATAAACAAAAGTTAGTATATTAGAATTTGGTACCTGGAGAGGCTGAGCCAATCGAATAGCTGAATTAGGTTTAGCGTACCTGTTCTGGAACCAGATCTGCACCGAACGCTCGGTCATGTTGATATCCTCCGCGATCTGCTCTCTGACAGCAGCTGTGGGAGTGGGATTCTTCTTGAACTCCATCTCGAGGGTGACGAGCTGGTCCTGGGTGGCGCGTTGGCGCTTGTGGTTCTTCTGCTGCTGGGTCAGGGTGCTCTTGCGTGGAGGCCTGCGGGAGGCGGGGCGAGCAGCAGCAGGACTATCACCTGCCGTGGCGTTCGCACTGGCCATAGAGGCGGTTGTAGTGACCGTACTTGTAGCAGTGGCGGCTGTAGCGGATGTGGAGGAAGAGGTCTGGGAGGCGGCTGTTGGAGGAGGCGTGGCTAGCGACATGGTATCTGTGGGAGTAGAGATGCCAGCACTCGTCGCAAAGGGAGAATCTGACATGATTGGCATGCTATGGTTGTTCTTCTTCTTGTTGTTGTTCTTGTTGTTGATGCAGTAATCAAACCATGCGTCACCCCTAGGAGGATAAATCGGGAGCCAAACACGGAATAAAAAAGGAGTTGTAGAAGAAGAAGTAGTAGAAAGGAGCTAGAAAACCAAACAAGGACGTCTTCGTCTCGTTGTTTGATGAATGAATGATCGCCGCGAGCCAGTCGACAAGGAGGTTGTTGGTTGAAGCGATGATCGTGAAGTCGTCGTAGGAGCAGAAACTCGAAACGTCAAGTTCGAGATGAAGTAAGAAGGGAAGCCAGAAGGGAAAGATAAAAGAGCGAAAAGGCAGCCCCAAGAGTATCCGGCTGGCGCGCGCAGTGAAAAAGAGTGGGCAAAACCCGCTTCTCTAAGTGAAGTATCCAGACATCGACGAGAAGAATGAGAAGCGTAGGCTGAGGATGAAAAAGGAGCGGATGGCTTTCAGTTGATGTTGTTGTTTTGAGGCGACCGGACTTCTTGTCTCAGACACGTCGAGTCGAGACAGCAGGACGCAGAAAAAAAGGGAGGGAAAAGAAAGACAGTGAATGAATGTAGTAGTCCAAGCTGGTTGATCTGGTCGAAGTAAGATAAAAAGAAAGAAGTGAGATATCTCAAAGTAAAAGAGTGTGGGTGTTGATGTTGTTGTTGTGGTTGTTGGAAAAAGAGTTGCTGGACCAAGGCAGCAGCAGCAGCAGCAGCAGCAGGCTGAAGAGCGAGCGCGAGCTGTAAGAAGACGTAAGTAAGAAAAACGAGCGACGAGCCGTGTAAAGGAGCGGACGGCAAAGAAAGAATGGAAGAAGAAGAAGAAGTAGAAGAAGAAGTGAAGAAGTGAAGACGACGAAAAGACGAAAAGCTGGAGAAGTTGAAGAAGTTGAAGAAGTCGAGGAAGAAGAAGAAGAAAAGAGAAAAGGTCGAAGGTTGCGTTGCTGGTGTGAACGTCGCGAAGAAAAGAAGAAAATAGAAGAATAAGAAAAGAAAAGAGAGAAAAAGGAAAAAAAGGTTGAGGCGTTTCAGGCGAAGCGACAAAAAGTGACTTTGGCTGACGTAGAAAGTTGTAGGAGGAAGAAGTAGACAAGAAGTAGAAGCAGGTGAGTAAGCAGGTTAAAGATAGAAGCAGAAGAGAAGAAGAAGCAGTAAACAGGAGAAGGAGACAGGAAACAGGAGTAAGAACAGGAGTAAGAACAGGAGTAAGTAAGAGAGAGAAGACAGGAGGTGGTCGGAGGTGGTCGGAGGAGAAGGAGTCAGACTGGCCTGACCCTAGAACGTAGACGCCAGACAGACGAGAAACACGACAGACACAGACACAGACAGACAGATGATGCTGCCTCTTCCTCTTCTACTGCTTCTTCTACTGCTTCTGGGAAATGCAAGGAAGACGCCAGGCACAGGGAGGGGTCTGTTTCAGACGCTGCTCCTGACCCGTCGCCCTTGTCGCCCTTGTCCTCCCTCTCTTCCCTCTCTTCCCTAGTTAGGTGCTCTCTTCCTCCGGCGCGGCCAGGATGTCCCCAGGAACACTGCATAAAGCAAGCACACCCTCATCACGCCAGCGACAAGAGCAGCAGCTTCCTCCGAGTGTGACGGTCGGTTAGCTACTCGAGCTGCCTTCGCGACTAGTACGGGGCGCCCTCGTCTACCACCGCCCACGCTAGGCCAGCGCTGATACCGGATAGCTGCCTGATACCGTCCGAAGGGGGCTTAACCTACTCCGTCCGCTCCTCCACATAGGAAGGTGGAAGGCTGAAGTCAAGAAGCTGGAGATGGAGATGCAGATGCGATCACGATGAGATCACGATGGGCTCGCCGCTCGCCTACAGCTTGACCTTGACTAGTTACCTAAGTTACGGAGTACTTGCGTGCTGCCCCGATCAAAGACTACGGAGCCTGCCTGGTGCTAGCGCGAGAGATCCGCTGCAGCTTAACCGGACGTACATAAGACATCTAATTTAATTATAGCTTTGCCCGTCGAGAAAAAGGTCGGGTCACTCGCGAGTCGAGTTCTGGATCTTTGGCTTTTGCTTTGCCCTGCAGCGCGGGTGTCGGCTTGCCCTGCACGAACGCACCTGATCAGCCAGTCCATCGTACATCCCTGCTCCGGAAGAAGAAAAGAGAAGACGACGAAGTGGAAGAAGTGGAAGAAGTGGAAAGATGATGGAAGATGTGTTGATAGAAAGATGGTCAATTTCATGGTGGCGTCTCTTTTACTCCGCCGTCTATGTACTGAAAGCTGAAAGGATTGGTATATACAGAAAGAAATATCATGGAGCCGTCAAAGGAAGAAAAGAAGAACGCCACACAAGCCATAAGAACAGCAAGATGAACATCAAGACGAACATCGATAAGAGAAGAGAACAGCTGAAGGGTCATGGATGGAGACTATCCTGCCCCTGCTGTATCTAACCTGGTATCAACTAAGGTAGCACTGACGAACCTTACTTGACCCGCACGCCCAACGCCGAAACATTCCCTGCCCAAGACGCCCTATTCCCTCCCCCGGGTACAGGTAGGTACGTCAGGAAACAAAATTGAAAATCGTAAACATCGCGTGTTGAAGTGTTTTGGAAAAGAAAAGAGGAATCAATTAAAAAAAATTCATGGGCGGTCACTTGATGTCCTGCCCGCGGCGGATAGAGCCAAATCCCTTAGAGAACAGCTCATGCATGTCCAACGATCGTCGTGCCCTGGCCATGACGCCGGTACCTTCATGTTGATGGTGGTGGTGGTGGTGGTGGTGGTGGTGGTCTTCCTCCTGGGTTCTCCGCTCAATCAGCTCCTGGACATGCATCTCGTGCTCGTGCTCTTGCTCATGCCCTGCTGCGTTTGCACCGTAACCGTCATCATCGTGGTCGTCGTTTCCACCTTTCTCCCCTGAAAGCCGGCCTTCCCATCCCTGCGCCAGCTCCGATGCAGCCGCTTCCTCAAAACGCCTCTTCACCTCTCCATCTTTCTCATATCCCTGGAACAGATCCACGTCCGTAGGCCACAGCGTCTTGCGCACAGTGGCAACAGTAATCTCGAACAGGACCACGACCACCACTACCACTATCAACGTCGTCCACCACAACGCATTCTTGCCAGTCACGTGGATAAAGTTGTTCCGCACGTTGTAGATCTCGTTGTACTTGTACTGCTCGGACAGGATGATGTTCCACAGCCACCAGCCGCCTATCGAGAGCACCAGCGGGATCAGCGTCAGCACCGTGTGGTCGTGGATCTCAAGAAACTGCAGCTTGAGGTTGATCACGATCACGCACGCAGAGTACGTGAGCAGGCCCATCGCGAAGATGCCGCTGTCCGCCGTAAAGATGGCGTCTCCAAACAGCCGCATCATCGTAAAGTAGACCATCATCGACTCGCACGCTGCCACCGTTGCCCAGCCGAGATAGACGGGGATGTTGAAGCCTTCGTTCCGCTGGCCCTTCGTGTACAGCTCTGGTACTGCCAAGAGCGTACTCGCCGCAAGATCCTTCTCAAACGTGCCCAGAAATATCACCGGTAGCGAAGTAAACAGCGTGTTGAACATGCTTAGGCTCCAGGGCTCGTACAAGCTGGTGCCCGTGTACCCGTTCCAGCGCTGGAACAGCGCCTGAGTCAGGTAGAACAGCGTCTCCTTCCAGAAAGTGCCCAGCGTGTACTTGCACACTCGCACATAGTTCCACCGCCCATGGACCAGCAGCAGCTTCAGCAGGAACCGGAACTGGGCAATCGAGTAGTCCGATATCCTGGCTGCCTGCAGCCCTTCCTTGCCCGTGATCCCGATTCCAACGTGCGCTTCCTGGATCATCGCAATGTCGTTCGCCCCATCTCCGATCGCAAGGGTGATCGCGCCGTTGACCCGTTTGCGAATCGATCGAACAAGGAATGCCTTCTGCTTGGGACTCGCCCGGCAGCATATCACTGAGTCTGCACGGATCGCCACGTCGAAGAAGAGCTCGCGCAGCTCCTCCTCCCCTTCAATCACAGATAGCGTCTGCCCGTCCACCACAATTACCGAGTGCGCCACCCCGCCGGTGCTGAGACTCTCGATCGTAGAGGTTATCGTCTGCTTCACCGTCCCCGTCTCATGGTCCAGGATGATCACCGCGGAGTAATCCTTGACCAGTCGGCATGAGTGGCCGATATTAATTGCTGTTTCGCGCTTATCCCCCGTCAGCATCCAGAGTTTGATGTTTGCCCGTCGCAATTTATCGATCGTCTCCGGAACCCCCTTCTGAAGCTTGTCTTCGATCGCCGTGGCCCCGATTAACTCCAGCTGTGTCTCAATCTGCTCTCCCGCCTCGTCTATTTTCTCTTGTCGGTTGACAAGGCTGACCGTGGCTTCCTTGTACACTTGCTTCCACTCGTTATATTCCGACTCCCCCACAAACCGGTACGCATATAGCAGGGTACGCAGCCCCTCAGTCGCAAAATCGTTTAGATGCTGGAAACACCGTTCAAACACCAGCGGCTCGTTGGTCACCAGAGACTCGTCCACCAGGTCTTCCTCCACAGCAGCTCCATCGTCGGTCTGGAATGACACCCGAGGACTTCCTCGGCCACCACCAAGCTGAACAGATGCCCGCGGACTGTAGTTATACGCTTCATGTTCCCCATCTTTGATATCTAAGCCACCGTCCGTCTCACGGTCACGAAGCCACATATCAATACTCTGGCGGATAGACGGTCCCTGTTTGCCCGAAACGCTAGATCGCCGGCCGGCAAAGCTGGGTCGATGGATGCTGAGGCTCTTCCTGCCCCCACGAGACATATGCTCACTGTTCCGGCGAATAATTTCCATGCTCTCCATAGCCTTTCGCTTACTAGCACGGCGCTCGATTTCCTGTACCTTTTCACCGGCCAGGGATGCCTGCTTCAGGAGCTGAGTGATGGTCGAATCTGCACCCTTGGTAAAAACACAGATCCTTCCATCCGGTAAGCGTACAACAACTGACATGCGTTTCCGTGAGCTAGTGAATTCAATGATATCCAGCACTTCGTATGTCTCTTCAATTATATCATCATCATTATCATCGTTGTTGCTGTTGTTGCCTTCTGACCGTCGGATGGTGATGCTGTTCGGCTGCCTATCAGAGACGAGATACCCCAGCTCCTTTGCAGCAGTAACAAGGGCAACCTCGTCCGGCGATGCGGCCTGGAACGTATACTCGCCATCTTGTCCACGCTCCGGTAAACAAGTGTGGCAGAGAGCCATAGCAACAATGAAAAACCGCACCCTCTTCGCAAATAGCGTGTGAGGCTTGTGCATGACATATTGCAGCATCTCTGTAGTCTTGCCACCATGGTAGAATCGGGACTTTTTACTAGGCCTCCAAGTTCCGGATTCACGTGTGGTCGCTTGGGAGACTCCAGAGCGTCTGGATAGCCCCGATGGCCGGCCCTGGCCTGCATCGCCAAATGACTTTGCACGAACAGATTTCTTGCCCTTGCTATGTCTGCGAAGGAGTATTTTCTTCGCCATCTCATCAGCAGCCTCCTGGACTAAATCGGGGTCATGAAGCCAGGCAGTTCCAGCAACACTCATTTTACGGAATCGCATCGAATTGTCAGTCAGAGTGCCGGTTTTATCCGAAAATACATAACTAACACTGTCAGCATGACCTTTGTACAAGCATTGTGGTAAAGGAGAAGATAAATATACCTGATCTGCCCAAGTTCCTCATTGATGGTCGAAGTTCTGGCCTCCAGCGGAGTGTTTGATGCCTCATCATACATGTCGACATCATTCAGTAGGAACATTTGAGCAACCTTGACAATCTCCAAACTCACATAGAGCGAGATTGGAATCATTGTGTTCAGCATGATTAAGAAAGACGTAAATATCGGGCCATAAGAAACATTTGCTTGCTTAAGGTACCAAGACATGCGTTCTGTGCTGCGAGACCAATACTTGTATGCGATTGTGCATGCACCAGCAAGAGCAACAACGAAAATGACAATAACAGCCACAACTCGGTTAACCATGGTTTGAAGAGCTGGGGCTTTGATGCGAGGGTTCTTGGTGGCATTCATACGGATCTTGCATTCTTCTCCGGTGTATATCACCATTCCGATTGCTTCATGGGTATTTCGGAGGATGCTACCACGGTACACCACCTCGGTGTTTGTCAAAGGCGCAGTCTCATCTCCGACAGTGACGTTACCCTCAAACTTGTAGAGGTCAATATTTGGATCCTCGAGAACAAAGTGTGTAGACCGGTTGTTGATAATATCATCCACTGTGCTGAACGCTTTGGCAACTAGAGGACATGGCTTTTTGCTCTTGAGATTTGTCTCGCCATCCAATGCCATGGTTTCGATATAGGCTATCCCATTGGGATCGTCGGCGTGTAGTAGGACAATGTCTGCTGGCACGGCTTGGTCACGTTCGAGTTTTATAATGTCACCAACTTGTATATTGACCCATTTGACGTCCACCCATGGCTGTGGGTTATCTGTGGCCTTTGAGCTTACATCGCCAGCTGCTTTTGGTAATGATTCGTAACACTCATCTTGCGCTTCCGGAGACGGACGTAGTACAGATGCAATTCGATTATTCTCCTCCTTGTCAAGTCTGTATCGGCGGAAGTCATCGTATCCTTCCTTACCAATGGAGATCCCCACAAAGATGATCAATGGTACAAACGTGGTGAATGTACCAGTGGTACTCAATCCGGGTATCATTTGTAGAATGGCAACACATAGAAAGTAAAAGTTTGCAAGTTTCGAGAACTGCGCGATTAATTGGCGGGGAAGGAAACTCCATAGACTGTATCGACTTGAGCGGATCGTATTTGATATGTAGTGCTTGCCAGTACGTTCGTCGGTCCGAGGTTTAGTGTTATGAGCATCAAGGTCAACATGTCGTCCATCTGCACTTGGAGGGATATCTTTGATACGCAGGACATGTGTTTTGAATAGAGAGAGCAGAAAAACGAGCCAGCTGTTTATCGTATGGGTAAGAGAAATTTTCTTTACCGGCCTTGTTGTCAGAAAGGCGGTCGTAGACTTCAAAAATTCCGATTGCCGGGCTAAAGTAGGATAGTCTCCCTTTTCCGTGGTGGCCTCTTGGGACATATCACTGCCAATAGTCTTCTCGCTCTGTCCGCTTGTAGAAGCTCCATTCTGCTCTAAATCGGGTTCTTCCGGCTGCGTTGGTACAAGGTTCCGGTTGAAGAGAGCTCGACGAAGGGAATACCCTCTGTTACGTCCAGCAGGAGGCACCTTAAGGGAAGCCGGCGTAGTGCTAGTAGGTGTTGCTGTTATTGTTGTTGTTGAAGAGGTATCATCGGAGTCTGGCTTAGCAGCCCTCAAGGTCGACGCTGTCTGCTCGGCTCGGTCAATGTCGGTCGAAAACCGTACTCGATGGATAGAGTGTCTCCGCTGGTCAATATCAGGCGTATGTTGTGAGCCCTCCTCCCCCTGCTTCTGCTGCTGCTGCTGCTGCTGCTGTCCACCGATATGATGCCGAGCTATGCTTTCGTATTCCACCGTAGTCTCATTTCCTTCGTCCGCGGACACCGGTTCTTCGTCCATAGTCGATTGTCGTAGTGGAGACCGGGGTGTCTGGCGCAATGAGGAACTGGACGACGTTCTCGACCCGAGACTGTTGTTGCTTTCCCCGGCCATGTTGATCTTTCCACCTCGCTCCCCCTGGTGTTATTTATATGTGAACGCTCCGCTTTCAACAAGTCCGGTGGCTTCGAGGATTGACGGTCACGCTCTTTGTTGTATATATCTTATGATGACTCGGGCCTAGGTTTCACGGATGCCACTGCCCGTCCCTCATCCTTATAATCCTCTATGAAAAAAACGATCGAAGGTGTCCAAAAGAGGAGCGATCCAGCGCTCCCACAGCAGGCCGAGAGAACACAGCCTCAACCGGACGACGAGAGGGAAGTGAAATTAGACGATGTAAAAAAAAAACAAAGTAAGGAAAGATTAAAGAGGCGTCAGAGGACTGAAAAAAAAAAAAAACTCGAATCACTTGGTAAAACGCTATGTGCTGGGCTCGTCCTATGGTGTGGTAGGACGCCCCTCCATCTGCCGGAGGCGTTTCTTTCTCAAGCAGTCACAAATCGCGAGATTGGCGTAGCAGGAGTCCGCCACAACTGCTTTGCACGTCTCGAACGTCGCAAACGTAGGATTTCGAATCTATCGTCAGAGTCCGCGCCGGCCGTCCTCGTCTTCGTCTCCGTCGACGTCTCGTCTGTCGCTTTCTTCATATCTTCCATCCTTTTCAGACAAAAACGCAGGAAGGGCGAGAAAAGCGACTGACGTAACCAGCGAATTGCGTGTCCCGAACCTCGGCTGAGTCATCAAGGACAGGCACATGACGTGCACATGACAGGGGAGCGAAGTGGGGCCTTCCGCTATGACAGCCAATGATAATATGCGAATGGCCCTCGGCGCATAACTAGCGCGAGAACGGGAAGTTTGGCGCCACATGCGTATATGAGTGGGTGAGCGCGCTTGATTCCCAAAAGCGGGCGGGAGAAGCCACACTTTTATTTACAAGGTACATAGTACGGAGGACAATGAGCTGGATAAAAGGATAAAAAGAGCATTCTGTTTGCATGGTTGGTCTTTTTAGTCATACATTTCCCTTCTTCCTTTCCCCCGGATGTGCAGACTGGATGGGTTTGCTTTCTGTGTATGCGACAGTATAGAAAAGAAAAAGTCCAAAGTACATTCATTATAGGGACGGTGGGGACAAAAAATCAATAAGGGCCACAGGCCGTATTAAGAGATATAATCGGCAACTAAAGACCTTCAGTTGAAGAGAGGGAACACACGACTGCGATCTCTCTCTAGTAACGGCCGCCGGGTGGTGGTGCGCCATATCCTCCCTGTGGAGGATAGCCTGGTCCGCCCTGGGGAGGGCCAGATGGAGGGCGTCCGTAGCCACCTTGCTGTGGTGGTTGTCCATAACCGCCTTGTGGTGGCGGCTGGTTATAACCACCACCGGGATATCCACCCTGCGGGGGAGGCTGCTGGCCGTATCCACCGTACTGGCCTGGTGGGGGTGCTCCTGGTCCTCCTCCGGGAGCTCGCTGGGTCTTCTCATCCTTGGTGTCGTAGGAGGAGTCAATAGCACCAAGCATCATCTTAGCAAGCTATAGGGGGAGTAGTTAGTATTAAGCACATCATGAGACAAGTAAATATAACGTACCCAGAGCTCAGGGGTCAAGTCGACTGGTGGGTTGGCGCGAGACATTTCGTCCTGTTCAACCTCGAAGTCTAGGAAACTATTAGTACAGGTTTCGAGGCGGGGGTTACTAGATATAAGAAGCCAATACATACTAGAAGTACAGTCGACGAGCTCGCCAATACCAGGTTCTTCGTCAAGCTTAGACAGGAACTCTCTGGCTTTCAAGTCATTGCCGACTTGGGCATATACTGGAAGGAGACTGCTCCACGGCCATATCTTGGGTTAGACTGGAGTTCCTGGGTAGCACTGCGGATGGCATCGAACACAGCGCCCTGGGCTTCTCCAGCGGGCTGACCGTCCGTGATAGTAATGATCAAGACCGGCTTTCTGAGTTGACCGCCTCTAGCAGGAGCCAGGACGAGGGGTTCCAGGACTTTGTTCTTCAAGCTGGTTCCCATGGGGGTAAGGCCCTTGAATTGCATGCGCTGCATAAGAGCTTCGACTTGCCCTTCGTTTCGGATGTTGTTACCCTGTTCGTTGGAGTTCATGAAGCGAACCTGGATACCATCATCGTCGAACAAAGAAGTGGCGAATGTGACACGAGAGAGGATAAGCTTGAGGTCCTTGATACGTTCGCCGTTCTCTTCAAACTGCATGGAGCCGCTGTCATCGATGTAGAGAATAATGTCGAAGAGAGCAAGCTTGACGATATCTTGGCCAACCTCACGAGGGACTCGCCATGTGGCACAGAGCTGGTCAACCTGGCCGCTGATCTTGCTCACTATCTGGTCGAGAATAGGCGAGTTTGGTGGGTACATTCCCTGGAGCTGCTTCTCGTTGATGCAGCTTTGAAGAACCTGCTTGTAGGCTGCTTGTTGCTGTGGGTTTGGAGGGGCATTAAACTGCTGGCCTCCTTGTGGTCCTGGAGGATAACCAGGTGCGCCGCCCTGAGGAGGGTAACCGGGGCCTCCTTGGGGAGGGTAGCCAGGCTGACCTTGGCGGAATTGACCTGGCGGTCCTTGTCCCTAAAGAAAAGAAGGATGGTTAAGGTAAAGAACATACTGAAGAAGACTAACAAAGGAAAAAGAGAGAGTAGAAATAGAAACGCAAGCACTTTGAAAAAAAAAAAAAACTGTATGAAGAAAAAATGCGCTAGAAGAGAAAAGAAACGAACGTATTGAGACTGGTTAGGAGGGTATTGCTGCCCGTAAGCTGGTTGCTGCGGTGGTGCTCCATAAGGTTGTTGTTGTCCATAAGGCTGCTGCTGTCCATAAGGTTGCTGTTGTCCATATGGTGGTTGTTGCTGTCCATATCCAGGCTGCTGGCCATAAGGCGACTGCGGCTGACCATAGGCAGGCTGCTGGCTGTAAGCATTTTGTTGTTGATGAGGCTGGGGAGATTGTTGCTGATTCCTATAGTAAGGATTTGGTGTTCCACTCTGCGGCGGAGGCGTGGCACTCCAAGGAGGAGCTGAGGCTGAGAACTGGCCTGAGAGCATCTTCGCGTTAGGCACGGTTATGGGAGTTCGGATTGATTTGCTATGGTCATGAACCAGGCCCAGCAAAGGATTTTCATTTTGCAGCCGGTTCGCGATCAAAAGCATAGCAGTTATAGAGATATTGTTACTTGGTCCGAGAGACAAGCCAAAGTTATGACGTCACAAGTAACAAAACTGAACAGAAACCGAAAGAAGCAAAATGACAACATAACTCGAAACAGATGCAGAGAGCACTGAAATGGCGATAGAAAGAGGATATCAAAGCAGCTTTATCCGAAAGAAGAGAACAGGAGCTGCGTCAAACGGGGGCCGCTTACTTGGGGTGGTGGAGGGCCGCCAGGATAGGCCTGGTACTGTTGCTGTCCAGGCTGTCAAACAGAAAAAAAAACAGTCAGCGCTACTCTTCGCAGACCAAGGAGAAGTGAAAGAGGTGAGATATAGCTCTGTATTCTTTGCTATTCTCATCCTTCTTCCCAGGGTGTAAAATAGATAATGCATGAACATACGTATGCTGGACCGCCGCCGCCTGGAGGTGGAGGACCGCCAGGATAGGAGGAGGGCGCGCCTTGGTTGGCAGCAGCCATTTTTGAGGCAAGCTACAAGAGACAGGCAAGTAAGCCGCTGTGTCAGTAGAGAATCATAAAGTGAATGGTTTAATATGGATGGGAGGATGGGCTGGTTGGTTTGATGCTGGTGAACGCTGGAGCCTTGGAGGGGTCGCATAACGATCTATGGCGGGGCATCAAGTAGCGCAAAAGCGAAAGGCGGCTTTTCGGAGCTTGAAAGGAGGACTTACACCCATGTCTGAAGCCGAAGATAGAGGGAAATGAAATGAAAAAGAGAGTGCTAAGGAAGAGAGATGGCGAGGGACTTGAGTGTGGTGTGGTTGATCCTGGTGTTGTAAGTTGGTGATGGAAGAAGCAGCAGCAAGGGGGGGAAGAAGTACTTAGCCGTGGGCTCACTTGGTTACGTAGCTCAGCCTCCAATAATAGCGTCGCGGCGCTAAATACTCTCTACAGGAATATACTCCGCTGCGCATAGCCAGGGCTGAGTACGTATTGACCACCTGCCTAGTCACAGCTGCCTAGATATAAAGCAGTTGAGATATTCCTACACGTCTCTGATTCTAAAAATAAAATAAAATATTATCTCTTTATTAGGGCGCTACACAAAAAGACGCCTTACTACACCTACCACCTACCTCTATACCTAGGTACTCGCTGCTTTAAGCCCACTCCTACAAGACACGAAACCTACGCCACTTTTATTTAATATCATGCCTACAACCATTTTTTACATACATAGGTAGTTATCTCAAGATAGCGATGGTCGCGATGTCGTATCTATAAGCTATCGATACTCAGTATTGTTATAGAATGGTGATGCTCTGCTCCTTATAATATATAAATTCAATATCTTCTAATTCTTTGAAGTATTTCCTTGGTTTACTCTCGGTAAATACTATCTCTACTATTCCCACATACACTTCTTTACGCTGTTTCTTTCTAGCCTCCTTATGCTAGTTACTCTCTCTGCTTTCTCCTATTATCTTATAGGAGCCCCCCAAACCCGCCAAGGAGAGCCGACGTGCCGGGAAGAAGATAGGTGAGGCTCACCCCGGGTGAATACCACGCGAGAGATACCGTCAGTTTGGCTCAATTCCAGGTCAGTCATTGCCATCAATCGTGTTCAGCGCGTCTGGAATCGGTGAGCCTCGTGTATATCGGGTCCATGGTGGAATCTAGTAATATCTTTGTGAAGACATTATTTATTTATAGGGGTTGATTCCCGCTCTCACCTTTTGGTATGTATGAAGGCTTGACAGCCGGGTTGAAGGGCTGTATCTATTGGTCAGGCACATTTCATGTTCGAGAAAGCCAGTTCTCTACAGAAGTTGGAGAGTAGTAGCGCGATCGTTTTCTGTCACTGCTTTGTTGTCAGGTATCTGCTCTTCGCTTCCATCCATGCGCTCACCGTTTGACATGGAGTCTGTCAAGTATTGTTCCATTTCGTGGTCTGCACTTGATTTCCCGTCCCGCTGAAGCCATCAGAGCACTGCCTTCGTAGAATTCTTTGACGCTCTGTTAGCATCTAGTTCATTTCAATAGGAGCGGCCAAACCGATTGTGATATCAAGATTTTGTTTCCCGATAACATCACTTCCACAAGAATATCCTGTATCTTGATATTCTCCGCTAGCTTCCGACCACGACCAGTGTTTGTATTTCAAGAAATGTCGCGATCCGCATTTGGAGTGGATCTGCACCTGAATCATTGCATCCCGCAGACCAATTGTGCCAATGGGCCGCCACGGTGATATAGGGCCTTCGTGATCCCAGAGAGGTTCAAATAGGTACAGTAGCAATGCCTCCTGGAACCTGGGTATCTGCTTGTTCTCCGAAGGGGTTGAAATCGTGCAGCAATGGAACGATTGGGAAGAACGGGTCCACCATGCTGATGAGTGGCTTATCGGCGGGGTAGCATTCTTAGCCATCCGAAAGACGTATTCGTGTATCCCACTGAAAATTGCTCCAGTCCACCAAGTTGCCAGTGAAGGACAGTATTGACTAAGAACAGGGGCAACCTGTCTGCGAGGGAGAGTTTCTAGCAGCTCGATACCCGGCAACAACCACTGGCTGCAAAATACACACGGAACTGCGCTGTTAAAAAGGTAAAACACAGTACCGGGACCAGTCCGTGTAAACTAACTGTCATGAAGTACGGTAGTACTTCAAATCAAGCTTCCATGTCGGCGTTTTTTTCATCATCTGAAACTTCCATTTGCCATATTGGAGATTCAGCGGAGACCAGTCTGACAGGGACACCAGTCAAATTATGAGTGGGAAACATTAGACTGGTTGCTAAGCCCATGAGACATTGTTCCTGGATCTTTTTCCGTTGGCAGAATCGAGAGAGGTATTCGAATGCTTGCTCCGATGAGGTAACACTGATATGTGTGCCACTGTCCCTGGCTACAGCACGTACAAGAAATCCCGATGCGGTATCATTGCTGACAGACCACGGTGAATAGTAATTACGCTGCATCGTAGATATGGTCGCTTCCCAGCCAACCCCTGGAGCCAGCACTCCACCATAGGAGCTCGTTAGAGATCACGTCGCCCAAGTCCACAATCCGGTTTAGAGAATGCAAACAAGCTTCTTGAATGCAGGCAGCAATATTGTCTCGGTAACTGATCTGTCCTCCCTGAGACTCCGCCCCAACGAGCTGACAGAATGTACGCCCAACAGTAAGACAGAATAGCAACATCGTTACCATGTGCTTCCGCCGAGAAGCCGTCTTCGTGAACATTCATAGTTCGCCCCTCTTGTATAATGGTTCCAGCGATTTTGCAGCTTGTCGGTGTTGGAATTCCAAACAGAAGACGCTCATCCAGCTCTAAATGGTTGGAATGGCAGTTTCCTTCGCCGATGCACCAGTATGATCGACACTTCAGCGTGAGATTTCACCAACCGACTGAATACGATTCGTGCCTGTTTGCAGTGAAACTTGGTACATTTTGGAGAGCAGTGTCCAGCCTGATACTCGACTGCGGTAGCGTTGATGTAGTAGCTTCATGAATGCAGGACCGCCATCGATCCGTGCTGGCTTGCAGGACCTCGTCTCGACTGGGCTCCGTAGGAGCTTGAAAGCAAGAATCCATTAAGAAGGTTTTCGGCCCGACACCTGATTAGGTAGGTCTCGTAAGAGGTACGTCTACGGGAGTATGAGTTGACATAAAGGTAGTAAATGTTTGGGATTGGATTAGGACTATCCTAGTTGACTGTACAGGCAGCGTAGACTTGCTTCACGTGATAACGCTTCACATGGACTGCCTAACTGGGCATAGATCGGCCGATTGACGCGGTTGACGCGATGAGAAAAGTAATTTCTGAAGGCTAAGGATCCTTGCCAGCAATCATATCCGGACAAGCGCCTGAAATGACGGCAACTGCTGTTGGAATATTCCACTTTAGCGACGACTCGCACACATTACCCAAGGTATCCTTGGGGCATCAGGCCTTTTTGTCCCTTGTGGTCCAACAACTGCTAGGAAAGGGACTACTAAAGTGTCTGGCTGGCTAGTTAGCCAGTCAGTCTGTTACGTCGTGATTAGACACTTGTATCACAAAATAATTGAACACCCAACGCTGCTGGAAATGGCAGACCTTTCGGAGGACGATCACGCCGTTATTCTAAAATATCCATTCAATGACTCACTTGATCGGTTACAAAAGCTTCTTCTAGAGGCAGAGCATCAGTACAACCATGGCACTACGGAAAGCAGTGAAACCTGCTATGATGCAGTATCGAAACTTCTCCTCGCATTAATGGGCGAAAAGTCAGCTTTCCACCTACGTTCGCCAGTGAGCGATAAAAATGTGGCATTCGAGCTATCAAGATTGTTCGCCTCCCTTCAGGATGATGACTTCAATTATGAACACTACCGCGCACTTATCCGACTTGTTACTGAAAAGCCTACCGATGTGGACATCTGGAAGGTCGTCCTCAAACTCATTGTTACCTCGCGATCGACCCCATCGACGAGCATCCCCCCTACCTTTGACGGCACCCCGGTCAAATCCACCTCATCATCACAAAAAGGCTCCGAGCAGACGCTTGAGTTGGTGAACCCGAGGCTCTTCGGGGAGATATGTGACTGCACATTTCGAGATGTCGAGGGTTTCTTCGACAAGTACTTCGAAGGGAAAGACTGGAGCGATAAAGCAGATGCCATTTGTCGACGCGTGCTGGCCCCAGACGGTGACGGTAATTGGGCCCAGTTTCCTGATCCTCCTACCCAGAACGATGTCCTTGCCTGGTGGTTTCGTCTCCAAGAAGACCTTCTCTCGGAATCACGCAGCACCTACTACACTACGGTGAGCAAAGCGGATCTTATCGGCTCGAAGGCGAAACGGCAAATCGACCTTCTTTTGAGAGCTAGAAACACGTCCCTCGAGCAAGGCAAACACAACTGGAGAGACATCTTGGTGGTTGGCGAGCTCAAAAAACCCGAGGATAAGCTCCGGGACAAAGCCACACTGCTGCAGATAGCCCGCTGCGTGCGCGAGGTCTTCGCTGCGCAGCCCACCCGGCGGTTCATCCACGCGTTCGCCGTCTGCGGGACCAAGATGGAGGCGTGGGTGTTTGACCGCTCAGGTCCCTACAGCTCGGGCATCATCGACATCTATGTGAACTCGAGACGGTTCTTTCAGGTGCTTTTGGGCTACACCATGATGAGCGATGAGGAGCTAGGACTAGACACCTTCATTGCCAGGGATGAAGACGGCATCAAATCAATGACCGTCAGAAGGCCCGGACTCTCAGAGGAAACGGTGCTGCGGCTGGGTGGAATGCTTTCCTTTCAATCTGCCATTGTGTGTCGGGGGACCACATGTTTTCTCGCAGACGATGGACAAGGGAAACATGTAGCCAAGTTCTCTTGGGTATCAGACAAGCGGCGCCCAGAGGTGGAACTCCTCGAGCTGGCAGGTCGAAAGAATGTCCAAGGAGTCGCCAGGATTATTGGCCATAGTACCATCACGAGTATTGCTGACATGCGCCGCGGCCTGACCTTCGACGGCAAGCACCACAACTTCAAAAGTGCCCCCACCAGTGCAGTCTCCTCGGTTCATCAATCTCAGCCGCTCACCGAATCCTGGCGCTTTGATATCCCTCGAAAAACGTCGTCCAGGAAACGCAGATCTCCGGACAAGGGGGCGCAGGCATCCAAACGATCGCGTTCCATCAATCAGCCGTCGAGGGACACTCAGCAGGAGAATGAACTAACTTTCTCCGTTCAGTCGGCGCATGAGCCAAGCCTCTTTGACAAAAATAACGGCGAACCTTACGACAACCGTATCCTCCGCTGTCTTGTAATATCGCCGGCCGGCCGGCCAATCTACAAGTTTAAATCACCCTTGGAGTTGCTGATGGCGCTTCGCGATGCAATAAAGGCGCATCGGTCTCTTTACCTCGATGGAAACATCCTTCATAGGGATATTTCAGAGAACAATATAATAATAACTAATCCAAATGAGGCAGACGGTCACTCGGGCATGCTAATTGATCTAGACCTTGCTAAGGAAGTTGGTAGTGAGCGCAGCGGCGCACGGCATCAGACTGGCACGATGGAGTTTATGGCAATCGAGGTGCTTCTTAATGTTGACCATACTTACCGGCATGATCTTGAGTCGTTCTTCTACGTGCTTATCTGGCAGTGTGCCCGTCACAGCTGGAGAAAACTCAATCCGCTAGAGAGACAGAGACAGGGCCAGCCGAAAGACAGCATGCTAAGAGAATGGTATACTGGAACTTATAAGACAATTGCAAGAATCAAGCGAAGCGACATGCAAGCTGGCGGACTTGAATATCTTCTACAGGAGTTTCCGCTGGGATTCGAGTGCGTCAAACCCCTCTGCAGGGCCATACGAGGCGTGCTGTTTCCTTATGGGAAGGGAGAACTTATTTTGGGAACGCCGCAAGACCCAAAAAGGCTATATGATCCTATTCTTAAGGCGTATGACGATGCTATAGCTCTGATTGAAACCGAATATGAATAAGTATCGTATATATTAAGGGGAGATTCAAAGACATACTGCCTGAGGAAGTGGTGACATTCCTCGACTCACCCTTGCAAGATTGGCCACATTCATGCTAAGATTTTGGACTGTTTCCGCAACTAGGATTATTTTCCGATCTAGGGTAGGTTCTAAAGGAAGAAGACCCCATATCTTGGCAATCTGTATCTACCGAACCTACATTTAGCACTGCCGCGGCTTTTCGGATAGATATAGGTAATTACGCCTCCAACGCCAGTTTGAAGCACACAAAATTACTCCGTTGCCAGGAGATACCAACATGTCCCCAGACACAACCCAGCCGTCGGGCAACAAAGAACGCCCTGCTGATCACGGTGAACCATTCTCGGATGCGTCAAGCTCTTACTGGCCTGAAGGATGGAATTGGGCACGCTTTAGCAACCCTGAAGCCGATTTCACAGATTTATCAGAGGATGAAAGAATGAAGATGTTGGAAGGGTTAGAGGAAGTGCTTGGGGAGGATGGTATGGATAAAATGAGAATCTATACAGAGCGAAAGAGCCGGAAGTGGCATGATAAGCAACTGCGAGATAAAGGCGTCCCTCCACCCGAATATAGAGCACCAGGTTTCCTAAGTGAGTCGCGGGAAAGGTGTCTTAATGGCCGCCCTTGGGGGTTTATTGCCTTCCGCACAGTTTTATACGACGATGAAGCGAGATGGGCTGAATTCAAGGATCGACTTCAACAGATCCTAAATCTTGCCTTTGAGCGGGTTGTGGATAGCCATGGAGGGCACGAGTACGAGGAGGTTACAAGGGGACGAGAGCTATTCACCCTTTATTGGGTTGAAGATGAGGAGCTGCTTAATGGTGCTACTGAAGAGAGACTCCGTGAGCAATATGAGAAGGTCAAAAAGGAAGCGCCAAACGGGATGGATTATCGCTTATTTCTCTCGACCTGCCCGGAGGTCGTTGACTCAGTCTTTTCTGACCCTCTTCCAACTACGGATTCATTCTTTTGGCGCGACGATGCGCCATTCCTACTTGTTGTTATGGAGGCAACCGAAGAGAACCCGCACGGTGACGAACCGCATGACCCCGATGACCCACACGACGAGAGGAACTGGTACAAGTCTGTCTTCAAGGTGCCCGTCGAGATAGTCCCCGATGTCTTTTGGGAGGTGGTTGAACTGGGGATAACCCCGCCTACCAGGCTCACGCGTAAGGTCAAGGCGTGCAACCAATTACTGGGAGGGCCGGTGCCTAGGGCCATCCTTATAGATGATTTGAGAGAGCTTTGGTGGGGGTTGTTTCCGTCGCCACAGGATCGTAGAAGGAAAGCTCGGCTTAGGGGGTTCAATTAGCAGAGTAGCAAACGAACAAGCAAGGAAGAATTAACCAGTAAGTTGCTGGCTCAGCCTCTTTTGCTGCGTTTGAGTTCCTTTACTGCAGCCTGGTTTACGCGGCCAAGGCACTAAAGACGGAGCCGCGAGCTGGCGTTGGATAGTTATGGCTGGTATTCTGTGGCTATCGTGGTGCAGTTTATATACAAACAAATAACTAGCAATATAGACAATATGTAACTAGAAAGAAAGAAAAGTGCGCCAACCCGTGTACGCTGGCTCAGCAGCCAATATGTCGCTGATTATCGACAGATGGTCCGTAGAATTGATCACTCCTATGACAAGTTAATGAATATAGCTGTTCACATGGCTATCAGAAGGGGTTGTTGACTTCTGGCTTACCTTGGAGAATTCTACGGTGTTGGAGGCAAAGTCACCGTGCATTCCATCAGAAAGGTCAAGATGGTGGGCCACGACGTCCGACATGGGCTTCTTCCAGACGTTCTGCCAGAAACCTTTAGCCTGAGCCGAGTACTTGTGGCCAGAGGTGAGCTCCAGGCTGCTGAAGGTGACGGTGGTCTCGGTTGACTGCTTGGGACCCAGCTCGACAATGTCACGCTCCTGTGCCGGCATCTGGCGACGGACCATCATGATGTTCTGGTCTACCTCTGAGCCGTCGGTGAGGTCACGGAGCGTGAAGACACCGAGCGAGGGCGCCAGAGTGTCAAAGACAGTGTTCCATGTGAGGAGCGTTGCCTGGGACTCGCCAGTGTTCGTGACGGTCACTTTGAGCTCGAGGTCCTGGTCCTTTGGCACGGCCTCGCGAGCTGGAGAGATGGAGATCTCAAGAAAAGAGAGCTGGTCGGCCATGGTAGGCGATGAACAGCCGGGAAGATACTCGGTAAAGGCCGTCAAGGGCGAGTTGGTGAGGAAGACGATCAGGGCAAAGGCAAAGATGCCAAATATACTTGCCCGATAAACAAGACTGCCAGCGGTTAGCATGAATATCGGGTGTTCGTTCGTTCGTTTGTTCTTCTTATGCTTGTTGTTGTCGATGTTGTTGTTGACCGGTGGTGATGATGTCTTGAAGTTATAATAAGGTTGATATAACTTTGCGGTTGACGTCGACGGTGATGTCAACCTTCTGCAGGGGAAAGACTCCAACACTCCGTCATAACCACGCACGACTAGCTAACAATGACTTCACTAGCAGGCATGACATCCTAGCACTACGGGGAACTCTTCCGGGACAAGCCATCTCCGGGACTATGGCGCTGGACGTGGCCATGCAGCAGGGGGAAGACATCTTCTAGCAACGGGGCCGCTTGGTGGTCTCGGTGGACCGCAAACTTGGCCTCGAGTCTTCTTCCTCTTGCTCGGGGAAAGGGCAGGAGGTTTTGGTCTCAGAACGACGTTGTGGGCCGCGTATTAGGGACTGAAACATGTCAACTACGCCATGCACCACCCCCTGGGCAGGATTAATTTTATACCCGGAGACCCCTCCGTCCTTTCTCTGCTCCCCATTACGGTGCTCTGGCCCATCTTAGCGAACAGGCAAGTTGATAGGGCGGCAAAACTAGCCACAGTCATAAACGGAGCTCCCCTCAGATACGGGGTAGTCAATAACACTAGCACGTCGACGGCGTCTCTTCAGTGACACTATTTTATTCTCGTCCTTGAAGGTGCCTAGATATACAGATACCACCATCCTGGACAGAAAGAAGGCAGCTACCCTTCGGATATAAACAATTCTCCTGCTCGGAAATTTCACACCGTTTAGTCCATATGGGTATATGCACTGCATGGCTCGCATGATATTTTTCTAGGTACTTGGTTACGTCAAGCCCTGCAGCCGAGGCAATTTCGTTTGTTTCACCCATTAGTGGGCTGACATACGTGTCATATTCTGCTCTTAATTACCATTCGCCAGATAACAGTGAAGATCGTCTTGCAAAGAGGATCTCCCGCTCAAAGACATGAAGAGGCATAGCAGAATTCGGCATGATATTAGCGAATTAACCAATTCGCCCAGTTCACGGCATCAAAGGAAATATACCTAGCTCCGTACATATCTTTGGACGACCTATCTATGTGATTTATTGGCCTCTGATTAACTACAGCGCGCCTGCATCTCAAAGCACTCGGATTTATTGGATTTCCCATTGCCACCAGTATATATACGGAGTACGCTCCGTAAGCTCCCCCGAGAGTATAATGCAAGCCTGAAAGCCCAACAGAGCGTCAGTTATTCTTGCTTAGTGGATCAATCTTGTGCTGACCGTGGTTTGCCTGAGGAAATGAATTGCGAGAATAAGTAATAATTCATGCTTTGTGGACGACATAACAGCCCAAGAATGCTGGCATATAAACAGTTACCATTTGCCAACGCTGAACGCTAGGTCAGAATCTTCTACATCTTGTTCAGGTGTTATACTACACAAATGATATCCAAAGATCGCATGGCGCTAGTTATTTCAAAGCAGCCTGGCACAAATTGGCGCTAGAGCCGCGCCAAAGAGAAAAGTCGAAATGCCTTCATAAAAATTCTCCTCCTGCCCGACATCATCCCTCCTCTGCCGCCACAGCACTGTCAGGGAATAGCGAGGAAGGGAAAACGCTAGCGTCTCAAGTAGCCGAATGTTGCGTGGGGTGGTCAAGGTTTTGATTTCCTCGTTATTCTGTTCCTCGTTGGCATCTACGAATGGGGATGGCGATTTAGTCCGCCGTACCTATCTATGGCTGATTCTCGGGGATCGCGCACGAGCTCCATCCGCATTAAAGAGATCGCCACTGCCTCATTACGATCCATGTTCCAGAGGTGGCCGGACGAACTGAAGGGGCACAGAAAAACTTCACGAATGTACGAATTTTCCGTACGATTGAGCTATCAGCAAAAACATGACGGGGTTTGGACTGAAGACTAGCTTATGGAGTACACTCAAGAGGGCATACTGCCTGCTGCACCTGATGTTGACGCTAGATGTTTTGGTTCGTCTATCCCACCAGCTAGGCAAGTTACCTCTTGGACTCTCGACAAGGACCACGCTCGATGGTCCTGCATACGTGATGTCAACCTCTCAACTTCAACGGCCAGTGTCTATCGAGCCTGGCCTCCTAGGAGATCAGCATCAAATCCACCATTGGATGTGCTTCCGACCAACCATCATTTATTGCAGATGTTTACATCAACACCTCCAAGTGAATCCTCTCCACCAGGCCCAGAGTGAATCCTGATTTGTTTCGTTTTTCTCACATAACACCCTGATAATGAGGCTTGGTACGCCGATTTGGATCTCTGCATTTTGGCTATAGGTGGATTCACTCGTATCAGATATACCCTTTTAATAGGCTTGTTGAAAAGGCTTGTCTTTCTTGACCGCTCTGAGCAAAGAATTATATGCTAAAACCCTTGTTAGGATCGGCAAGGTAAAATTCTCCGTGGAGCTTAGGGGTCTCTACGTATCCTTTAGATGGATCGTTCTCCTATTCTTTGAAGGCTCCTTTTGGGTTCTACGAACCCCTTAATCCACAATATCCGGCCAAGCATAGAATTCAAGCCTGGAGGTGCTCCTCACAGCAGAGATGGATATTCTGGCTCCATAAGGATTGTTCGCCCCAAAGGATGACTTTGATACTGTTCATTAAAGAAGAGTATATATAAAGCCGTCCTCGAACGAAGCTAATAGAGCTCTTCTTGCCTGTAAGCAGCAGGACCTTCTTTCAAACTTACCCAACAATCCAAATTAACAGTTCCTAGCGAACTGTCACATTCATTTGTCTTTCTTTTTTCATATACGTATCTTTTCTTTCTTTCTTTATTTCTTTCGTTCTATCCAACTCGTTCGTTTAAAAACTTGCAATAATGCAATTTTTTACCGCAATCGCCGCAATCAGTGCTCTCGTGGCCCCGGCCCTCGCCCTCCCAACCCAGGAACTACCCCAGGCTCCAACCAACCAGACTCTTCATGTCAGGCTCATTCCCACTGGTAACACCATGGTGAAGGCTGTTGTCACCAACAACGGAGACCGTCCGTTGAATTTATTGAAATTCAACACCATCATGGATGAGAATCCAACCGCCAAAGTCAATGTCGTTCACGAGGATGGTAAGAAGAACTTAGGAGCTTATATGGACCACATTATGCTGATTACTCGTAGGTGAGGAGGTCGAGTTCACTGGCATGCTACCCCGTTATAGCATGAGATCTCTGCCCAAGAGCGTCTTCACTCGTCTAGCTCCCAAAGATAGCGTTGAGCACGTTTTCGATATTGCTACTGTCCACAACTTGAAGCGGAGCGGCAAGTACACACTCTCTGCTCGTGGAGCCGTGCCTGTCGCCGAGGGTGATGACACTGCGATCATAGATCACGTTTACTATCAATCCAACGATCTTACGATGGAGATCGATGCCCGCAAGGCTGCTCTGATTCCTAGGGCTTTTGAAGATACTCACTTTGCTGGAACCCTAAACAGGCGCGGCGGACTCAACTCAACTTGCAGTCCCCGTAGATATCAAGTCATCAAGCGTGCTCTTAACGATGCCAGAATGATTGCCTCCTCCGCTTCGAAAGCTGTCTCTTCCAACCCAGAAAAGTTTCGGGAATTCTTCGGTACCACAGACCCCAACGCCATGAAGCAGGTTTCCGAGCGCTTGATGGCTATTGCCCAGGCGTCCGTTGAGAATGGCCCCATTAAATGGCACTGCTTCGACTCTCGTGGGCGCTGTGAGCAAAATGTTGTTGCCTATACCCTCCCATCTCGGAACGAAGTCTTCCCCTGCATGCCTTTCTTCACTGAGTCAGACTTCACCAATAAATGCCATGCTCAGGACAAGCCCACTACCCTCATCCACGAAGCAGCTCACAACCCAAGTGTTGTCCAACCCTTCTGCCGCGACCATGGGTACGGTTATGACCATGTGAGCAGGCTTCCACCCAGATTAGCTCTCCAGAATGCCGACAACTACTCTATCTACGCCCAGGGTAAGTTTCATCTTCATCTCCCCTTGAAGGTGGTCTTTTCTCCCAACTAATTAGTTCTATAGCTCTTCACCTTAAATGTTAAATAACAACTCATTTCTGGAAAGTTAGGACTTCGATCTTGTGGGGAGGGGAAACATCCCTGTTCTTCCTTATTCCAATCTTTTATATTCTCCTTATGTGAAACGGCTGGTTTTCCGTCTCCTTTACACCACTCGTCTGCTGCTCTTCCTTTCATGTATATAAATAAGCTCCCAAAAACAAAACCAAAACATATAGGGCATAGTAGTACAATCAAGTTTTCTATGTTCAATATTTTCTTTCTACGGAGTTTTATGTATGCTTAATATGCTTACCCGTACTCGTTGACTGACTTCATTTTGACGAGTTAGATTTATATCTCACTATAGCTCTGTTTCATACGTGTGCCCAGGCATAAGACATTAAACAGCATTAAAGACAGCATTTTTCCTTTGGTCCAGAAGGGATGCAGATAGCCCACTACTATCATGGAGACTTCTCATGTGGACTCTTTATGCAAGTTGAAATGGTAATTAATTTAAACGAATGTCGGGCGGATGGGCCTAATCAAACAAAATGAATTACATATTAACAAGTCGGGACAACCCGAATTACCACTAAATTAATTACCAATCGCGGGCTTTCAACGTCTCGCTGAAGCTACCATGAAGCTCGACCCAGTAGTTACCTGGATTAAATTTCAAGGCGCTCGAAAGAAACCACTTCTCCTAAAGCCTGATTGGAACCGAAATTCACATTGGTATCATTCAAAACAGTAAGATCAAACAGGGCACGAAATCCAAATCCATAGGGAAACAAACATAGGAAAGGAATGATATTAGTATAACGACGGATACTCAGCACATTACAGGCCCCAAAGTCTCGAAAAAGAATGTATTGTGTGGTTTAAACTGGAGCGTTGGTTCCAGGAATGGTCATGAGGCCATCGGCGAGCCCTGTCATCTTTGTGGGCATGACGTGGGTAGGTTCTGCCATAGCCGTGGATGCTCCTCCTGTCTGGGCCATAGGCTGAGTCTGTCGATGGGCTCCGCTGATACCGCGGTTTCTGTACTTTCGTTTAATGGCCTCGAGTCGTGGAAGTCCAGTTGATGGAGCAGCAGTGCCAATACCAAACACAGGAGATTCCCATCTTTCTCCTCTTGCAGCAAGGTCTTTGTACTCTGTTGCCTTGGCAGAAATGCCGCTGGGGAGTACAATGTCTTTGAACATCGACTCATATTGATTCATGGCAATGTTGACCTTAGTGTCTCTTGGAGGCTTTTGTTTTTTCTTGGCCTCGGCCTCCTGCTTGCGTGCATTCATATGTGATTTGAGGGCGTTGCTGTAGTGAGTGTACGCATTGCTCTTCTCGCCAGGGTCGTTTCGCGACAACTCCATAGTGCGCTGGGCTTCCTGGTGGACCTGATAAGCGAACTTATCCGCTTTGGTGAAATATTGCCGAATTTGCAGCTCCAGGACCTTTTGGATAGCAGGTCGAACTACTGACAACAGCAGTGGCTTGAACAGGGTAAAGAGCATCTTATGCTTAGACTTCTTGAGCCTGATATCCAGGTTCTTGATGTTGACGATGACCTTATCAGCTTTGATGAAGTGTTGTTTATCCTTGCTCTGTGCTGAAGAGCTCATGATTTTGAAGCTGAAGCCATCGCCTCCCAAGAAAACATCCATCACACCGGTATCGGTGACATGTGGGAAGCCTTTCTTCTTCTTGATGTAGTAGCTTACATCTGAGCAAAAAGTGTTAGAAGTTTGCTCTAAAAAATGCATAAGGGTTGCAATATAAGGGAATTTTTACCTCTCCAATCAGTCTGAATTCCAGTGGCGGAGATCATGGCCTAAGTGTAGGTTATTAGAAGCCGAGCTAGAAATATAAGTGATATGGAATACTTGCCTTGTTGTCATTGTGATTACCAATATTCTTTCTTCCCCATCTCCAGTAGTTGTCACTACTAAATTCCAAGATGTTGGGCATCAGGTTATCACATTGAACGGCCAAATTTTCAATAACCTATTGTACCAGATTAGAAATCATTACTAAAACCACGGAACGATGAATGAAATAATACATACCACGTCGACCATTGGGTCGGATACTTCAATTCGAGGAAGAGGGATGTATGAAAGACTCGCCAGAGTTCCTGGAATGACGGTATTGGCAAAGTCCTTCAATATGTTCTTCTGGAAAGCAATGTTTCCGCTGGCATCATGGCCAAGATGATCAAAGAACTTCTTCAGAGATTGACCAAATTCCCTGTTCAATGGGTCTTCGTCAAACTGGTTTGCCAGGAATTTACCCTCCTCAACGACCTCATCGGTATCCTTCTTGTAACGTTTGGTAAATAAGAAGCGACCTTCATCATACAGTCTGTTCCATTCAGCAGTAGACTCATCGCGCAAGACGAAGCCCTGTTCTTTGAGGCATTTTCTACAGCCACGTTAACACCTATATCGTTAAGATGTGACTCCAATGGGATCAATATACCTGGTGAAAGTGTCCACGTTTCGGAACCATTCTCTAAGTCTAGGATCATTTTCTGCATTTCTGTAGAACTTCTTGATGGCATCAAACAGGTCATCGGTCGAGGTAGAGTTCGCAAATCGTTCGATTACAGTCTTGAGCCGCGTCAGTGAATCTTTATGTTCGGTCAGATGTCCTATTAACATACTTTCAGGTTAGACTCTAATTTCCGAGTATCCGATTGATCTCTTGCACCTTTCAGCGTTCCTGCCCCCTGTTTGGATAGGCTTCTAGAGCGTTGGGCGTATCCCTCCGCGATTGACAAGAGTGTTTCTATAGCTTCTTGATCTATAAAACGTGTTAGGTTGCTACCATTAGTGACACAGATACAAAGCTGAGGTTATACTTACAGTCAGCGTGTCCCTGAATTTCAACGATCATCTTCTTAATGCGCCAAATTGTCTGCTCTCGCCGTTCTCGGGGCATTTTCTCTGAAAGGAATCTTCTGGTCCGCTCAGCTGCTTCCTTTGAACGTTGCTTGGTCTTCATAGCTGCCTCGTCTTTGAGCTCCCCGGTATCAGTGGTACCAGAAGTGCCAACCTGTTGGTTAGAGGCAACACCACCAACCCCATTGACCCCATTGGACCCATTGACTCCATTGACTCCATGGACTCCATTAGTCCCGTTGGTGGCATGAGAGCCATTGATTCCGTCGACGTTCCCTTGAGCTTTGTTTTTCTTGAATCGAGACATAAGAGCATCCTTCGACATATTAGGGGACTCATGCCATACGTTCTCGTCAGCGGGCTTGTCAATCTGGGCTAAGTCCTCCTCCGATGGCTTCAGGGCACCAGCGGCTTTCTGGGCTGAGTCGCTAGCCATATCCCGTATTAAAATGGTTGCATCTTGCACTACAAAAACGCAAGTATGTTAGCGAATGTAACCCTCGTGGGTGCAACCAGGACTTACAAAGTTTCCTGAATTGGCCGTTAGTGATGAGTAAAGTGCCCAGCGTCTTAAGACCAGCTGCGGTTTGTTGAGCATTTTGTTTGGCGGCGGCCTTTTCACCAGAGGTATCAGGGCCTTGAATATCTCCCGGACCCTTGAAATTTCCAGCATCCCAGATAAACTCTTGAATCATATTGCCATCGTTCTTGACAAGAACGAGGTTTCTCGCACTGATTATTATATGGCGTAGGTCGTCAATAATCTGCCGAGTCTCAGTTGAAAGCTCTGGTGATGGATTGGCCAGCGACTTGGAAGCAAGAAGGCTGTTTAAAGCAACATCGATTTGCTTGTTCTATATTACATATAATTAGCAACGGGTAACTATTGAAGAATGCTTGAACATTGGCTGAGTTTGGAGCCCTACCGAAGGAGCTTTGCCATTGGCAAAAGCTGGTTGAATTTATCTGTGTTAGAATTTGGCTATTCGAATATGATTGCTCTCGGCTAGTATTCCGGGGAGTCGAACCTGAATAGATCCCATAATACTGTAGCTTCTCGTTGATTTCCTAATGACACTTGTTAGATTTCCTCTAATTGTGTCGCAAGACCATCCCACGAGCGTACCCTATCTCTCACTCCGGGTTTACCGGGGTGTTTACTGTTGCTTTGTTACTAGGCATGATGGCAGGCTAGTAACACTTCATCTAGAAGGTATTATCTGTTCAAGAATTGTCCAATGTTCTGCTGTATCAATATATTAGATATTAGGCAAGGAGAAAGAAAGTCTGTGATTAGAATACAATTGACGCACGCAAGTCCGGAAAGACGCCTTTTAAAGACGGTCAAAGGGAAAATATGACACTAGGGATGAACTCATCAATTGATTGCGCACCTTGAGGGGCAAGCCAAACAAATCCACTATTCCCAATGCGCTGTGAATACGAAGAGATAATCGACCAGAGATAATTGCATTGGAGGTGGATATATCCCTGATATCGGTCCTCCCTTGACGTCATGGCCTTGCCGTTCGATCCTGGCCGTAATTTCAGATACATTTTCGCCTTCGGATTGCCATCTAGCCACGGAGGTAACGTTTCACGGACAGATCAACATCAACAATCCTGCTTGGGTGGCCAATAATCGCCAATGGCGCTGGGGGATTATCCCTGTGGAACTTGTTTTCCTCCCCGTCTGCATACATTGTTTTGTTGCAAGCTGTCGATAGGTCCCCACTCTGATGGCGTTGCAAGCCTTGGTCTAGGAGCTGCTCGTCGTTACGTCATGGTGCAAGATAAAGTTCGCTCGCTCCTGACAGCCGAGCGAAAAGCTTCTGAGAGCTTTCTCATGTCACTATTCTAAGGGGCTTCTCCCTGAATTTTCTGAGCAAGCTGGTGATGAGATGAAGTCGTCGTTAAAACGTTTCGTTTGTTGCACATGAAGTCGAAAGAAGGCATAGACGCTTATATAATAAACTAATGACTATATTTAGAACCTGCTAATATCACATAACTAATAGTCTAGCTTGATTATGTAAATAGGAAATAAGCGATCGATCACGTGCTTTCGCGGGATGAGACGCGCGCGTAGTGCGTAGTGAAGAACTTTCCCACTACAGGTGAAGGAGATATCAGATACCAGATACCAGATACCCTATATCAGCTTGCTGCGCTGCTTTCAAAATGGGCAGGGCCAGTAGCGCCAGGCCGCTTCGGAAACGGCAAACTACCCTATCATTTGCCCCTGTCAGTTCGTCACCTCCAGCTGGGGAACGATCGCCAGCTCGTGTGCGATATCAGAATGTTCACTCGGAAAAGTCATCATCAAGAGGGAAGACATCTGTTTCTACATCTCGTGAAACGCCAACAGAACAGTCTATCTTCATCTCGTCTGATGAAGAGCCTATTCGCCTTCCCTCCAGTGTTAAAGCAAGGACGATAAAGCGAACAAACTCGGACATCAATAAATCTAGCTCTGAGGAGAGTGATGACATTGTGTCGACATCACCTGCGAAGCGTAGAAGAACCACTATGCAGGTTGTTATTCCTCAAGTGCCGGTAATTAGCGATCAGGCCACAATAAAACGTCATTCCGAATCCGACTCTGATATTATCTGCTCATCCCCGCTAAGACGGAGGAAGGTGGCCGTACAGTGCAGAATCAAAAGGGGCAATGATGAAAAAGAACCAAAGCCTAGTGGAATTTCAAAGAAGAGTAGCAGCAAATTGCGTCGGCGTGATATTGATTTGGAGGAAGACCTTGAAATACTTCAACCTTCAGGTAAGAAGCTCCCTGGCGGTCATTTTGGCATTATTCGTTTAGACCAGAAATTTTGTCATGTTTTACACGATACATTGATATATCAAAACCATTTCTTCTACATAAAAATAGCGAGAAGTATGTGCCGTGGACATGTACAAAGCGAGTTTTTTGCTTATTTTTGCTTCACTGCCCCTGCAAATATCGCAGGTGCCTCGTCTTTTATTAACCCTCTTCTAACGGTGTCTTAGACGTAATCGAGACTCGGACAAGGGGTACACCGAGTATGTCAACTGCCAAAGCACAACGGCAACGGCAACTAGAACTCCTTAAGCGTCGGCGTGCTGGGGATAAGTCAAAATTAACAGACACAAAAGAGAAACATTTTACGGACCACGATCCCGATAGTTCGGACCGATCTGAAGATAGCGAGGATTCTGAAGATTCTTCATCGTCGGAAGATCTGCAAGCGGACATCGATAGCGATGCTGAGCCTGCTCTTTCTGAAGATCTCGACAAGTACGATGCCGATTTTGTCGATGACGAAGGTGAATTAGGGGTGCCGGCGGACGAGATTGAGGTTCCATTTGAATTTACGAGACATAGGTACAAAAGGCTTAAGGACCATTTTAGGGATGTTGTTGAATGGATGGTGCACAACAAGATCAATCCAGCCTTTCGTCGAGATGATACCGTTTATAAAATGGCATTCAGAAAAGTGAAGGATGAAGTGACTGGTTTGGCAGGCTCTCAGTTTATATCATCTGTCTGGAATAAGGGGTTTGTAGTCTCACTCAAAGCAAGGCCACGGATAGTGGTTCTTCCCTACCCCATTACAGAGGATCATCCCTGTGATGCATGCAACAGGTCAAAACATCCAGCATCTTATGATATCCGATTTGACGGCCCTCCATATAGCCTGGAGACACTGGAGCCTATTCACGGAGATGACAGTAGTGAAGATCAGGACTCCGATGCAGAGCGCGAAAATGTCGACTGCGAGGGAAATGTGATACCCAACGAGGATACACACTTTTATCTTGGAAGGTAAGTCGAATGGCCCCCATATCTTAGCTGCTATGTATTAAAAGTCTTATTTTATTGTAGGCATTGCAAGTCAAAAGCATCCATGGCTCATACTTTGATTCATTGGCGTTACCACCTCAACGAATGGGTAATTGGCTATCTGGAGAGAATAGGTATTCTTGAAGACAGTGAAGTTCTGAAACGGGAGCATTGGAGCCAGAAAAAACATTCAAAATATGCCAACGAGGTTGTTGATACGATGGGAGAAGCGGGAGAGGTCGACCGACTATGGAGAGATTTCAACCTCAACCTGAAGACTGCACGAGCTGCAACGGTACATTATTCTTCCTTCATTAGCTCTTTATACGATTGAATACACTGACCATCCTATAGACATCATCTCGATATTAATCCCGCCGTAGCAGTGTGGCGGAGATTCAATTGTCTGCTGCAGGGTTATTCCATTGGATATTTGGAGTTTCCACAACATTGTATTTCCAACTCTTGCATGACCTTTTCCCCAACTATGCTGGTAACTAATGATGAAATGATTGAATTTTCAATATGTTCCCCCTTTACCGCTACCGATATTAAAGCAAAGCCCATCTTCCAGTAGTTCACGAATGAAAATACACTCATGGATAAAACGTAACCTCAACATGGTTATAAAGTACAGTGTAGGAAGGAAAATGGATGTCAGTTACCAATGTAAAGTACATGTGTAAATATTAAAGGAGAAGAGAAAACCGACAAGAGAAGTGTTGTCGACAGTAACAAAACTATGAGAAGACACAAACGGTGCTCAATCCTTGACCGAAGTAAAAATTCCAATAACCAGGGGAATGAATGACCATTTTGTCGCTTCTTCGGATGCATTCGTGGCCCTTGAACCCAGCTCATGTCCCGTATACGGTGGCTGTAATCCACTGGCAGATATCAATATTGCATGATTCATGTATACAATCTTGACGAGTCAATAGATCCAACACGCGATTCAATGGTGTATTTTATGTTCGCTAGACACGCTAGGAACTCAGACCCATTGGTATTTGCACTGGCCCGTGTAGCTCGTCTCGTCTTTGCGAATTAATTTACAAGGCGGGTTTAGCCTCCAGAGCAGTGGGGTCAGGGGCAGTAAGAGCGCTTGTGGCGCCAGGAGTCAACATCTATAAAGCAAGTAGAACTTCGGTTAGCCATCACATTATGATTCGGGGTTGTGTCGCTGGTAAATCATCCACACATACCTCATTGGCCCCCTTGATCATGCCTTGCTCCCTTTCCATTTGAACATATTGCTGCTCCTCAGCTAATGCGAGGGCCCATGGAACACCAAGCAAGAATGCACTCGTGCTTACAATCCACAAAGCGGATCCACCAAAAGAAACTGTCGATTTTGCGAAGGATGAGATGGAAGAGAAAACATTGCCAATCTTGTGTCTGGATTGGGCAGGGATAATGTCTTGTAGCGCACAGATTCTCTCGTACAGCGTTTCGTTGTCAAGATTGTCGTCAAACGAGTCTGTAGATATTTCAGATTCTAGTGCAAGATACCCTAAATTAGCAATGATAATCCTATATCCAGCAGATTTATGTTTCTAAGTGCAAAAATCGAATCTTGGACGAGAAGAGGTAATTTTTCTTCCCCGTTGGACGCCGACACCACAGATAACAAGGGCCACATATATAGACATAAAAAAGTATAGTGCATACCGGTGTCGGTGTAATCCTCGTCTTCATCATCGCTCAATAGCAAAGCATCGGACTTGGATGATGTAGGCTTTTCCTTGAAATGCTCATCTTCGACTTCGGTGAGCTTGACCATTGTGACGGATTGAAGCGGAGGGTGAATATAAAGTGAACGAAGTTGAATGAAATAGGCCTTGGATTTGCCGGTCGTTCCAAGGGATAAGATGTACTGTTTGCTGGGTAAGAGGTTGTTATGGCTGGTCTTTGATGCTTTTCATGTCGAGCAAGAAGTTCATCCAAACTTTTTCATCCAGACGAAACTACCAGCTTACGTAATCTCACTTATCGCCGATCAGGTGTGAGATAAATCCCTAGGTACCTGGTACGCCGTACCTAAGGGTTAAATAAGCTCAAGAGACTTCGTGAGAAGAAGCATCAGATACAAACAGAGCTTTGACGAGACTATCTGTGGATAAACTAGAACTACGGCCTACGTCTGTTACTATCAGTTTTAAACTGAAGCCCATTACCTATACTGACTGACTAGCCGTGTCCATTGACCTCAGGCCTTCATAGAGCCATACCCCATCCCGCAGTCAACCCCAAAAGCACAAGACACTATGGCGACACAAACAGAACCTGAACCGACTGAGCATCCCATTCCTTTTCCAGAGCCGACCATAATACCTCCTAGAAGCAAGCATACCCATACTCTCATACTTCTTCACGGTCGGGGCGGCGCTGGTCGGGTGTTTGGGGCCGAGATAATTACCACAATCTTAACTGCTCCAAGCCCCGATAATACTCTTCCGAAACGCTTTCCGGGACTCAAATTTATATTCCCTTCCGCAAAGACGACTCACTCAGCTCAATGGGACTTATATCTTCCCCAATGGTTTGATCGTGGTCCGATTGGTTCCCCAGCCAAAGAGCATAATGATTTACTTTATGGGGGACTTAGAGAATCGACAAAACACCTGCGAACAATAATTGACTCCGAGGTGGAACTCGTTGGTGCAAAGAATGTTGTCATTGGAGGTCTGAGCCAAGGTTGTGCGCAAGCACTCCATGTTCTACTGAGCTATGCAAACGATGAGCATTGTGCCTTGGGCGGGCTGGTGGGTATGAGTGGATGGCTACCATTTAAAGAACAAATAGCAGGCTTCATTTCAAACGACCAAGAAGGACAAAAGGGAGAAGACGAAGGGCCACGGCACTCGAGAGCCTTGCAAGCTATGAATTACGTTTGCCAGTCGGTGTTGGATTTGCCCCCCATTACTGCAGAAGCAGCTATCGCTTCTCTATCTACACCTATATGGCTGGCCCATGGCGGTATGGACAGGACTGTCACACCAAATCTGGGAGAGGCTGCAGCACAAACACTTGAAAAGCTTGGCTGGGATGTAACCTGGATGCTTTATGATGAACTTGAACACTGGTTCGCTCCAATGGAGCTGGAGGATATGGCTATATTCTTGAGTACAAGAGCTGATATCCCGGAGGCAAGCCAGTAAGGTCAATATTCACGCAGCGGATTTATGAATGTTATGAGAATGGTACAGTGGTTAACTAACGATTTCGTGGTTCGGGATTTTTAAAAGCGTTTTATATCAATCCTTAAGTATAAAAATATTTATTCATAATGCTAGTATTACACCATCCAACCTATTTAATAATACACAGTTCTCTAATTCCAAAAACGTAGAAGTAACTGATCCGGTATCCGTTTGAGCATTGCCTTCAAATGTATTTTGGTCATGTTCACGCGCGGCCTAGGCCCCATTTGGCTATTCTTTGCTGAATTTCAGCCCATTGCAACGGCGCAAGTTTAGTGCCTTCCATTTCACCTTCTTGAATGACAACAGTAGGTCTACCGGTGCCTTGGCCGCGGTTTTGTACCAAGCCACCGAACACTTGCTTAGCAACACGTCGTAAGTCATCAACTGTGAGGGCTTCGATTTGCTTGCACATCTCTTGGACCCCAATCTTGCGTCCGTGGACTTGGACTTGTCGGCCCAGATCTTCAAGTTCGACCATGCGCGATTCCAAGTTCATCAACAACGATGAGCGGAGCTGATTTTTAGCACGGTTGACTTCTTGTATTTGTAAGCCAGAATAACCAGAGTCAAGTGTCAGGGCCTGAAGTTCACGGCACATCACTTCTAGCATGTTGGCTATGCTATTAGGGACGCAGGACGCCGATATTCCGAACAGGCCACTATCGGTATAGCTGAGATTGAAGGCCATGCAGCTTTCTACCCAACCATGTTGATTCAGAACATTGGTGTAAAGCCTTGAGTACATTCCTTTTCCGGGACCACCGGCCGAGAATGATCCACCGCCACCAAGAAGGGTTTGAAGGGTTGCTAGAGCGTATATATCCGGAGAAGATATGGGGAGAGCTTCGAACGCGAGATGAATATGGCTGAGGCGTGGCATGGCTGGGTTTGCTGGAGGAGGAATGCGAGGGAGAGACATGAAGCCTCCGGTGTAATATGAAGGCTTGCTAACGTCGATCAAGTCGGTCTGGAGAATAGATGGATTAAGCGGGGATACGGTTGCTTGGTTTGCGGCGGAGGTCGATAGGTTTTTGAAGAATGGTACTCTGGAGAGGAGGCCTGGAGAAGAGGGAGAGGAAGGAGGAGTTGATGAATGGGAATGTGGCATTGAGGAATCCGGAGACTCGGTGGGGGTTGTGGAAGATGGTGAGAAGGCTGGGAATGTCGGTACCTCCGCTTCTCCCTGTATAGGCGCTGTCTCTGACCCGACTTGAGCCAGAAGAGGAGACTTCTGATTCTTCATGTCCCCAAAGTACTGCTCTGTCATTCTCACAGCGTCAGTGTGTGAGACGCCGGCAAATGCAACCACCATTTTATTCGGGTTGAAGAACGCGGCCCTGTATTTGTCCACGGTCGCCTTGGTGATCTGGTCTAGCCTCTCCCGTGGGCAAAGTAAAGGGTTTCCCAGTGTATTATCCTTATAAGCAGCCATATTCACCAGTTCCGGCAAAATCATCTCCGGCTTTGCCCAAAGCTCTGTGATTTCATACTCTGCAACCGCCAATTGCTGAGCAACCTCTTCTTCTGTGATTAGGGGGTCTCGGATGGTCTCTGCTAATAGGCCAAGGGTTGTAGGGACAGTCGAATTGAAGCTGGCGGATTGATACATGAGGGACTCTCGTGACGAAGCGCATTGTATGTTTCCACCGAGGCTCTCTAACGATTCAAGCATTTGGTCTGCGTTGCGTTTCGATGTTGATTTGAATGCGAGTCTATCGACAATATGGCTTACACCGCGGAGTTCATTGTTTTCGTATCTCGATCCCGCGTCAATGTAGACACCAACACCGGCAAAGGGGCCAGGAAGGGACTCGGTAGCGACGCGTAGACCATTGCTAAGGGTCGTTATCTGGTCCAACTCGACGGGATCCTATAGCACCCTCATGCGTTAAAAAGCGTATCTTCAGCATCATCTGCATCGACGCAGGAGCTTACCTTGTTCTCTGGCTGCCGAACAGTTGCAAAACTCCTAGGGGTGAGACGGGGTATGCAAGGTTTCCTAGACCTGCTTGCTCTCAGAGCCAATCGATGCATACTGTAAGGCGAGCTGGAATTCTTTTTTGTGTACGGAATATGTTGTTGGTTAAAGGTACCAGGAATGTAGAAGACGTTGGCAGCTATTTTCAATGTTTCCGGATCAGATAAAAAAAACTTGGGGGCTTGGCACGGGTGCTTGACTAGCGTCACATTTTAGTCACTTGCACGAACTCGACCCAAAAAAGCAACTCAAGAGACATAACACATAATTATACTGATATTATTAAAACCGGAAGCTGTTTAGTATATATACCCATCTAATCTACGTTAGGTGAAAGAAATCTAATGTTCATTAGACCATTTGCGGTACCAATCCAAACAAGCCGCGTTGGCGACACTGGCACCAGTTTTGATGTTTAACCCACAGAGAATCTGCTTGACTGCGTTTTCGACTTTCTTGCCGTTGGATGTGACTGGTATCTCGGGGCATGAGTCGACTATAGCAGGGACATGCCTAGCGCTCAGCTCCTTGCGGATAGCGGCTTGTATGCGGGTGATAAGCTCCTTTGAGATGGCTTTTGGCTCTTCAACAATGACAGGCGTTGATGTGCCAGAGGAAGCTGGGGTTGTACCCATTAACTTCACAAATAATACGACGGTTTCGTCCGTTTCGATTCCTTCGCGTCTCCGGCCGATGCAGAGAGAATCTTCAATCTCATCTGCGAAATGCTTGAGTATAACATTATAGATCTCTGCGCTCCCAAATCGAACGCCAGCAGGCTTTAGCACCCCGTCACTTCGTCCCAGCATTGCCAACCCACCAGTCTCGGGGTTTATGCGGACGAAGTCTCCATGATGCCAGATCTTAGGGCCAAAAGTATCAAAGTAACTAGCTCGATACTTTTCAGCGCCAACCGGACCAGGAGGCCAGAACATAACTGGCTGACACGGGAAAGGTTTAAGACAAACGAGGTCACCGGCATCGCCGGATGCACCAATGTCATTTCCGGCGTAGTCAAAGACAGAGACTGCCATTCCGAGGCCACGACACTGGATTTCACCGCGTGTGACGGGGAGAATTGGGCAGCAAGCACCAAAGAGGGAGATAATGTCTGTCCCTCCAGTTATGGAGCCAAGCATTATGTCTGGGTGGATCGAAGAATAAACAAAGTCAAATGTGGATGGGGCGAGGGAAGATCCGGTGCTAAAGATAGCTCTCAGACTCTTAAGCGTTACAGGTCTGAATGGGTGCTCTCTAGGATTCAGAGAGTTCTGCTCAAGAACAGAGAGGTATTTGGCAGAAGTTCCAAAATGGGTGATCTGGAATTCATCAATCAAACGAGGCATGGCCATATCACCCTTGCCGTTTTCGGGATCAAGTGGGCGGAAGGGAGATCCGTCATAGAGAACTATACTGGTGCCGCTTGCGAGGCCAGAAACTAGCCAATGCCACATCATCCATGTGGTGGTTGTGAAGTAGAACAGGCGGTCACCGGGTCGCATATCGCAGTGAAGGACATGTTCCTTCTTATGCTGTATCAAAGTTCCAAGTGCTCCATGGACAATAGGCTTTGGCGCACCAGTCGTGCCAGAGGAGTATAGGATGTAGACAGGGTGGTCAGGAGGAAGGTACTTGAAGGCCAATGGCTTCGATATGGCCTCGGCAGAGGAGAGGAAGTCCTGCAGTGCCACACTCTTTCCCTTGGGAGGCCTGGCGGCCGAGATCTCAAATGGGTAGTCCTTGACGGCGTCAATAACAACAACAAGGTCCAGACACTCCAGGTTAGCAGCCACTTCCGTAATCTTTGACTGAGTTGGGTGGACTTTGCCATTGTAGGCGGCTCCGTTATCCACAAAGAGTACCTTGGGCTCGATCTGTCTCAATCTCTCCAGGACAGCATGAACACCAGTATCGGTGGAAACGCCACTCCACAATGCACCGAGCGAGGTGGCTGCCAACATGGCAATCAGGGTGTTGGCATGGTTGCCTACAAATCCGGCAACGCGGTCCCCCTCTACAACACCAGCAGCCTCCAAAGCAAGTGCGCAGACACGTACTCGCTCCCGAAGGTCCTTCCATGAGATACTCTCACGAGTAGATTCTGTGGCAGATATGACAGCAATCTCTTCCTCGTTGGGGTTGCAGGCCGGGAAAAGCAGGTTCTCTGCGAAATTGAGCAACGAGCCCTTGAAGAATGACGGGCGAGGAAACAGAGGCGCGTTCTCATCGAATACCTAACAGACAATGTTACCTTCTGTCCTTCTCTCCTTCTTTCTTTTCTTTTTCCTCCCCATCACAGCGGGGCAAATGCGCCGAATATGTGCATGCCGGCTCAACGCAAATAAAAGCTGGATATCACAGCAATTGATTCCAATCCTGCGAATTCTCATGGAGTGAGTCACTTACGCTGTCGTAGGTTTTGTGCGCCTTGACGCCAGTGTACTGCCATATTTCTTCCCAGAAAAGCGCCGGGCTGCGGATACTCCATTCGCGCAAATCGTCATAGTTCTGCAGCGAGAGGCCGTGTCTCTGGATTATGCGGTTCTTAAATTGATAAATCTGCGTGGATTCAGGATTTGACGGGCGCCAGAGCTCCTTTGGCTCCATCAAATGGCCATTGCCGTTGGTCTCTGGTTGATCGATGAACGGCATCACGATAACAAGGGGTTGTAAGATAACCACGATAAGCCGGGGATATAGTATCTAGCGCAGGTTGATAATGAACTAGAGCAAACGTCAGCTTAGAACCAGAGAGGAGAGAGAGGCGTCCATACCTTTATAATTTTATCTATACCATCCGAGTGTCCTCTCCGTGCTTCATATACCAGGTACAAGCCTCCCTTGCACGGCGTTTCCCAACACTTTCCAGGATGTCGCAAATAAATTTTCCCTACCTGCTTTAAAATATCCGACGCAGAGAAAGTGAAAATCCCTGGCCGCCCTGAAGGCGCCCCGCGGAGAAGGCTTAGCTAAGCAGCTGGGGGTCTAAAAGCGCCAATGAAAAGAGCCGAAAGGGGCAATGACAGCGGGAGGCAAACCAAGCAAACTTCCGCATCCGGTCAGGCACCGTTATTCTTTGCTTATATCATCAAGGTCTATTACAAGACGGTACGGAAGTTACGAGCGACTCGCTGATCTCTGTCGGTTTTCCTGCGCTTCTATTGGATAAAAATGTTTATTAATTCGTATTTACTGTCACACCGCGTATCAGCCCGCCAAAAAAAGGGCCGTAACTTCGGTAAAAAATACGATAAGATAAACGCGCAAAATTTCAATAATCTGATACGTCATGGAACGCGAAAAATACAGACTTTACACAACTTTTGGCAGGCAGAAAAGGCAAAATTAAAATTACGAAACCTTCTTTTACGCTCTCCTTATTTTTCCTTTCGTTCTCTTGCCCCCTTTTGGGAGCCGTCGAGTATAAAACAACGACCAGCGGCTTCGACCACAACAACATCACCAGCATCACAACTCTTCAGCTCGCCTTGCTTGTGAATCGGGCATTGCTAGCTGCGAGAGCACTTTGGCAGCTCGCGTGCAGCTGGTTTTTGAAGGCATTGAGAGCTCACGGGCCACAGCTGAAACTGCTTATCTCGCCTGCAAGCTAGCTAGTTAATCCCGGCCCGCTCGGGAGCCTCCTGAAGGTGAGTCCTGGCATTATTATATTTTCATTATTATCAGGCGAAACCCTGGAAACCTCGACAGACAATTCTGCCTCCAGCCTCGTCAGACTAGATTTCTCTGCCCGTTTTACCGTTGCTAACGCTCTGGACGCTCTTTCCAGGACTACAGAGTGGCATACGGTCCATCGCTATTGCCCATACCTCAGACCGGGTTGCACATCGTTATAAATCTCCGTTGAAAACGAAAAGGCTAGAGGGAAAAAAATCCAATAACACACACCTCGTCTTCCGGCTACCACTTTGCCTATCCTCGCAACATCTCATCGCTTGGACCTAGGAACCTAAGCTCTCCAGCCTCCCTAGCATACGTCACTTTGAGATGCCGCGTCAACCTACAGACCTTCCCTCAGCAAACCTATCCGACCTGCCTCCGTTTCCTCCCACTGCCGGGAGAGACGGCTCCATTCCCGCACGACCTACGGCCTCGAAACCTAGCAGATTCAGTCAGCTCTTTTCTACCTCTCCTAAACCCTCAAAGACTGCCTTGATCGAGCAACCTATATCACAGTCCTTACCTATGATCTCCGCTTCCGGTGCTACCGCAGACGGCAACACCATGGATTCTGCTTCTAAGACGCTCTTTCAGGCCCCTTCCAATGAGGATGCCCGCCGTATAGCCAGACAGCATGCCCAGTTCGGCCCTCTCGGCCACCCTTCTCATAGATACGTCTCCAAGCATTATGGTGGCCAATTTCCTGAACCAGTCATGGACGAACCCCCTTACTATTATCTCCTCACGACCTACATCAGTTACCTAATCCTAATAGCATTTGGACATGTGCGTGATTTCTTTGGAAAGCGGTTCCAAAGCGAGAATTACAGACACCTGAAGCCACAAAATGGCTACGCAGCCCTAAACAGCGATTTTGACAACTTCTATGTACGCCGTTTGAAACTGCGAATAAATGACTGCTTCGAACGACCCGTCACCGGTGTGCCTGGACGATTTATCACTTTGATTGATCGTGTCAGTGACGACCAGAACCGCCATTTTCGGTTCACCGGTACCTATACTGATACTCTGAACATGAGCTCGTACAATTACCTTGGTTTTGCACAGTCTGAAGGCCCCTGTGCAGATGCGGTCGAAGAAACCATCAAGAAATATGGAATTAGCTCTGTTAGCACCAGGAGTGAGGTCGGCACCCAGGATCTTCACCTTGAAGTTGAAGATCTTGTTGCTAAGTTCGTTGGCAAGGAATCTACCATGGTTTTCTCTATGGGTTTCGGAACCAATGCCAGTATATTTTCTGCACTTGTGTCGAAGGGTTGCTTGATCATCTCAGACGAGCTGAACCATGCCTCTATCCGATTCGGTACCAGATTGTCCGGGGCTGCCATTACAACCTTTAGGCACAACGACGTCAGAGCCCTAGAGAAGCGTCTGCGGGAGGCAATCTCTCAAGGCCAGCCCCGAACACACCGCCCATGGAAGAAGATTCTTGTGGTCGTTGAGGGTCTCTACTCGATGGAAGGCTCCTTGTGCAATCTTCCCGGGATCCTGGCTCTGAAGAAGAAGTATAAGTTCAATCTCTTTATCGATGAAGCTCACTCCATTGGTGCCATTGGCCCTCGAGGACGCGGTATTTGTGATTTCTTCGGCATTGATACCAAGCACGTCGACATCCTCATGGGTACCCTGACCAAATCATTTGGTGCAAATGGAGGATACATTGCTGCTGACAAAATCATCATCGACAAGCTTCGAGCTACCAACCCTGCTGTCTTCTATGGCGAGACCCCAACACCACCAGTCCTTGCTCAGATCTCTTCCTCTCTGAGAATCATTACTGGGGAACTTATTCCTGGTCAAGGTGAAGAACGGCTTCAGCGATTGGCTTTCAACTCGCGTTATCTCCGCCTGGGGTTGAAACGACTTGGTTTCATAGTCTACGGAAATGACGACTCCCCTGTAATTCCACTGCTGCTCTTCAACCCCGCGAAAATGCCTGCCTTTTCACACGAAATGTTGAAGCGCAAGATCTCGGTCGTCATCGTTGGATATCCTGCCACGCCCCTTGTTTCTTCTCGTGCCAGATTCTGTGTTTCCGCCGCCCACACCAAGGATGATCTTGATCGATTGCTTGCCGCATGTGATGAGATCGGGAACATTTTGCAGCTCAAGTTCTCCAGTGGTGTTGCTGGAGGCGCCCTTCCACCCCCAGATGGCATGACGCCAGAAATGGAAGCTGAATGGTACCGTCAGCAGGCAGCCTCTTCTCAGGAACCCACTCCTCCAAGATGGAGGTATGAAGACGTTATCGCTAGAGGTGTCCAGGATACCAAGCGTCCATTACGATAAATGCTGTAATCTCTATTTTGCCACTGATCAGGGTGGTAGTCGCACTGAGATTGAATCCCCTGCATTGCATCGCATTGCATGTACAGATATCCAGCTCCATCTTTTTCTAATGGCGTTAGCTGCGTTTGTTTTGGTTGGTATAGCCCGCGCCATATCTTAGCCTCCTGGTTCTTTTTCTTTTCCCCCTTTAGCCTGGAGACCCTCACCTCTTTCCCTCCTCCTTCGTTTCTCTCAGGATGGCTTGCCACTTTTAATGTGCATATGAAAAGGATACTTTTAAATAAACCCCCTCCCTGTGTACATTCACTCCCTTATCTACTTGCTTTCCCTTAGCATCTATGCCTTGTTAATATCCAAGAAAGCAAGAACAATACAGAGGGAGGGAGACACAAAGCCCAGGCATACCATCTCTGTCTATCAACCTGACCTGGCCCAGTTCTTGTTGTGGTTAAATCAATCAATCCTATGTGGTATGCACAGGACTTTCTATGTATGATGTGTGATTTTTGATTTTATTACTTGAAATGTGTCTATGAGTTGAGTGGGCGTGTGGTGCATGGTGAAACATATAATAATATTAATAGACCTATATTTTAATGACATTTCTAGCCCTCCCTATCCCTTTCTTCAAGGTAACCATCTTATATGCCAATCTCCATATCCCGAACGGCGACTACATCATTACCGTGCACCTATATTATATGCGTGTACATGTATACGTGCATCCATCCGCAACTCAGCATCATTCCACATCTTTCTCGTCAGGAACACAGCATTGCAACAGGCGCTCGAGTCCACCAACCAGCCCCCCGTCCCTCCCGTCGATCCGGCCAGAAACCAAATCATGCAAGCCAACCGGCCGAAAGCAAACAATACGCCAATTCCAAGCCTTTGATCCCAGCAGGATGGAGTGGATGCTTTGCTCGATATATTTTTATGGGCAAGCCACCACCATCAGCAGGACCTCCTGTCACGGAAATGTGAACTATCAACTTGTCAATTATCGGCTCTACTTTGGTTCAGAATAAATACGGCGCATATACTCCGTATATTCTGTTATAATGCCAACAAAATGTACTGCATATACCAGACAATTTATACGTGCTTCCCTGAGGCCCTGCATCGTGAATATGCATTCTCGGACAACATCGTCTAACGTTTTGTACAGCCTACTTCAGCACTTGGTGTCACAGAGATCTACCAGCTTCGGGTATCTCGTTTACTGTTTTATTTGAGATATTTTTTTTTTTGATAGAAGCGCCGGACATATTTCGGTGTTGCTTTCTTTGCCTGCTTCGTGAGAATACATGCCCGTTCTCTTGACCAACATGATACGCATAATCATATGATATACTGTTTAGCCTGGTGTATCAATTACTGAGAAGGGATATATACCCCGTACACAACAGGATCGAATAGTCCATATAACCAGCTGAACTATCACCGAGACAGACAATTACACTGGTGACCAAACCAAACACATACACCATCCGTTCAATGTTACACAACCCTATTGGCTTCAGCTGCAAGAAAGCTCAAGGGAAAGACAGCCTAACGTCGCAGATCGTTTTCCGGGCTCCTAGACCAACCATATCGGGTTCTCTCTTCTCGTTTGCATAGATCTTCATGCATGGCGCGGAAACCATCCCCGGAGGGCTTCGGTACGGAAGTGCTGTGACAGCTGCCACCAATGGTAGAGTACATGGGAAGAGCAATGATACAACTAGCTAGCCAGTCTAATTGTTTGCTTGCTATCTTGATCTATCCCGACCCGAGTGTCTGCGTGTTGCAAGTATTATACATGCAAGACATGGTAAGCATTGTTATCAGTGTATCTTTTCCTTCACACTACAGCACAGTTGCAGGGAGCTGTCTAAGCACTCGGGAATTTCGCTATGGAGCCCTTTAACTAGTTAATAGGTGCAGTTAATTTATCGAGTACTACTACGGGTACTGTTAGGCACCTGGATGTTCACTACCCCTTTGTAGGTAATGAGACCATTGACTACTTTGCCTTGCTGTCTATGTATATATATGTATTCCAGTCATCGCCATGTCACTTATAGAGAGGATAAAGAGGACTATCCCTATGCCAACGCATTGTACGGAGTAACTACATGGTTAACGCTTGTCCTGCACGTTTGTTAGCAGAGTCGCAGCTTATGGGAAGTTCCGTGTTTAAATATATGGATGTTCGGTTCACTTGAGAGACTTGAGGTAATTTCTATATCCACTGTCACTCATACCAAAACTGTAGACTAACCGCAGGATAAATTTACGCTTCTTCAGCTTCCCCGTTACCGTATCTGTGAACAGGATGCATTCGACGAACTAAAGGCTTCACACAAGCAGGAACCTGCAACACTCACTTCAATTTGATATAAAGCATAGCTACTGGCAATTAATCACTTAACAGTGTGGAAACATCCGATTGAAATAACACAGGAGTCCAAACAGACGAGTATAAATATTTGGCACTTCCGCGGTACCTTCGCCTCTTACACCCAGGCATTTCCTCAACGACGCATCCTTCCATCAAGCCAGTCTTCTATATACTGGATATATTGACCTTATACGGAACAAGGTGTGCAATGAGAATAGCCGTGGCTCAAGAGATACCAGGGTATATATAACCTTTGCTTACGCAATGACTATAGGTCTGCCGTTACTATCCCTCCAGTTCTTGTTTGAAAACCCACCAAACAAGTTCACGATGTGTCACCAACTTATCCACGAATGCTCTTGTGGGCATAAAGAAGTCGGTGGTTTTCATTCCTGCAACCGCCGAAACCACCCTTCCTTCCCATGCACTAAGGTCACCAAAATTCCCGCGCCCTGGGGACCCTGCCGCAACTGCAGACGGCGCTAAGATTCACACCCGCGGACGATGTGGTCTTCTGGCTCAAAGAGGCATCAATCGACGAATGCGTTATCCTATTATAAAGGGAGAATGGCGTAGGGTATAGATTCGGGGGGTGATTTCAATATGGTTTCCCTTTGGGACTCTGTGGTCAGGAAACGGAATTGGGCATAGACAGAGGCATAAAAATGCATCTATGTAAAGGAGTCATGAGTTACCCTTCATCAATACAATTTGACACCACCATGCAATAAATATTAGATCATGGGTTCAATGTGGAAGGGGTTTGATCCCGCCGCCGTAAAAAAAAAATAAATAAAAATAACCGAGCGTGTGTTATCAAGGAGACTTGAAGTACGACATTCGAGCTTGGGTGAAACGAAACATCAAATGAAATTGTTCTGCGATGTGCTGTAAAAAAAACCGAAAGGTAGACATGGCTTCTATATACGTGTGTATTGAACGTCTTAAAATTCTCCCAACCATAATGTATCCAGGTAATATGCTGAAATGTAGAAAATAAGGCAAATGGAAACCACGAACAACACGGAGCGAGGGAATTCTTGAGTGATATCGTGGGATTAACCTCAGCGGTAGTGTAAAGAATGGAGGCGTCGAACGCTCGAGTACTTCAGATATATGTAAGGTGACATGAACATCCCCTGACCGAGATGAAAAGCCAATAGGAAAAGGAACCAAAAATATATAAACAGTGCCTGATAGAATAAAAAAAAGGGGTATCAGTCAGCCGGAATGTGAATCAACTAAAATGAAACACCAGCATTGCTAAAGGGCTGACAAAGGTTCGAAATCGTCTAATAAGTGCTGAAAAAACCAAGATAAAACCAAAACGTGCATAAATGTATAGGGAACGCTATGGATATGGAAAGTCGATGATCAAATCAAACGCTTCCATATCTATCGCTCTCACGGGAAATAAGAGCTTGCGTTTCGTTGTCTGATGCCTTTCTCTCGGGGGATAGTGAAGGGATCCAGCCCTTCATGAAACCAGTGACCCTTATCCATCTATGGCGGCCTCTCCCTACCCGGGTAACAATCTTCTGCTTCTGTTCGCCATATTTCATGAATTGGATGCCCACACATACATCCAGCAGGAGCACACCAGTAGCCCCAAGCCAGAACGGGATTGCAAGGATTATCCAGCTCATTCGATCGTTCCCCTTTGGACCGGCCCATCCACCTCCTCCGTATGGTGGGAAATTATGCCAGCCATTCGGGTTAGTGAGCAAGGAAGAAGAGTAGAACATGTTTCCACAGAACGCAGCAACGAAGAGCAAGGGCGATAGACCAGCAGTACTCTTGCGTGTGTAATTCTTGTATAGCTGCGGTAGCCGGGACCCAAGGTAAAGGATGGTGGAAATCCAAGAAAATATCCGGCCCACAAACTCCTTCATGTTCGATGGTGGTGGTATGGCCGGGTGTGGCCTTGAAAGGCCAGTAGGTGGGATTGAAGAGGCATTGGCTAGAACAGCGCAGAGCATGGAAACGAACAAGACGGCCTTGGGAGAAGTTAACGAACTTCCAAGAGGGCTTGATTTAACGTATCGTTTCCCGCCAGATGCTTGAGGTTGAGCCTTTTCATCGGGTAACTGGTCTCTTCCCGCTTTCAAGTCATTTACTGAGCGAGGAGCAGATGAATGTTGCGAATTTCGTAACTGCTGGAATGAGTCACAGTCTGATGGTGGGAAATCAGTATCGCTATCCTCACTATCATCGATGTTGGCGTATTTAAGGCGATTTGGCTGCCATTGCTTCATGTGAGTGTACCAGAAATGTTGATATGTCATGATAAGGTCGACAATCACATAGTAAGCCGCGATCGTGATCTGCCAGCCGGCCTGGTTAGTGAGAACAGCACCGATGCAATTTGCCGTATCTGCCAGGAGCCATTCCACGATAAAAATTATCGATAAGCCTGCCGTTGACTTTATCTTGTAGTTCTTATATATCTGTGGGAGCTGGGCAAAGAGCCAGGAGATGATGCTCAGTACCCCGAGCGTGGACGAGATGAGTGCAAGCGGAGTCGGTAGACATATTTGCAAAGTCGATGAGATGAAGTGTAGGAACGGAGACACCGGTTCACAGTGGTCTGGAAGGGTACGATGAGCGGGATTCCATGCTGCTGAAGGCATGATTCTGTTGTCTGCTGGTTATAACTGGTCGTTTTTTCCCATTCCCAGGATAGAGTGACGAAAGTGGTGGTAGAATCTCCGTGGCGAGGAGCGAAGACGGACGGCCTGGTGGCTATAAATGCACTCCGTAACTGACTTCACAGGGTGACACAAGCAGAAAAGCCTTCTGAAACCTCAGCCCCTTTTGAGCGTGATAGCAAGATGGTAAAGGAGGTAGCGAGAAGTTTTTGTCGAAGAAGACAGATCCGATCGCACCGCTTCAACCCCAAGGAGGCTTACTTATTAAGGCGCGTTATTAGGAGTGGAGGCGGTCTATAACTATATCAGCGGAGCTGAGTAGTCACACGTGTCGTTTTATGCGGGGAGGATATATATGGGCAGGGGTGCAGCAGGCTTGTCGAACCGGCCCCAAAGATAAGACTTCGGGTCGAGTTGGTGTAGGAGAGGGTTGGGCGACGATGGGAAGCGGACACGACGAGAGACGAACGAGAGGCTGAGAGATAACGAGACAGCGAGACGAACAGAAGATCAGAGAGCGAGATGGCGGCCATGACGAGGTCACGCTCCGTTTCTCGCATTCCGTCACGCTGACCCAAAGAAGCAAAGAGTCAGGCGGAAAAAGGAGTCATCCAAAACCTTAAGGCAGATAACCTTATGTAAGGAACCTTATATAAGATAAGGCTGCGAATCTACCCGGGGTCACGTGTGAAAGGGTCATGTCACGTGAAAGTTTCAGCCCTAAACTTCCCCAAGGGCCCCAGAAACCCGATTTCCCTCCTTGGAGTCTGGGAAACCAACAAACAGGACAAGGGGACTGTCAAGGAAGTCAAGGGTCAAGGAACCAGCCTGCCCTGGAGGATGGAAGTAGAGGATGATTTTAACAACAACTACTGTGTTGCTGATCTTATACCGTTACTTACCGCGGGCATGAAATGCTAGAGAACAAAGACACGGCTTGTAGGTCCAACAATGAACATATCCAACATTGAAGCTCCCGCAGTGGGCCGGCTTAACTATGCCGATCTCATTAAGCGACTCCATAATTAGGCACAGAGCGTAGGCAACCATTGTTGTGTTCAGTTTGTTACTGTTGGACTGTATCTGTGTGGATTACACAGCCCACCCATGGTACAGTCTGAGCCACAAACCAGCCAATATGGCTTTGCGTACTCGGTTATGGAACAACTGCGGCCCCTTAACCGTTAGCCAACAACCCGGCTCTGATTTCCGCCATTACACTCCCCCCGAATCTAGTTATTGAAAATGATATTCTAACCCTTGGGGTTTCGATAATGAGCCGTATATGTTGAGCCATATAAGCACATGAATCCTGTCATGGTAATGATAGCCCGGCTTGAAATATTAATGTTACCATCATTCCCTGAGTAACTAACTAGTTGGTACTCCGTACTCCGTAAGTGGAAATGCATTATCCCAAGTGCTTCTCCGCTGTTTAACAAATATCATCGACGCACTGATAGATCCAGACCGTTTAAAGATCGGGGTAACATATTTTGAAACACTAGGCGCCCCGAAGGACAAAAAATGGATAATCAGTCACACAGACTAGATTCGTTGGTGAAAGGGATCCTTAGCTCCTACACTACACACGCTGTGCTGCCATTTCTCGGTCCCTGCCTATCTCTCCGTCTATTCGTGCCCTTAATGCCTGAGCCAACACCACAGGAAGCCATTTACGTCACCTAACCGCCGATCCAAGTGTTGCCTGGGCTAATGGCAACAAAACGTTTTCGCATGTTGCCAGGAGATTCTCCATATAAAGTTGACTTGTATAGTCGTTGGATGAGCATATTAACCACTACATTGGGTTCATACAGGGGTGTAACTATCCTCCATCAAATCTATTCGCGATATAACTTAGCCATGAGAGGCATATAGTGCGACTGCAAAGATCTACCCCGATTATGAGATCTTCGGGATGTGTAAATGGAACTTGGACCTTCTATTTCACTGACCCCAGGTATAAAAGAGGGCTGTTTTCCATTGGATTCTCAACCCACGCCAGCAAATATTTCATCGACCCAACCGAGTGAAATATCATCTCTTTTGAACAGCCCATCCAGCTACCGTTAAATAATGCAGTTTAAAGTCGTTGTCATCGCTATTTCGGCACTCCTTGCTACAACTGTAGCTGCCGGCACGCTTGGAACTCGTGCCAGTCAATGTGGTGGCCGTAAGTAAGCTCATAATATATCGGGTATACATTCCATACTAATGGATAATAGAGCCTGGTACACATTGTATCACCCACTGGTGGTGCTGCAGCGGACACTGCAATGAACATGGATCGGTCTGCGACTAACTCCTGTAAGTATTAGCAGAAATACAGTCACCTCCTCACCTTGGCTCCGGCACATTCCATGAGAATGAGCTAACGTACCTTAGCGTCTGTCACGCCGGAATACATTACTTAACTTGAACCAACGTGCATCCGAAGGAAGGAGGTCTTTCACTATTGGGATTGAATCTTCCTTGCAGTCCTAAGAGATCAATAAGATATACAAATCAACTAGCTTTTTGTCTCCTCAATAACCTGTTCATTGTAGTGCTACTTTTAAAATGAAGGCTCTTTAGAGGCTTCAATAATAATATTATCAATGTCAGTATTCAAACAGAACGAAGCTCTCACATCCTAATACGGGTTAATTATGATGCGTTCCGCAGGCAGCGACCTCAATAAATATTATCACGTAATCAATGATGACATCATGCCCTTTGATGTTGGATTTTGTTTACTTTCCAACCCTTGGATTAAATGAACACGTCCTCAGCGTTGTGTTGGCCTTTTTTAAAAATATAACTTATGCGTACGCTTATACAGTGTGAAAAATGGCTTTAGTTAAACTAGATGACCTTCCCGAGGACATACTAGTCCTTATATTCCCCTTGCTCGATGTACCAGACTTCCTCGCGCTATGTAGCGTCAATAAGTATTTCCACGAAGCGTTTCTAAAGAGCCCAGAGTTCTGGCGGGAGGTTACGACAAAAACCTTCCGAATACCTGTCCAGCCACTCCTACGAGCTAATGGGCCGCGATGGTACTGGTTGTATAAAAATCTTCGGACGCAGACGAAGGTTTATCAATGGGGCGGAGAGGGGCGCCCATCTCAACCTGTGAACAAAACCTGGCCGTATGAATCCTCGGCTGCGGCTGAGGTAAGGAATATAGTTGATTTACAATGCGGGTTAGTTCTCGACTATCCACATCCTCTCTGTCCTCCCCATAAGTGGCATACAGCAGACTAATATCCCATTAAGGGGCTGGTCATCCTCGTGCCTAACTTCGGACGGTGAATTATACCTCAACGGACGTATAGATGGGGTATTTTATGATTATTCAAGTGCAAGCGGATATCAACGTCTCAAGTTTGATGCGCAATACCCTGCAACTTCTGCAGACTCATACCACAAATCAACAGCCATTAAACAGTTCTCCTCTGGCAGACGTCATATCCTTGGATTATCTGATGAGGGGATGATATGGAGCTGGTTCCATAGAGACCAAAATGCTAGACTTATTGAGTTTTCTTGTGCTAGAACGGTTCTCAACTCAAAGGACCCTTCCACTCCAGGCACCGTGACAAAGGTCGTTGCGGGTTGGGATATGAACTCGGCATTCGTTGCTGGCACAGGCATCGTTTATTGGAAACTCGAGAACCCTCGGCCAGACAGCGATGAGTCTGTGTTGCTAATTGTTCCTGGAAAAATTGTGCCAGGTACCGGTTTCCAGCGGTCGAAATCTAATAAAGACCGGGCAGAGGACGATGTGGGATTAGGGGAGGTTATAAACCATATCGTTCTTGAGGGATATATAGTTTTCATTACGGATCTGAACAAAGTGTTTGCAGTTGATGAAAATGGCCAGCGTACAGTCGAACTAGCCAAGTTCGGCGCACCAGGAAGAATCTTGCAGGATATTCAGGGTGCTTTCCGCAACTTTGCTGTTTTTACGGCAACGGGCGAGGTCATGATAGGGGGCGTCGAACACATCCAAGACGCATTTAACTGTGTGGATAGCCCAGACAGTGCCTCCTCTCCAGATCTTCCAGCCGGATTACAGCACAGTGAGGTGATATCAGTTTCGTTTGGTGATTACCATTACACCGCCCTTCACGCCGATGGTAAAGTTTCTAGCTATGGAAGAGAACCTAGAGGCTGCGGTTCACTTGGCCTTGGAAGTACCTTAGGAGGTGTCCCTTTGCGTGGCCTCTCAAAGGAACAAGATGACTATTTCTCTACAGACGTGTACTTTGCTCAATTTGCTGAAGGAAAACGACATAACGTCTGGTTCGAACCTGAGAAACGCGATTGGCTCAAGTACTTGGCATGTGAAGCTGCATCCCGACTTAATGGCGAGGACTGGTTGATGCCCTTTAAAGAGGATGATGAGCTTATGGAGAGATACAGTGCTTGTATTGAAAGAGCGGGAGACAACTGGGACAACTTTCCAGACATCAAATCCGAGAATGCAGATGGACTAGGCGCATATTTCACTCTCAGTGTCGCATCTGCTGGATGGCAAACCGTTGCTCTCGTGCTTGTTAACAAGGACCTAGCGGAGAAGGTTAGGAGGAAGCACATGGTCAATGAGAATGATGATGGCAATCAAAGTGAGTGGAGGCAGTCCTTTTTAGCTAGGTGCAGGACATACCTTGGGTTAGGAGCTAACAACGTAATAGAAAACCCAAAGTACAAATGGAAGCTACAAAAGTACCCCACGTTATCAAGAAATTCAGAGAGGATGCTTGACTTTAGCGTGTATGATTTTGATACCTGGGTTTATGGCCTACCGCCGTTGGAGGAAAATAACCGTTAAATCTAGATATGACTAGACTTTTCTGCAATCAACTGTTTTTTAGTGCCATTTTGTCGCTAAACGTGCATTTGACAAAGAGATATTACGGGTCGATACTATACCCCCTATATCTAAGTAGTCACCAATAGTATAATAAACTTAATGCCCTCGTTATATCAGGTGGACTGCAAAGTGAAAATAGTAACATTGATAAGGCCATGGCACCAGTCCAGAAAGAATAACACCATAACTACCTAAACTCCAGAAAGTGTCCAACAACAACTAGCAGGACATAAAACGCGAAAATCTCTAAAACCCCAGAAAAGAGGGACATAGAAAATATCTCCCAGGGAAAAAGAACATTGAAAATCCGCATCCAGCCAGGCTGAATCCCCGCTTCATACGTGTGTAATAAATCATCAAAGTAAATCCAGCAAATAGATGAAAAATGGGCAGAAAAGGAAAAAGGGGAAATGAAAGCCGACATAACTAAAACAGCAAAAACGAAGAATACTCCATAGGTATCGTGTGAATTTAGATGGTAAAGCGAGAGAGCAAATAAATACAAGGCTAATCTGACCGGAGATTTTGAAATAATCAGGACAGTCCAGATAAATGTTCGATGCGACGTCTGATAGGAACGGAAAGGATAGTCAATATCCATGGCAGGTTTCTATGCATTGCATTGTATCGCATTGTATTGTATTGTATGTGTAGAAAGGTAATTGTATGTGCGGTCGTAAAAGTCATGGGGTAGTTGTCGTTGTCTTGAAATCTGAAAAAGGATTGGATGTATGAAATAGCGAGAAAACGAACTCTAGTGAGAAAGTGAGCTCTTGCTTAACCACGAGTTTAGCATATCATCTAAGCGGCTGGACATATCGTTCAATGCCTTGCTTTCCTCCCTGAAGAGGCTTCCGACGAGTGGATGGTCGGGACCGGCAGCAGGGACATTAGACTTGTCGTGTACGATGGTTAGGAGATCGCGGATATCACTGCCATCATCCATGTATGCGCGCAAGCCGCCATCGTTCCAGGCTGGAAGGATAGCTGCTGATGGTGATACGGATTGTACCTGGCTTCTGTCGTCTTCGAGAGTAGGATCCTGCGAGAATGCGGGGGAGACTGTTGGAGAAGGTGAATCGGTTGGTTTAGAAGAGTACTGGTCTTTCTCGGGAGAGGGTGAGCGGTGATCCTCGTCGAACGTGTCGTCGTAGTGACTGTTAAATTCACGGTCTTGCTGAACCGGGTCGGCGGTATGGGAGATGCTGGCTGATTTCTTGCTTGAGTGGGTAGAATATGTTGAGGTTTGGGAGGCTGAGTATTGGTGCTTAGGTTGATTTGCAGGTGAATGTGTGGAAACATCTCGCGCGGATTCAGATGAGATGCGAGGCTCCTTGACAGGGGAGACGATTGGTTCAGATTTCTCCTGCATTGGCCTATCCTGCTTGTTGGTAAGTGGTCTGAGCACTTCTGGAGATCGTACTCGTGTACCCTGAGCGGAAGAAGTTCGTGGCGGGGGTCGTTGAAGGGGTTGTGGTTGTTGTTGGTGCTGCTGATGATGGTGGTGATTTTGCTGCGGTTGCTGTGATTGCTGTTGGCCGTTGGATTGGAAGTTTTGTTTAGTTGCTGGCGGGGATTGGGGAGCGGCAACTTCCTGTCGTGAGGTGGATCGCCCATTATCATTCCTTGAACCGGAGCCCTGTTGTTCGCCAGGAGGTGCTTTCTGAAGCTTGCTTGGAGTCCTTTGCAGAGTGACTGTTGGCTTAGGCCCATCTCTGCTGCCATGATCACCCGAGGTACTGGTTGGAGTGATTGATCGGATAGACTCCTCCGAGACCTTTTCTTGGTCGTCATCATCATCTGTAGCCTTGGTTTTGCGATCCCTTCTCTTGAACAGGCCACTGAGCATTCCAGGTTTCTTGTCTTTCCGTTTCTTGTCATCCTTGTTCTTGTCAGAGTATGAACCTTTATCGTATGATTCAAAGCTCCCACGGACTCTCGAATCCTTGTCTGACTGTTGTGTAGTGATTGAGTCGTCACGTAAAAGGTTGGGAGTGAGGGAGATTTTCTTTGTCTCAAGGTTATCGTCCTTGAAGAATGAGTCTGTATTGCGAACCACTCCATTTCTGGACCGTCCAGGTTGGAAGTCTAGGTGGTTTGTTAGCATTTGGTTTGCAACAATGGAAGAATAGAGTTAAACTCACCCTTATCAAGATCGTCGTTATGTTCCTCTAAACTTTCCTTGCGCTCATGCTGATGTTCGTGTAAAGTAGCGAGCTCTTTCTGCTGCTGTTTGGGCCGTAGAGGCTCAATTTCCATGTCTGCATCTCTCCTCGAGGCACTATGTTGCTGCTTGTTCGTGCGTGAGGACCTCTCATGCACCTCATGTTCTTCTTCTTCCTCTTCCTCTTCCTCCTCCTCGTCCTCTTCGTCGTCTTCTAAGAAATGGTCCTCTTCTTCTTCCGAGCCTGTTGAGTAGTCGATTGGAACCTCTTCGGCCTCGAAGCAGAGCGGGTCGTTGAAGGTGACAGTTTTGCCGTGTCTTCTGCGCATAGCAATCCTCAGAGGGTTCTTTGACTTTTCGGCGTTGTCACCTAACATGGTTGCAGATAACTGTAGTGGAACTAAAGTTAGCAGGGAGTAAGACAGATAGCATTGAGGAGAGAAATGTTTACATACATCAATGTTACGGTGTTTATTGAGGCGAGCCAGCCTTTCAGTTGGGGTTTCGATATGTTCAGCCGGCAGGTAGCCTATATCAGAGTTAGAATTGGGTGATTAGACGTATGGAGTGGGTATGAATGAAATATGTACCTATGCTACCGTCCTTAACGACGCGCACCAGCCACCAGTAGCTGTTGCTGTCGTCAAGGAGGACCATGGTGTCGCCCTTTGTCGCATTAGCCTGACCTTCGACGGTGGCAATGAAGGTATGTAAAGCGTAAACAAATTCGAAATCAATATCCTCTACCGGACATATTAGCAAAATGCTGCATTCAGCTGAGAAAAAAAAAGGAAGAAAGGGAAGGAGGGAGAGATTATGCTATACATACCATCATCAATGGATGGGGAGCTCGATATCTTGTCCATCATGTCATCGTCCAGGTCCTGGTCGTCTTCGTCGCCCTCCATCTCATCTTCAGTAGAGCTTCCATTCCTCGAATCATGAGCTGCGTCACCGTTCACTGAGCCATTGGGCTTGCCGTCGTCGGGTTCGTCGTGTTCCCGGTACACTTCAAGCCCGTCCCGCTGAGAGTATACCTGTGAAGTTCCATCCAACCCAAGGGGAGCCTTTGACATCTCATCCTGCGCTTCCTGCTCCACTTTGCGGAGAGATTGATCCTGGTGCGAGCCATTCCGTCCGTCAGCGGCAGAAGAGCCACCTGCTTTTTTAGTATGGTCCTGAGCAGAGGGCGACTGGCGGCTCTGGAGGTCAATGGTATCTAAAAAAAGGAAAAGAAAGAAGAGCGCGCAAGGTCAGCGACCAGGTCTTAGAGTAGAGCGCAGGTAAAATGCAATCAACCGCCCTGTATGTCTGTCTCACCTGCTCGGATCATCTGTGGTCTGGTCATGATGGCGGCGGCTTTGATAGCAGACTATCGATCGATCGATCAATCTCTGTTCAATCTCGATCACCAGCAGAACAGCGGCAGCGAAAAAAAGGGTCGGATTTCAGCTGGAATACGAGCGAAAGAGGAGAGGGAGCTCGACAACGATTTTCATGGAATATATTTAAATATATCCCAAGGCAAAACGGACCCCAACCAAAACCGTCCTCCTTGTAGCACTATGAATCAAGGACTTCGTCTGCGCGATGTTTTAAAGCGTGCCAACTGCCTGAAACATCCGTCCCATATACCAAGCACCCGTCCAGGCCTGACCAAGTAAAAAGGAAGAAGAGAGATAGCCGTTTGACGAAGGCGTTTACCGCGACAGAGCAGCGATCGTGAGAGGAGTCGTTGGAAAGGAAACGAGACAAAACGAACGAAACGAAGAACGACAGGAACAAGAACAAGAACAAGGAGAAGGAGAAGGAGAAAAGAGAGAGACGGAGGAGGAAGTCGAAGAGTCGCGACGGTCACAAAGATCTCAAACACGCCATCAAAGATGAAAACTGAAGGTTGAGCAAGCAAGAGATGTGAAAAAGGGAGGCAAAAGGGAAGGGGGGGCGGGAGTGCGGCCAATCAGCATGCAGAATTAAAGATGAGTTTAAATAAAGGCCAACCAATGAGAGCGCACAAAAGGAACACTCCAAAAAGGAGAAGGTTGATGACATAAGCTGCCCCTGAGAGTCACGGGATCATCGGCCCTACTTATATCCGCTATGTTACTAAGCTGTCACATGGACTCACATGACACTGACGTCATCGACTCTTTCCACCCATGTACTCCGTATGTTATGTAAGGTCCGTATGTAACTCTGGCGTAACCTAGCCCTAGCCTCCCTGCGCTGCCATTCGCGCCATCCCGCATCCGGCCAAGCGCCGCCATGTCAACCTCATTTCGTAATGGAAAAGCGTAAGCAAAACGCAAAACTCGCACGGCAAAAAGCAAAAAAGGCGCAGGCTTGGCGTTACTGATAAGCGCCTCTCTGCTCCCTGCCTGCACTCGCGTTATCTCTGCCCTACCCTAGGCCCAAAGAGGCATTATCGTAGCTGGTCCGTCCATCCCGGCTTCTCCCGACGCCTTCTTTTTCGCCCTTTTTTTCTCGTTTTTCGCTGCTGCGCGAACGCCCAGGCTTGCCTAACTGGGCCACTCTCCTGCGTCCGATTCCTCAGCTTCTCTGCTGCTTCTTTGCTTCTTCTGTGCTTCTTCTTCTTCTTCTTCTTCTTCCTCGTCTTCTTGTCTTGGTCGTTCTTATATATCAATCCAAGTCTGCTCGACTACTTCATACCCCATATCACGCTAACGACTACACTACTACTGCTACTACTGCGACTACTTTACTTTGACATCTATCAAAGACCAAGCTCGCGCAACACTCGAGCCTCATCTTCTCACTCGACACTACGGCATCAATCACGCCTGCAAGAGACACAGCACTCAGAAGCAGCAGCCTGGACGACGCTGACTGCTGTGATTCACTCGCCTCTGCTGCATACCCTTCGCCGAGGGTATGGCCCATGCTAAGGCGCTCGCATTCACAGAACTGAACATCGACGCTGATTTCACCACCTCGTCTCCCGTGCTAGACCACGAAGAGCATGGACCGATGTATCAACGCGGCGGAAGCAATGGCCTGAACCGCCGCCTCTCTCCCTCTCAGTCTCTCTCCCCATCTGCCTCTCCCTCTGTTGGTGCTGGTGCTGGTGCTGGTACTCGTGCTAAGGCTGCCAGAAAGGACGAGCGAGAGCAGTCATGGACGCCTCACGTACCAACACCGCCCATCAGCGTGCCTTACCCAGAGGACAAGCTTCATGGCTCTCCCGGCGTCGACGAGGACTGCGAGTATGATCCTCAGCGATACCAGGACCCTTCGCCCCTAAACCACCACTTTGGCAGGGCCAGGAGGCCCTCCATCAGCTTCAACCCCCAGGTCACCCTAGAAACCGGCGACCAGATCGGCCTCGAGGAACCCATCAGCGGTCTTGGAAGGAGAAGCCAGGTCGGCGTCAGGTCGGCGTCGGGGCCTGGATCGTCAGAGCTCAAGCAGCTCTACGCCAACGCAGCTCCTGAACGGCTCGCCCAGACCGCGGCTGGCTGCAACAACGACAGCAGCGACGGATACAACTCTCACCACCATAACCATAACCACCACCATAACCACCATCAGGGCCGCCGTCGTCAAGATAGCTCAGGAGATGAGTTCTCTCAGTGCCATTCTCCACGAACCTCCCCTTTATCAGAGGTTTTCTCCGCCGATGCTGACCTTCCACGACCAACATCTCTGACCTCACTTTCAACGGCTTCTCCCATCTCAGATGAACTGAGAACACCACCGGATTCACGCCAGGGTAGCCTCACTTCGCCCTTTCTATCTTCACCAAACCTCCGTCGCCATGGCTCGATCGATAGCGAAGGAGACTCATGGCCGAGCCTCTCTCGCCATCTCTACGGCAGCCTGACCGAAAGCTACTCCTTTGGTCGACGGACAAACAGTCTACGGCAGTCCATGCGATCTTACTCTCGCAAATCTCCCAACATGAGCGGTAAATCACCTGCCAGCGCTTTTCTCTCTACCATGAACCGGGAAGAGGCTCCCGCTCCCAAGCCTGACGACGAGGGTCAGGTTATCGGGCAGGACTACGTTATCGGTAAGCAGATCGGGTTTGGAGGCTTCAGCACCGTTAAGGAAGCGTTCAAAGTTACCGACGAGGGCCAGACCATCCGTCATGCAGTCAAAATCGTGAAGAAGTACCTAACGGGCAAAAGCGAAAGAGAAAACGACCAGGCGCAGGCCGAATTCGACCACGAGGTTCGCATCTGGCGATATCTCAACCATCCACACATCCTACCGCTTGATGCGGTCTACGAAACGGACTATGCTACGTTTTGCTTCACAAAGCTTACCGAAGGAGGCTCGCTCTTCGACTTGGTCAAGAAGCAGCGCCAAAATATCCCACTTTCTCACGCAAAGCAGTACTCGTACCAGTTGGCCTGTGCTCTCCGATACCTACACGAGGACGCCCGTGTTGTCCACCGAGACATCAAACTGGAGAATTGCCTACTGGAACCCCGAGAGAACTCTGAGGAACCCCCCCGCTTGATCCTCTGTGACTTTGGCATGGCCGAATGGATGACTACCGACACATGCAGCTCCCCAGATCCCTACGACAACGCTGCCGATCGACCTCCGCCTAGAACCATTGGGCCGTCTGACACAAGCACCAGCGTGGCCGGCAGCTTAGAGTACGCCTCCCCAGAGCTCCTCATGGCCAACGTCGGGGTCCTCGACCCTGTCGTTGATATCTGGGCGTTTGGCGTGGTCGCTTACTCCCTTATCGTGGGATCCAGGCCTTTCCAGAGTTCTTTCCAGCCACGTATCCAGAGCAACATCCTGGCTGGCAAATGGGATCGCAGCGCTGTCCTGGCCACCACGGACGAATCCGAGAAGCAAGACCGTGCAGACGCACTGGAGATGATTGAGGGGTGCCTCGAGATGGACCCCATGAAACGATGGACTATCTCCGAAGTCCTTGCTTGCCGATGGTTTCATAGCTGCGCAGACAGTGCGGAGCTCGCCACTCGTCTCAACCGATGGGGGTTCTCCTCTTGAACATGAGAAGCCGCATCTCTACCAATACAATACGATCACCACACGACTACCCATTCTCCATTGACGTGATTCATTTGATGATTCGCTTTGATTTCCACTTCTCCACGTTTTGAAAGTTAAGCGTTTTTAGCTTCTACTTTTCTTCTTCTTCTTACTCTTTACTCTTCTTCTACTTCGTTTCTTTTTTTCTTTTTTGGTTTCTTTTTCACCTTTTGATACATCTACTTTTTATGCTTGTTGATTGTTTGCTGGGATGGCTCGCTCATGTGTTTATGCTTGTTCCTGTCTCTTGTCTCTATTATTACTTTCTGTGTTTTTGTTACGCTCTCATGACTGATACCCTGTACCCTCTTCCGTCCTTTTCGCATCCGGTCCGTTGTTCTCGGCTAGTTATCCCTCGCTTTGTTTCTTATTCCTTCTTGTTCGATTCATGTACTCGTTGGCGGGAAACATCTTGACATGGCTGGCTCATCTTCCTTTTCCCCCTTTGACTCTTTTTACTCATCTGCGTCGGATATCATGGGTTTTCATGGGTTGCGTTCTCTGCTCTGCTCAGCTCAGCTTCCGGTGTTAATGGTCTCCTCCTTTACTTGTTAATATCTCTTCGCTCTGGTTTCTTATGATGTATGGGCATGGGCATGGCATAGCATGGCACGATATGGCGTGGTCTGGAGGCTGGCGGTGGTGGTGTGTTGGTGGATGTGTTGTGTGTACTTCGTTATCAACCTGCATGGCCGCTCCTATCCTCATCTTCCCTCCCCCCCTCCCTCTTCCTGCTTACTTTAATCATCACAGGCGGTTTCGGGCCTCAGTTACTACCTTACATAGTCCTCTAATCCTACCTATAATTCGCCTCCCTATATGCTTGCTTGAACGATGTATAACTCATGCGATCTTTGTTTATCTTCCCCATCGTATGACAGAGAGCTAAGACTCCCTGCTCCTCTTAATCTTAGATAGCCCCCTTGTCCTCCAGCGGACAGGCATCCATCTCATTGGCCTGTGTCCATGTACCGTCTGTGTACCTTGTTTACTTTCCACTCGAAGGTGGGTAAGAAGGCTGCATCTCCATTTTTAACCCCCTGTACGTGCATCCAACACACTGCATATGTAGACTAAACTCCCATCTTATAACTGTCCACTAGAGTCAATCTGACCTGCAAAAGCAAGCTAGCTCTCCTGTCCCTGCCAGGCCGTAGAGGTGGGTAGCGGTGCAAGGACATGTCTCTCCCTTGTCCGGGTCGCTTACCCTCCCTGCCCAGCTACCCTTGCCTCCGAGCCAGGAGACGAAAGCATGTCCCATGTCTGTCCCTTTATTCCTATTTCCGAGACAATCCCTACCGCTGACGGAAATCACAGACATGGGCTGTGTAATGTGTTTGCGTGTATTGGCTACGGAGTACAAGCAGTTACATCTGTGGCGAAGATGGGTGGTAGAAAGGCGCAGGTGAAATCCTGATATTCGAGCCGGCGATCTCACTGTGAACTTGTTTATTCCCCCGTCCGCCCCTCACCACCATCACCCTCAATGTGTCCTCTCTGCCACCGGCTGATAAGTGATGAGCTATGAGTTATGAGTGGGTCGTGAAGAGGGACAGCAAAGTGTAACTCGAGCGTTGTTCGACGTGGGGGAGTGGATGGACGGACGGACGGACGGCGTTTGGACGAGGGCTCGGTTGACTGTTCGCGAACTAAAGCGTAGCTCTGCGTCGTTCATTGGAAGGCTCCTTATCTACCCCATATTAGTTACGGAGAAATGTTGCTCTTGGGTATCTCTGGATTGCGGAGTACAATCCTCCATCTTCCCTTGCTTGCCTGTATAACCCTTTCGCTCGCATGTGTTATCTTCTGACTTGCCTGGCTCTTGCTGCCTGCAGGTTTGACTTCCTGCATCCCGAGATGCCTCGACTCGCGAGCGAGAGAGAAACAGGAGGATGCTGGCTGGCTGACGGTCTTGTCTGCCACTTGCTGCCTGTCGACGGCGGGTGTTGATTGTCCATCTTCCACTAACTAGCGGCATGCAGACATGGGCAAGGGCTCAAAATAAGCAAAGAAAAGGGCAAAACTGCTCGGCGTTGGCTTAAATATTCGTATTTGAAACTGATAGGAGTTTCTTTCAGGCATGATATTGGATGACCTGGCATGGTTTGGGCTTGGTGTCGAACCCCAGTGGTCGCGGTGTTATCTTGACAGCTTGCGAGTAAAGTTTCTTGACTTGAACCGTCTGGACACACGGAGATCAATATGCCAGAAGTTGAAAGGACGAAGATGATTACATTCACTTCCTTTATATTTAAAGTTATCTATAATATACAGTTGGTGCATCTTACATGAACTAATAACCCCCAAAAATCCAAGCATACATTCCCGTTTCAAAGACAGAAGGCAGAATACAATCACCGCGGACAACAGAGCCACGGTAAAGGGAATATAACAGATGAAAGGAAGCAAGAAAACTACCAGACTCTGTTCTCTGCGGACTTCTTGACGGACTTCTTCGCCTTCTGCTCTGCGGATGGCGGCGTGAAGAACAAGCTGGGGCTGTCTCCTTCCTTGACCAAGTAGCTCAGGTATCCTCGATGGGCTGGGTCTCGGTAATATTCAATATCCCTTCGGCTGGTCGGGTCAGGTAGGCGGTACTGGAACCCATTGCCCTTCATCAACGGCTTATCGATGCCCATGCCAATCTTCTGCATGAGTTCAGTGTCGATGTGAGAGACGTCCTCGCCCTTGGCAGCAGCCTCAGCAAGCTTCTCCGAAGTGTCCTTCCATGCAAGAGAGACATAAGGGTCAGTCTTTCCGCCTAAAATTCTCTTGATAGCATGCCTGGTGTAATATCGAGTCGTGATGGATCCACCAGCTGCCTCGACGGCCTGGATGGCGCTAGCAGATGCGCGAGAGACAATGATGGTGATAGGTTGTTTGAGAGCACCTTCTCCTCCGCGTGATAGCAGTTTAACTCCATCCTTAATGCCGTGTATACATCTAGACTTGACCAATTCTCGGAGTGTTATGGGTTGCGAAGGATCCAGGCGGCCTTGGTCGATCCAGTCTTGGATGCGATCAAGGTTAACGGGAGATATTTTTAAGGCAAATCTGTAATTCAATTCAAACAATAGATTAGCATGTTGAATTCAGAGGAGCGAGGCGGCCTTCAATTGAGCCTTTTCTCTCTCTTCAACTCACATGTTGTCAAATCCCCTCTCTCCATGCACAATTTCATCTGGCGTCTGCCCTCCATTGAAGAATGCCTTCTTGGTTCCTCTCTGTCCCTGACCTTTGTGACCGCGACCAGCCGTCTTTCCCTTGCCAGACGCAGGACCAAGACCACGTCGGATCTTCTTGCTGTATGCTCCTGGGTTGTCGGAGAGCGAAGCTAGAATTGATGCTGCTCGGGTCTGGGTATGGATGGACGGTAGTAGGAAAAGGAACGAAGGAGAGACATGTGACTGAATGGAGGATGAAATTGATGAGACAGATTGCGACAGAAGTCGCAGCGGCAGTCGTGGAGGCATCGTGGTCGCTTGGTTTATCCGTTGCTTCGTCCTTTTTCACATCGTCCAACCTGCAAAAAGCCCTTGGGAAGATTTTTTGCCAAAATCATATCACGTGATACGCTCTGGGCCAAGGGACCAACCAAATGTCAATTTTCTATGTAACTACAAACCCGCTACCTAACGTAGGAACATAGAACAAGACTCAACATGCAATGCACGCAAACGAAATAAACCTCTTAACCCCGACAGTTACCAACCTGGTATCGGAGGAGATGAGCGTTACATTTAACCAGCAGGCAATATAATCCTTAAAGAAGTCAGGATGGCACCCGAATTCCCCCGAAGGGTTATTTCAGAAACCTGGCTGGCGCGCTGACATCGTGCAGAAGTTGCTTATCAGTATCCCTCCATGAACACCACACCATACCTGCATGCTCCTCCATATATATCGGCTCACCCTCGCAACCTTTGCATCTTGATTTTGTCTGACAATCATGCAACAAGGATTTCGATTTCCGGGTTGGAGGTGGCATGTTCTTTCGAGGGATGGATGACATATTATCCCGTATCCCGCGTTGATGCCTGATATTTCATCTCCCTCCGACCGTGACGCGGACCATGCGCCGATCTAGACAAATGCCTCGTGTTATTTCGTCATGGTTCCTGGCATGGTATCCTTTAATTGCTTCATGCTGGGTTATAAACGGAGGTGTTTATTCGCGAGAGTGGTTGTCTTTTTGGTGACGTAAATGACCACCCTATAGGCGTTGCCCTATGCCGCGATTACGTCTTGTCTCACATCTGACGTATGTATATATGCGAAACATCCAAAGTAGATTCTGCAATTGACAACGAAAAAATAGTATTGGGTAGTATGTAATGCATCTCTAGTATCAACAAATATAACATGGAGAATTGAAAATGGTACATAAATGGGTTCGAAAGCATGCAAGATATGCTACAGCGCACAAAGTGTCAAAAATAGAAACGCCAAATCGGGAAGAACTCGTCAAGAACAAATAAAGCATAAAGTAATCACCGCAATGGACAGGGATATGAGATGGGCTGGTACAAGAGGCGGCAATCATCAATTATATGGTATATAGAACTCCAAGGAGAAACGGAGCGTTCTGGTAAGTGAAATAGATTATAAAAGTGAAGAGGAGTAGAAAGCATCGAAATCTGGTTTAATAGGCTGAATGACCACCGTGTGCTGAGCTTCGGCTGTGGTACATACTACCAGCATACTCTGAGTTGTTATCGACATAAAGGGTGGCCCGGCGCTCTTCTTCAGGTAGGAGCTCTTTCACTTCCCAGTTGTTCTGTTTTAGACCAACAGAGAACTCGAGATCTTCCTTGGTGATAGAGTCCCAGTACTGTAGCAAAGATTAATTAGTATTGAATGTGCAGCAGGGAAGTCTTTCAAAGAACTTACCTTATATATCATCATGACGGCGAGAAGGTTGCAGAAAGTGACGAAGAACAATCCATCCAGGTAGTGTTGGACTCCTTCACATAGAGTATCACTAAACACGTATAGGATGACTTGTCCAGCAACGAAGAAAAAGACTCCAAACGTAATGTGTCCCAAAGGCCAGCGATCCTGGAGGGTGTTGACGACGAGAATAATCTGCATGACCACATATATGGCCAAACACAGAGCGTTCAACACATAGAGAACCACGAACATGGCAACTGTGTTCGTCGGGGAAAGACCTGCCCACCCCTGGAATGTCAAGAGGGATATCGCTCCAGACACTAAGCCCATTCCCAAAGAAGAGAATCGCAAGAGCCACACAGAAAGGGTAGTGCCATCTTCGTATAATTGGAATCCAACAAAACCGTTGATTAATAGACTGGTACACATCGCGGATGTCAGACCATTCTGAACCGCAGCAAAGTATGGCATAGCTGGACTTCCTGGCGGGGTTACTCCGGTATCAAGCACAAGTGAGCAGACGGTGAGAGCCATATATAGGTAGAACGACGTTATAATTTCCTTTCTGCCTGTTAAAAATGGTAAACATATTAGTCGCCATTTCGGTACTTGTGGAAAAAGGTTTCGGGGAAGAAATATTTACCAACTGCAGTAAACTTCGACCGAATATGAATGATCATAACTATCGCCATTCCCAAAGCCAGGATATGTATTATTCCAGCCGCACCCTGAAAAATAATCGTATTGGCGACCTCAATGCTCCTTGCATAGCAGTTCGGCAGTATTCCTCTGGTCCCTGCGAAACCCTCCTTCGGTCCAACAAGAGAGCATAGCGGCAACGCTGCCTTCCGGCATATCGAGTCAAAGTCTCCGAACCCCATGGTGTCTAAGTCTGGTAGACCAGCTGGGAATGCGGCTATTGAATGAGCAAGGCGCGCAGCGGGGCGCTGGTTTGTCGAAGTTGAAAAGGGGTCCCAAATCGGCAATCCAAGTATGCGATCGTAGCAAAAAGTGGGATATATTCGTGGTCGGTAGCAGTATGACCAAAAAAAACGAGCGAAAAGGTCAAAAAGCCATGTGTTGTTGCGACGCGTGGGCGCAGAGCTGGCAGAGAACCAGATGTCGATGGTTGATATTAAAGTGAGACGAATGTCTGGCACGGCCTGGCTTAAAGTGGAAAAGTGAGGTTGGGCGTTTACTTTTTCCTATTTTAGTACTAGCGTTTATCGCGGCTTATGTAATACTTGCAACCAGGGCAACCTGAATAGAATTCGACAGACTAGGAGTCGAGAACCTAGACTAGCTTGAATAAGGCCATTTAAGGCTCAATAATAAAAGCTGGATTGGACGTTACTCTCCTTGACTTTTGAAATAACACTGCTGGGTTGGTGTACTATTTTTGGATGGGAATCTTTCTGCATCCATCGCGCGCTAGTAGCCGCAAGCAACTGTCACGTGATGATAAGGTTGCCCGCGCTACTTTTTTTTTTTATCGGGTAACCATATTAACATAGTAAAAATGAGCATTTTCCACAGAGAAGGACAAACCTGACAATAAATTTAACCATGAAGTTGGATGCAAAAGCTTTGAGGTATCTGACGGGAGAAGACTTCCGCGTACTCACAGGGGTAAAACCAACACCACCTCTGCAAATTTACAACTCTTACTAATTGGGCCTACAGGTTGAGACTGGAAGCAGGAATCATGAAGTCGTTCCAACCCCGCTAATCGTTCGACTTTCTGGCCTCCGAGGAGGAAGCGCGGTCCATAAGTCTATATCGAATCTTGCGAAGCTGAATTTAATCGCCCGCGGCATTTGCCCCTCCTTATCAAAAAATATGTCAAAACACAATTAACATTGCCAGACATACTGATACGGGGAACTTTGTTAGATGATGGCTATCGACTTACGTACGGAGGACTTGATTATCTTGCTCTTAATACATACCAGAAGCAGCAGGTAGTTTACTCTGTGGGAAACCAAATCGGTGTCGGGAAGGAATCCGATATTATAGCTGTGGCAGAAGCATCTGGAACACAACGAATTTTGAAGATACACCGATTGGGGCGAATATCTTTCCGTTCAATAAAGAACAACAGAGACTACCTGCGACACCGAAGTTCTGCATCATGGATGTACATGTCCAGACTGGCTGCTATCAAAGAATTTGCATTTATGAAAGCTCTAAGGGACAATGGATTTTCTGTTCCCGAACCTATTTCGCAAAACCGCCATACCATCGTTATGAGTATGATTGATGCATTCCCCCTTCGTCAAATATCATCTGTTCCCAATCCTGCCGCTTTATACGCAGAACTAATCGACACGATCATGGAATTGGCGAAATTCGGCTTGATACATGGCGATTATAACGAGTTCAACATTCTAATAAAGGAAGAGGAGATACCCACGGAAACAAATGAAGAAAGTAAAGATAAGAAAGAAGATAACGTCAAACTTACTCCAGTTGTGATTGACTTCCCCCAGATGGTTTCGGTCGACCATGCGAACGCTGAGATGTACTTTGACAGAGATGTTAACTGCATCAAGCGTTATTTCCAACGGAGGTTTGGGTTTGTCAGTGACGAACCTGGGCCTTTCTTTTCAGAAGCCCGAAAACTAGTGGGAACAGACGGAACTCCTAGACTGGATGTAGCTGTCGAGGCCTCAGGTTTCTCGAAGAAAATGGCTAAAGAACTAGAGGCATATATGAAAGAAGTTGGTGTTGATGGCGATGCTCGAGACATTGGAGATGATGAAGGCCAGGACGTGGACGACGATCAAGATATTGATGAGTATGAGGAAAATGACGACGACGACGACTTAGATCAGGAAAACGGGAACAATGGCCATGAGAAGTCAGAAACAAACGAACAATTGGAGGAAAAACCGCAAATCCATGATCCCGATACTAAAATCGGGATGGAAAAGCTCACCATATCCGAACCCTCATAATTCCGAAAAGTTGGTATTTCTTTCATATAATTAGACAACAATCAGTATATGAGACCACGATCATTTTGAATTGCTGTACTGGCTGTATATTAACTAAAGCTATTGAATACTCGTCTGGCTATCTAATCATCCTTATCGATCTGAGGCGGTAAATAAGGTTTATGGATGGTTCAACTAGTTACGGTTCACGGGAACGACCACTTGCGACTTTTCAACTTCAAATGTTCAAACTAGCAAAAAAGTGCCTTCAACAACCAAGCACACAGCCATTCTCCTTTTATTAAGCATCCCACTGCATTTCGCCTTTCCGGGAGCTCTTTTACATAACCCTAATCTCCATTGAGAGAGCGAGCTTCAAAATGGCATCCCAAATAGCCAAGGCTATACCTAAAAGTCTGCCCAAACCACTTCCACTTGACCAGCGGAAGCAGATATATCTGTTAGTCCATGAACCACAATCCGCCGGTTGCTTTTAAATGTTTTCAACATTTTGCGCGTCTCAATTTAGCGTAAATGATGCCAGTTTGCTAACGTCGTCTCAATTACTAATTCAGACCAGATTTCGTGCTCACACTCATACGAACACCCTTCCTACCGCCTCGATATGCCTCCTTTTGGGTTCCTCTTACGTTTAACAAGCTTGATATGAAAGATTATATGAAGAGAGTTTACAATGTCGATGTTATCAAAGTACGAAGTTATGTCGAACAGCAGAAGGTTACGCGTGAGCTTCCCCGAGGAAGACAAGGTGCCGGGCCAATGCGACGACCGGAGGCCAAGAAGAAGATGACGATTGAGATGACCGAACCCTTCGTGTGGCCCGAAGAACCACGGGACTTTGAACAGTAAGTTGACAACGCAACGAGCAAAAGGGGCCGTTTGGGCGACATTTCTAACAGGATATTTAGATGGGAACAAAAGACCTTCTTCGAAGCCAAGAAGATGCAGGAAGACTTCCAGGCCTCATATGCTCATGATGCGCCAATGAAGGCTCCTACACGGAAGCGAGAATTGCTGGCCAAACAAGCAAAGCAAGTCCTGAAGGGCGAAGAGCAGTGGCAACCAACTTGGCAAGCGCTTGGCCTGAACTCCCAGAGGCCGGTATTCAAAAGCGAGGCCCTTCAGCCAAAGGAAGCGCCAAAGGCACAGGAACCCGCTCGGACATCGTGAAACTAAAGCTGTGGAAATGGGCGTCGGCAAGACATGTGCAGTTGTTGGATATAAAAATTTTCATCTAAAGACGGGAATGGAAGAACTCTACCGTGGGTAGTTTGTTCTGAGGGTGTCTGAGTTAATCCTTCGGATATATTGAAGGGTTATGTTTCACTATTTCTACCAGCTATAACGTGGATAAGCTGGAGGCTTAACATCATGTATATTTAGACTCTTTTCTACTGCTATGTATTATCAGGTTATATGGTTATATTTCCTACCTCGGTCTCTAACTCATTTGATTCGAAGCCCTCACGTTCTCTAGGTCTCTGATGGTAGCTTGGATAGAAAATATAGCATTGATACGTCATGCAACTAGTTTCCAAAATGCATTGCTAAATATACAACTGGGTGAAGAATAGAATTATCAAAACGCTGAAACGAGGGAGAAAACAAAAGACAACCGAAATATGCAATATTCATTTCTGAATATGATGAACTCCTTGACGTATGTGCCAACTCCGTCCTTAAACAACCGTTTCCAGTTCCATTATGCTCGTATCACCGAGGTGAGAGCATAACTTTACAATCGACTCTCGAAGACTGCGTGGCGTTGCTCGCCGGGCCAATGGCTATTGGGCCAGATCTGCTTGATAGCATCCCAGATGTGCCTATAGATTGGGCATATATTAGCAGCTAGTTTTTGAATGCAGTAAAGTAGGTTGACACATACGTAACGTAAACAATATTGAGACCTTCCTGGACCTCCTTCGGAACATCTCGCACATCCTTGAAGTTCTGCTGGGGTAACAGTACGGTCTTGACACCTGCTCTATGTGCACCGATCATTTTCTCCTTGATTCCTCCGACAGGCATTACGCGCCCACGCAGAGATACTTCGCCAGTCATGGCAATCTCAGGAGGGACAGCCTTGCCAGCAAAAAGGGAAATCAAGGCAATGGTATGGGCAAGACCGGCGGATGGGCCGTCTTTGGGAATGGCTCCAGAAGGACAGTGAACATGCAAGCTGCGATGTTTCATGATATCCTCGTTGGGGTCTTGGGTTAGCCCGAGCTCGTATGAGTGAGCCTTGACCCAGGTAAGAGCCACCTCGACAGACTCTTTGAGAACATCACCCAATGTTCCAGTGAGCTGAACGCTTCCATTACCAGGCATATCAGCCACTTCGATAAAAAGAATGCTGCCCTGACCTCCAGAGGAGTATGCAACAAGCCCTGTGACTATGCCTGGTCTGGCCAACTTCTCGGCAATTTCTTCGTCAAACCGTTCAATGCCTAGTATCTCATCGAGATCATCGACGGATACGTTAGGGCTGTATTGGTCAAGCCGCGAAGAATCTTTGGCGTCTGCATACTGCACTGCTTTAAACCGGCATACGGCGCCTATTTCACGTTCAAGGTTCCGCACGCCTGACTCACGAGTATAAGAGGTGATGATCTTGTCCATAACTTCATCCGTAATTTTAACTTGGCCATCGGATAGACCATTTGATCGAACCTGCTTTGGGAGGAGATGCTGCTTCGCGATATGTCTCTTCTCGACGGTGGTGTATCCGGACAAGTAGATAGTTTCCATACGATCGAGTAGCGGTGGAGGAATAGTCTCTAGAGAGTTTGCAGTAGCAATGAATAGCACCTTACTCAGATCGATGGGGATATTAATGTAATGATCAGAGAATGTATGGTTCTGCTCAGGATCAAGGACCTCAAGCATGGCAGCTGATGGATCGCCATGGAAGTTCGCGCCACCAACTTTGTCGATTTCATCAAGGAGCATAACTGGATTTGAGACTCCGACCTTCTTAAGACCATTGACGACGAGTCCGGGCATGGCTGCGACATATGTTCTGCGGTGACCACGGATTTCGGCTTCATCTCTGACACCACCGAGAGAAATGCGATGGAATTTGCGGCCAAGTGACGTAGCTATAGATTTAGCCAAACTGGTCTTGCCGGTTCCTGGAGGGCCGACCAGAAGTAGTATTGGTGATTTGTCAACTACACGCTTTGACTTGAGTAGCTGTAGCTTTGTCTCAATGGCATCCCGTTCAGCAATAGAGGAAGAATCATCGTCTTCAGTTGCATTCTCCTTTGCCGTGAGATCGTTGGAGAGCTCAGTTATCTGCGACTCGACATCGTTGTTCAAGGACTGCTTCAGCTTCAGAACAGCAAGATATTCCAAAAGACGCTTCTTTATCTTTTCAAGTCCATAATGATCATTGTCCAACTGTTGTCTGGCCCGAGTTAATGTTTCTGGGCCCAACTGGTCTTCGGTGGCCTTAGACCAGGGAATTTCCGCAATGTTTTCCAAGTAGTTGCGGCAAACTCCGTACTCGGCGTTTGCAGGGTTCATCTTGCGAAGTCTTTTAATCTCTCTGTCGGCAACCTTCTGGGCTTCAGGACTCAGCTGGGCCTCCTGAAGTTTTTGCTGAAGCTCGTCTATCTCATTGGGCTCCTTGTCCTCGCCATCGTCGCCGCCTCCATTGCCTCGCATGCCCGGCATATTCATCTGTATACCCCGTTTGAAATAGAGTTCCCGCTGTCGAGGGTCGAGCTGTTTGATATCAACTCCCATATTTGAGGGTATGGTGGTAGTGAATGTGGTCACCTTGATGTTATTCCTCATACCCTGGACCTCCTTGGTCAACATTTCGATGACACGCTCCAGCCTGTCCTTCAGCTCGACGGAGGCCAGGACCCGGAGCTTCTCCTCAAAGCCCGCGTCAATCAGGTCAGCAATGACATCCGCCAACGTACCGGCTTGAGATATGTCCCGTTTGGCAATGAAAAGCTCAAACCGACGGGCAATCAGAGGAGAAATGCTGGAGGAAGCTGAGAAAACAGAGGCGAGCCGCAAGACAGTTAGGAGTTCACGAGAGAGCTGTTTAAGTTGTTGGAATAACTCAGGTATTTCTGGGTCGATGGCGTGAGGAACTACGGAGTGCACAAAAGCACTGGTTAGCAGGGAACCTCGTCTCGACTGGGATATAAACTGCCCTACCTGGCTCATCGTACACTAACACCTCCGCTTCAAAGAAGGGCTTCTCCTTCAATATTTTCTGCACTGAGAACCGCTTTGCTCCCTCGACAAGCAAGAAGGGCTCCGCATTTGCTTTTCCCTGGACTCCAACTACCTTAGCAATGGTTCCATACTGAAAGAGATCATTAACTCCAGCTGTTGCAGGATTAGTGGGTTCTTCGTCTATCGACCGGGCCCTCGCCTTGTCCCCGTCAGTGAGCAGTAACTGGCCATCCTTTGACAAAAAGGGTGAGTTCAGCGGGATACATCCAACCAAGATCGGGGTGTTGTTCTGTCGTTGCTTTGCATGTTTGCTAAACAGCGAAGTAAGGAGTGTCGGGATATCGGGGCGATCTGCGAGCGGGATTCGCAGGTTGACGCTCGGTAGGAGGACCAGATCTCTTGCAAGAGGTATCAGGGGGACCTTCATGGTCCTCTTACCGCTGCTGGAGGCCATGTTCGATCTCCAGGCGAGTTACTCCGTATGAGAACGGCAAGTCAGGTCAAACAGCGGCCCTGGGGGGTTGCTCTGTCGTCACCAGCAATTATGAGTTCGGGGGGCGTAGATATCGGGGGTGAGAGGTAGGATATTCAGCCGCTCTAAGGTCAGGACAGGCAGTTTATGTCCCGGGGAGTCTAAACCGATCCTCGGCTGCTCCGTCGTCTCCGTCTCTAACGCTTGTGTCTTCGTGTCTCGTTCGACTTTCTGGCTTCTTCCGTCTTCTTCGTCTGCTTCGTCTGCTTCGTCCTTTGCGCTTCGTCGAGATGCCGAGGTTACCGCCAAGCCGGCGTCCCCTTTCGGCGATATTCACGTGATGTCGTTTGCTTAGTCAGTTTTGGTGTCACATGTCAGCCAGCAGCAAAAGGCGTTGGCGAATTTCGTGTTTCTTTTTTGTTGTTTTGAAAGCTGCAGGCGATATTTAGATACCGCTATGTAGTTGTGGCCTTCTTACGGAGCTAGTTAGGGCCATCTTCCCTCTTTACCTAAATATGAAAGTGATATGGCCAATGGCGCGGTGGTTGAGAAACTATGGACATATCTGCCTGGGAGGCTTGCATGAAACCAAAACTTTGGGAGAACCAAGCAAAAAACTTCTAGTTAATGCTTCGTCCAGTGTCTCCAGAGCTAACTACGACAAAGACCCATATCTACAACTACAATTCTCTATATCACGCCTCAGACAACAAAATAATTGAATAGCCATAAGCCTATCCCACAATTAACTGTTTGGTTATTCGGCGTCGCGTTCAACTCGCCCTCCCTTTTTTTTTTTTTGCTGTACAACTTAATAGCCCCACGGGCCACATCAGATAAGATGAACACCGCCCCGCGCAAGACGTTCACCATCGGAACGCGCAAATCGAACCTCGCTGTTCTACAGACAGAGATCGTACGAAATGCTCTGATAGCGAGATGGCCAGACTGCCAATTCAATGTTCACACTCGCGATGCTGCCGGCGATCTGAACAAGGTTACCCCGCTTCGAGAGCTCACGTCGAAGAATCTATGGACAGAGGAGCTGGAGGAGATGCTGCTGGCGAAGGAGCTAGACCTTGTGGTGCATTCTTTGAAAGGTGTGATATGCTCTCCTCTTGCATGCTGAAGTATGGTCGTTTTACAGTTTTATCAAATCTGTATGGATAGGAAATTAGTTACTTACTAGACCAGATGTTCCCACGCAGATTCCCGAAGCCTGCAAGCTGGGTGCCTTCATGAAACGTGAAGATCCCAGAGACGCTCTGGTGGTGAAAAAGGGCCAGCCAAAGACAACACTTGCGGAGCTGCCGGCAGGTTCGGTGGTTGGAACGTCCTCCGTCCGTCGTACAGCACAGATCGGCCGTCATTATCCACATCTCAAGGTCATTGATGTACGAGGTAACATCGATACCCGTTTGGCCAAGCTGGATGCGGAAGACGGCCCGTTTACGTGTATCATACTTGCAGCCGCGGGATTGCTGAGGACAGGCTATGAAGATCGCATTTCGCAGTATCTCGACTCCAAAAATGGGAAGATGCTACATGCTGTGGGCCAGGGGGCGCTTGGGGTTGAAATCCGGGCTGACGACGAGAAAATGGTTGAGATGCTGCGTGAGATTGGAGATCAGAAAACGACATTTGCTTGTTTGGCTGAAAGGAACCTGCTGCGGACGCTTGAAGGCGGATGCAGTGCTCCCCTTGGCGTTGAAACTGAATGGGTTCCGGACGCGAGTGACGCGAGTGGGAAGGGCGAGTTGCTGAGACTTCGATGCATTGTCACCAGCGTAGATGGCAGGGAGGCTGTGGAAGTCGAGAAGGACTGTGGTGTTCAGACGCCAGAGCAAGCTGAGGCGTTCGGCAAGGCCGTTGCAGATGAGATGGTCGAGCAAGGGGCAGGCAAGATCTTAGAGGTCATCCAGCAGAAGAAGAAAGCATGGTGAACCCAACCGACCACCGAGTTTTCATCCCTTTCCTTTTTTTCCTGCTCTTCATCCCGCGCAATAGCGAGCCAGACTGGTGGAAGGAAGGGCTGGCTCAGTCTGAGAGTCGTACCGCATAACTAAATCATCTGTAGGAATACGCCTGTCTTTGCATGCTCCAGGATCTAGACACGACGCGGTACATGGTTAGCCTCATAGAACTGCACTGATATCAACTAGTCAGTCTGTTATTCTTAAATAGCTACTCTAAAGAGCCCAGGTGTCTATCCATCTTAAACCTCTCCCGCCCTGGGAGTCCCACTGGGCGGCGGCCTGGAGGCTGTGACTAGTTCAGCCCAACCAAGGCTGCCCACCAACTCCAGCGTATAACCATACGGAGTGTGCGGGTTTAGTTTATGTATGTCTATAAACTCGACGGCGCCATGCAGGCCGCTGCACCCGCAGAGCCTGGCCTAGAACAAGGACATCCCAACCCCAAAATGCGTGCCTCGTCGCATCCGTCTTCCATCTTCCCGTATGTCTCGTCTTCTTCTGCTTTCCTTTGCCCCGCGCATGTCAGACAACTGCTAGGTAGCTGGGACGAGGCCGTCGATGGTCATACCTGTGTCTCTCTTTCTCCAGGCAGACAGTCACCTTAGCTGCTCTCTTGACCCTAAATCATAACTATATATCCCCACAGACCACCCAGTTAGCCATGTCCTATCGATACTTCCGGCGGGACAGCAGGCTGGACAGGGTCACGCCGAACGACTACCCGCGGATATATCTCTTTGGCGACTCCCTGACCGAACGGGGGTTCTTCCCGCAGGATGTCGGGTTTGGCTGGCAGCTACAGAAGTACTATGCCGATAGGGTAGAGGTCGTTAATGAAGGTAGGCAGCCCACCCCCATGTGTCTTTCGCTTTTTTCATCCCCCATTTCTTATACATACTTCTAAAAAATGCCTGTTATGGAGTGGCTATGCTGGAGAATGCCGGATTGACGTGAAGAATAGGTTACTCTGGGTATGTTAAGCATCTTTCTCCTGTTCTATGACGCCCTTACGAACGTGAGCTCATTGGGACAGGCAAACGTCAAGGTCGTTGCGGAGACAGTTCAATGAATACCTAATGGGAGCTATCAAGTCAAGAGGACCGCCAGCGCCGCTCTTCATCACTATATTCCTGGGAGCCAACGATGCATGTCTATCTATGAATGGGCCTATGGTCCCCCTTCAAGAGTATGAAGAGCATATCCGCCATTATCTGAATACCATACTAGACGACCCTTCCACCCAGGAGACTAAAGTGATACTCATTTCTCCACCCCCAGTCAACGTTCCAGTTCCGATAGGGGAACCTCTATTGGATAACCCAGATGCTGCCATTATCCTGCGCAGCGTGGCATCTCAGGGCCGCGGACACAGGACATGGGAATCGAAACGGGCGTATGCAAAGAAAATAGTCGAGATCGGTAAGGAGTATGAAACCCAGACAAGCAGGGTGGCCGTCTTAGATCTTTGGTATTCTATCACAAAGTCTGTCTGTAGGATAGAAGGGACAACCCAGGATGATGCGTTTTACCATCTAGACATCGACGAGATGCTTCCGGGTTCAGGCATGCCCGGTGCAAAACCCTTTGACAAGGGATACTTCACAGATGGACTCCACTTTGGAGAAAAGGCTAGTATATCTCTTTCTTTCTTCCTTTCCCTTTTCTCTCTCTTTCCTCCCGGCCAGCAAGACTAATTCCGCATTCAGGCATATGATATTCTTGGACGTGAATTGCTCGACGTGGTTCTGACAAAGTGGCCAGAGCTGAAAAGGGAAAACTTTCCCCGTCGGGTAAGTTTCTATCCATTTTTCGATGCGGGTAGGAAGTAACACTAACATGTCATCACCCAGGACTGAGGTACACGCCCCCAGCGATGATCATGAAAGCGACATGGTCTAGCCCCGATTCAAAGTATTTCCAGAACCCCTGGGATTAGCTTCTGTAAACTCGTCCCAGGCCCTCGCCTTCTGAGTCTCCTCATCAGCTTTCTCATGATCATCTTCATCAATTTCCTTTGGAATACCCGACTTTTCACCACCGCCTTCAATGATACCACCCCGTCTCCTCTCTTCTTCTAAGTACTCATCGATACTCATCGTAGGGAGATTGTGTCCCGGCCGGAATACACCCCTTTGAATATCGGTTCTCCGGCTTGTCAAGGTAAACGGCTGAAGTGGTTTACCGTCCGGGCTCAACAGCACCCCACTATACCGACCACGACCCATCTGCGATCCAACCATGTCCAGACGGTCGGAGTATCCAGTCTCCTTCCCGTCTGATAGCCCTGGCTTGCGCTCATCCGTTCTGTGGACTGGGGGAAGCGATTGAGCCGCTTTAAGCATGGATAGTTCTTGCGCCAGCATGTCCAGGGACTGGAACGTTTGATGCGTGTAGAAATTGATTTCCGCAAGATATACCTGTCGTACTATGTCCTCGTCGTTGTGGCTCGAATCCTTGTTTTGTGAAAGGTACTATAGTTTCTCCCGTTAGCAACCAACAGCCTGTCCTGTTTTTATGGATAATACCTAGATAGATGAGAATAAAACACACCTCTAATTTCTGCTTAAGTTCCTTCTCTTCTTTGAATCTAGTTATTTTCACTTGCCTGCGCGCCGATACGTCATTGGTAGGTGTCAGGCTAAACGACTCAGGCTGCTCAAGGTACTGTTCGTATAGCTTCTTATTTAAAGGCGAGAGAAGCTCATATTGGTCTAGTGCCTCGAGATACTTTTCATACTCTTCTCGCGTCTGATGGAGTGTTTTAAGACGATCTGCGCCGTAAGAACGTTGGAGTAATTCAGCGAGAAGGTATGGGACTGTCAAAAACCTAAGTTACACGCCCGCTGGCGTTAGTCTATATCTGGTATCATTGTCATAGAGTGGTATTCCATACTGTAAATCTCCAGTAGTTATGTCCTCTACCGATTCATTGGGGCTGAATAATGACAGCTGCTGTATGAGCTTCTGGCACTGCTCAAATGAAGATATAGCTTTGCTGAGGTCTTCTCGGAACGCGGGGCTGTTTGTATCTGCTGCGGTCTCGAGAGCTTGTTTTTGTGCCTTTGCAGACGCAAGGCAGGATTGCAGGTTTGGTGAAGAGCTACTCATTGTAAGTCCTTAGTAGCTCAAGCGCCTCTTGATATAAATTTACAGATAATCGCGTCTTAATAGCCCTTTCGTTCCGAATCACTTCGCGGTTTAGTTGTATAGAGGGAGAGAGGGCCATAGGAAGTTACCTAAAGTTAGCTAGGCACAGCATAACTAACTATTCCACGTGACAAGACTGGCCAAACTCTAACTTGAACGCTGTACGAAGTTTCTCAACATCAAACATCAAATGTTGACATGATTCTTCTAAGTTGAATTTATTTACTCCCTGGATACCGCTCCAATGGTTTCTATCCGTGGCTCAGGTTTGGCGACCGAGTCTCAAGCAGTTAGCTGATGAGCAACTACTACTTTGGAGACATATGCAGCCGGAACCAAACAACAACAGCGCCCCTCCTTTTTTCCCTGTCAATTTCCCCTCCAAACAACAGCCATGTTGCATATGCAGCTTGGTCCAAACTCCTTGATAGCTAATACAAAACAAATTGTATCAAGGGGTTGATAGAACAATGAATGAATTAAAGCATCTAAATTCTTTGTGTGTACAGAGTACATTTATTTAACTGACCGACAGTTAGTTATCAGGCTATAGATGAATATTGTTTCAACAAAAGCAAACGTCACTTAGCAACTTGGCTAGCCCTCCACCAGCTAATAATATGAGGTGATAACAAACGCAGAGATTGGTCTTGTATTGCGATACCTTCCTTCACTTCTTACAGCCTCTAGTGTATAAGTGAACTGGCTTCTTCACTAATCTCCTGTCTTCTGGTACACTATTTATACCCTCCATTTTCTCCTTACTGCGCTATAACAACTAACAACTCTAGTTTTCTTAAGCCAAGAACCACTGACGTTATGGGGGACTCCTCTGATATTGAAAAGGCCACTACAAGTGTGCTCCAGACATTGAAAGAGGAACACACTGATATTCCAGCTGCTGATTTAATCCCTGAGGCCCAATCAGGGAGTCCCACTGAGTCTGAGACTGAAGATGAGAAGCCATACCATGCCAACCCAAGCGAGAAGCGACGGGCACTCAGCTGTAAATTCAAGGATTTGTGTGTGATGTTATTTCATAGAGTATATAGTTTTATTTTTTTTCTAACCCTTTCCATACATTAGGCTATCACGACGCGCCGAAGCCATCACAGCGGACGATGTCAAGGCTGTTATCAAGGCAACTGATGATACTCAATTATCAATGACGAATATAATTGCAAAACAGGATTATGCCTCTATTATCCATGATCCTCGTGAATATCAGCTTGAGCTCTTTGAGAAAGCAAAGGAGAAGAACATTATTGCCGTACTCGAGACTGGTATGGCCATCCAAGCTCAATGTGTATCAACTTGAAGCTCACTGAATTATAGGCTCTGGAAAAACGCTTATTGCAGTACTTCTTCTCAAGCATGTCATTGAACAGGAATTGACAGACCGTGGTGTTGGGCTGCCACCTCGTATCTCATTTTTCCTGGTCAGTTACTTCACCTTATATATTTGGGTGTAAATATACTGATTGAAGAGTAGGTTGATAGCGTTACACTTGTTTATCAACAAGCAGCTGTACTGCAAAATAATATACCCCAGAAGATAGATAAGTTTTGTGGTGCAATGCAGACAGATCTCTGGAATAAGGAGACCTGGGAAGGCCATTTCAAAAGAAACATGGTTATTGTTTGTACTGCAGAGGTGCTTCATCAATGCCTGCTTCATTCCTTTATTCAGATTGGCCAAATAAATCTGCTGATCTTTGATGAAGCTCACCACGCTAAAAAGGAACACCCGTATGCTAGGTAAGTTGCTTCAATACTTCCTAAATGAGCATATCGAACTAAAGATTTTCATATAGAATTATCAAGGACTTTTACTTAAAGGAACTAGAGAGGAAGCCAAGGATATTTGGCATGACCGCGTCCCCGGTGGATGCCAAGGTCGAAGTTGTGAGCGCTGCAAAGTATATATATTTGATGTTGCTATAAAAGTAAACTTATGCTAACCAACCTGAAATAGAACTCTTGAAAACATGCTTGACAGCCAGATAGCCACAGCATCAAATCCTTCTCTTTTGCGGCAGAGTGTAGCCCGACCGATAGAAGAAGTCTGGGAGTATGATAGGCTTGAGGCGCCCTTCGAAACTCCACTCTATACCCAGCTCCGAGAGAAGTTTGGCGATATCAAAGTCCTGGAAAAGATATTCAAATTCTCACGTGAGACATCCTCCAATCTAGGAAGCTGGTGCTCTGACTGGATATGGAGCTACTGCTTAAGTGAAGAAACCCTCCCTAAGCTCGAAGCTCGATCAAACCGGCCCTTGATGAAAAATTTAGCCAATCACTCCTCCGGTGATACAGAAGCCGAAAGGATCAGGGATGCGGGAGCTATCATCAAAGACCATGAGTTCGGTGACCCCATTGCTAACCCCAAGCTTCTCAGTCCTAAAGTACTGTTGCTGAGAGATGAGCTGCTACGACGGTTCAAAGAAAATCCAGATACCAGATGCATTGTCTTTACTGCACAACGTCATACAGCACGAATTCTTAGGGATTTGTTCCAGAAAATCAGGTCACAATATATCCGACCAAATCTATTAGTTGGTGTTAGGTCTGGTGGCGATAAAATTGGACTAGATATCTCCTTCAGAGAACAGTTTTTGAATGTGATAGCTTTCAGGAAGGGAGAGATCAATTGCTTGGTATATGATCTTCATTCATTCCTTCGTTTATCAATGGCTAACCAACCTCGCTAGTTTGCTACGTCTGTGGCCGAGGAGGGGTTAGACATCCAAGATTGTAATCTCATTGTTAGGTAAGAGTGAATAAACTTGATGAATATAAAAAACTGGCCATGGAACTGACTTCAACCTTAGATTCGATCTTTACTCTACACTCATCCAGTATATCCAGAGCAGAGGAAGAGCTAGACATACAGAGTCTACGGTGTGTATAACACCCGTGGGGGTTTACCTAGCCTAAGCTAATGTCTTTCTTCAGTTCGCCCACATGGTGGAACGCAATAACCTGATACACGAGACTGCGGTCGAGGAAGTTCGCCGCTCAGAGGTATGTAGCAGAAATGGCTCTCAGTAAATATCTTGCAAAACCGTGAAACTAATTCGAGGACGCTTTGCAGGAAGTTCTCACCCGGTTCTGTAAATCCCTTCCAGAAGACAGGTTGTTAAAGGGGAGCGGTGACATCGATATGATAATGGAAAAGGACAGGCAGCAAAAGTCTTACATTATCAAAAGCACGGGTGCAAAGCTGACCTACCCTTCTTCGCTCGCTGTACTTGCGCACTACGCAAGCACTTTGGTAATGATGGCATCCCTGGGTTTAATCGACGAAGCTAACTGTTTTCTAGCAATATGAAAAAGAGCTGTCAACTCAGGTCAGTTACATTATCCATCCAAAAGATGGTGCGTTCATCTGCGAGACAATACTCCCTGAGAAATCACCAATACGGGGATGCATGGGAAAGTCAGCCTCGCGCAAACTCTTTGCAAAACAGTCCGCAGCTTTTGAGACATGCCTGCTGCTTCGCAAGAACAAGTTACTCGATGAATACTTCATTTCGACCTACCACAAAAGGCTTCCCGTAATGAGAAATGCCAGACTCGCTATCACGTCCAAGAAGAGCAACAAATATAGCATGATATCCAAACCGGCTGCATGGGAGCACTCTCGCGGAGAGTCTCCAACTCTTCTATACGCTACTGTACTCTCGCTCTCCGATTGTCAAAACCTGCAAAAGACTTACCATCCAATCGTATTATTGACAAGAGTTCCTATGCCGGATTTCCCTTCTTTCCCGTTATACCTGGAACATAACAAGAAATGCAGTAGCTTCAGCATAAGAGTCGACCAAGGATTCAAAGTCTTATCTCCTGAGCTGGACCTGTTGACCAAGTTCACATTCAGGGTCTTCGAGGATGTCTTCCACAAAATTTATGAAGAAAACTCATCTCTAGTATCTTACTTGATTGCCCCTGCGAAACTTGATGGCGTTGCAGATATCATGAAGGCAAACCCAGTCGAGTTGATTGATTGGCAGATGTTGCAATATATCCAACATAATCAGGAGCTTCTTTGGTCGCCTGGTATGCCTAATGAATTCCTTGAGAATCGATTTCTAGTAGACAAGTGGGATGGAAGATACCGTTACTTTTCAATCAAGGTCGATCCAACCCGGCGGCCCCAGGATCCAGTCCCGGAGAACGTGGCTCGACGCCGCTACATGGACAACATCATGAGCTACTGTCTCAGCTTGTTTAAAAACTCGCGAGCTGGATTCATGAACAGTTGCAACTGGGACCAACCAGTTTTGCGTTCAGAACTCATTCAGCTTCGTCGAAATTTCCTGGACATAGATGAGAACCAGAAGAGTGCTACTGTGGACTATTATGTCTGCGTGGAGGCATTGAAAATATCGTCGGTATGAATTTTGTCCCTATACTGGAGAATTGTACTGACTATCTCCAGATCTCTGTCCCCTTGGCCACACAAATATTCGTTTTCCCAGCAATGATTTGGAGAATGGAATCTTATCTCATTGCCCTGGAAGCCTGTGAAAAGCTTCAGTTGAAGATTCCCCCTGAGCTTGCACTTGAAGCCTTGACTAAAGACTCGGAGAACACGGAGGATTACGGGATGGAACAAATTAAATTCCAAAGCGGAATGGGTAAAAATTATGAACGACTCGAGTTCCTCGGTGACTGCTTTTTGAAGATGGCAACGTCTATTTCTCTCTTCGCCATGAATCCTGACAATGACGAATATGACTACCATGTCAAACGAATGCTGCTCATTTGCAACCAGAATTTATTCAACAATGCAATAATCCTGGAGATTTTCAAGTTCATTCGCAGCAGGTCATTTTCAAGGTGCGCTGTAGATTGGTACCCTTTTTAATCTGACTACCCGCTAACTAGTAATATAGACGAGCCTGGTACCCAGAAGGTTTAACACTGCTTAAAGGCAAAGACAAGAAAGAGGGTCCAAATGGTCCTGAGCATGCACTCGCCGATAAAACTATTGCTGATGTGTGCGAGGCTCTAATTGGAGCATCTCTACTAGCTGGAGGCCCTGATCACAAATTTGACATGGCCACGAAAGCAGTTACAGTCTTTGTCAATAGTGATGATCATCGTGTAGAAAGATGGGCAGATTACTCAAAACTGTATTCTTTGCCGAGTTACCAAACAGCGGTAGCCAGTGCATCTGAGATTGACGTTGCCAATCAGATCAAGTCAAAGCTGGGATATTGTTTTAGGTATCCAAAGCTTCTTCGTTCCGCTTTCATGCACCCATCGTACCCATCTCAGTGGGCAAACGTTCCTTGCTACCAACGTCTGGAGTTTCTCGGTGATTCGTTACTCGATATGGTCTGCGTTAATCACCTTTTTGAAAGGTACCCTGACAAAGATCCCCAATGGCTCACAGAGCACAAGGTAAGCGCCAACTTTGGTCCCCTAACTGAGCTATACATTTCTGACATGATTAGATGGCAATGGTATCCAACAAGTTCCTTGGCTCACTTGCCGTCAGTCTTAATCTCCACGTTCATCTTATTCATATCAGCAACACACTTCAAGGCCAAATCACCAGTTACACCGAAGAACTGCAGGCTATGAAAATCAAAATGGAAGGAAACCTTGAGGCTTGGACGTACACGAACGAGCCACCAAAGGTGAGTAACCCGCTCGCACATGAACTATGATAGGATATATTCTTATGTGTCCGTTTAGTGTCTACCGGACATTGTTGAAGCGTACCTCGGGGCGATGTTTGTGGATTCAAACTTCAACTTTGACGTCGTGGATGACTTCTTCCGAAAATTCATCCAGCACTACTTTGAAGACATGAGCGTGTACGATACGTTCGCAAACAAGCATCCGATCACCTTCCTTCACACCCGACTCGCCGTGGATTTCGGTTGCACGTTCTACGCCTTGAAAGCAGATGAAATACCATGCGTAGACGGCACCACGGTGCGTGCTCTCGCGGCGGTTTGCGTCCACGACGACATCGTGGCCGAAGGGGTCGCCATATCTCCTCGCCATGCCAAGTTGAAGGCGAGCCAGAATGCCCTTCAAATCCTGGAGGAGATGAGCGCGGCGGACTTCCGAGCAAAGTACAAGTGCGACTGCCGCGAGAGACAGGAGGAGTACCAAGAAGAGCCAGATCCAGCAGGAGAGTGAATGGTGTTCGGCTTAATGGTCAGGCCGCATATCATTCAACATGGATGCATTCTCCTTGACCCCTTGGAACTACCTCGCCCTCCTTGGCACCCCCTTGTTAGTTAGAAACCAGGAACCAGGAACCAGAAACTAAAAAGCTGAAGCTTGAATATTAAAATTAAAGTTTGCTATTCCGCTCATAGATATCTCCTTGGATGCACTCTCAATCCCCAACAATGGACCTTTTAGTGGCACCCTCCACATTTGTTTAACTTGACACAACACGACTTCCTCGACGTAGATATCTCCAGTAGCGTAAACATATTCTAAGAGCAACATTATCCATAATCATTTTAGAAGAGGGTAAGGATATCGGCAGGCTTAGTTCCGGGGTTTAGTAATTCTTTTTTGTCAGATGGGTGTATTCTTGGGTGCGCAGTGGCTTATTTGCAATAAACGCGGTTTCAATACTAATTGGAATAATATTCGCTGAGCTAGGAGAAAATATAATATTTACTGTTTGGTATATGCGCCAAATATTATATTTCAGTTGACCCTAAGAACAAATTATTAACTCAATCTTCAACTTTTATAGTAAAATACTTACCGGTGTAGCACCGTATAATTCAGGCGTTGGCTTCCTCTCTTCCACATCTGCGCTTTGAAGGAAAATGGTAAATTTCCTAAGAGCGTCTATTATCGTATCGCTATCCGGGCCATCTAGCCTTCTTTGATCAAGATGGCCGTCTGATAGTAGGAAACTCATCGTTAATACCAATGTTATGAAATATTTTCTACAGCTGGGCGTTTGTCATGTTGTAAGAAGGGGATTTTTTGTTGGAATATTACCCAAGGATCCTTGGGGCATTAGGCCTTTTTGTCCCTTGTGGCCCAGTATTTCCCCCTGGCTTAGTCATCATACATATACCCCTGACCGTGACCAGGCCCTGGCCTTAGTCATGTGACACGTGTAAACATCGCCGCGTTGCGAGCCAGAAAAAAAAGGTGAAGCTGGAGATTTTGGAGCCCAAACCCAAGCTGGAGATTAATGAGATTAAGACCCGAGAGCCCAAACGTGTCAAGCCTGTAATAATTATCTTACTCACCCCTAATCAACGACACGTCACGGCCACCGCATATTAGGTCGATGCTCTCCACGAGTCTTGCCTTCTTCCTTTCGCCATAACTCTCGATGACAGCGACAGGTCGCGTACTATAAGTCTGCGAGTATGGAGGTCGTCTCTCCAGGGGCGACGAATGGCGTCCCATCGCCGACAGCCTCGATGACTGTTGATCCTGAAGTCGTGCTTCACTATCTGGCTGAAGTCATCCAGGGAACGCTTGGAGCGTTAAGGAGAGACCTTGAAAGCAGTGGAAGTTTACTTTCACAAGCAAAGTACTCCGAGACACTCCAGCGATGCGGACGCTTTGCCTCTGAAGCGCAGATAGCCCTATATGCGCATAAAGATACTATTGTGCCGGAGCAAGCCAATGGATCAGACGATGAGAGTAGGTGCCGGGGATGCCAGGGGCAGAATTTAGGTACATGTTCGGCTGGCTAACAGTTCTGCAGCAGAGGACAGTCACTATGTCTACACTCTCAGCTCGGAGCTATCCATATCCCCAACCACCACGGCAGCTATGGCGGTCTTCAAGCCCGGACAGCCTATCGACCCTGCCGTTCCCCTTTACTCACAGATTCAGGTCCTTACACTCCCTGGATTTGCTTCGTTAAATAATTCAACCACCCCACAGGGGCCGCCGATTTCGCCGTATGAGATCATATACTCCTTTGTTCATCATGGTCTATCACCATACTACGAAGCGTGCACTCGTGGGCATGACAGTGCCCAAGGGTCGAAGGGAAGGAATGACACCGATCCTAAGACCGGAGAGGTTCGTGCGAAGCAGAAGTTTGCAGAGCTTGAGCTTGCCCTGTCGCATCTACAACAGAACATTGAGATACCTGCGCTTAGCCTTCCGTTGCACGAAATTGTGCAGGCCGCTCTCGATGAAGCTCAAAGCAGGGGCATTGAACCGTCTGTCGAGCTTGTGCCCGCCGGTGTCTTGGACAACCATGCAGTTATAAACAGCATACAAAATAATGTGAATGGGTGGATAAAGTCGATTCAAGCTATTACGAAAATGTCTCGAGACCCTGATAATGGATCTGCAGTTCAAGAGATCAATTTCTGGCTATCCATGGAGACTGCACTTGAAGGTATCGAGACTGCGCTACGAGATGCTGGAGTGCAACTTACTATGGATGTTCTTCGACACGCAAAACGGTTTTCCACCACTCTCAGTTTCTCCGCTGATACTGGGCTAAAGGAAGCAATGGAAACGGTACAGAAATATAATCAGCTTCTCCGGGATTTCCCTCTAGATGAGCTAGAGTCTGCAACGTCTCTTCAGAAGGTTCAAGAAGCGCTGAATCTCATATTCTCGCACTTGAACAAAAAGCTGCGCATTTGCCCGTATCCGATAAAACGAGCTCTATCTCTCGTTGCGGCGATTTCTGGAGACCTGGACGCGACCATTCAAAAACTGATACCCGGACGGAGTATTATGCATTATGACTACACCGAATTCCACTCACTCATGCGTGCTGCTCAGATTGTCTGGCGAACCTGGGACGAAAACATCAAAGAATTTACCAACGTCGCCCGTGATGCTATGAGACGACGCAATGAGAAATTTATTCCCATCAAGGTTAAACCAAGGCATGCCGAAACTCAGGACCGACTCAAGTTTATCAACACTTTCCGTACGAACCATGAGCAACTCCAGCGAACGATCATCAACGTGCTTGGCACAAAATCGAATCAGGGGGGAGCATCCCTGTCTACTGGAGCGGATAATTCGACTACCCTGGAAGAGTTTGGTGATGTCGACGCTGTGGAGCAAGTTACTCAGGCATACAATGCTCTAAAGGACGTGAATGTTCTTGACGTCAGCCCAGAAGGAACTCAAGCATGGATCCAAGCAGAATCTGCCTACAACGAGCGCACTTCTCGCGTCGAAAATTTGATGATTGCTCGGCTACGTGATAAACTTGCTACAGCTCAGAATGCCAACGAGAAATTCCGAGTCTTTTCGAAATTCAATGCATTGCTCGTTCGACCAAAGATTAGGAGTGCTATTGGCGAGTACCAAACAAAGCTTATTGACAATGTGAAGCAGGACATCGCAGCATTGCATGAACGGTTCAAGCAGCAGTATGGTCACTCAGAAGCCCACGCAATGGCACAGCTCCGAGATCTACCCCCTGTCTCGGGAGCTATCATTTGGGCTCAACAGATAGAACGACAATTAGATGGCTATATGCGAAAGGTTGAGGATGTCCTTGGTGAAGACTGGGATCTGCATGCGGATGGGCAAAAGCTGCAGGCTGAGAGTAATATGTTCCGCAAGAAGTTAGATACTAGACCAGTGTTCCAGGCCTGGGTACAAGATGTCAAACGACGGAATATTGCCATCTCCGGCCGATTGTTCGTTATTACTCGAAATCGCGCTGCCGGAAACTCCCTTGAATTAGCTGTTAACTTCGACGCCCAAATCATTGCCCTTTTCAAGGAGGTCCGGAATCTTGTTTGGCTGAACTTCCAAATTCCACATGCTATCACTAGCGTTTCGAAGGAAGCTAAACGCGTCTATCCGTTTGCAATTAGCTTGATGGAGAGTGTTCGAACACTACATCAAACTATCAGGGCGATTGCGTCTATGTCACAGTCTGCGATCTTACTCAATGGCTATCAAAACGATGTCCAGGCGCTAATAGTAAAGGGCCTTCCTTTACGATGGGAGTCTTTTATCCATTCTTATGAGATTCATGTCAAACAAGGGCTTGCGAACGGATCCACAGACCCGTCTGTTAGTTCTGGTCGCGGTGAGAGCAAACATGTTCAATTCGTCCGTGAATTTGCAATCTCGACCTCTGTCTTGCAATCGAAGACAGCAACCCTGTCCACTATGGACGATAATATTCAGAAAGCAATTCTTGCGCTGAAGACCTGTCCGTACGACGTGGCTGTCTTCCGTAACCGCATCGATCAAATTCAGATTGCAATAGATAAACTCAACCTGGAGAACTACGCTAATCTTGGATACTGGGTTGCAAATCTCAATAGTAAGATCGAAACAATCCTTCAAGACCGGCTTCGGAGTGCCATTCGACGTTGGATTGCGTCCTTTCAATATGCTGGAGATGAGCAATCTACAGCGGGCAACACCATCGAAACAAGCGGCAATGGAGAGGAGCAGGACACGTCGTATATCCAGTTCCCAAAGTCTCTCCACGAGATTTCGATGAAAAACCAGGTCATGCATCTTGACCCACCACTGGAGTATGCAAGAGCTTCGTGGTTTGCTCATTTCGATGAATGGGTCGGCGTCCTTTGTAACTTGGAGAAGATCAAGTCCTCGAGATATAAGATGTCGATCCATGCTGACAACGGATCTTATTCTGAAACCCACTTTTCTGACATTCCACAATACTGTTCTGAAGAGCTGGGTGAAGTGTACTCACTTATCGAAGCACGGCTGGAGGAGATCTCAGAGTATGTGGATAAATGGCTTCAGTTCCAGTCATTATGGGACCTTCAGTCATCTCATGTTTACGATATTCTCGGGGAGGACCTGTCTCAGTGGCTTCAGCTACTACATGAAATCCGCAAAAGCCGCGGAACATTCGACACATCCGAGGTTCGCCGCTCATTCGGAAATGTTCGCATCGATTATGAGCAAGTCCAGACAAAGGTCAACGCAAAGTACGACCAATGGCAGCGGGAGATTCTCCTTAAGTTTGCAGGAAAACTAGGAGCCCGTATGCGAGATGTTCATGCAGAACTGGAGGCAGCACGACGGGACCTAGAAGGGCAGTCACTGGAAGCTTCTTCCACTGCCCAAGCCGTTTCATTTATTACCATTGTCCAGCAATGCAAGAGAAAGGCTAAACTTTGGGAACCTGAGATTGACTTGTTCCTACAAGGCCAAGCAACACTTATTCGACAGAGATATCAGGCTCCTAGTGATTGGCTTCCTGCTGATCGAGTTTCTGGAGAGTGGGATGCTCTCAATGAGATATTGGAACGCAGAAGCAAAACCGTGCAGGATCAGACAGATGCGCTTAGGGCCAAAATATCCGCGGAAGACAGGGTCATTAATGAGAAGATTGCTGAAGCCGTCAACCAATGGAACGAAGAAAAGCCCGTTTCAGGATCAACTCCCCCTGAAGAGGCTTCCGCCACACTTAGCTATTTCCAATCCCGCCTTGAGAAATTACAATCTGAGTCCGAAATGGTGTCAAAAGCCAAGGAAGCTCTCGATCTTCCTAGCAGCCCCGAAACTACACTTGCTGCCATTCTTGAGGAAGTACAAGATTTCATGGCTGTATGGGCTGCCCTGTCTACTATTTGGAAGAGTTTAAATGAACTACGTGATACGCTCTGGAATAGCATCCAACCACGAAAACTTCGCCAGTCTCTAGATGGATTGATAAAAATGACAAAGGAAATGCCGAGTCGAATGCGCCAATACGCTGCTTTTGAACATATACAAAATGTTCTACGCGGCTTCCTAAAAGTCAACCCGTTACTCGCGGACATGAAATCTGAGGCTGTTAGGGAGCGCCATTGGCAAAAGATTTTCAAGGCCCTCAAACCAGGAAAGCGGTTCTCACAAATATCAATGACCCTGGGGGATGTCTGGGATCTTCAACTCGGACCCAGTGAATCAGTTATCCGGGACATCATTACACAGGCTCAGGGAGAGATGGCACTGGAAGAGTTTTTGCGAAGCGTTCGCGAAACTTGGCAGAGTTATACCTTGGATCTTGTGAACTACCAAAACAAATGTCGCTTGATTCGTGGATTTGATGATCTATTTGCTAAATGTAGTGAAAATCTGAACTCTCTCCAGGCAATGAGACATTCTCCCTACTTCAAGGAATTTGAGGAAGAGGCCACGACTTGGGAAGACAAACTCACTAGGATACATGTCCTTTTCGATGTTTGGATCGATGTCCAAAGACAGTGGGTTTATCTTGAAGGAGTGTTCACTGGAAATGCTGATATCAAACATCTTCTGCCCCTTGAGTCCGGAAGGTTCCAAAACATCAACTCGGAATTCTTTGCAGTCATGAAAAAGGTCTACAAATCCCCTCTGATACTCGATGTCCTTGCTATTACTGGCGTCCAAAAGTCGCTTGAAAGGCTTGCAGAGTTGCTTCACAAGATTCAAAAGGCACTAGGTGAATACCTCGAAAAAGAACGTGTGTCGTTTCCACGCTTCTATTTCGTCGGAGACGAGGATCTCCTTGAAATAATTGGCAACAGCAATGATACCCTTCGGGTTGCAAAGCATTTCAAGAAGATGTTCGCCGGACTCTCTGGCCTTCTCATTGATGACGATGGAAACATCATTGGTGTTAGCTCAAAGGAAGGAGAGGAAGTCATGTTGAAGCGTGAAGTGTCGTTAGTGAAGACACCTCGTATCAATGATTGGCTTACTGCACTGGACAACAACGTGAAATTGACGCTTGCCGAACTGTTAACGGAGGCAATTGAGCAATTTGAGCCTATCTACAGTGCTTCGGAAGTCGACTCCACCGCTTTCCAAGACTATATCGCAAACTATCCAGCTCAAATCGTGGTTTTGGGCAGTCAGGTAGTGTGGACGAATGCTGTTCAAAAAGCACTTGAAGCTGGCGGTGGTGGATTACAAGCATTGTATGATGCTGAGGTTAGGGTACTTGACATCCTCGCGCTCACTGTTCTCGGAGATCTAGATGCCATTACGCGCAAAAAATGTGAACATCTAATCACTGAATTCGTTCACCAAAGAGATGCAATTACAAAACTCATGAGCTTCAATGCCTCGTCACCAACTCATTACCTGTGGCTCCTACAGATGCGATACGTCTACCAGCCAAGTGGAGATTTCTTGCAGCGTCTCCATGTCTGCATGGCGAATGCAAAGCTAAGCTACGGTTTCGAGTATCTAGGTGTTCCAGAACGCCTTGTCCGCACACCACTTACAGACCGATGCTTCTTAACCCTTACGCAAGCACTTTGCCAAAGATTAGGTGGATCTCCCTATGGGCCAGCTGGAACTGGTAAGACGGAATCCGTGAAAGCACTTGGTTTGCAACTTGGTCGTTTCACTCTTGTATTCTGTTGCGACGACACGTTCGATTTCCAAGCAATGGGTAGAATCTTCCTAGGTATCTGCCAGGTAGGTGCCTGGGGTTGTTTCGACGAGTTTAATCGTCTTGAAGAGCGAATCTTGTCCGCGGTCTCACAGCAAATTCAAAATATCCAAATAGGATTGAAGAATAGTGAAGACGAAACAAAGGCTCAGATTGACCTTGTCGGACGACAGTTACGAGTTAACATGAACACCGGAATTTTCATTACCATGAACCCTGGATATGCTGGCCGTTCGAACTTACCAGATAACTTGAAGAAACTCTTCCGAAGTGTTGCCATGTCCAAGCCCGATAAAGAACTTATCGCTGAAGTCATGCTCTTTTCACAAGGCTTCAAACAAGCAAAAGCCCTTTCCAGGCAAACTGTACCCTTCTTCGATCACTGCGCCAGCCGCCTTTCAAAACAAGCCCATTATGATTTCGGGCTTCGTGCTTTAAAGAGCGTTCTGGTCAGCTCTGGTGGCCTTAAGCGACTTAGACTTGCAAGTTCAGATGGAGATATTGGGCCTGATGAACACATTGAACCACAGATCATTGTTCAGAGTATCCGGGAAACAATTGCGCCAAAACTCATTCGGGAAGATGTTGAAACTCTGCTTGAGATTCAAGCTGGTGATTTCCCTGGAGTTGAATACGTCCCAGCAAACTTCGAGAAACTCACTCAAGCTATTAAAGATATCGCCGCTGAAAACCATTATGTTGCCTCAGACATTTGGATTGCTAAGATATTGCAGCTATACCAGATTCAAGGCATTCATCATGGTGTGATGATGGTAGGCAGCTCTGGATCAGGCAAGAGTGCAGCATGGAAAGTTCTCCTACAGGCCCTTCAACGCGTCGAGGGCATAGAAGGCGTTTCTCACATCATCGACTCCAAAGTTATGTCTAAAGAAGCTTTGTATGGAAACCTCGACAACACTACTCGTGAATGGACCGACGGCCTTTTCACTGGCATTCTCCGAAAGGTTGTGGACAATCTTCGAGGTGAGGACTCTAAACGTCACTGGATTGTGTTCGATGGAGATGTCGACCCTGAATGGGTTGAAAATCTCAACAGTGTTCTTGACGATAACAAGCTCCTTACTCTACCCAATGGTGAGCGATTAAATCTTCCTCCAAACGTTAGAGTGATGTTCGAGGTCGAAAACCTTAAGTATGCCACTCTCGCTACTGTCAGTCGCTGTGGTATGGTTTGGTTCAATGATGACACTGTTACTTCAACTATGATGATCACAAACTACGTGGAGTCTCTCAAGGAGAAAATATTCGAGGACTTGGATGATGACAGTGTTCCTGCTGGGCAGTCTTCCGCAAAAACTATGGCAACTCAAGGCGCCATTGCAACATTCCTTGGGGAGCTTCTACTAAGAGACGATGTTATACTCAACGCACTACAAGAGGCCAGAAAATACACGCATATCATGGAATATAGTGATATTCGGGCCCTTGGCACTTTGTTCAGCTTGCTAAACAAAGCTTGCCGGAATATTCTAGAATATAACATTCAACATGTCGACTTTCCCTTAGAACCTGAGCAGGCAGAGTCATACATGTCGAAAAAACTTCTTCTAGCACTTGTATGGTCACTGACTGGCGATTGTCCTCTTGGCGAGCGGAAGCAATTTGGTGAATATGTGGTTGCTTTCTCGTCAACCGATACCCCTCTACTAGGTGATTCTGCATCACTGATTGATTATGATGTTTCATTACCCAAGGCTGAATGGACTCCATGGCAGTCTCAAGTGCCTTCTATCGAGATTAATACTCACTCGGTGACACAGACAGATGTTATCATTCCAACTCTTGATACCGTCCGTCATGAGGATGTCCTCTACTCATGGCTTGCTGAGCATAAACCACTCCTTCTTTGCGGTCCACCAGGTTCCGGAAAGACGATGACTCTGTTCTCAGCCTTAAGAAAACTACCGAATATGGAGGTTGTTGGCCTCAACTTTTCTAGTGCTACCACACCCGACTTACTTATCAAAACTTTCGAACAATACTGTGAATACAAGAAAACATTGAATGGCGTGGTAATGTCTCCTAGTCAAATTGGTCGCTGGCTCGTCATTTTCTGTGATGAAATCAACCTTCCAGCTCGTGATCATTATGGAACTCAACGTGCAATCTCATTCCTAAGGCAGTTAGTCGAACAGAACGGCTTTTGGCGAACCTCAGACAAGACATGGATTACTCTCGATAGAATCCAATTTGTTGGTGCTTGTAACCCTCCAACCGATGCAGGCCGAACACCCTTGGGGGAGCGGTTCCTCCGCCATGCGCCCTTGGTTATGGTCGACTATCCTGGCGAAATATCCTTGTTGCAGATTTATGGTACATTCAACTCCGCAGTTCTCAAAATCATACCAATGCTCCGAGGATACTCCGAGGCTCTCACAAAGGCTATGGTACAGTTCTACCTAGAGTCCCAGGCCAGATTCACCACCAAGATTCAACCCCACTATGTTTATTCTCCGCGTGAATTGACTAGATGGGTCCGTGGTGTATATGAAGCAATCAAGCCACTTGAAAACCTGTCCATTGAAGGCCTGGTCCGAATCTGGGCACACGAAGCCCTACGATTATTTCAGGATAGGCTCGTGGATGAAAGCGAACAACAGTGGACTGCTGAGTCGGTCAAGCGGATTGCCCTAGAACATTTCCCCAATATTGATGAGAATGCAGCCTTGAGCTCGCCAATTCTGTTTTCGAACTGGTTATCCAAAAACTACGTTCCTGTGGAGCAAGAGCAACTACGAGATTTTGTCAAGGCGCGACTACGCACATTCTGTGAGGAAGAAGTTGACGTTCCTCTTGTACTCTTCAATGATGTTTTGGAACATGCTCTGCGCATCGACAGAGTATTCCGTCAGCCCCAAGGGCATCTTATTTTAATTGGAGTAAGCGGCAGTGGCAAGACTACATTATCTCGATTCGTTGCCTGGATGAATGGTCTCAAAGTCTTCCAGATCAAAGTACACGGGAAATATTCTGGCGAGGACTTCGACGAAGACCTTAGGAGTGTCCTCCGTAGAGCCGGATGCAAAGGCGAGAAGATATGCTTCATCATGGATGAAGCAAATGTACTGGATTCCGGGTTTTTGGAGCGAATGAACACTCTTCTCGCAAACGCCGAAGTCCCTGGCCTGTTTGAGGGTGACGAATTTGCTTCCCTGATGACGGCTTGTAAGGAGGGTGCACAACGACAAGGCCTACTTCTTGATTCTCAAGAAGAGCTTTACAAATGGTTTACTCAACAAATTGTCAACAACCTTCACGTTGTCTTTACTATGAACCCCCCTGAAGATGGCTTATCTTCTAAGGCGGCAACTAGTCCTGCGCTCTTCAACAGATGTGTGCTCAACTGGATGGGAGATTGGTCTGACCAGGCATTGTACCAAGTCGGATATGAACTCACGCAGTCAGTCGACCTTGACAAGCCGAACTTCGTTGCCCCGGATAGCATACCAGTTGCATACCGTGGCCTTTCCCTCCCTGCCTCTCACCGTGATACTGTGGTCAATGCCATGGTTTATGTACACTATTCGTTACATAGGTTTAACCAACGGCTCCAGAAACAGCAGGACAAGTCAACATACCTTACCCCTCGTCACTATCTCGATTTTGTGGCGCACTACGTTAAGCTGTTTAATGAAAAACGTGAGGATCTGGAAGAGCAACAGAGGCATCTCAACGTTGGTCTTGAAAAACTTCGGGACACCGTTGATAAAGTACGAGATCTAAGGGCTAGTTTGGCTCAAAAGAAGAATCAGCTTGAAAAGAAAGATGCTGAGGCCAATGAGAAACTCCAGCGAATGGTTGCTGACCAACGGGAAGCTGAACAGCGTAAATCGGCATCGCTTGAAATTCAGACAGCATTGGAGAAGCAAGAGAAGGAAGTCGCCAGTCGAAAAGAAATTGTGCTCAACGATCTTGCTAATGCTGAGCCAGCAGTTCTTGAGGCACAAAAGAGCGTCAGCAACATCAAAAAGCAACATCTGACTGAAGTGAGATCAATGAGCAACCCTCCATCAGGTGTTAGGCTGGCACTTGAATCAGTGTGTGCACTCCTAGGCCATAAGGTAGAAAGCTGGAAAACGATTCAAGGTATCGTTCGCAAGGACGATTTCATTGCAAGCATCGTCAATTATGACAACGAAAGACAAATGACCCGTCAACTCAGAGCAAAGATGTTAAACGAGTTCCTTTCCAAGGAGGAATTTACATTCGAGCGCGTCAACCATGCAAGTAAGGCTTGTGGGCCCCTAGTACAATGGGTGCAAGCTCAGGTTAATTACTCCTCAATCTTGGATCGCGTTGGACCTCTTAGGGAAGAGGTCGGCCAGTTGGAGGAACAGGCATTGCAAACCAAGGCGGAAGCCCAGGCAATTGAAAATACAATCAACGACCTTGAGAACAGTATAGCAACTTACAAGGTCGAATACGCCGCCCTGATTAGCGAAACACAAGCCATTAAGAGCGAGATGTCCAGAGTTGAGTTCAAGGTTGACAGGAGTGTCCGTCTTCTTGACAGTTTATCTTCTGAAAGATCCAGATGGGAAGAGGGAAGCAAGACATTCGAAACACAGATATCAACCCTTGTTGGCGATGTTCTCATTGCAGCAGCATTCCTTGCATATGGTGGTCTTTACGATCAACAGTTCAGAAAGGCGATGATTGACGACTGGATGCATCACTTATCCCAATCGAACATCGACTTGAAACCACACAATCCAGTAACGGAGTATTTGTCGAATGCAGACGAGAGGCTCTCGTGGCAGAGCAATTCACTCCCCGTCGACGATTTGTGCACGGAAAATGCTATCATCCTGAATCGCTTCAACAGATACCCCCTAATTATTGATCCCTCTGGCCGTGTTACGGAGTTCCTGGAGAAAGAGAACAGAGACAGAAAACTTACCGTGACAAGCTTCTTGGACGACTCCTTTGTCAAACAGCTTGAGAGTGCTCTTCGATTCGGCAACCCTATACTCATTCAAGATGCAGAGCATTTAGACCCGATTCTCAACCATGTTCTCAATAAGGAGTACCAGAAAACTGGTGGTCGTGTGCTCATCCAACTTGGAAAGCAAGAAATCGATTTCTCGCCGTCGTTCAAGTTGTTCCTTTCCACTCGCGATCCTTCGGCTTCATTCCCGCCAGACATATGCAGCCGAACAACCTTTGTCAACTTTACAGTTACTCAGAGCAGTTTGCAAACACAGTCTCTCAACGAAGTATTGAAATCTGAACGTCCAGACGTTGACGAACGTCGCACGAACCTCATCAAGGTGCAAGGCGAGTTCAAGATCCATCTTCGCCAACTAGAGAAGAAGCTACTCCAGGCATTGAACGAATCTCGTGGAAACATCCTTGATGATGATAACGTCATTGAAACTCTTGAGACCCTTAAGAAAGAAGCATGGGAAATTTCCAATAAGATGGTTGAGACTGAAGGAGTGATGGCAGAAGTAGACAATATCACGCTGCAATACAACATCATCGCAAGATCGTGCAGCGCCGTCTTTGCAGTTCTCGAACAGCTTCACCATCTCAATCATTTCTACCAATTTTCTCTTCAATACTTCGTGGATATTTTCAATGATGTTCTCCATAATAACAAGAGGCTTGCCCAGGAACGCGATTATACTGCACGGGTCAACATTATACTTCGAGACCTCTTTATTGCCGCCTTCCAACGGACATCACTTGGATTACTCCAGAAGGACCGTGTCACCTTGGCCGTCCTCCTTGCGCAAGCATCGCCATACCCAATGGACAAAGGGCTGATAGACATGATACTGGATACCACTGTTGAGGGATGTGATGTGTCAGCAGATAGCAACCTCCGAGCACCAGCAATGTCAGCGCTTGCCCAGATGTCGGTATTTAAATCGACTCTACCAAATATCTCCGCAGAGCAATGGGAAGTGTTCCTTTCGGAAGAATTCGCAGAGAACTTCGTGCCCAACGTTTGGGAAGAGGGAACAAGCGAGTTTGACCAACAATTACGGTCCTTGCTGCTTGTTAAACTTCTCCGACTTGATCGATTTGTACCCGCTGCAGAGCGCTTTGTTGTGACTGTATTCGGCAAAGACCTGCTCGATGACGGTGATGATCTGAAGGAAGTTGTTGAACAGGTAACTTCAACTACTCCAATCGCGCTTAGTTCAAGCCCTGGGTTCGATGCAAGTTACAAAGTTGATGGCCTTGTTGAACGAACTCACAGAAGCTGTGCCAACATTGCCATGGGTTCGAACGAAGGCCTTGAGAGCGCAGATAAGGCTATTAGCAACGCAGCAGCAACTGGAAACTGGGTGCTTGTCAAGAACGTCCATCTGGCACCTTCATGGCTCCAGAGTCTCGAGAAACGTCTGGAGTCGCTTAAGCCCCACAAAGACTTCAGGCTCTTCTTATCCATGGAGTCAAGTCCTAAGATTCCGGTTAACCTAATTAGGGCATCGAGAGTTCTGATGTATGAACAACCGGCCGGAGTCCGTGCAAACGTGAAGGATTCGCTGTCATCTCTGAGCCTACGTGCTACGAGTCCACCTGTCGAGAAAGCTCGCCTATATCTCCTGTTGTCATTCCTCCACGCAGTTATTCAGGAACGACTCCGGTATGCACCAAGCCTTGGATGGAAGGGCTTCTGGGAGTTCAATGATAGCGATGTAAGTGCAAGCAACATTTTTTCTGTTACAGCAGTGGGGGGAGAAACTAACATTAAGCTATAGTATGAATGCTCTGCATTTATCATCGATACCTGGGTTGCGTCAATTGCCCAGGGCCGTTCAAATGTCGCTCCACAGAAGATCCCCTGGGACCTGATCCGGACGTTGATCACAGAAACATATGGTGGAAAGATCGACGATGCTGGGGACTTTGCACTCCTTGCCAAGCTTGTCGATACTTTCCTGACACCCGCAGCCTTTGAAGACGACCATAAACTGGTCCCTGACGTGGAAAACGACGAGGCTCTTATCCTACCAACATCTACCGGCATTCAGGACTTCCTCGCATGGGTGAACCGACTTCCTGAACGAGAACCACCAACGTACCTTGGTCTGCCTGCCAACGCCGAAAAACTACTACTGGTCGGCCACGGCAAGAGGATGATCTCGAATCTGTCAAAGGTTACCACTCTCCTTGATGAAGGCGAACAATTGATGGTTGAAACCGCCACCATCTAGACAAATATCATGTACATCCCCCCCTCTCCACATACGATGCCACCTTCAACACTTTCTCATTTCACACTATGAGGATCTTGTTTCCCTATTTTCCTATGTTACCAGGCGTTGTGGCCTATGTGTTTTTCATGATTTTCCGCCAGCCGGCATGGCTCCCTCAGTGCTACGGGCTTTTCGCTATTTGTTGCATTGTTTCTTTTCCTATCAGCGGTCCGGCCTGTGATGAGAACTACTTTGATTCCATCGTCTCTTCTTCCTACTAATTGCTCGATACTTATGCTTTTAATCTGGTTTAACCCCTTTTTCACCACATGTATTACAAGAAACAACATACCCATACATACCTATTAGTTAATACCAAATTGTTCTCATCTATCTCTCTTTAAAAGATCGAAGTTAGATCGAAGTAACTTGCATATACAGTAATACCAATCAATCTTCCTTACCCACCGCAGATGTTACGTCTTCATCCACTCTTCTCCATATATTCTCCGTATTTCAATCTATCTTCCACCCACCACCAAACTCCATTGCTTTATTTCTACTCCAGGTTCCCACCCCTACACCTCTCAGCAGCGCCCATTGGCCACTTGATAGGTGCATCGAGCGAAACGAAGCCAGACATTACGTGTTTCGAGGCTCAGCGTCTCAAACGGCCAGCCTGGCTACTGTTGTGTAAGCCCAAAACCCCAACTCCTCCCCCCCGCCCTGCCCACTGACAGCAGATACCAGCAGCTCGCTAGGGAAAGCTATGGACTTCTTCTTAAACTTCATGCTGGAGCTTTAAAGGCAACACATCCTGGACACCCTCCCTTGACGTGGACGACAGAGTAGAGTACACACTTACGCGGTCGTGTGGTGGTGGAGGGGACGGAGTATCTGACTACGGGCAGAGCAATTACTCCCGAACGCGCATACAGAGATGGCTTCGTTACGCCTGAAGCAAATGCAGCCCGTTGCTAATCGCATCTTCCCGAATCGCCCCTTAACTATCTACGCGGTGCCGACTTGATATCACATCTCAGCTCTGGCTGTCAGTCATTCCAGCGTTGATCCCCCGCCATCGAGCGAGAACCCTGGCGCCCTTCGTCATCACCAGCGGCACAAGAACCACCAGGAAGCGAGTCTCAAACACGAAAAGCTCCTGATCGACCGTTCAGGCTCAAGGGAGGAGAAAGCCAAGCTTGAGTTTCAGGCTCCTGTGGCATCGAACGGGCATTTTTTTTTCTCGCCCTCTTTCTTCCCTGTCGTTTTCCTGTGCTTGTTGCTTTTTCCGCGTCCAGGGAGGGTGGAGGGCCAACGCCAACATCTCTCCTACCGTCATCGTTTGATAACTCGTCCCTCCAGCCCAGATCTTATTCGGCTGCTGCTGACGCTAGACGATGGGGAGGGGTGCCAGTTAGTTATTAATCCACTGGCATCGACTGCGGGATCCCGGCCAAGCGAGCTTACGAGTTGACCTGCTAGCCCGTTCGCCAGACAAGGACGGGGGGACCTGATGGACGAGTGAGAGGCTGAATCAGGGACCTCTCTGTATAGGCATTGCTGATATATACCATCAGGTTGGCGCATCCGACTCCATTTGGCCGTTCGCTCTTCTTTTCTTTTTTCTTTTTTCTTTTACTTCTGGATATTCTTTTCTTCTTCCTCGTCCCTCTCTTCATGGACATCATCCCTCGCCAAAAAGGATGAAAAGAACGTGGAAGCCATATTCCGCATCTCTAGATTTTCATATTCCTTGAAGGAACCCTCTGCCTACCATCCCATTCATACCCGATTTATATCTTTTTTAATAATGGACAACTAGTTAAAAAAACAGCATAACTTACTTTTCTCTTGACCTGCCTGGATGCAAATGTCATTTCTCCCACTTTGAACATCACCTTTTACATACAGCTGTCGTGAAAATCCTGTTGGAGGAGCACTTGTCTTATCATCGATACACCAACCAGAGATGAAGCGCCACCCGAAGAGCCGGGAGCTCCGTATAGCTCCATTTGCTTCGAGAGATGGCCTCTCTTCTATGTTTTCTCGGGTCCCGCTCCTGCATGGCGTTTCTTCGGTCGAAGAGTCTCTGCAGAACTTAACAATGGGTGATCATATCCCAGGCCTCCTTATTCCAATTGGTACGTGCGATAAAATATGTAACGATGACCTGGCGTAACTACCCTGCGGAGGCTTCCGGCTAACGTTTAGAGTGCTAGCTTTCCTTTCCTCCCTAAGGACTAATTTACAAATATCAACTTTCCCAGAAGATGCCATCTATAACCCCTACTCTCCATATGGTATTTCCATAGAGAACGGCCCTGATGTTCCATGCACCCCCCTTTACGGCTCGTCCGGAAGCCAGGAAAGCTTGCCTCTACCATCTCCGGTCATCCGGAGACCGACACGAAGAAACTCCAGGACCACGACAGCACTGCACATTGATTCAGATACCCTACATACCAGCTCTCGCCTCACCGTATATCCTACACAGTCTGAGAAAGAAATCACATCTGCTCTTGGGCTAATCTCGGAGAGCGTTTCTCAACAACGAATACTGGCCGTCAGAGCCATCATTTCACACCCCGCAGTGCTTGCGGCTGGATTACTATTTTTGTTATCGAGTTCTAAACTCATCTACTCGGGCTCACCCGCCGACCTTATTCTAATTCTCAGCGTCTGGACGTTGAGTTTCCTTATTCTGATCCTGGTGATCCGCTTTATGGTCAAGGGGTATTTGGTCCAGATTCAGCAGACTCAAGATATCAAGTGGCTTTCTCAAGACTCTGTCCATGGCCTATCACATAGACGTGATGAAGTGTTCATTGCTCGGGACACTGGTACTGGCGACGATGAGCACAGTGGAGATATCGTTGGCGTGCTTGTCATGAGGATTTGCAAGACTGTTACCGATGCTAACACACCGGGTGTACGACCGCGATCAGCCAGACGGAAGAGCTCTGCCAGGTGGACGGGCATTATCCGTGCATGGACAGTTAGACAGTCCGCTAGATCAAATGGGGTGGGCAAAAGGCTACTTGAAGGAGCTATTGCTAATTGTCGACTTCGGACCCTGGATGGTCCCATGTTTGCTGACGATCATGCCCATTCGAAGCGGTTTCTGCCTGGGATATTTAATATTGGCTTTTACAAGCAAGATGCATGGGCACGGAGCTTTTTAGAGCATATTGTTATAAAGGAAAGGAGCAAGTAACACACAGGCTATGCTTGCTCCGCTCTTTTCCTTTTATTTCTATTGCATTTTTTCCTATTGTAGTGATTTGGGACTCGAGTTATCTCTCCATTTACATTCGCTGGTTTTGGCGCTGCTGTGTTTTTTCTTATTGGACTCGCTATATACCCTCATTCGTTAGCTATTTACTCGTTTATTGAACCGTTGTTATTACTGCCATTCGTTCTTATTGCATGCGCAATGCCTGTCATAACAATCAGCTACTATCGACTACCAGCCCATTCTGCTGAAAATAGAAACTAAATCCTCAGCCACCTGCAATGGGTTGAATAACTGCGCCCGCCCCCAAAACCATCTACATAATCTATGACAATGCAGTGATTCAAACGAATAATTATGTTGAACGCGCGTTCATGCATTGGACGTAGACACCACACTAGAACTAATGACATTGTAAAGTGGACTAACGTCCGTGAGAAATATCTAATCGGCTTCAGGGTTTATGCAGGTCAAGCCTCTTGGCCGTTGGCCAGGCTGTTGATATCCCTGTTAGCTGCGCAGCTCGCCCGTTAGTTAACTCTCCTTCCCTTCCCGCAGAAAAGTTATGCTCCGTAGCCAATTCAAGACCTAACCTTTCATTCAAAGGTGTTGGCGAAGCCACAGATATGATATTTGTACAAAAAGATTCCTCCTGGTGGGCACAGACAAGAGTGCCCTGAACTACATAGCCAAACATTTTAACTGCTGTTAAAGAGGTTTCGATGATAGGTGAGAGACCGGTTCTCATGCATGGTAAAGACATGCGGCCGCAAAGATGGTTAGAAATTAGAAAAGGGCTAGAGGTTGTCAAAGCCGTAGACGGTCGTCCCAAGCTACAAACATAATAATTAGTTCTTCAATCAAGTCTATATGTGCATGTATCAACAGAGTAGAGAGTGGCTTACCCTCTTTAGGACAAAGACAATCTAGAGACCAGTATAATGTTAGCTGTGCAAAATATAACACGGTTGGTATCTCCGAAGAGGAACGTACATCTGAAGTCGTTACTGTCTGGAATAAATATTAGCTATTTTGCATGATATAAAAGTAAACAAACAGTACTCACCTTTCGAGCCTTGCGAGACGTGTCAGTGGATTCCAGTAGCATGACAACTTGCTCGAGTATCTAATTAGGTTGAGCACATCAGCAAAAGATGTTCATGAAGAAGGCCGGATCAAGCTTGCGCTTCCTTACGGTCTCAAGGCGAGATACAACAATCTCTCGCACGGTCTTGTATATGGCTTTCTGTATTCGTACCACGCCACCTCGGCGTGCCAGGCGACTGTAGTTTGAAGAAAAGGGTCAGTATTTATATAGAACGGTGATTCCGTGGCAATGGTAATTTTTTCCTACCGGATAGCTGGTTTGGCTGTTTTAGATGCTTTGTTAGCTGCGTTGCTATCGATATCTTGTTTGGGTCTTGACAAGAAGGAGCCGCCTTGCTATACTTACTGATCCCCATGATATTATCACGGCGGTTTTTTCTATAGCCACATTGAACAATTAGTAAGACTTGCTAGAAAGATTAGACAACAGCTTAGCTTACTGATGCCTTCTCGGCAGGAATTTGGCCGTGTGGCCCTTCTTCCTGCTCAGCTTTAGTGGCACATCCATTCTTTTGGAAGAGAAGTAAGAATTGGCTTTGTAAGAGAGAGTAGAATGACTGAATAAAGAAATTGATGAAGAGATAGACAGATGAGAGAGTCAGGTACGGAAGAGTAGATGTAAAGCTGGGAAAAGAATGCAGGTTAAGGGGGCAATTCTGTGTTATGTTTTGATATGTTATTTAGAGTAGCGTTACTGGGACAATGCAAACACAGGCAGCTAGGACGGCAAAAGAAGGACAAGAACAACAGCCTCTAGTTTCGAGCTCATTTGAAGAGTTTAGTTGACTTTTTGCAACAGGGATAGGTATAATAGATGATTTCTAGGGATCGGTGGCCATGTGCTCATGAAGAAAAGGAAGCGTCTTCCGAGGGAGTCCACGAATGAAGTTCAAAGGAAGCACCGAGTGTATCCCATGGGCTACAGAGCTGGGCATTGGTATTAGTGACCATGGATGGGCGTTGATGATGATATGTACGCGTGTATATGTATATATATAATGACATATATACGTGGTATGATGTCAGAGTCTAATGGCAGGATAGCCATTGAGTCTTGACATGCCAGTATTTTTCACCAGGGAGCGAGGGGATAGAAGGGCCATCAAACATATATGCGAAAGAGTTAAATGAGGGACAGCAGAGTAAAGCAGCAGAACCTTCCGGAGCCACACCTGAACGAACGCCCGTTGTAAAAAAGAAAATAGTAAGACATGATATATATCACTATGAGATAAAGGTAGCTTCCACTAGGAGAGTACCTTCTTCGGTGATCTCTTCATCATCTCCAATTTTGATCTTGATCGGTAGCTTTTGTGATGGGATGAACTGGTCAAAAGGTCATGTCAGCTCTGCAAAGAGATACCGTATACACGGAATAATTTTTCTTTGGGAAGTCACAACTGACCTGGTATACATATGGTCGTGTTCCAGCAACGCTACCGACGAGAGACTTGATTAAGCCGGGGACTTCAGCCATGACGTCAATTCGGTCCATTCTGGGTCCCAAGGAACCATCAATCGTGGCCTCAAAGGATTTGCCCTCCGCAGTTTTACCAGACCAGGTGATCTTCATAGCAGATGGTTCAGGCCAGTCGTTCTCAGAATCCTGAGTGGATTCAGTATGAGTTACAGAATTCGGGGCACCGGCGTATATAATTTCTCCATCCTTTACTACACCACCGACATTCACAACGGTAGAGCCGTATGAAGGAGGAGTAGTGTATTCCATCATACCAGCAGAGAAGGTCGGCGACTGAAAGTCAACAAAGTTCCATCTCGAAGCTACAATGAGGCATCAGCTGGTTAAAAACGTGCACTCATTGCTTGAAAATGAGGATAAGGGGCGGGGAGTCATACCGAGGTGATGAGGCTTCATTCCCTGGAGTGCATGGACAAAAAATCCCTTTCCGGCGAAGTCAATTTCCCTTTCACGAGTAATGATTGAGCCTTCAACTTTGCACCTTGGCCAAAAGGCATGCTTCATACTGCCCCATGGGTTCATTGGATCGGTTCCGAACGTCGAAGTTCCGTCCTTGCCAGCGACAAACCCGGAGCGGTGCGAGTGATGGTAATATTAATTAGACTATCCTCGTTGATAGCCGATTTGATGGTATATGCAGTTCCTTCTTCATTGAGAGTAATTGCAACGTTGTCACCGCCAAAAGAGAGCATATCTTCAGCAAAAATATGGTTCTGGACGGGGTCCGATGCCCATAAGTGAGGCTTCGCCGGATCCTTGGAGAACACCTTGCAGTTAAACTGACATGTTGTATGGAGGCCACTAGAAAGCGAAATACATTAGCAACTCAGCTAAGCAACGAAGAAGTAGCCAAAAGGTGGGGGCGAGGAAAAGATGCGCTCCAACATCTTCATCGTCGAACAAGCTCACACGACATTGTTGTAGATCAACTGGAGGGAGGCGACATCTCCGTTATCCGAGAACAGATAGAAGGTCTGAGTCTCGACGCAGGTCGACTGCATCGCAGCCCATCGTAAATGATCCTTAGTCACCTCAGTGTAGGGTATCGTTTTTGCCTGGTCGACCACAGACTGTATAGCCGTGGGCCCATAGATCGGCTCCTGCGTCCCGGCAACGTTGGCCAGGCTATAAAGTAAACAGATCAGCACTCGTCTTCTACACGGGCAGAAGCAGTACATACGTCTGTTTAAACCAGTTCATCGTTGAGTGTCTCGGCGGGTGGTATGCGACTTGAGGATTGTATCTAGATCGGATGGAGGGGAACCAGCAGGAGGCGCAACCAAAGGCCGAAACAGAAGAGCGGATGCGGCGGATAAATGATGTACCGTGCAGGCTGGCCACTACTTGCTGCGAGCCCTGAGACCGCACAGCAGAACAAGTCCAAGCAAGGCGTCAAGCGATCTTTTCGGCTTACTTCGTCTCTTTTGGCCTCTTTTTTTATGTTTCTTGTCGTCGTTTTTCTTCTTGTCGTTCAAAGGATCGCGGCTATTTTACTATCACGCGCGATCCTGGCGGTTATCACGAGGACAGGCGGCTCGCGCTAACATTTCTACTTTAGGTTTAGCGCGACTTCGAAGAACTTTTTGATATTTTGAAAGACGAAGACGAGGAAGAAGAAATACGCAAACAAACGAGCAATTGATCGCGGTTTGGTGACGGGACATATCGAAGAAGGGGAGAAGAAGAGGAAGCCACTGTTTAGCCCAGCCTCTGTCTTGTTTCTGTGAAGGCAACCGCAACGATGGCCGCTAAAGCTATACCAAAGGACGTGGTGGTGAAGCTCATCGTGGGCGCCGGCCAGGCCAGCCCCAGTCCTCCAGTTGGCCCGGCTCTGGGAAGTAAAGGTGTGAAGTCGATGGATTTTTGCAAGGTAAGCTAGTTGCCAACTCAATTGTGTGAAATTAGATTTGTATATCTAACAGGCATGGGCAGGAATTCAATGCACGAACGGCGCATATCAACGTTGGAACTCCGATACCTGCACGAGTCACCATCCGTCCCGATCGATCCTTTACATTCGACCTCAGAACTCCGGTGACGTCCTGGCTACTGCTACAGGCAGCCAAGGTTGAGCCGAGAAAAGCTCGCATCCGAGGCGGCGAACGTCCGGGCCACGAGACGATTGGGAACGTCTCATTGAAACATGTGTATGAGATCGCGAAGATAAAGCAGACGGAGCTTCGATTGTCGGGCCTCAGCCTCCAGGGACTGTGTATGAGCATCATAGCTCAGGCAAAGTCCGTTGGCATCAAGGTCGTGCCGTAAATGCGATATTTGTTTACCTCGCAGAGATATTCTCGAATACTGGAGGGAACGGGGACAGCGACGAGCATGCCCCGAAGTAATCTACTTTCCGCAAGTGTTCGACTCGGCTGGATTGATGGATTGAATGGGTTCGGTGTGATCATTGCAAGGCGTTTTTGCGGGTGGGCAATTCTACTTCTTGGGCTTCTTCTATATATATTCAGCAGCCTCCTTTCTTTTGCAGAGCTCCTTGGGCACGCCCGGAGAGCAGTGTACAGTATCGCACGGCAGCCATAATGTATGATATAGACCGACGACTTCTTCTCTTTCTCTTTCTCTTTCTCTTTCTCTTTCTCTTTCTTCTTCGCCTTCCTCTTCGCCTCCTGCTGCTTTCCCGCTGACTCAGCTACCTCGGCCGCTTGTCTTTTTTCTCGATATAATAAGAAAATCCTTGATGAAAGACAACGACATTGCCGGCCAACGTCGAGCCGACCAGCAGCGAGTCTTCCCCAGCACCAGCGTCAGTCCGTCGACAGGGGATCAGCTCGCCCGACGTCATCAGGAGAAGCAAGCCTGGGATATCAAAACGTCCAACTTCCCGCCGAGTTCCGGGAAAATTTGGGTCCGAACAAGCTTTGCCTGGCCGAAAATCGATTTCCACCGCAACCTTTTCATCGTCATTAACTACCACTATTTCCCCCCTACTCCAGATACAAATACTTCATCTCTCATCCACACTCTCTGCAATCACCAGTCAACACAGAGTCCTCTGCTATCGTCTGCTTGACTCGTAGTCGCTGTCTCTCCCGCTCAGCCGCGATACGCATGCCTGGCGCGCATCCTTCCGACTTCCGTGCCCCTCCTATTTGTTCGCGCCCTCCCCGGCTTGGCCCAGCTAAAAAAGCCCCCCAGCAGGAGCATCCCAGCCTGCGCTGCGCCGAAGGACGCTCGCCGTTGAATCTGCGCCAGTAGACGATCGGATGCGGCGCGTTGGGAGGAATGCTTCTGCGCCCGCAACTCTGTTGAGAGAGCTTGCCCCTGCCCCCCAGGCCATATCGTCCCCAGTTTAACGATCTTACAACACACCGCTTGCCATATACTTTATAGGAAAGATAAACAAAGACAAAGCTGAAGAAGTGTATTGAGCCAGGAAAGCGTCTGAAGAGCACTTGAAGATCGCCTCACCGTCATCATGGCTCCGCTTACCAGCTCAGACTCCGCAGAGAAAAAGGCCCAGGAGCCAAATACAGTCCGTTTTGCCTCACAGAACCAGGAGATCGAACCACCGCAGAACCTGCTGTCGTCCAGTGGCTCCCCAGACACAATTGTCAAGGGAAATGTCGGTCCTGCACCCGCAGGCCCAGGTGGTGAATTCATACCATTTGATTCTGCGTTCCAGAAATCCAGGCTTCAGGAAACCAGACTGCACAACTTTGCATTTGACCCGGTGTCTCTGCCTGCTTCGAGGGTATGCGGCCCATAGATCTTTATTTTTCAGATGGCAGCGTCGTTCATGATATTTGATACGATAATTGGAAAGCGATGCTAACTGTACTTTATAGGCTCCCTCTCGAGATTCTAGTATCCGTGATTTCAACAGATCAATAGCAATATCTCCTCCTCCATCCCAGCCCCAATCTCCTGCCTTTGGGCCTATCGACTTACCAGAACACCCGAAAGATGGACATAACCGCGCTTTACTGGAGACCACAGAGATGACACCTGAAGCCTCTTCTTCCAGCGAGCGACCCTCTAAGCATTATGTCAAGAATCAACCTTCCTTTTCCTCATCCAGGCCTTCCTCTCCCTCTACAGCACCCTCAACACGTCCAGTTTCAGGACATAGCAATGCTTCTTCTGCACCAAAACTTTCAAATATAAACCGTGGAAAGTTCTTCGTCGGTCCCTCAGAAGAGAGTCCTCCAGGAACCCCTAGATTCGAAGTCAAACGGCCTGCCTCTCCGCTTCTAGGGTCAGGCACAATCACCCCTCTAGGAGACGAGAATGACCCGTATGCCCGGGACAAGAGACCTCCGCAAACCAAAAACTTGGCGAATCTCGATCAGAGATTCATTTTTGGAGGCGTTGATGCCAAACGCCGCCCACATAAATCACATTCCACCACTTCACTATCAACACACAACATTCCGCGCTCTGCTCATTCATCCGAAACCAAGGATCACCACCATCATAAACACCCCCACATCTTTGGTGGCAAGAAAGATCGGCATCACGATGATAAATTTGATGCTAAACATTCCGGCTCGATGTCCGAGCTAAGACGCTTCTTCAGAATAGACCGCAAGCACAAACGTGGGGAATCACCATCTTCCATGAAGTCTTCCAGATCCTCCATAAAACATATTCCATTCCAGTCTACTGCTCCCAGCGTGCCGTTTGCAGATGACCATGGTTTGCAATCCAAGTACGGAAAGCTAGGTAAAGTTTTGGGTGCAGGTGCCGGAGGTTCTGTCAGGCTGCTCAAACGTAGCTCGGATGGAGTAACTTTTGCCGTCAAACAGTTCAGGGAGAAACATTCCTGGGAATCGGAGAGGGAGTACGCAAAGAAAGTGACAGCAGAATTTTGCATTGGCTCTACCTTGCACCACGGAAACATCATCGAGACCCTGGACATTATTCGCGAAAACGGCAATTGGTATGAGGTTATGGAATTTGCTCCTTACGATCTCTTTGCCATTGTTATGACTGGGAAGATGACAAGAGAAGAGATCTCTTGCGCGTGGCTTCAGATTGTGAACGGAGTCAGTTATCTTCATAGCATGGGCTTGGCTCATCGAGATCTGAAACTGGATAATGTCGTTGTCAACGACAAAGGCATTATGAAGTTGATAGATTTCGGTAGCGCGGTAGTATTCAGGTACCCTTTCGAGACGGGAACTGTTCAAGCCACAGGTAAGGCGCCACTCCTTTTGGTATCCTCTTGACAATATAGTGAACATCACTAATGAATATGTAGGTGTTGTTGGGTCAGATCCATACTTGGCTCCTGAGGTTTACGATAATAAAAAATACGACCCTTGTGCAGCAGACATGTGGTCTTTGGCGATAATATTTTGTTGCATGATTCTCCGTCGATTCCCATGGAAACAGCCCAAGGAAGAGGATAATTCATTCAAACTGTTCATTGCTGAGCCATCCCCCAATACCCCACCACCGGAAGAATTTGGCAATCCTTCTAGAGGTCGACCGAGATCCGTGGCTGGAGAACCAGGCACTCACTCCATGCCAAATGGAAACAAAGGCGACGGCCACCATCACCGCCGTAGATCGGATAACAAAGAATACCTAAAACACGAGCATGCCGCCAATGACCCCAAGGATGAATCTTCTGCAAAGGGGGCTGCCGGCACAGAGAAACAGCCAGCTACTGGCCAACGTCAAGAACCTATTAAAGGGCCTTGGCGGCTATTGCGAGTTCTACCTAGGGAATCCCGTCTTCTAATCAGCCGCTTGCTAAAGCTTGACCCCAGGGAGCGTGCAACTTTACAGGATGTATTGGATAACGAGTGGGTAAGGAGCTGTGAAGTCTGTAGGCAGGAAGAGTCTGGCCAGACTATTAATGCTCCTGGACACACTCACATTCTTGAGCCTCCTAGTCCGCCACCGGCTAAGAAATAAGTATTTAATAGATTTTAGTGTAGGGAGTCGCATAAATATTTTGGAGAATTTGGCCCCTTAGGACTGGTTGGCTTGTTTACTTTCATATTTTACTGTTTTCTCCCTTTCTGATTCTACTTGGGTTTCCCATCCTGCTTGGGTAGGGACAGAAAAGTCAGCTTCCTTTTAATATGCGGTTATACATATGGACAGTTATTTGGTAGGAGTTGGGTCCTGCTCTGTTTTCTAACCACACTTTTCTCCCTTCAGCATCATTCCAGGGAGAAGAGCGCGGTTCTTTGATACCTACGACCTACATGATGTATAGTTCAGATGCCCTATTGCTTTGTTTTATAGTATATGTTCCTTGGTCATAGATTTATGCCACCGATCCTAATAATGATATTTATTGACTCCCTCCATTATTTAACTAGCATTGTGTCATGACTCAATATATACATAATTTTGCAACAAGTTCAACCCTTCGCCAATCTACATATCATAACATTGGTGTACCACAATATCGTTCTTCCTACGAAGCGGCTTCCGGTTCTGATAGTGGCTGAGCCTGCGTTGCTCCAGTTGCATCTGTGTCAGAGGGTTTCCCATTCACGCGTGGTTTCTGGTCGGGCCCTGGTGTTTCCCCATTTGCGAGACCAACACTAGGTTTCTCCTCCTTTCCGGCCTCGGCGTCTTCTACTGGAAGTGGAATCTTTCGCTTTCCATTTGCCTTGTACACAAGAACCATATCATTTCCAGTTCGCCATATGTGAGTACGTATGGTGGCAAGGGTCATATCCATAGGTATTAACTATAGAGAGAGATCTTGTTAATGTCTTCTATTTCACCATTTCTCCTATACCTGAATATTAGGTGACGTACCGTATTTTGACAATATAACTCGAGATACTCTTCTGGTTTCAGGGCGTCTTCACTCTCCATATTCTGCGGGTCAATTCGTTCCGCAACATATGCAAGAATCTTCTTCGCACGTAGCATTCGATTTGCATTGAGGCGAGATGAATTGTTCGGTGCGGTCCTTTAATTTAACGTTAGTGTTTCCCTTCTTTGAGAATAATAACTAATATGTCACACTCACATGTCAGGCTTAATAACCTCTGGAAGAGAATCCTGGTATGGTTTTAAGGAGAATGCTATTTTGGGTATTTCTTTGAACGGGACAATATTCTTAAGGTAGGAAGTGCAAATTAGTATAATGCATCACTGAATCGAGCAATGCGGATAAGGCTGTAATAGGAAAATTGCTCACTCGAAGTAGAAGATCAGCGAGCCAAGAAGGGGCAGCTTTTTCGAAGGCATCAATATCTTGATGGACAGTTCCAACAGTACCCCTATATAGATCTGCAGCAACGGCTGAATCTGGATTTTCTTCTTGGATAAGAATACCTATATGAGGCGGAATATTCAGAACTGGTGCCTCATTTTCTGGTGTAGGCGTAATTAAGGTTTCTATGTCTTTGCAAGGGTTTGCGGCCAAGTATGCATCATAGTCGGCATGTATTTTGTCAATAACTCCGCGAAAATTGTCATCAAAAGGCCGTTCCTTTTCAGAGGATTTATCCGATTCTTCAGTTTTCTCTTCCGCAATTGGTTTCGTTTCGGTAGCAACTTTGGACTTCTTTGGGAATGTCATTTGAAATTTCTTGCCAAAGAGAGTTGTTCCCTTCTTAGGTCTTTCTTCTTTTTCTGGCTCTGAAGGGGTCGCTATTGGAACAGATAGTGGTGTTTGTTCATCAGAGGATCTGGATTTCATGGCTGGATCTGCATCTGTTGATGGGCGTTTTGTCGTATTGGCAAAATAATCGGAAGAACCCGGCACATCCTTACCAACGGAGTTGTCATTTGCTAAGGGTCCATTGCTGGAATTATGCAATTCAGGGAAAGGTGAAACCATGTTCGGTGTCCCTACGCCAATGGATATCCCCGGAGTCATAGCTGCGCGGGTTATCCCTACAGCTCTCAAGCCGGGAGAACTAGGTGGAATCGATGTCTCAGGCGAGCCGGGTGTGGTGACAGTTGGGAGCGCTGTGGTATCCAAAATATCATAGTCGCATCCTCCTTTCTGATCAGACTTCAGTTTAAGGGTTAGTCTGTAAGCTTCATCTCGCTGGATTTCTTCTTTGACTATTCCGTCAAAGAGGTACCGAAGTATCCATTTTCCAAAATTGACTAAGACAACGGTTATTAAATAATCTTAAAGTTGCCAGGATAGTCCATAACTCACTCCTCTGGTCTTCTCGATATTCATTCGTATCTGTGCTAGGGAGATCAGCTTGATCAACATATATTTCCCCATCAAAGCATCGGTTTTGCTCCAGTATTACAGATAATCTCCCGGTTCTTGTATGTAAGGTACACCAATTGGCGATTGTTTCAGCAGTATTAACTTCTGATGCAACATCATCCAGATGGCGTTTACCGAAAAGTTTTATAGGAATACACTATATCGTATTAGAACTTTGTGAGAATAAGAAAGCTGGGATTGAAACGTACCCTAAGTAAGTCCCATAGAACGACGTCCCCAGCAGTATCTTGGGTCAAAGCCCGCTTTCTATCATTCAGAGTTATGTGCTTTATCACACCATGTTGCCCTTCTATTGTCTCCTGAGGTAATGACTGAAGAGGGGTTGCGAGAGTTATTCCCTCATCCAAAAGGATATCAGTGGGAGCTCGTAAGCTGGAGACGGACAAGCTCACAACATCAGCCTCACGGTGCATGGGGTTCGGAAACGCGGTGTTTGACAAGATAAGGATGGAGCTGGCAGGGATTTTTTGGTTTGCAGGCCGCGGTCCATTTTTGTTGTCATCCGAAGATGTTGGGGATGTCACACTTGAGGTATGTCGGCCGGCAGGCGGAGGTGTTGCGGCTTCAATCTCCGCAGTCGTATCAACGTCATTCCAACGATGGATGCTGGATTTGGGTGTTGCTGTCCAGATATGACCCCCAGCTGCCACGACTTTAAACACGCCATCATTTTCCTGCAAGGCAGCGATGCAAATTCCCTGATCAATATCCGGAGCGTTTCTGGTATCTGTTTTCGCCACTAAGCCAGATCTATCACTTGAATAGAAAACAGATAATTGAGGGTGGTCTGAGTAAAGTGACCACACGCTGTCGTTATGCATGGTAAGAGTGTGCATACATCGTCCGGCTGCCATAGACCACACTTTGATAGTTTGATCAGACGATGCTGTCAAAACTGTATCGCCATCGCGGTTAAGAAGGATACTCCTGACATTATCTGTGTGGCCGACAAATTTAGTAATTAGTTTCCCAGATTTAGAGTCCCATATTCGGACAACGCTATCAGGGCCGCCGCTGGCTAAGATGGACCCTTTCGCACTTAAAGCATACACTGAGCCTTTAGGTGTCTTATCATATTCAGAAACATCAATTTTCAACCGCTCTCCACCACCATTTAAGTCCCAAAGGTATATTTTATGGTCCAAGCTCCCTGATGCAACCCAGTCGGCGTCTGACTGAGGAGTTGCAAGACATTTGACGTAATCGGTATGTTTTCCAATAACTGTTGGTACATGACCATTGCCTGTCGGTCTCCATGCTCTTACTGTGGTATCTGAGGAAGCAGATACGAGGGTCGAATTATTCTGAGTCAAGATAATATCGTTAATCCAATGTGTGTGAGCTTGGACTTGGCTTCTGAATGAGGCGGAAGTAGATGAACGGGAGGGTGTATTATTCTGTGAAAAATCGTGTAGATCGTTACGTGTTCGTAGGTTAAGATTCAAATCCCAGGCACATATTACACCATCTCGCCCGGCAGAATACCTGAAAGAGTCAGCGGATTTGTTCTATTCAAACCCCTCCGCATAAACCGGGTGACGAAAGTGGGGGGGTGTAGCACTTCGTTCAGGCAATAGGACAACGGTAGTGTCGTGGTCCATTATCGAATAAGGAATATTGCAAGATGTACTCACAGGACCGAGCTCGTGGTATCAACAGCAAGGCCATTCACACCCAGCCTGTGACCGCCGGGTGCATCTGGTGGTGACAGCACTACCCGCAAGTACTAGTCAGTGAGTTGTCCCAGAAATATAGATATATCAAAGTTCGGCACCCTAGCACTCACCATAGCTGACCCGTTGGGTTGACTTCCTAGCCATGCAGAAAGCGCAGCTCAATACTGTACTACTCGGCCGTTATTACGGTCCGGCGTCGGCAATACCCACGAAGGTTAGTGACCGGCACTTGTGCGCAAGATAACCAGAGTTGCTCAGTTGGCAAAACAGCCGGAAGCCATGAGATTGAGCCTGGGTACGTTTAACACGGAGATGGAGAAGTGAGCGATCGCTTTGTTACCGTTGCTGCTGTTGGTTTCATGAGAGTCTCGTATAACTGTTAGATGTTGGATCCAGCGAACATGCGGAAGCAGTTGAAACGCTAAATTAGCCGCGCGATAGCTCTTATCATGTCACATGATCAACGAAGATCCATCTATAAATAGATGTCTATATGTTTGAAAATAATAATACAGCAAGTCAGCTCCAATGAAATGGGAAGGATACTGCTGGGCTCCTACAGAGGCTCAGACTGGAGCTCCTGTTCGGCGCGGCGGCCCTCCATCAAGTTCCATGCTCTCTGGTAGCTTCCAAGGAAAATGGCTCCTCCAATTCCAATCCAAGCGACCCGAGGCCCGATCCCTTTCCAAAATGCGCTAGCGCCTTCATCTCTCCATATCCCTTTGACTATGTCCCTAACTCTGACTTTTCCCATACCTGACTCAGTATTCCCACCACGCCGGGCTAGCATTACTCGGGTTTTAACGACATCTAGTGGTGTAGTCAGCCCGGCTGATATAGCTCCGGCAATACTTCCAAAGAATGCACTCGACATAGCAGATACACCCGTCGTTTTATCACTTGGGTCATTTTCCTTCTTCCAGGTAGCATACGCATCTTTCATCCCTTCCCACATGGTGAACTGTAGGATAGTAAAAGGGATTTCTCGAGCAATTGTGATAGAAGTTCCTCGGTATAATTCACGGACAACCAGAAGTGGCCCCCCGTTTCCACTGCGCAGAGAGAGTATATCCTTAAGGGCTAACAAAGTTGAGCCTCCAAAGAGTCCCGCTTGGGCTCGTTGTTTTATAACTTCGGTCGGTACGCGAACGGCACAGGCAGCAATTTCGCCTAGGGACGATGCGACGGAGTGTGTAAGGAACGTATGCTGCCATGTCACGGTTGAAGATGAGGTAGTTGGGGGTAAGAAATATCGTTTTACGCCATCGTAGACAACAAAGAAACTCGCGGCGGATGGAGCGGACCCAAGCAAAACTGAGGGTAAACCAGCATATATTCCGCGAAATGTCTGTCGTAAAACCTTTAGGCTACTAGTACTCGCATTCAATGAACCTCCGACTGAAGAGCTAGGTGCCCTATGTCGAGCTTGCTGGAGTCTAGTCTTGATAGTATCGAGGGGGAAAAGAGAGACGTCTACGGTTAGACCTGCTGCTGCTCCAGCCTATGTAATGAAAAGTCCAATCAGTTTTTAGATCATTATCGAGTAGTTGATATACTCACCAGAAGGGACCTAGTCCACAGAGCCGATTGGGTCGCGTGCGACTCATCCTTCTGGCCTGCCATTGAATCTCCAGGGCTCTCAGTAGTCGATTATTACAATAGCAGCCCTGTACCAATGTTCATGTTGCCTACAACATAGTAAGCAGAGTGAACATCTAAAGCAAACAGTCCTTGTCTACCGTTGAACCCTCTCTCCAGCCGATTTGGTGATTTCGAAGTTTTCTTGTTCTTGAGATTTTGCCGGAATTTAGTTAGCCGCTGATCCGGCCAAGGAACAAAAGGGGTCAAAGTTTACAGCCGGCCCTCTAGAAAAGAAAACATCATTGCCTGGGCTCAAGCTACGTACTTACTTTATGACTTCTTTCTTATAATAACCGATAAAGATCCCAGGTTGTAGCAAGTTATACGACAGTTAGATACCGCCCTTCACCAGGTTTCATGGATTGCCCACGCGGGCGGTTAAATGCCCGCGCGACCTTCCTGAACTTTAGTCATGGCGAATTATATTAAGCGCGCGTGAAGGTAGCAAGTGGGCGCGCTTGTGAGGGCATGTTTTTGGCACGTGATATTCAAATATCTGCTTAGTCACCATGAAAATTGGTCTTTAGCGTCAAAGAGAGAGACGTCTTCAAGGTCTCTAATAATGGTCCGATAGAGCTGTATTAATACCCTTTTGCTCTATGGAGGTTCTTAGTCCAGGGTTTAGGTTTCTGATCTATAATGGCTTCTAGCAGGAGCATAGGGGCACTTGCGTCGCTACCAATTGCTCCTCTGGAGTTCTACCATGCCCTAACTGGGCTATGGGCAACCTGGCAAGGGGCTAAACATGTACCTCTACAACGAATAGGTGTGTCACTATTATTACTTTGAGATGTATTGATGGATATACCTTACGGGTTAATATATGGAAATTCTGTTCTAATGAGCATTATTTAGGTCTTGCTGTGAGTGGCGGAAGTGATTCAATGGCTCTAGTCTACCTTTGCAGCCAATTAGCCTCACAGGGTTTCATCCCAGGCCTGGACATAAAGGCCTATATAGTGGATCACAAATATAGACCAGAAAGTTCACACGAGGCCCACTCAGTTGCAGATTGTGTGGAAAAACTAGGTAAATCTTCTAATGTTACTCCAGCCATTATCGTGCTAATATCATCTTCAGGCGTTCGGTCCAAAGTTCTTACCTTGCAATGGCCGGACGGGGAGGCTTTGACGAAAAAGGGGTTTGAAACACAAGCCCGAATGCTTCGTTATCAAATATTAGGCAAAGCTTGTACAAAGGATGGTGTTAAGGCCCTGCTCTTAGGACATCATCAAGATGATAACGTAGAGACTGCCCTTATGCGCGTATCTAAAGGCCACAGGAAACTTGGTCTGGTTGGCTTCGATGAGATCGCTCCAATTCCAGAGTGCCATGGGTTATATGGAGTCAGCAAGAGCGGATCAGCCACATCTCTACAGGACATCCTAAGAAGCGCTACTATGGACGGGACAATATCGTACCCATCCTCCGAAATACCACCCCGCTCCTTTAACTCGAACACAGGAGAGATGAAAGTTTCTACTGGCGGGATTTATCTTTTCCGTCCTTTCCGTTCTTTCTCAAAATCACGGCTAGTAGCAACCTGCCAGGAAAACAATATACCATTTGTGTCAGACGCCACGAATGAAGATCACACATTTACCATCCGCAATACAGTACGACGGCTTTTGGAATCAGAAACCTTGCTTCCGCGTGCCTTACAACGGCCATCCATACTGTCACTTGTGGATAAATCGCGAGAACAGACCGAAAAATTCCGGGAGCTGTGCGAATTCCTTCTGAAGAATGTGGAAATCCTCAACTTTGATACCCGCTTTGGTACCATGGTCATTAAAATGCCGCGGATATCTGATCTTCCTAGACATCAAAGAAAAGCGGTTTATGAACGCATCTCACTTCCAGATGGAATACGAGATGTTTACGCATCAGTGTTGCGAAGTTTATGCGACATTATATCACCATACCCAGATCGATGGAGCCCATTGTCACAATTTCGCAACCCTGCTTGCAGAGCGTTTTTCGGTTCAGATCCATCTGGCATGAACGGCACCGTTTTTACTGTAGGCGGAGTGCTATGGCAGGCCGTAAAACAAAAGACAGCACCAGAGTCCACCTCGAAATCATTTGTCCCGAGTCATCCAAATCTTCCTGGCGATCTACAGCTTTGGAATCAAGATTTTACACCATTTGCCGACAAACAAAATAATGTTTGGCTTCTATCAAGGCAGCCTATGCGCTCAGGCAAAGGCCAGTCTACAGTAAATTTTTCATTAACAATACCGGCTTACTCAGCAAAAAGAACTAGAGACGGAGTTATATTGGGGAAGGTAGGCCAAAAGGGCCGGGAGCAAGGTACCGGGAATTTTATCCATACCGCATGGACCGACTGGAAACTCTGGGATAACCGATACTGGATCCGCATACGTGGACGCGCTAGCGTTCAGCAATATGATCGTTCCCAAGAAGACCCAGAAAGCGGTAATAAGCCTTGGGGGAAACGAAGGCCGATCTTTCCCAAATATTCGCCCAATTCTGAAGTACAAATCCGCCTCCGCCCTCTTGGGCCAACTGACTTAATTAGAATCCGAAAAATACTAGGTGGAGCTATGAAAAGGTCCTTGGATAGAGACATGTCAAAGGATGATTTTGTCAAGGATGGGGGGCGTGAACCTCGTACCCAGTCTCGCCGAGCTTCGCAGGACTCAACATTGGCTAACTATTTGGCTTCTCGAAATCCATTACCCACAACTACAACATTACCGACAATGCCGGCATCTGTTTTACCTGTGGCACCATCTGTGTTTCAAAAACTCCTAGCAGCTCTAGCTCCTGGGAAAATTCGATTTTCTGCCCCTATTTTAACAGATGTGATACCAGAAAATGGGGGTGGCGAAGACCTAGAGAATATGCAAGAGCAGCTATTGGGAATGCCATCTGTACCAATGTCCTTTCGGACCAAAATACGTGTAAGAACCCCCATTTCTGACGTTGAGAGTGGAAGAGTTGATTCTACCTTCGATGTGCCTTGGAGTGTGGAATGGGAAGTGAGATATAAATGGATAGATCCAACTACCATCCGGACTGTAGCCTGGCAAAGTACTTAGATACTGTATGTGAGGTATTTGGATAATTCATGTGGGATATGATTCGTATAAAGTAGCCTGTAAGCTTTTTGTATAATATACTGCTATTAGCCAAAGTGAACAGATACCTCAGGATAGAGCACGGACAATACTTCAAATCTAATAGTCATTAAGACATACAATCTAACAATCATATACAGAGGTAAACAAGAAATGAATAAGCCTCCTGATGGTGACATTGATCCTAAACCCATATAATATTACCCAGTTCTAGCCTTTTGAACGCCAATTCTGACATATCAACTAGCGATGTGGAGTACCTCTAGGCAATCTTTCATACATATCTCTTGAGAGGATAATGTTTTGGGCTGCGCAGCGTATATTAACTAGAATGATCACCTATTTGTTGTGCTTTCAGCCCGCTGATTTCTCTTTTCAATCGCATGTTCTCTTTTTTCACCCGAGCCACTTCATCAAGTGCATCCTTCAGTTGATTTCGAAGCGCCTCTTCGCCAGCACCGAGTCGAATTTCCCTGGCCATTTTACTTAGTTCATTATTGAATCGCTCATATAATGCTTCGTTCTCTTTGCCAGCTTCTCGGTAGAGTTCATCAAGTTTCCGCGCTCGCTTTTCAGAGACAAGGAGGGAATTCTCCAAATCGTTTTCAAGGCTTGTTGCCCTCGCACCAAGGTTTGAAGTTAATGCAGAGAGTTTGCTTTCAAGGGCACGAACCCTCTGTAGCAGCGCGTTGGATGAGGTAGGGGTAGGAGGCGAGGTAATGGGCCTCGCTTGGGAGCCAGCCGATGACAATGGCCGTCTTCTAGATGGGGAGGTTGAAGTTAACTCTTCAGTGACGGATGCAAGCTCAGCCTGCAAGGATGACTCCGCAGAAATCATAGCTTTTCGTTCATTTAGCACTCGCTCGCGTAACTATGGAGACGTTAGAGATCTTCTAGACCAATATAAGATAGTGAATAGACACATGCCTTCTGAGGTGTTTGCATCCGTAACTTCTGTGTTTTGGGCGGTGAATTTGACTGTGCTTGGAGTCTACGACCGTAACCATCGCTGCTACTTGGTCGTGTGGGTTTCTCACGCGGCCCAGCAATTTTTGACGGGGTTCCCGCCCGGGTACTATCTGCTCTCCTTCGAAGTGGCATAGATATCGTTGAGGCATGCGGTCTCGTATTCGTTGACCGATCCGCCAGTGTTGTTCGAGGAGATGGGGGAGGTACATTTTCCTTTAGATTTGCATTTATTTGACGCACAGGAGACGCTAGTCTGGTCGGAGGAGTATTTTGAATAGGCGTGTGCTGCGCGCTATGAATAGGTAGTCCAAGGGATTTAGCCGGTGGTGTTGCTGGTTCGGGAGTTTGAGCGGAGGCAAGGAGATTTGGAGGTTTTTTGAACTCTCTGTTAGCAAATAGGGGTGCTACATCGGCGGTTGGAAGATCCTTCAGATCGGAGAGTGAGCTTCTTCTCTTTTTCCTTGGCGTACTGGTTTTCCCTACGACGGGGTTTTCAACAATGGAAGCGAGGGAAGGTTGTGTGTTGCTATTGGAGCTAGTTGGGCGATTGATTTCTTCCTCTTGAGCAAATATTGTCTGCATAAGAGGCCGATCTCGAGATCGAGGCCTGAGAAGGCTATGCAGACGGCCGTCTGTATCCGTGGATTTAGATCGCATCAGTGAATTTTTGGAGGGCAAAATATCAGAATCCGAACCACCTTTTGATTTGCTCAAAGATCGAATAATTGAGCTGACTTTACCCTCCCCGTCTTTGATACTATTCTCCCGACTCAGGCCGAACCCGAAGCGCTTTCTAAACGATGAAGCATTAGAGCCTATTGACCCAGGGGCTAATAGAGCTCGATTTGCTTCCTGTGCAAGATGTCCCTCAGATACCGTAGGCCCCGATTCATCAAATAATCTCTCAAAATCTTCAACAAGCCTGTCAAGGAGGGGTATTGTTTTCCTTGCATCGCCGTCCTCAGTGAGAATCTCCGAAAATACATCCGTTAACGCACCCCTATCACCGTCATTTCCAGAGTCATTTAGTAATTGTGCAAGCAGCTGTACCAATGCTGTGAGCGCGCGGCGAGTCTGCGGGCTCATCTCTGAAAGGAATTCATGGAAATAGTCTTCAAAATCCCCAGGAAACAAGGCGTCAAACTTAGCTAGAAGGATCAGTAAAGAAGCTTGAGATATTATCGGGCCGAATTTTTCTTTCCAGGCCTTGTCGAGGAAGGTCTCAAAAGCAACTATCAGCATATCAACAGGGGACTCTGCAGCAGCTTGAAGTTGACTTGGATCTTCTAGGAGGATATTGTAAAGTTCATTCACTCCCGCTGTATCAACACGGTCTCGGGACCTTAGCACGCGGCCGACAATGTTCCCACTTCTCGAACGAATTGCAAGTATATAAGCGGTGAAAGTCTCTTCCAATTGCTCAAGCGGACTTGCGGTCCCATCGGGGATAGTTATACCCCCATGCACAATTTTTCGCGGAGAGACATCGTCTAAACTGGCATCTGATGATTGGGGTTGGAGGGATGGGACGGTGTTAGATAAAGCCGGAAGTGATGGAAGTGATTTTGAGGGTGTATGACCGAGGCTTTTAGGTTGACCGGAGCCCCAAAGGGTAGATAATAGCTTCGTTGGGGATGGTGGCCGGAATGCCCTGGACCCCTTGGCAACACCTAAAATATGTTGAGCAATAATACGCAGAATATTGAAGTTGCTTTGGAGAACTGTTCCAGTAAGTAAAGGGTTTTGAGGTTGAGAAAGCGGGTGAAGCAACGCCGTAACTAAGAAATTGTTTTAGTTATTGTATCTTAAACAGGAGAGGAATGCTTACTTACTTCGTTTAGACACGATCGCAGTAAAATCTTCAGCGGAAAATGTGTCACTGGATGAAACACCGACGACAGAGTCGAAGTCCATTCTAAACCTGGAGTCTCCTAGCATAGGGAAAATCGACGCAACAATTTCTATCTGGCCAGAATTTAGCTGGTCTACCAAAGTTTCTTTTGTAGCATCCACAATTAATTTGACGCTAGACGGGAACTTTGGAATATTAGGTTCTGTTTTGTCGTGTTCGAAAACACAAATGAGTGCTCCCAAATTGCCAAACGCCCCTTTTGCGGTATGAAGAGACCATTTCCCTTGTTCTCTATAATGCTCTGGGAACCTTCCTTCAATCTTAGCTTTAGTGACCTCTTCAATAAGCTTTGTAGCCTTTCCTTCGTATGTTGATATAAGCTCAAGGGTGAGAACAATGTTTTGAGAGCGCCCGTGTTCATACTGAGGAAATTTCTCGGCCGGGGTAAGATATAGGATGCGTCCACACTTAGATTGCGAGCAACGAATGCTGGTAATGGGCATGAGTTGACCAAACGTGAGATCCGATGGAGGTGGAAGTTCCGTGCCATCTATATCAATATCCGCTCTAGCTTTGTCAAGGTCAGCGCAAAGCCCACGGGCTGTCCATTTGCTTTCTGGGTGTTTAGTTAGGAATACTAAACAATCGGCAAAGAGTAGCAGTATGGCTGGTTGGCCTCTTGTCCCTGACGAGCCTGACCGGAAAGGAGGTAGCAGGGTATACACATCAGCAGCAGTGATTAAACGCCCATCAGGCACGATAGATACTGGCCACTCATGGACTATCTTCCGCAAGTGTGTCAGAGTCTGTGAGTGATCCGACGCTGAATATGAATCTAGAGAACATATTTCTGTGATCGTATCACGCGCCTTAAGCAGCAATCTCACAGCGGGGTGCATTGATGGAAGAGATCCAGTCATAGTATCAATTAAGAGGCTGTATCGCGGAAGACGCTGGATTGGTTCCATGAGCAATGAACGCATTCGTTGTTCTCCAGTCTCATATACCCGCTTAGAAAAAGATGAATTCTGATTGCCCAGAAAAGAATTGAGGAGAGAGTAGAATCCCGTATGGGCATGCATGTATTGTCCATACGGCTTAGAGAAACGTGGAAGCCAGTCAAGCAAGCATTGAGCGAAAGCAATCGCGCCCAAAAGATCATTTCGCCGACCGGTGGTAGGATCACGAGGGAAAGCTGACGGGTCAAGCATGGTATCTTGCGATATATCTTCTAGAGCATCTTTCTCTGTTTCCTCAAGGACAAGGCGTATGGCATCCAGAAATCCCATATTCACCTCAAGGATCTCGTTAAGGCAAGGCGGAAACAGCTTGGCTAATGCTGATTCATCTGGGCTTGTACTCGTCGGTGCTTTCGCCCTTGCCTTTTGGCAAAACTCATGTGCAACATTATGGACGAGATCATACATTTTATGAACGTATCTTTCTTCCGTATCGACAAACTCGCACATGGAGAGTCGGAGGGCCTCTTTCTGTGAAGCGGAAAACAATTTAGATTTGCTCAGATTAGAAGGTTTCGACGGAGCTCGGCGCAACTTTGATGTCGGTAAAAAAATAGGTTCACCCAGAGCATCTACTAGTGGTGCTAGCTTACCGAACCGGTCAGCAAACTTCTCGTTGATGGGAGATTCGATGCTGGATTCATTATACCCCAGCAGGGACTGGCGCGACGATTCACCCAGTGGGGTTGGAACCGTTATAGTGCCCGCAGGGACGACAAGATCAATGTCAATCCATGGAACAACTCTATCTGCGAACGCATCTTTCAGGTCGCGAACCACTGCTGCTGGATTCTCCACTTTTTCCATCTTATCTGCGAGATCCGCTGCATGCAGCTCATCAAAGAACTGCAGCGGTTTGGAGCTTGGTCTCCCTGACTGTGCGAGTGCAACCAGCTCACTCTTCACAGAATCTGGAATCTCTGAGAAGTATTTGAATAAACAGACCGCCAGTCCTCGGTAGACCTCGTCGCCTTGTCTTTCGCGTGGTAGATGATTTACAGCTGCATACAGGGGAGCAGCTGGCGACACAGTGATGCGCGGATAGCTCTGTAGCCCATCTGCGGCGAAAATATGGACCTGGATGCGCGAGCTATTGAGAGTTGAGTTGGCCGTAGTTGCAGGCCCATGGAAAACAAATATCGAGGATAGGACCGGGTCGACTGCGTGGTAAAGAGCGAGCTGCTCGAGCGGAAGGCCCGCGCAAGAGCTCGCTGCGGAAGCCATAGCGACCGCTTCAAAGGGTGATGGAGAATCAAGGAAACAAGTGCGCTGCTTGTTTGTTCGGCGCGTTATCGCAAACTGTACGAAAGCAGCCCTCTTCGAATCTTGCCGTTAAAGGGGGACGCGGTGTCGCTTTTTCCAGCAGCTCCTTTTCGCAACCAACAATTTACCAGGCCTCTCCAGCCCTCCTGAAGCATATATGCGGTCTATCGTATTCTCTGTTCGTCAATCGATGTCTGGTGAGGCGAGACAGTTTTCCCGAACGCGGTGCTGCTCCCTTCTCACGTTGAAACTCTGCTGGCTGAGGGAGGGAGGGGGGGAGGTTCCCTTCAGGAGCACGTCATGCTAGCTGATGCACGACGGATTTTTGTCGCACACAAACTGAGATCCGGAAAACCATCCACGGTCTGTACTGCGCCAGGATAAGACGCCGTCGCGTTGGTTTTGAGGGAAGAAGCGTGTGCGGAGTGAGATCACCAATTAATTAGCCCATCGTAAAAGGAACGAACCACAAAACTGAGATCGATCTTATTATATTAAGCAGCGCCAGGCTGGCGATCGCTGATTGGCTGCGGCTGCGATAAGCGCGTTTCAGCCGAGCTCCACTACTAACAACCGCAATTTAACAATTTAACAATATCCACGATCACTTCAGAGTACAACCTAGATTTTGTACATCGACTGCTGCAAACGGTTACTTGACAATCTAACAGGCGTGTACAGAGTGCTTTTACGTCTTACAGCTACAGCGAGCTACTGAAGATCAGGCTGTACGCTAGCAACAAGCAAGGGAACCCAGGCCAGATCAACAGGTCGACGGAATACAGCAGGCGACGACGTCTTATGTCGAGTCGATCTGAATTGAGCCAGAAAAATAATAGATAGGGAATAAAAAAGTATGAAGACACATATCAAGTGGACACGCCCAAGAAATCAAATCCACCCTACCTTCTGCGAACATCTAATCGGATGTGTTAACAGGTGCAACGCGTTGCGTAATGAACAACAAAATACCATAGAATCATATACCAAAATATGGTGGACATAACCAGAGTGGCAGTGTGAAATGGCTGAATGAACTTCAGGTGCTTGCTAAAATATAACACACGTCATGGGGGAGCAATCTTTAGCCATAAAAGTACGAAAAGTGCCCCTCTCAGTCCCAGCCCTATTTCTAAAGGTCAGCGTTGGGCCGATACAGATACACACACACACAGTGCAAATAGGCCAATACCAACCTTCTCCTTCAACTTGGCATGATATAGGGAATCCCTATCCTTTCTGGTGATATGGCTATCCCGGGAGCCTGCGGTGGAGAAAATGCTCCCTTCTTTCTTCTGAAACCTCGATGGGGGCACTTGTGCAGCGTCTTGTGAAGGATTCCCATCAGTGACACCACTTGCGATGGATGAGGTTGACAGTATCCCAACTTACCCCATTCTTTGCTCATCCGTCTGTCTCTTGGTGGCGATGATCCTAGGGAGGACCCAAGAGCTGAACCCTCACTTCCCTTACGCTCAGGTACGGAAGTGGTCTTGCCAAAACTGTCCGATCCTCGTCTGTCGGCAAAAGGGTCGCTGGAGTTTTCCATCGTTTCTCCAGCAGTTTGGTATTGATTTGTTTGATTGGCTATTCCATACCATAAGGTGAGCCTTGGGTATTCTTGCTGGGTGGAACGACAGGTAATGACTTACGATCAACGCCCATCTGTTGACCAGAAGATGCCATGGGGCCTGCTTGGCGGATTTTTAACGTGAGTGAAGATGAATATACTTGACAAAGATGGTGGAGGATAACGTTATCCTAAGTGAACAGTGAAGATAGATTACTTGTTGGATGCTAGGTGTAATAGACAGGAGGGTCCTCCTATTTATATCTAGCAAAATTGAGGTAAAGAGACAAGTGAGATCATAAAGTGGACCAAATGCTGCTGGTTGGTAAGAATCAAAAGAAGGCAAAAATGCCAACTTGGATGGCGAGTCAAAGAAGCCCTTATATACAATTCCACATAAACCTTCCTGGCGATGAGAAGTGGTCGATCTCACATGTATTCGGACACAACGTATGTACTTTCTGAGGCGAGGGGTGCGTACCTCGACGGAAAGTTACTTACTACCACCCGGTTCAAGGGGTTGGTGATGGTACTTTGGTGAATTATTGTCGCCGTTTAGCGTCTGTCCTACGATAGAAGCGAATGGCAGTCATCTAGAACTCCTGCACAGCCAATATTTTTCAGCTCCGCTGTCTGCATGTAATGGCTGCAGACCGCGAATAATGCCAATAATGCCCTGGTCAGATATGGCTTGGATTGTATATATGCGTCCAAGGGGCTTATTTTGCTGAGGGGTAGGCAAGGAATCGTGGAGCAGCCACGGTCTAGAGTTCGATTCATCCAATACTCGAACCTTCCCACGGTCTCCATCTTTAGTTAAGTTGGAGCTGAGTTTGGATTTCAGGTATCTTGTATGGGTGTGGATCCTGATAGTATAATGCGGAGTGAGGGGTGTCATAGCAAGAAGACAAGGAGCGATCTGCCAATACGGCCAAGGAGCGTCCAAGGCCTGGCAATCCTTGACGAGAACCTTGTCCAACAACGAGGGTCCTTGTTCTGCATACGCTAGAGGACTGTTAAGGAGTTATGTGGCTAGTGGTTCGAACGCTGTGACACTTATCCCCAAAGTGGCGAATTGGGGCAGTGAATAGATGTATCCATGTCACACCACCTATTTCTACACTGCTACGTACCGCAACCGTTTGACCAGGAGAATTTGTAAGGCGGCAGCAATGCTGCAGAGCTTCCTCCTGTGGAGCTTACTTCGCTTGTCTAGCCTACTTGATGGGCTAGAGGAACTGGCACATCGCGTGCTCGCGTGGCCTGCCGCAAAATACTGACGAGAATTCATCTTTGGTCTTCAACGGCAGCCTCTTTGTTCTTTGGATACGTTATTGCGTAGGATGGCCATGGTCGGGTGATATGGGACACTGGAGACTCGTATATGATTCTAAGCTAGCAAGCCACGCGAAAGACAGGGCGAAACTCCACTCTTGTCGAGAATTTGACCGCGAAAATATGACTCTATGCAAGCATTCGATCGACAGATTGCAGGTCCTTCCCCCCAGACGGAGAACAGGGAAGAACTGAAGAATAACGCATTGTTACTGCTGACCCTGGTCCCTGCATCATCGTCGTTGTCGTCATGATAACCTGTCGGTACCTAATCACCTTTTAAGTGTCAAGTGGTATGCAAACGCGAGGACATCGTCGTCTCCTGTCATCAAGGCGGTTTGACGCCGTTAACCTGTTCAACTAATAACATTATTAACATTATTAACATTATTCACTCTGCCGTAGGACGGAGGAGGAGAACTCTTGCTGCTGATGAGACACCTGGCCCCTTCCACTTCGTGTTCTAGCCCACAGTCCGGCCCCGGTCATACCTAGACTATTCTGCGACATTGAGCACAGCAGCACTCCAACTTTTGCTGCGGGATGTTCGTATTTGCTTTAGCCGACGTTGAAAGAGAAGAACAAGAAGGAAGAAAGAAGTAAGAAAATAAGACTTTCCCTTTTCGGCGTATGTGGGGGGCGAGGGCCATCAGGTGGCCTATGCATATCACGGGGTAAACTTTAGATAAGATTTCCATTAATAATCATATCACGTGAAGTCACGGGACATGTCTAGGTTCGCCATTCCCATAACTTAGGTATTCATCTCTTTCGAATCACAAAAGCTGTGTGTATACATACTCGTACAAGATGTACGGAGTTACGTATGTAAACCAGGAACCACAGGGAAGCAAGCTTTTTGGGAAAATCGCCCTAGAGCTACCGAGCATTTCCATAACGTCAAGCCGAAGTTTCCTTGACCCTTGAGTCTTTTTCTTGCTGCAGTGGTCGTGTGGTGCTTCCTGCACAGCCACAGCCAATCACCCAGTAGCTTGAATTGATTTCCCGGCTGAGCGCTCTGCTTTCAAATAACCAAGTTAAACTATAAATCCGGGTTGCTAAGGTGGGCATGTGATGGTACAGATAGGTCGGCAACCCCTTGTTGGCCGATGGTGATCTATGGTGATCTGGACGAATATGTAGGACCTGCGGTTGCGTCAAGCTTCATTATCCATGGTGGTGGTTATGACCCTGGTTAGGGCTGAAGCAATACGCAATCCTCGCACAGGGTTTAAACACATAGAAATTTGAAATGTTTCCCCGCTAGCTATCTAACTAACCAATACAGAAAGGATGCACATAGTTAAGATCGTTGATGTGTGTTTTTTTTTACTCCACCTCATCGTCAGGTTCAGCTGCTGCGGGCTTAGTCTGTCCCACTTCTGTGTCTGCATTGCTGCCTGCCTCCTTTGGCACATCAATACTCTGGCCTTTGCTACCAACGGAATTTGGATCACTTCGCTGTTTCGCCTCGGGCCGCATTGTGCCACTGGCCCCATGTCTGGAAGGAGATGCGTCTGCAGGGGTGGTGGGAAATATCTCTCCAAAGAGGTTGGGGAGGAAACGGTCAAGCCGCTTTTGCGTTTCGGTCCATATCTTCGCCTTTTCAGGGTCTTTAGTCGGTGGTGCGACCAAATATCCTCCATTTGCCATTACTAAGAGAATGTTTTTTAGGCTCTCAGGCACTGCCTCTTCCTGTAAATTATGTTAATTATGTTAGCCAATGTTGTACAAGATTGATAGTCACAGCCAAAGGGGACGTAGGGCAACGAGTTATCACCCAGTAACATTCCTCTGCCGAAAATTAAAGAGGAAAGTGAAGAAGTTAAAGCAGAAGAAGCACTAAGGGCAAAAAGAAAGGGGGAGCGTATGTCTTACAAGGCTATCTCCTTGCCCGCTATTCATCATTCGATCCAAGATATCCAGAATTCTCAGCCACAGGTCCAGCATGCCCTCCCCCCATTCGGAGAGGAGGACGAGGTAATGTAGGAATATTTTGCAGAGAAGTGTGGCGGCCTGAACTCGCGTCTCGCTCATACCTAAGGGGTCGGATTGGTAGACCTCTGGTTTGAGTAGCTCTAAGATCAGTGGGAACAGCACTTTCTTGAAAATTGTAACCCATTTGGTATGGTCTGTCGACGCAAGCTCCGAAGACAACAGGGATCGTTGAAGTGCAGACATGGTTTGATTGCGAATATCGCGGCATGGATTGAGGCCTTGGGTTGTGAGTGCATTGAATATTGGGGACCAATATGCCGCCCACGCTATTGCGATAAACATATTAGTTTTGTCGTGTATGAATGCGGCCTGTGTGTATCACGGGTGTTTTACCTTCAGTTTTCTCCAGGTGAGACTGTTGAATAAGTGCGGGTATCCGGCTCGTAATTCGGTATATCACCCCGATAGCTTTAGTTCCACGGATAACATATGGATTATCCCTATCTCATAAGATCAGCACGGGAAGTCTACCAAAAACTATTTGTAATAAAACACATTCTTACCGAACCCTCACTTGTCTCACTGGCTTAGGTCGACGGAGAGCCATCTCCCGCTTTATCTCCCTCACCGTAGCAATCCCCCCAGCTGTTGCAAAATCATTAAGGAGATTTACCGCAGCTTCGTAATTGTCTGCTGTGATCACCGGGACAGTTGATTCAACAATGCTCTGCAGTAACTCGAAAGTCATTTGCGCCGCCTCTTGATGTTGGTGTAACCTCTGCAGGATAGACCAAAAATCTGGCGACATGCTAAGCTCATTTTTCAGTGCCTCAGATTCGTTGATGCACTGCAGTAAGCCCGTGACAACTGGTGTTGCTACTAGTTCTAGAATAGGTTGGTCAAAGCTGGAAATTATATGCAACACTACTGGAGGCCGCATGAAAGATTGTTCCTATAAGTTGAATCAGCAATCAGCACTCACGACATAGAACACAAAGAACAAGTTATAGCATACATAGCTGTGGCGGAGGAGAGTTAAAAGGTAATAAACAGCCCGAGATAGAGTAAGTGGGTATATGTTTTTGGCATCCCTTGCTATGTCCTGGAGAACACTGGTCAATTTGTCCCCAAGATGTTCTATTGTACCCTTATCTCGAAGGGTAAGAATAGTTGCAAGTTCGAGAATGTATAAAACCCCAGGCTTGTACGCGGGTTTATTCTTGTCAACCTTACTACCCTCCGACCTATGAGGGCTCGGTGCGGGGCGTTCGGGTTTTACAACAATGACTGCGGCGCCAGTGTCTGGAAGCTTGGACAGCAAAGATTCAACAAATATCACCACAGTGTCGAGTGGCATATTCCTACAAATGTTAGAGGATTTTGCAAATAAATATTGAGGTAAGGAATGACTAACTTCAGATTGGTGAAAAGTTGCGCTATATCGCACGCATTAATGCAGTCAACGGTGCACAGCGTGTTCTCAAGTTCTTCGTCGGACGGCTCTGGCGGGTCATCGGCAGCGTAACTTGAGAGATAGGACGTGAATGCAGAGAGTAAACTGGTATCGTTTTCTCGGTTATCTCGATCGATAACCTGGGACGGTGGTTGAAGGGGTATAGGGGGCATATCAAGTACTTTGAAAAAGGAATCGAACTGGGGGATAAGAGAGTTAATGAATAGATTGTGAAGAATTTTGATGATGTGGTCCCATCCGTTCTGTTGTATTATAGCTTCATTGCCGACAATAACACGGAATAGGACTGCAGTTGCAAGCTGCGCTCTAAAGTCCCTGCCCAGCCGGACAGCAAGCTCGCTCACCATAACACTTTTCTTTCCAGCTTGTATCTCAGTGTTGAGGGTAGTATTTGAAGGGGTTTCTGAAGCCAATGTGCTGATGGAACTAAGACAATAGATGATGCGATCCATGACGTTTTTCAGCTTATATTTCGCCGCAATCTGAGCGCATTGATCGAAGCCAATGACCACCCTTGAGAAAACGGCATCATCCGATGCTGACATGAAAACGTAGGAGAGAGTCGCAATGACTGGTTGCCACGTTGCTTCAAACATGTCGGCATCGAAAGCGTTCGTTTCGCAAAGTGACAAATTCCCTGCCGTCTTTGCTTTGAGAAGAAGCTCTTTCCAAGCAAAGTCAAAAGCCTGTTTATTCTCATGTTCATCCGGTAAAATAATCTCACTGTTCCGGATAGACGAGTAGATATCCTGAAGGTACTCAGTTGAAAAGTCCTTTCCGTTATTGACACCACGAAGGTTTCTCGTGAACCCCTCATATGTCATCTTATTTTGAGGCTTGATATTCGGGTTGTACATATCGGTATTGAGGAGAATGATGGCATATGTCAAGACAAAGAGTGAGTCCTTATCCGCAATCTCTTTAGGATGAACAGCGTCAAGATATTTCTCTGAGAAAACAGTAACGATCCTCGCTATCAGCGGAGCTTCACCAGGCAAACGTAAAGACCCTAGCAGCTCTCTCAAAGCTTCGACGACATTCTTTCCCTTAAAATCCTGCAACCCAATGAAAGCATCTAGCAATGCTTCATTAGATCTGTGGGACAGATAGTCACCGAGTTCTCTTTTAGACACCCTTGTGGTTCCTTTCAAGAACTTGGCAACAGCCAAGGGGTCATCAGGATTTTGTATTATGCCTTTAGAAGCAAGGAATGCGATGCCTGCCTTGGGCTTTTCATTAAACTTTGCAGTTCCCTGAATGATGATTTTCTTTTTCTCGCGTTGACTTCGTAACCGCTTCAGGTCGGGATGGTCGGCGCTTGGTGGTTCCTCATCCAGCCTGTCCGCCAGAAATTGGACATATCCTAGAAGCGCATCAAGACAGAGAGGGGGAACATTGGTAGTGCTCCAAGTTGCAGAGTCTGGAAATGCATTTCGGGATAATAAACCAACCATATCTTCACAAAGATCCGCTTGATCAACATCACAGTCATAGTTCATGAAAAGCTCGGCCATGAAATTCGGGATTCTAACGAGAGCTCCGATGCTCTCAACCATCGCTTCTCTAGCTTCTGGCTTTCTAGAGCCCCCTTCCATGCCAAGCTTCTGGCGATCCTTAACTGGAACAGGCGTAGATCTGCCACTTCCGGCCTGCGAAGGTGAGGGCTTCACCAATTTAGGAGCTCGTGGAACTCCGGCGTAAAGAGATGGATCTATACCTTCTTCTCTGGGTATCTCAACCCTCGGATGTAGGCAGGCCACAAGATAAGAGAGGAATAACTCCTGCTGTAGCTTCAAAACGGGGCGGCACGTTGCAAGCAATGTCCCAGCTACTCTTAGTGAGCTATTCAAAATGACGATATTGTCTGACCTAATCAATTGGAATAAGTGCCGACATAGATCATCCTTTGCCAACTGGGCGAGACTTGGATGTTTTGCTATCGAGGGTCCTGAGACTTCCAAGGCCACATCTATAATCCTGAGAGACATTACCCTCATTGCGTCTGTGTGTTGGGGGTTATGCGGATCTAACAAGTCAATAAGCACGCGGAACAGCTCGCGGATTGAGGGTAATCCATAAGGTGCTATTTCCTTTTCTATATTTTCGTATGAATCTGCCTGCACTGCAGGATTTGCTCCTGCTTCCTGGGTGGGTATACTTGTCGCGCTATCTCCGCTAACACGCTCTTCCTTTTCGGGGTTTGTGGTATCAGTTCCTAAACTCGATGCATGCTGGGATGCCACAGTCTCCCCATCAACAGAAGGATCCATCTTGAGGTTACTTGGGGTTTCCTCCACGTTTTCATTCTCGGCCCCCCCTGGTGACACATTGTTGACATCAAGCCGCGCAAGTCTCTGGAAAATTATTTGGCACATATTTATCATCGACATCTCAGCCGACCTTCGAAGAACTTCCGATAAACGAACTTGGCAGCACATACTCAGCCCGGTTTCCATCATCTCACACACACTCTCGTCTCCCAATAGTTCACCCTCTGGTCGGGACAACATCCCTTCCATAAGTTTCAGTATCCGAAGGAGGACAATCTCATCAGCAGCAGAATCGCTAGCTTCGAAACGGCAGTGTGTAATGGCAGCAGACAGCAACTGCAGTGCCACTGACAAGCGTGGAGAGTCATGGTTGATGATATTGTAAGCGAAGAATTTCGTTATAGCCGAAAGAGCCAGCGATGTTATCGGCGCCGAGGTCGAAGAAGAGCGGATAACTTGCAAAAACGGATGCAACAGACATGGTGTATCGAACAAGCGTATATCTTTACAGTCCTTTAAGTCTACCCGGAGACGAGTAAACGCTGACATCAACGGATTATCCTGGAAGCTCTTGCCTCTCCTTCCCCTCAGTCCCCATCTGCCTGCAAGTGAATATTCCCCTTCCGCGTCTGGTGCGCCAGATTTCGAAGCAGCATAGTTTTGGGTAGACTTTGAACCGAGTGAGATGCTCCCAGTGTTCATGGGAATCGAGGCCTCCCGGTCCAAACCCCGTGAGCTCACACCTCCGCCCAGGATTGCTGCCACGGACGAGTGAGCCCATCGGGCATGCTTCCGCATAGCCGACGTAACTGCGATGCATTCTGTCGTAACTAACGCAACGGGGTTAATGGCGATTGGTGCAGCGGCCCTCAACGGTGCTGTGTTGCGGTCACTGTTAACTCGCGCGTCGGGGAGGGGAGACGAGGTACGTTGCTGGAGTGGCAGGTCATGTAGCATATGCTGGCCATCATTACTATCTCTATCCAATTCAATGCTCATATTTACCCTATGGCGATTCCTCCTCCTGTGATATGTAGCAGAGGCCGTAACAATCTATATCTAACGTGTGTAAGTATTTGAATGAATGATAGACGCTAGGAAATAGAATCTCACAGGTATCAACTCTCAGGAATGACAGCTAGTATCCCATCCTCTGCGCGTTGAATTGTCTGGAAGCTGCTATATCCACCGGATGCCCTCACGAATGAGTATGCAGAAAGCGGGAGGCTTGTGCTGTTGTTGGCTGTCTTTTCTACCACGCTTCAGAAGTTAACAGGTAACAAACGCCTTCTAAGCTCTGGCTTGGTTTCTCCATTCGGCTTAGTGTGCAGCGCTCCTCATTGGACAGGCTACCGCAAGATAATTAAGCGCGAGGCAGAGAGTATGTAACCATTAAATACTAGATACTAGCGGCTGGACGTAATGATGATACGAGTTGAGTATATCGCCAGTGTTGATTTCTTTCTTTCTTTTTCTTGCTGGGAACTAGGTATAGGCCTGCTTTAGGGGTCGTAGTTAGATGCTTTGATATTTGAATATAAAATGTAGAGAAAAATCAAAAGCCACCACGCCAAACGCCAGAAGACCCAAGTAAACACCGTTTTCCCAGGCTCGCAAAAGAATATCCTCGAAATTGTAGTAATACAACTAAACAGGGGAGCAAGTATAGTAATGCATAGATATAATAGGGAAAAGTTGAAGAGAAAGTGGAAGGGACAGACAATCATTGAATGGCGTACCGAGCTGCACCAACAAACCAGATAGGAACCAAGTGAAAAGAAAGGAAAAAGAGTAGAATGCCAGTTGTAAAGAGCGTGAAATATGGTGGGGATAATGCTAGTAAAAACGGGAGGCGGGATTTCGCCAGGTGTAAGTTTAAATTGGTGAAAGTGTCCAGATATTTCTAGAAATAGGGTTATTGAGGAATTGATTGACCAGGCAAAGGAAACATTGCAAGATCAGATCTCGTCGTCCAGGTCAATAGCGTCGGGGTTGGCAGCAGGGGCGGCAGGTGCCACCGCCCGATTACCGCCTTCTGGGCCTGTACTGGCCGCAACGAAGCCAATTGGTGCTTGTGCTTGACGTTCTAAGGCTGCCATAGCATCGGCTGTCCCTTCTCCCTGGTTGGCGGCTTCGTTCACAGTGTCCTTTGTGATTTGCTTGCTGCGAGCAATTGCCTGCGAGGCAATAAAGTTGACATCGGTACTATATCCCTGTGGTTAGTTGTGTCTCGCAAAATATATGCACTGTATTGAAGGGTAAACTTACTTGTACTGTGCTTGGACGCTGCGTTTGATACGAAGCATCTCCTTGAAAGTATCTTCGTTACCATGTTGAACCTCAAATGCTTCCCATTTTTGCCAGAATTCTGAGTTAGTCCGGGGGTCACAGAACTGAGAAGCATGTCCGTAGATGGCTCTCGCGCGGTCAATCTCGCCTAGCCTGCGTTCCATCTCCGCAAACTTGAGACACATGTCCTTTGCCTCTTTGTCAGGCAAGGCTGCAATTGCTCGCTCGTAGATGGGCCGAGTCGACGTAAGCCCAAAGTTGGAAGCAGATTTGGTGATGTAAAAGTTGAACATTTCAGACCGATCCTCATCAGATACAGCGCGGGTAGCACGCTCGTATATTCTCATTGCATGGCGTGCTAGTCCTCTTTCCTCCTCAAGGTTCCCATACATGAGGTACAGAACTTTCGCAAATTTAGGCGGGCATCCATCCACAGCCTGCTCAAACAAATCCCGCAGTCGCTCGATGCCGATCTTGCGGTCCACGGCCTTCGTCAGGTACAGATTCCAAAGCTCAAATGCAACAGGATAGTTGAAAAGGTCGAGACCCCGTTCATATATCTTGAAGGAGTCTTCAAAATATTTGTGTTCTTCCAAAAGGTTCGCGTAGTTAACGACTGTTTGAGGAGTAGCAATACGTAACTCGAAAATCCGTTCGTAAACTTGTGTGGTTTCCTCGAGACTTCGTACACTCTCAACCAAGTCAACATAGAAACTCCATAGTTTCCAACTTTTGTGAATGCGCTGTTGCGGAGACAGTGTTTCGTCGAAGTAATCAACGGTAGATCGCTTTGGTGCCTGCGTTGCCTTTGCCATGATCTCAACAGCGCGGTCAAAGTTCTCATTCCTCAGCTCCATTTCCGCCCATTCACACCAAGTCTCAGCAAGCTCCGCGACCGTTTTGAAAGGCACTTTGACTGCCTTATCCATGATTACCCTGGCTGTATCAAGGTCTCCACCTTTCTCATAGAATTTGGCATAATTAACCCAAAGCTCATAAAATTTGCCGTGTGCTTTTTTCGGGTTAATAGTAGCGATGGCATCAGTATAGGTACGCACAACCTCTGTTTTGTTGTCACCCCACAGCATCACTCGCTTTTCCCATTCGATTACATTGTTAGGATTTTGTCTTAGAAGCACATCATTGACTAGAAATGGTCGGCGATCCATGAGCTGTTCAAATCTCATCATGCGCAGGTCCAGATCGAAATCAGCAGCTTCGTCTAATTTGCTGTTCTCCGATCTTGCAGCAGCTTTCTCCATGAGTGCACCAATGATTGACTCCTCAAATTCGACGTAGGAATCAAAAATCATGGTGAAATCTCGAATGGTCATAACCGTGGTTATTCCCTCTTCGAAAATATCGCGGGCCTTTTCAAAATTTCCTTTCGTTATCCAGTATGTAGCTAATCCAGCCCATAGTCTACCACGTTGGTCAGGGAATTTCTCAACACCACTTCGAATGATCAAGTCGACATTAATGCCTAGATGAGGCCCTGTTTCGATTTCTTTCGCCTTGTTGACAAGCAACTCAACCATTTCAGTCCAGAGCTGGAAGTGGCTTAAGCCTTTCTTTGACTGAAACCGGGGATCATCTAGAATCCGAATGTACCATTTTATAGCCTCGTTGTATTGGTTCATCTGAACTAGAATAGAAATGTAATCTTCGGCATCTTCAGGGTGAATTTGCATGTATCGGTCCCAAACTTTAACTGCGGTATCACCAGATGCTGAGATAGCGAACGCCTTGTAGATTTTCCATAAACGGTTGTGTTGTGTAATAGGAAGCGCACGAAGAGCACGATCAAACGTTCGCCGAGTCTGGGTGACAAGTGGTTGCTCAAGCAAAAAGTTGAGATACATCTCCCAAATGCGCGGCATCTTGTTCAGCAAGACAACTGCCCGGTCAAAAAGCGCGTTGACCTTGTTGTACTCGGCTTGGTGAGTGGACGGGTTTCGCCCGTGGACATGGTTGATTCTAAGTTCGAGATACTGTATATGAAATGAGTGGTCAGCCAATTTTTTTCCAGTGGTGATATGATGGGGTCAAAAAGAAATCGCATCCATGAGGCTCACCATCTTCCACAGCTTGTATGATCGGGGCAATTGCTTGCAAGCTCGCTCCATAACCTTCACCTGCAGTCAGTACTCATATTCGTTCCCCTAAATGATCTAATTTCTCTTACAAAAGACTGTTCGTAGAGAGTTCCATTCTTCTTTTTGTGCTCAATGTATGACAACCACGGCTTGATACTCCTGGGGTCTCGGAGGATGTCCTGCTCGTAGACGGCATCGTCATTTGCCTATGGCAGTTAGTATTCCAGAACACTCGTAATCAGACCCATATACGAGTTTGCAAGGGAGGTAACTCACGATCAAAAAAAGATCTCGACGAGGAGAAGAGTCCATCTTGTCCCGCTCAGACGACAGCTCCTGAGGCCGTGAGCCAACAAGAGTCCCAGGCATCCTCCCACTCGCCGCTAGTGGGACCTACACAAGGCCACCACTGAGTATATGCACAAGTGTGCTGCCAGTGATATACTCTGCCTGGCGGTTAGGTCGTCCTGGGTATTCTGTTGTCGTCCGCCCTCAGCGCATAAATATAAATTCTATTCTTATTTAAGCCAGTTGGTCGCCAAAAAGTGGGGGTCACGTGGTGCTTATGGATCGTGGGAGCTTGTTTGGACTCGCTGCTTCATCGCGATGACATCGTTTGTTTCTTCTATAGCTACACCAGGAGAGGCGCTCTCGGAAGAGGATAGTTTGATTGAATCCTGCTCTTATTTATATGATACTCTTCTTTAGGCGCTCAAAGTAACCAAACTCCGTGATGTCAGGCTCAGCGGTAAGCTCCATCCATTCATGATGCCCAGTAAAGTAACTAGAGCTGACCTGAAGGGCCTAACCAGGATCGCGAGGCGGTGTTTCCCACCAGACAATCTCTGGGTTTGATGAAAGGAAAACTTAAGGGAGCGGAACAAGGCCACAGTTTGCTCAAAAGAAAGAGTGAAGCGCTGACCAAGTATGTTCTTCTATACTTATCTTACTACCCAAGCTAACCACATGTGTTCTACACCTAAGGCGGTTTCGAGGTACGCAGTTCCAGGCATCGCCCGTAGACGGCGCTCTAATTCTTTGTTCTTGGTAGAGATCACACGACGAATCGATGATGCTAAACGGAAGATGGGCCGGGTGATGCAGATTGCTGCCTTCTCCCTGGCCGAGGTGACGTATGCCGTCGGCGGTGATATCGGCTTCCAGGTCCAGGAGTCCGCCAAACAAGCTCGCTTCCGAATCAGAACGAAACAGGAGAATGTTTCTGGTGTCTTGCTGCCTCAGTTTGAGAGCTTGACTACAGATGGTAACAATGATTTCGGCTTAACAGGCCTTGGGAAGGGTGGACAGCAAGTTCAGCGATGCCGGGAAACGTACGCAAGGGCTGTCGAGACACTGGTGGAGCTTGCAAGTCTACAGGTTGGTCTTTGTGTTCTCCTTATTGCCGAGATCACTCCCGTTAACATTGATCCCTTAACAGACTGCTTTTGTGATTCTGGATGAAGTCATCAAAGTTGTGAATAGACGAGGTATGTTACTATGATCTTAATTACCACTGCTTTTTCTAAAAGCTGACAACATTTTACAGTTAATGCAATGTATGGCCGTGATTCAACCCGGGAACGCCATGGGAGTACTAATGTCCGTCTTCCTCTAGTGAGCACGTTATCATACCTCGAACAGAGAACACAATCAAATGTACGTAGATTCCACGTCAAGTTCAAAGGACTGTTTTGGCTAATATATATACGTGAAGATATCAACTCTGAGCTTGATGAACTAGACCGTGAAGAATTCTATAGACTCAAAAAGGTAAAGCATTGTTCTTCGACTGGGATACAATGGTTGCTAAATCATACTATCTAGGTTTCCAACAAGAAACAGAGGGACACGGCAGCTCTAGATGCCGAGATCAAGGCCAAACAACAGAAGCAAGGGACCAGAAGCAAAGAAGACGGAGCGGAGCCGACCGACATACTGGCAGATGCTGATGAGGATGTTATATTTTAGGTTATTTGTTCCCTTTTTTGTCCATAGCAGTGAGAATCAAGAAATAACTATATACGTCCTTCCGGGCTGCGATGCGTATGAAACCTAAAATAAGGCATACTTTGGCACGCTACTAGAATGAATACGTTGAGAACGACAACCGGATACTAGGTGGCTACTGAACGAACCAACGCCTGAACGACCGTGGAGCTCCCCATAAAATAAATCACACTCATTAAAATATCTTGCCCTGCCTGAATTATTGCCTCTGGTATGTGACCTTGATTGGCTTTTCGTTTTCGCCTAGGGCCATACCTGATGTAGCCTCCTTTGCGCTGATTGCTCCGGATTCATTATCATATTCAACGAACGCGATACCTTTTCTCCCTGGTACCATGCGAACCTCCTTAAAGCCGGGAAACCTTCCAAATATAGCGCTCAAACCATCTGCATCGTACGTCTCGGGTAAGTCCCGTAAAAACAGGATCTTGTTTGGGGGCAAGTATTCGTCGGGTATGACAGGTGCCGCAGCCGCCCCCGTTGGTTTAAGTCCAGCTCCCTTTGCTGCCTTTGCTGGTCGTGAATCTGGTCCGCCAGCAGCGCCCGCAGCACCGGCAGGGCGTTTCAATTTCTTCTGGGCTTCTAGGGCGTCTTGTGCTTGCTTGCGTTCTGTTGACATATTAAATTAACGTCAGCAGCAGGCTCAAACATATACGAAATATACACCTCTCCAATTTTAGGATAGAATGCACACCTTTCTCAGCTAATCTCTTGCGTTTGTGAGCCTCTAATTCCTCGCCCCCTCCTTCTCTCAGCACTGTAGCATCACTTCTTGTTTTCGCATACTCTAAGACCATGGGTTTCTCGAACAGCTCAAAGCCATTGACTTCGTCAATTGCGCGGGTAGCAGAGTCAACATTATCGAACACAATAAACGCTTGTCCTTTCGCCTTCAAGTTCGTTTTCGCGACTATCTCGAGGATCGAGCCGTACTCGGAGAAGATCTCGGTCAGCGCTTCTTTTAATTGATCGATTTTGATCCTTTCTTCCAAATTCCGGACCTATTATGAGAGAAACGAGCGCATAAATAGTCGCGCCGCAGGTTAGCGCATGGCTAGAGGTATTCAACAGTGCAACGTGAGCGTGCGAAACTAACATAAACACTACACCTAGTTAGCACGGACAATTCTCAGTATTAAAAGGACAGGAGTAAACAGACGTTGGATTCGGGAGTATCGTTGACCCTGACGCAACTGTAGTTGCCATTTTCCCAGAGAGTAAAGCTTTAGTTCCTGTCGTTATCTTTTGGCTGAATCATTGAAGGTATCACTGGTAAACTTGACTGTAGCAATGCTCTGCAGGCGCAAGAGCTATCACGTGATGATAAAGAAATGGATCGAGAGGGTTTGACCAATTGGAATGATAAATTTCACGTGATAGAGCCCATGCAGTACCGTTGACTAAGCCACGGGTGACTGTTTAAACTCAGTATAACCGCGAGATAAGTAAGTCAAAATAAAGATAAGGCCAAGACACAAGCGTCCCGCTAAAGAGCTTTCCCTGTCATTATGTAATGGTAGCTAACTTTACTTTATACATACTTGCCTTACATAATGGCACCATGCACTTTATGAAGGCTTAGTACGATCACATGATGCAGTTAAATCACGATTCACCTCTCATTGGGCGAGGGAGCTTGTTAAACGACCGATATAAGAAGAGCATTTGGCAGTACTAGAGCATTACTTTGCCTGCGCACTCATACAGTAAAGAGTAATTTACCGCGGCTGAAGGCTTGATTGTGGGTATAATTAATTTTGAGATTGTAGGGGTAAATATATAACTTGTTAAGAAACTGCCTCATCTAAACTTGAATCATTGCAAGATAGCTTTTATGCTATCTACTGTCACCTTTAGCTGTTTCGGGGGTTGCATCCAGTTCTCGGTTTTTATTGACTCGTTTCCTGTTTTGAGGAAGAGATATTCACTAGAAAGGGATCGAATCTTTATATTCGTTAGTGGATTCTTGCAAGAGGGTGAGGAACTGATCTATACCTTTGGATAAGGGTGTAGCAGCATATTTGCCATCTTTGATACTACATTCCTTCTCAAGAGCTCATAATTATATAAACAATAATATACTTTAAGTGCTGCTTCAATTCTTGGAATGTTAGTAGACTTGAAATGAGATTTTTGGACGAGACGAAAGAGTCTCTTGAGAGAACTAGGGATATTAAACGTTAGTTTCAAGAAATCCAAGCATAGAAATTAAACGTAATACGCACTCGGGGTCCAGCTCAAGTGTTTCCGGAGCGAAACTGTTTTCAAGTAAAAAGGCAAAGCTCTCAACAGTGGGTATAGCATAACGATCGTCAGTTATATTCTCCTCTAGTATCACGAGAAGGCTCATAAATATATCTCTTTGCGTGCGGGACCTAATTTCGTCTTTTTGACTATTGATAAATGCCACAAGGGCAGCACGGGACGAGACGATAAGACTGTCGGCACCTGCAGCAAAGGAGGTGACTAGTCCCTTTATAAGTGGCAAGCGAAGCCATTCAATTTGAACCAGTGTGACCAGCTGTGAGAAGTAGTCAATTGTTGAAACTTCACTAAAATGATCAAACCTCGTTCTCAGTGGAGGCAGGCTTCTGTCCAACTCCCAGAAAATTTCAAAGCATTTCCAGGCCTTAAATCTGACTTTGTCTAACTTTTCAGCTGCCAGCCTTATGATATGCCTCATCAGACCATGTATATCTGAAAGGTCTGTCGGACCTCTCATGCGAGTCTCTAAAATCATGTGCACGCCGTTGATTGCTTCAGTCCGTATTAAAGATCCAACATCGCCTCGATTATCAGTAGTGTAGTCGTTAAGTAATACACCGATATGACTCTCAAGATCACTTGTGTTATCTATTTCCAAATCTGTAAGAATGATTCTTATAAATTGAGGAGTAAGTACGTACCAGTATAAGGAAGTATACCAGTTAGGATACACTTAACAGCAGAAACACGTTTCGTGATCACAGTCTCTTCTGGGCCAGTACAGCGTACAAGCTCGTCAAGAATGCGCTTTCTCTCACTTCCATCACTTGGAAAGTGCTGATAAACAGCACCTAGTGCGGCTATTTGTCCACTACCAGTCGTTTTCTTCCAGTTCGAGTGGATATCGCTGAGCCATTCTTTAATGATAGCAGACCTTTTCTCTCCGGGTAAAATGGCGAACATATCCACTGCTGCCTGGGAGCTGGCTGCAACAGTTTCATCGTCGCTACGTTGGACACATAACATCAAGATGCTGGCAGCTGTTTCTAGCAAATTATTATCAAGCTGTATTTCGTGGCTTAGTGGATCGTTCCCAAAAACGGCGTATGAACGAGAAAGTGAAGATATCAAGCGCGAGCAAGCCTCTGCTGTTAGATCTGGACGGAATGTTTGAAGCGTCAAACTTTCCACTGAAGGCCCCGATGGTGAGGATAATATGCTCCAGAGTCGGTGGATTTGTCGAGAAGTTTCAATCAAAGGACTAGGGTCCCCGGGGGTATCGTTTTTAGTGATTTTATGGCGGAGGAAAGCATCTACCGTGGCAGAAAGTGCCAGAAACCCTCCATGTCTAGTTTCAACAGAGTTCGTGGATGTTAAAGCCAATATATGTAGGATTCGGTTTAACACAGCGTTTATCCCAGCGTATGACATCTGCAAGCTTAATTCCCCAATAGCAAAAGCTGCTGTTCTTCTTGATTTTGAATCTGGAGCGCCAATTCCTCTCCATCGTAGGAGCCCACCTATGAGTGGTGACCAGTACGCACTGTCAAGCTTCGTAGTTGCTATGGCCACTTCCGTCATAGCGTATTCCCTTCGTGCGACAGAATGATAGTCCACAACCTGGACGATTGATATTCCTTCTAAAATTGAGTCGGGGTGGCGCCCAATCAACTCCTGGAGGGCAGCCGATGACCCCCTTCGAATATTCCCCGAGGGATCAAGGCAAGCAGAAGACACGAGCTCTATCGCTAAGCTCCTCAAGAGGCTTTTATTTGAGTTTTTCGTCGTACTAACATTAACAGCATCTAGCTCCTTCGTGGAGTACTTTCGAGCAAGTGACCAGATGCCAAAGCAAGCTGCATCCCTGACGGTGACACCAATTGAGGCACCGGTCGATGATCTTTGCTCGAAGGTTAAGCCAGAAATTAGGCATTCGAACAGCTGAGAAAGCCGATCAAGCGGAGGGGATCGCCGGAATAGTAGGTGTCCAAGTGTGAGCATAAGGCCATGCCAGTTTTGGGCGTCGACAGATTTGAAATTTCTCACCACAAGTCCATCTGTAGACCTAGCCTTTTCCTTGGATATCAATGTGCCATTCTCTTCTTCATAGAGAACGTCTTCATCTAGTGCACTAATCACTGCGTCTAGTATATCAGCGCCAAGGTCTGGCTCGAGCTTCAGGGCAATCATGCTCAACGCTTTGCTGGCTGCAAATCGAACTGGCGTATCTTTGTCACCAACAGCAAGGAGTAAATAATCAATTGTGTCTTCTAAGACCGTAGAGACTTCGTCTGAAGATATCTGAAAAATATCCGGCCTGTTCTCTAATGTTAATGAAAGGGTGTTCATTTCGCGAAGAATCTTAGTCAATAGCTTTCGAGTAGAGGCCGAAGATTGTACATTAATGGATATTTCAGAACTCCCTCTAGAGAGATCAAGAGCCTGGTTAAATATGGGTATCACAAAGGGTGCAATATCCTCAACTTGAGCAAGGGTTCCAAGTTTGGCTATGAAAGACAATAGCCCGATGCATGTAAATGTTGAAGGTGTAATAGTTCCCACACTAGGCTTCAAACACCCAAGAACCCATTTGGCAAGGGAGCTCAAGATACCTAGCTGTTGCATATCCTTCCTTAAGGCAAGCCTTGAGAGTAAGAGGACGGCTCCCTCTCGCTCCTTCCCTGGTATAACGAGGTACTTTAGTGCAACGGAGAGAATTGCAAGTGCAAGCTTGGGGGTCTTCGAAGAGAGCCCCGATAAGGAGGATAGGTTCTCATAGGGAATCGGGATATTTTCTGATGAAATGGAGGTCAAATCAAAAGGAGCCAACAAAAGATGCGACAACCATAAAAGCATAACATATCGTTCTTCCCAATTAAGTGGTAAGCCTTGGCCGGTCGTTGTTGACCTATCTATGTCCGCACTAACGATGCCATCCCACTCAATAAACATCGAAAGCATCGGCTCAAGATATCTCGGCTCATTGCTGAAAAAACGAGAAATCACCTTTGAGCCTCGCACCTTGCATAGAGTGTATATAATTTTACATATTGCCCTTGTCAATGGGTGCATCACGCCCGGCTCCTTGATCCTCGCGACAGAGCCATAACTCTGGCTATGGCCAAGCAGGTACGATAGAAAGGCATCCGTCAGTTGTGTGAGAATCCAGCTAAGGTGAGGATCTAACAGTTGTGGCCATTCTTGAAAGGGGTCCAGCTATTGATGTTAAATTAGAGTCGTTGAAAGATAGTTATAATTAATATGTTGAGGAGTGAAGCTAACAAGGAGGATCAACTTCTCTACTTTCGCTGCCCTCGCCCAACGATGAACTATCCGCTTGCCAGAAATAGGGTGTTTCCAAAGCAGTGGGGGAAGTTTTGTTCTAAATTCTTCAATCAGCTCGCCAGAGGCTCGTTGGAGCTCAATATCTCGATCATGGGCAGCATCCATTTTCCGATGTCTAACAACGCTTGTAACTATGGAGCTTGCAACTTGTCGGTTGTATGCGTTGTGAACTTTAGATTGAGTACCTAGTTAGCGACTAAAACTCCAAGCTAGCTGATTAGTCACCAATTCTTGGCATATGGAAAGAGATATGTCAGGTGATATCAACCTTCGAAGCCAAGTTTCAGGAGAACGTAAAATTTACTACCTACCCAGGTACCTAGGCAGTTGCTAAATGAAATAGATAAGTGAAATTTTCATGAATGTCAGCAGCAGAGCTACATTACTTTGACTCTGGATGAAGTGTTCTTGATCTATAGGCTATAAACTAGCTATCAGGGTGTTTATGCCTTAATTAATAGTTATAGGGCTAAATTGGCTAATTAGTTATATGGTAGATGGCTGGTGTCACCACCTTAAGATGTTAAAAAAAGCAACAGTGAAAGTGATTTAGAAGTCACGGCTACTAATGATAACACCGGTAAAGAACCGCCCAAGTTGATCTTCATGAGATATAAATTCATAAATCTTCGTCTGGTGGATCAAATACTGGAGCAGACATCCACATCATGTCCCCTATGCCTTCTTGTTCGCACTGGGCTATTGTCTTCCTTATCCGTGCCGCCGCAATTGCAATAGCCAATGCGTTCCAGACATCCTGGCCATATTCGGAGAAATCGAAGCGGGATATTAACCGCCCACTAGTTTTAGTGTCGAATGTAGGATGAATCCTAGGGTCCGAGTCAAGTGTCATCAATGCCACTACTGATCCACAAATGAGATACCCTGTGATCACCGGAAAGGTGCGGTCCTGATATTGTGGGCCAGCCCCAACATTTTTATCGGTTCCATCATCGCTTTCTATGCTGGGGGCCAGGCGCCAGGCGTTTTGATAACATTTAGCCATAGCAATGAGTTTGGAATTCATAATGTTAACTGCATCTCTCGCGGTCTGCTTGGGTTTGAGGGTATACACAGAATAAGGGGGTATAAATTGCGGCCGGCTGTACATGTCTACGTCACGTAGAGTCCATTGAAGATAAGAGTACAGGTATTGTTTGATCGTTTTCTCTGGGCGAAGGTGACAAGTTATGCGGTCCCTGACACGCCCGCCTAACGAAATAAGGTTGCTAAAGTATTTCATACCTATAATCTGGTCAGCTAATGTAAACACAGCGCCATTCAGAGGGGTATTCCCTACCTCGAAACGCATTTCTACTAGAGATATATGCAGTATCATCATTTGGGAGTGTGAACAGCGTCTCAGGTAGAGTCATAAAATCCATCTTCCAACCATGTGGTAGTACTGGCTCAAACCCACGCATGGCCAACCGGAAATACATATCTTTCTCTGCATCAGACCAATTTCCAGACGGCCTCTCCACCGCCGTGGCCCATCTCTTTGCTTTCTCCATGCAAAACTCAATGTTCAAGTCACGCTTAATCTCTTTTTTTGTCGAGTACTTAGAACCATATATCTCTTCTTCACTAAGATCGCTTCCACGGGCATCACGGCGAACAATTTGCTTTGAAAGATTCTTGTCGACAATCTTTGGGGATGGTCGATAAGCTTCTCCCACGCTACAGGAATATCGAGGTTGATTCCTTCTTCGATGTTGTCTAGACGGTGGGGTTTGTACAATTGGGACGCTTGCATTGGTATCTTTGGCCATGGCCATCCTGTTAAAGACCCGTTCCCCGTCCTCGAGAGATACTAAAGACTCATCATCCTCACTTCCGGATGAGGTATCGGAAGGCGACGTCAAAAGATCCTCTCTGTTTATGTTGGACTCCTTGGCCCTGCTAAACTGCTCATCTTTAATGAGCGTGCTTCCATCATGCTCACTATCATAGCTTGAAGAAGTGCAAATGCTCCTCTGAAATGAGGGCCTAGGGGGTCGTTGAAATAGCCTCAACCGCTTTGAAGATCGTTCTACTTCAATAAGGGTCGAACCGTCGGTATCTGAATCGTTCCCCTCATCATCATTCTGACTGAACTCTTCTGTCTCCACGATCTTGCGCTTCCGGCCAGCGCTAGGCGTTTCTGGCGTTAACGGCATGAGACCCTCATTCTCACTTGCCTCACCCTTGGGAGGTTTTCGGCTGCTTCTTAGCCTGCAAGAACTTGGAGGGGACAGCATTGTATGAGCAAGACTATGCTTAGGAATTTCGTCACAGTTGATCTTTTGATTTCGACGTGGTATAGTCTGCAAGGTAACGAAAGCAGTGAAATTTCGACAGATGCTGGACAAGTAATCCATTTTGCGATAAGGTCGAAGAGACCCAATTCTTTATAGATGAAGACTTGATAAATCCGCAACAAAGGGTCTGTTGGCTCAGCAGAACGTCCACTATCTGGCCCTTTCAAGACACCCTGGACGGCCTTGCATCTATAGCACTTGTCTATGCTGCAGTGGTAGATCCCGCTGAAGAAGAGAGTGCAAGCAAGTAGCCAGCAGGATCAAACGAAAGGAGATAAACCCGAAGCGTAGTCAAAAGAGCCGAATCGGGTAAGTGGGACTTCTTCCATATAAAAACAGCTTGACCTCCTTTATTCCAATCATCTTCAAGGAAAACGGCAAGCTCAAGAACTCGCTGAGCTACCAGC